TTGGCATCTCAGGGTTTGGCATCTCAGGGTTTGGCATCTCAGGGTTTGGCATCTCAGGGTTTGGCATCTCAGGGTTTGGCATCTCAGGGTTTGCTTCCCGCCTCAGAGTGGCGCAATGTCAAGGTTTAGCGCCTCACAGTTTCGCGCCTCAGAGTTTCGGCATGTCAGGGTTTCCCGCCGCAGAGTTGCGCAGTGTCAGGGTTTAGCGCCTCTGCTCAGGGTTTCGATCGCGCCTCAGAGTTTCGGCATGTGAGGGCTTCCCGCCTCAGAGTTGCGGCAGGTCAGGGCTTAGCGCCTCAGAGTTTCGGCATGTCAGGGCTTCCCGCCTCAGAGTTGCGCAATGGTAGGGCTTAGCGCCTCAGAGTTTCGCGCCTCACAGTTTCGGCATGTCAGGCTTACCCGCCTCATAGTTGCGCACTGTCAGGGTTTAGCGCCTCAGAGTTTCACGCCGCAGAGTTTCGGCATGTCAGGGTTTCCCGCCGCAGAGTTGCGCACTGTCAGGGTTTAGCGCCTCAGGGTTTCACACGTCAGAGTTTCGGCATGTGAGGGCTTCCCGCCTCAGAGTTGCGGCAGGTCAGGGCTTAGCGCCTCAGAGTTTCGCGCCTCAGAGTTTCGGCATGTCAAGGTTTCCCGCCTCAGAGTTGCGCAGTGGTAGGGTTTAGCGCCTCAGAGTTTCGCGCCTCAGAGTTTCGGGATGTCAGGGCTTCCCGCCTCCGAGTTTCGGCGGGTCTGAGTTTCGCCGTGAGACCCTGTTTCACCGAGTCGCGCAGACGTTAGCGGGCTCTAACGCGGCCGCCAGCCGCGTTTGGGCCGGCTAACGTCAGGACCGCAAGGGGGCCTGAATCGGCTCGCGCACCGGGGGGAGGCCGCCCGCGGTACGGGGGGCCTGAGGCTGGAGCCCGCCCACGAGCTGCGTGTGGGTGTTTTCACCGAGAATCTGCGGGGAAACCTGCACGCGCGGGGGGGGTCATTGTCCTGCAGCGGGTCTCACGCGGGGTATATTCTCAACGCGCAGTGGTGTCGCTTTAGTCGGGATGTTTTCCTTCGCTCGCGGTCTCTCTCTCTCCTGCCCCTAGCAGCTCATTCTCCATCGTTCCAATTTCCCTCCTCTCGGACCGCTAAACACCCGGGAAACGACTAGTATATATAAGTACTTTATTGTCAAACGTCGATGTTGACTCATTATTTTCCATTCTTGCATGTCCATCTTTACCTGCTCTGTATATTCTATCGGTATATTTGATGTGCTGTTGCATCACTTCTTTTTCACCAGTGAGTCCCCTATAATGCGAGTTCGACATCATCTTGAAAGAACAAGAAGAACTAGCTTCTCCTCAAGGAATAGGACTTGAAGGTCTCCTAGCTTGAAGGAATAAGGTTCCTAGCGCTCCCATCTTGCTCACCACCTCCACCACCGCCTGGCTCTTCTGTAGTCAAACTCATCACGGTTGACATGTACTGCGACCCAACTGGCAAATAGCTTTCATTATCGACGTCACGTGCGCGCAAAAACAACGGCAGTTCAGGGTTTTCACCACGTAGCGGTAGTAAATCCGCCTCACCCCATAGGACATGCCAGATGGTCTCGTACATGAGGCAATGTGTACTGTGGCCTTTGATGTCGTTGCATTCCGGCTTAGGCGCTTCTTTTAAAGCTCAGCATTCATTGGTCACTGACTCTGAACGGAAGAGACCCCTCCAAGGCTCTCCCCTTTGTTCCCTTCATTTTCCCCTGCTCTATCCAGGGGACTCTCTTCGATTTCAGTGACCAACCTCTATGACCAATGAAAGTCGAGTCTTAACTCTTGGTCGTCAAGCATTTTCAACAGCTTCTCATATCGCCACAGTGGCGTGAGCATCAATCTCGATCGATGCACGATGTATTGCGCACAGCAATAGGTTCCAAGAGCAGCTGGTGTGCGTTGAAAAGTTTCCTCGAAGATTCTCCGTTTACAGGGTGTCAGGTTCTGCACGATGCGACCGCCGGAGATTAGAGAGAACTAGTACAACAACAACTTCGCTGGAAGATCCTCGATGAGCAGGAGCTGTAGTCAAATTTCACTTCAGTGCAGACAGCCATAAGTTCAGCGGCACAAACGGCAATCGCCAGCCACTGGCGACCGACTCGAGAATCAAGTTGATGTAGCCCCAGTAGGCATGCTCGTCAACATCGGACTGCAAGAACATGACCAGATCTGGGTAATTGTCGTAGTAGTCCACCAAGTACTTCAAATAGGCTACGCACTCGGCATTAGAGGTAGGCTTTTGGTGTTCGTGGGTTCTCCCGTTTGTTATGGCCGTCCCCCTTACGAGAGCCATAACAAACGGTAACAAAAGCACCATTAGCCTCCCCTTAACGTCACGTCGAAAGCCTGGTAGGTCATCACAGGGAATACTTTTTACTGCTGTGAACAGACCGGTCGCGAGGTATTGCTTGGATTGCTTAGAGGATGATGAGGTGGAAGGTTCGCGATGTTGTGACTAGAACAAGTTACTGCTCCTGCGAAAGTTGTAGATGAAGCAGATAAGTACATTACAAGATGATCATGATCCATGTTGTAGTAGTTGTACTACACGACCTTACAACAACAAAACGAAAACTCTTCAAACTGTAGTGAGTGTGACGGCAACACCAAGAGGAAGAAGACACAAGAATCGTCCATAATTTTCTCCTCCCCTATCGGCGTTTTGCATTTATCGTAAATCAAAAGTTCCACAGACAGATTCGGCGCTTTCTTGATAACGAAGTCTGGTCCTGTCAGCCAGTCTAGGTCCTCTCTGCAGTGACACACTAGGATGTGCATCACGACGTTTCGTGGAGGCTCTCCTCCACTGCTGGTAGAGGGAGATACCGATAGTACTGAAGACGTCGATACTAGAGCTGCAGCAGAATCGACCTGCGCTTCCTCCTCGGAGGCTAGGATACCCTTGAGAGCTTCGTGAGCATTAGAGGAGGCTGCAGCTTTGGAAGAAAAAAGCTGCGGGTTTGAATGGTGCTGGTATTTGGTAACCTCCTTTTGATGATCATGAGGAAAACAAGAAGGGAATCCTTGTGATCGAATTCAGGTTACCAAATACTAGAACCGTACAGGGTTTATGGTGATGGAAGATGATTAATTACTTAAATACGGAGCATAAACGTGAATGGACGAAGACAAACAACTTCCTGCAAAACATCACGTGCCGAGTACGTTGTAGCTCCAGCACGAGGACTACAAGTAGTACTAGAAGTACTTCTTCTTCTTCTACCTACACCTACTACAAGGACGAGAACTAGAAGTACTTCTTCTTCTTCTTCTACCTACCTACACCTACACCTAGACTCTTACACAACGACCATGCTCAACATAACTCCTGCTATCCTTCCCGCAGCTATTGTTGTCAGATTTCCGGACATGAACACGCGCATTTTCTCCAACTCCCTGTGGAAAAAGTGCCTAGTTTCCTCGACTGGCCAGCCTGCTTGGACCGCAGTTCCGAATTTTGTTTCTAATCGCTCTGCCTCTTTGAGATGTGCCGATTAGAGGATGAGGAATGGTCAGTCTTCGAGGACTTGGAGGTTGTAAATGTGATATCATGAAGATTATTTCTGGACCACGGGACCCGATGTACAGGAGACAAGTAAGTTCATCAGTGCAACTGGAAATACCCGTCTGACGTTCTTCGCCCTTCGAAAGATTGTTCTTTGGAACCTGTTTTTACAGCTACTATCATTGATTCACATTCATCCTAGGAACTCTCTACAAGAACTGCACCAGAAGCAATAGTAAAGTTGTACCAAAATTGTAGTTGTTCCCCTGTACTTCATAATTCAGACTCACACTGTTCAACTGCGACGAAGCGCCTCCCTGCAGACCTTTGTACAAGTAAACCGCTGCTGCGAAGAGATGCGTAGTAACGAGCGCTCCAGGACATCTGTCTGCTTCCTCTAGATCGGCTGACCCCGCTTTAAGCTTCTTCACGGCTTCCAAAACAAAAAATACTTCTTCGAGTGGAGGCGTCCGTGACTCATCCTCAAAGAACCTTAGTTAGAGGTAGGTTTTTGGTGCTCGCGGGTTCCCCCGCTTTTTATGCCTTTCTCATCTCCCTTAGGGTTGAGAGAGGCATAAAAAGCGGTAAGAAAAGCAACTTAAAGGTGTACCCTTAACGTAGGTATCGATACTGCAACACCCCTGGTTGGATTTGCCGATTAGAAGGCAGCAACGAACTATCTTCATGTAGAAGTACTTCTAGATGTAGAAGTTGTACTTGAAGAAAATTATCACAGAGACGAGCATGAGAGAAGTAGATGATGCTCAACGAAAAGCGAGATGATAAGTACATCAGTCACTCTGCTCAACATCTTTAAACCCCAACGCTTTATTAAACCCCAATGCTACTCTCGTCACTCTGGATATCTACTCTCCTTCCGTCAACATAAGATTCGCTGCTGGCGGAATGCTCCATTCCTTGAGATTCGAGCAGTGATGCCATTCCACATCAGGCTGCTTTGCTAGGACATCTAGAGGTCCTCCTACGAACAGCAGCTGCAAAGCAAAGAACGAAAAGGACGACGTCCACCTCCGCGTGAAGACGGAGATGGAGGACGACATTTTGTAAGTACTTGCAGTAAGTTGATGTTCTACTAGAAGATGAACCTAGAAGAAGTTCAAGAAGATGAACTAGTTACGAGACGTTTAGAAGTACTGTCTACTCATCGTCCCACCTCCTTTCACGACTCTTACTCTCCCAGGAATGCCCTCTCAAGAACAAAGGATTAATGTTGATCTTCATGACAGATCACCTGAGAAGATCCGCTGCTTTCAAGATCGTGCTGAGGCACCAAATCCTTTACGCCAGAGCCCTGTTTGAGTGCTGTGAACACAACATTAGAGCTCCAACTCCACCTCTTTCTCAAAGTAGAGTCCACCAGATCTGTTACCAAGTATATGACTTTCATCAAGTTCAACATATTCTTTCATATTCGACGGCTACAGCAGGAGCTTCGGAAAAAATATCAACAAAAATCATAACTTGACACAGATCCGAAACGATGAGCATCAAATAAGGTAGAGGTAGTTAAAGTTTACTCTTCAACATTCTGTCCTCTTGAGATGAATTTTGTTCGTCTGCTTTACCACCTAGTATAGGATTGATGGCGGGACCAGCATATTTACTACTCACGACGGACATTCTTTCAGGCGTTATCAATGCTCTACGTCTTAGCGTGCGATCCGGATCCGGTCCTAGCCATTGCTTGTTGCAAAAAAACGCCATATCCTCAAACCGATCACTCCCGAAATAGCGTAGCTTCTTAGAGCTTCCGGGATCATCTGAATTGATGAAAAAGAAAAACATGATTGATATAGATATTAGGATGTTGATGATTTGAATCTATTCGGCAAGATGCCTAAGATTTCCCTGACGAGTTCTACCCGCTATTCGAGCCTGTTGATGGATTGTCAGTTGTTGCTGTTGTTGTTGTTGTTTCCCGACTGAAGTTCCTGCTGCTCCTGATGGAGAACGACGAAAGTCAGGCTGTTGTTTCCCGACTGAAGTTCCTGCTGCTCCTGATGGAGAACGACGAAAGTCAGACTTTTGCTTTGTTACTTGTGACCAGATATTAGGATAATATTAAGTATTAAATGTAAATTGTAGTCGCTGCGTGGGCCGGAAGGGAGAAATTGAAGAATGCGTAGGATTAGGAATACCTGCTTCTACTAGCATCCACGGCACGCCAAACGCACCTGTGGCCACGCAAGCTTCCGTGTTTTTCACTAATTTTTTCTTAATCTCCTCTGACCGCGCGAGCCACCAGATCTGCCTTCTCTTCTCGATGCTCAGTTTCGTGCCCCTTCTTAGAGCTATGCCGTCCGCATCTTCCCTATTGTTCTAGAATAAAAGCCTCGTTGGCCTCTTGTAATAATATTTCATAAGCAGGTACTAGTAGTACAGAAGAAGCCAGGGATGGTACTCCCACTGAGGAAGAGGATGGTTTAATATTTCTAGTTGTGATACTAGCCCCCCTAACAATGAGTTTATACTTAAATCTCAGTGTTATATCTAGCCATAACAGTGAGTCTGTTGTTTGTTTGCAGTTAAGAAAATCTCAGTGTTTTATATCTAGCCATAACAAGGAGTCTGTGGGAGTGATCATCAACTCGGCAATTGGGCTTTCGGACTCCGTGACATCTAACAAACCCGAAATATTTTTTGCGGTGAGCTTCACATCGTCTGTGCCAGGACGTCTGCCGGATAGCTTAGAGGGTACAACAAAGGGAATGTCTAAGCTATCCGGCAGACATCCTGGCACAGACGAGGGGTAATTACAGCATCAGTTAAGGGAAAAGGGGGAAAAGATAATGTATTCAGCTAGCATCAATCTCTTGAGTAAAACTACTTCTCGTTCCAGATCTATTGTTTAACCCGGAGCAATTGTATTTTTACATTAGATAGCAATTCACTTCTAGTTCTACCGGGATAGGATAGGATAGGATAGGGTAGGATGCCGTTGCTTCGTTCTCACACAAGGTGCATCCAGAAGCGCGGGCGAAGCCTAGGATCTCACATTCTTACCAAATGATCTGACCAAATTTAGAACCCGCAGCGAATCACTTATGTTACATAAAAAATATCAAGATCAAAGATATTAGACTAAATTTCTTAACTTTCGTATGTATCAGATCAAACGCTCTCTGTACTATTTGTCGAAAAATCAAATCGCTTTTCATCTTCTTCTTGCCTCCATCTCCTTGGCTCTTTCCATCTCGTCCATGATTCTGATTGTGATTGGTCTGCATCAAAACTTCCTTTGCCGCTAACAACAATCTCTGGATTTGCACGACTTCTCTGGCGACTTCGGAGAAGAAGTTTTGCGGTGCAGCCAGCATGTCCTTCATCCCGAAAAAGGCACGGGCACGTGCTTGCTCTTCAGAGATTAGAGGGAGCGTGAGCGAAAAGGATTATATCGTGCTAAGTAACTATGCAGTAGTAGTTGTTCTCGACAATAGTGGAATTATCAATCTTCTTCTTCATTTGCTTCCTATTAACTTCCTATTAACTTAATACTAAACCTCTCATCTGCATCGTCTTTAGAACAACTTAAGTACTCGTCATTCAATCCAGCAGAAGCAGAAGAAGAATTACCCATACAGCCCCACAATCGTAATCCCGTTATGCATTCACACCCACACTCACATCACATCCAATGAATATGTACAGGTTAGGTTAGGTCTGGGCCTACCGGAAAGCTGGCAGACGTGATTCAACCTACCATAAAATAACATATCCCGTTCTTGCTGGCAGTAGTGCAGGTGGTTTATTGCCGGTCATCTTCATGATGCCGCCAAGAAAAATCGGATGCAGTTCGAGCTTGAAGTTCCACAATTTCTCGTAGCGCAACAACACAGCATACGTCATATAGGCGTATGGCGAGATTACGTCAAAATAAAAATCGATCTTCATCTTGTTGTAGTTCCTGTATGAACAAGATGCTTTCAGCGAAGACTTTTTCTAATAGAGCAGTCTTAGTAGTGCTAGGAAAGCGTACTAGGTCCGCGTGGAAACTGGGAAGGTGTAGTGGTCGATATAATGATCAACGAACTACTAGACGGCGTTTAACAAGGAGACCATCGGACTATCTAAGGCACTTGTTATCGTTTAGAGACGAGCACGCACTTCAGGTGGGGTATCTACAGGAACAGGTAGTCTAATATGGGAGTGTAGTCGATATAATAAAGCGATGTAAAAATGCTCAGGTGGAGTTCGTAGGCGTAGATTGAAAAAACCCTAGGCCCAATCCTGAGCCCTAAGGCCCTAGGTACTCCACCAGGTGCTCGTGCTGCATGTCTTAGTGGTCTGTCACAGACGCGGACAAAATGAAGGTTTAGAAGTAGCCCATTCCTGATCAAGAAACAGCAAGTAGTTGGTCGTGAAGAGCAGGTCGGAATCGGATAGTGGGTACGAGGACAAAATAAAAAATCAAAGAGTGATGGCTTTATTACCACTGTATTTTGACGAGAAGAGTAAGAAGGAGATGAACCAGAAGAGTTCGAGACCGCTCAGTCTAGAACTCAGTCATCGAACTTTCGGCCTGATTGGTTCTTCTTATCTACTCATCTAGTTTTTTACGTAAACAACTATAGATGAACAACAAGAAAGCACCAAGTAGCAGTGGACGTGGATCAATTAATTAATGTCATGTGTGCTTCTCAAATGACTCTCCTCACAGTCGTACTCTCGCGCGTGGGGGGAAAACCGAATCAAGTGGGCGCGCGAGGAGGAAGACAGACCTTTACTGCATCCTGAAGATGAGAGCATGAAAGGAGACAACATATGATGAATCTTCATAACTTATTGGGTTCATCAAGAACGTTCATGGGGTAGACATTACCTTTTTCTACCTAACCCGTGGTCGTGAAGACCGTGAGTTGTTGCTATAGTTCTTGTAACAACAATAAGGCAAATGTGATGATGAAAAAAAGTCTCTCCTTTTGCTTCTCACCGCCACAAGCACACCAACAGCACGCAGCTAATGTTACAACTCGTGATTTTCCGTTCTTCTCGTTGTTATAGGACCAGCTCGTCAGTTGTGCTGTTCTCGATATTGGCTGGCCATTCTCGAACAGTGCTACGTGATGTCATGCGCAAAACGTTCGTGGGAATTCGAAGCTTGGATCATACAGATTATGGAAGGAGTAGGAGGAGTAACCATTCATCAGGAAATGACTCGTAAGTATTTAGTTTGCGTAAAAACAGTGTTGTGGTCAACATTCAGCATTTTTCTCATTCACCTGCTTGATGCACATGCACTGATTGTGCATATGATCGAAGGCACAACAGCAGGAGTACCACTGCCAAGACTAGGTTCGTCTGTACATCAAATCAATGTTGTAGTCGTAGTTTCTCTAGATCTAGTATTCACTTGCTCATGTTCGTCTACCACGTCCTCTACGTCTTCTTGGGCAAGATGAAACTTCGTTGATCATCTCCATTGCAAGAACTACAGGCCGCGGACTTTATTCTGTACATCAAATCAATGTTGTAGTTGAAACATCTCCAACATTGGAAGAACTACTACAGGCCGCGGACGACTTTATTCTACTGATTGACGCTAAGGACGAGTTGTGGTCCCTCAGTGTTGCATGTATTTTCTCGCAGTAGGCTTTGAGAAAGGGATGTAAAAGCTTTTCTTCGATCCGTTCCACTGACATCGCGCCTTCCACCAACGTATGCACCACTGTTAGAGGTACCGACGTGCATCCCTGAGAGCCTCCCTCGGCCCTTTTTCCCCCTGAAAAAAGGGCTAAGGATGGTGTTGAGGATGCTCCAGCGGTAGCCTTAACACTGGGGAATACACCGACAAGACTAGAGACGACAAGAAGCCTTGTTCTTCATCCTCTGCGGCTAGAACGTTCGTGATGCCACTCATGACACTGGCGGACAGGGGTATTAGAGCTCAACACCCTGCTAAGCCTAATCCATCTACTCGAAATGCATCCTAAGTAGATCCCTTTTCATGCTGAAAAGTTTCTGACTGGAGGTGGATTAGGGGATGGAGCTGCCTTAAGGTCAAGTGGGATAAGACATTCAGTCGTTTAGTGCTTACCCAATCGTGAAAATAATTCACGCTTTCTTGTGCTGGCGCCGAGTGGACATTCTTGGCTATTGGTGCAGCTGGTCGTTTGGAGGAAGCTCCTGGTGCAAGTTCTGGTACCTTCCCTATCCTCTTCGTACTAGTTTCGCTTATTCTACTCTGTTTGCTTAGAACTACTGCATCTTCGTGCCTTGCAGAATGGTCCAGATTTTCAGTTGCATCCGCGCCACTTGTCCACCTTCTTGGCGTAGTTCCACGAACATCCTCTTCAACATTAACAAAGTCCAAAAACTCGTTTATATCTATCGACGGCCCACCACGACGTGAGGCACAACTACATGATATGCTTTGTTTTGATTCACCTCGTCTATCGCCAGCAGTTGAGCCACAACTAATAATTCTTGGAGAAGTACTCGTACTCCCGCCAAGAGGACTCTTAGATAATCTTCCATTTGGAGAGGATAACAAGGATGAGAAGTTCTTGGAACTTCTTGTTCTCATCTGAACATTAGTACAACTAGTTCTTTGTCCACCTCTTTGTTCCAGATAATGGTACAAGTTCGCGTGGATTCGGAAAACCACGTAAGAGGCTTCTCGTTCTGGCATCGGTCTTAGATTGTCGCGGAAAGAATTAATTTGAGAATCATGTAGTTGAAACCCTAACCCAGCAGTCGTAGTTTTTCCAGTTCTTGTTTGTTCTGTTCTTCTTTCTGGCTGATCGAACAAGCAGGCTGGTAACAGCAAGTTGCGTATAGTGTCGAAAAACAAAGCTTTCTTTTCATCGTGAGTGAGGGTGGAAGTAGATGAAGTAGGACGGAGACCGGGTCCGGAGCTGGTGGAAGTGCTGGAAGTACTACACCACATTTTTCCGAGACTTGTGTTACGTTCTTCTTCTCCTTTCTTCTCCTGAGCACGACTCCTTGATGTTCTTCTAGTATTACTATTTGAAACATCTGTTCTCTCAGCATGTGAGCTTCTGCCAGATGGCGATGGCGCAGAACCCCGAGCAGGATGAGCAGCGGGACGAGCGGAAGGAGATCCAACTCCAGAAAGAGATCCAGCTCCAGAAGGAGACCCAACCCCAGGACTCGGTCCCCAAAGTTGCACAAACAGCTCTCTTGCTTCATCTCGCAACGTCGCTTCCAGTTCCATTAGAAAGTGGTATAAAAATACAGGTAGAGGACAACTACAAGTTCTTGGAGATCTAGTTAAGGCTTGATCTTGCTCTCAAAAAGAAACCATATTCCCATAATATGTCATTATTTTTATGTAAAAAACAAGGGGTATAAAATATGGGTGGAGCCAAACTAACTAGGAAAAGAAAAAGGCAGGATAGTACTTAGGTAAAGGATAGAGAAAAAAGGGGTATAAAGGTATAAAGGGGTGCCCCAAGCAAGATGCTTCTGAAGAAGAAGATGCATAACAACTCCCAAAAAAAGATCATGTTCATGCATAATTCTAGCTCGTTCGCAGTCCAGGGTCGGAGGAAAATCTTGTTGCCTTGTCTTTCGTCCGTTTCCATTTTCAGGAAGGCCCTTAGTAGTACTTCCTCCGACAGGGACTCGACAAACGCAATCAGCGCAGGAGAAAAACAGTAGAAGTTGAAGCATACTTTTCGAAGAGAGATCATGTTCCTGCTCTTTCTTGATACTGTTAGGGGTTGCGCAATTACATTCTTCAGATCATCCTTGACTTCTTTCCTATTGGAAAATAAGTCAAGAATGGTAGCGAAGGATGCAATTCGGTAACCCTTAATACTGGACAACTGGAAGACGCGGTTGTCGTCGACGAGGACGAGGTTGAAGATGTTCCTGCTCCTCCAGCTTCATCTTTATCTTTTCTAGCGACACGTGCTGCATCAGTACAACTCCTATGTGGATCTTCAGCTTGTCCCTTGAGCGACGTACAACTGGTGCTCCTGCTCGAAGAATGCCAGATCTTCAAATAATCTTGTTCTTGGCTTTTTTCCACCACTTCAAGAACTTGCTGTTCTTGTGCGCGATCCGTTCCGTCTCTTTGTCTTTCTCCAGCTCCTCCTGTGCAGTCTACAACCAGTAACTTCTCCACCACCACACGATTCTGAGTCTGCTCGTGGTCAACAACCGTATTTTTATCTCCTACAACTTGTCTTGTCACTTTTAGTAGAGGCAAGTCGACGTTGTGACCTGACTCAAACTTCAATCGACACGTTCTTTCTCGCCGTCCACCTAGGTCGAATCGCCTTTCTTGCTCGTCTATCGCCGTCAATCTGCCGTATCCCCGAATGACATTCTTTACTTGGCGACATATATGCAATTCTTAGAGCTTCTTACCCCAAGGATAATCCATCTTGAAGAGAATCATCCTGCGAGTGAGTGTGAGAGTCTCACAGTGAGACTGTCTTCAGGATCCTTCATGCAACCCTCTTAGTTAGTATTCCTTCAGGGACAAGATGATGTTGGATTATCTTTTTAGTGGAACAAGACGGATTATTTTTTATTAGATGAAGTACTAAGACTAAAAGATGTATTATAACTAGTAGTGCTTCATCTCGACAAACCAGACCGACGAATCAACGACATCAACCTACACAAGCAGGAGGCGCAGGAGTGGCGAGAGGGGAAGTCAAGGCCCCACCGTCAGGGCGGCCCATACCGACCACGCAAAGGAAAAACGTCGACAGACTACTCAAGATGCTTCTAAAAAAAAACATCAAGATGGATTATCTAGTGTAACAGGCCTTAAAATTCCTCTTCACTGACTACCCCTTGTTCATGCTGCGCTTCGTGGTGACACATAGGCAGCACTTTCTCCGACAATCGCAGTTCACAGCCTTCAGTCTCTAGGGCTAAATGTCCCGCGTTTTGCCACCCTACTCGAAATTCTTCTTCCGAAGACAGAGGCGGATAGGGTAAGTTAGAGAGCAGGCGATAAGTAGTAATGCTCCTTAGCTAAAATATCAGTTGTAATATTATGCACTAGTACTTGACGAGGTAACATAATTGATAACTTCAACAATATTATTAAGGCAGAAAACTTGGTAAAAATCAAAATCAGTAAAGTCTACTTCTTAACTAAGATATTGTTGTTATTCGGAAGTTGATCGATGTCCAAAATCTGGTGCTGGAGGCGTTCCGCGATTGACGAGGAAAAAAGAGAAGAGGAGGATTTTCGAGTCGTTGGCCTCGAGGCCGCATAGGCAGTTCTTGAGGGCAGTGAAGTAGTAGAAGTTGTCGTTGTGGGAGATGAAATTGTGGGCGATGAAGAAGAAGTGAATCTTCGAGGTTCTTGTGCTGCAGTTGTTGTACAGCTACTACCTCTAGTTCTTGCTGTTGCAGCAGACCCAGTTCTTGTTGACGTTGACGAAGTTCTTGTAGGAAATGACTCATTTATTTCTTTATCTTTAATTATATCTTTCTCTTTGTCTGTTGCGACCTCTGATTCGTCATGACCTTGATCGTCGTGTCCACCGCGTCCACTTTGTTCGAAAATTTTGAAAAACTTCCTAGAATTTCTCCTATAGAAGTTCCTCTGTGCGTCTGCCTTCAGCAGGAGTCTTTTGTGTGCCGACAGCTTCGTTGCATCCACAGAAGCCAACATTTCGAGGTGCCCGCGGTTCGTCATCCAAAAATCCCTAGGAATGATCCATATAATTGACTTGGTAGCCGACACACGGCACTCTCTGACAAGGTAAAGGATGGCATCGATCGCAGGTCTGCCGCCACCAACGATTAGGTATCTGAGCTTTGTGTCTTCTTGTTCTGATACTCGACTCTCTTCAGTCTCATCTATGATTTGAGTTGCCATCGTTCTGGTAAAGATCATCGCGGCTCGATTCGCCGAGCCTGTTTCAGTTTCATTTAGAAACAAACGGACACGCATAAACCTCCCACATAGGGAAAATTATAGGGAAAATTATGGAGCCATAATCATTTTCCCTAATTTTCCCTAAATTTTGCCCTCCTCCACAAGCGACGTGTCCGTTTGTTCATAATTCATCCAGAATAGTACTTCTAGCATCCAGATGAGCAGTACTAGAACTACTACGCAGCTTAGAACTTCTTCGACCAGCTGCACGTCCTCCCCCAACGGCATAGTTTGGTAGCTCATTAACCGGGATCACCTTAAAGCAAGCGCTATCTGCGTCGAGATGGTAATTGAGTTTGAGCTTCGGCGTAATAATTGCTGCCTCCATCGAAGGAGCAGGTATGCTCTTCGGCATTGTTGAGGGCTCCTTGTAGCTCTTCGGCATAATTGAGGCCGTTGCATCATACAGACTACTGGAATACACTGTTGCATCGACCAGTCGTTTCCGAACTCTGATTAGAATCCGCGAGGACTTTTCGCGAGGACGTTTAGAGTCACCACGACCTCCTCCCATGAAATGAACCTCATGTAATTCACCGTCCTCTGAAGATTCTTTTGGAGCTTTGTCCTCTGAAGATTCTTTTAGAGCAGTGTTGGAAGCAGTTCTTCTTGATGTTAGAGCTCAAAACAATTCATTTCTTGCCTACATTTCTCCCAAAAATCCTAAGAAGTAGAAGGAACTAGGGAGAAATGACTTCTTGTAGAAATGAAACATATTTTTGAGTCTTCTTAAACCAGATCCTGGCAATCGATGATGTTGAGCCTCAACTTGATTCCCAACTACTCTTCCCGCATACCAAGTCTCGAATAAGAATTTTACTTTTCCTCCACTTTTTTTTTCCAAGCTTTTCCGTACTTTTTTGTAGTACGCGCAAACTTCCTCCTGAGTTGCTCGATGTCGCGTCCTCTCTAGCCAAGATCCGCCTTCAGATTTAGACCTCATTTCCTCTATATGTAGAATAATCATATTTTTTTAAAACTAGTAGAATAATTTATATTCGAAAAACTGAAATAAGCGAGTCGCTACGAAACATAAGTCAGATACTGAACAAGGAAGAGAAGTAGCCCTCTCAAAGCTACCGCCCTTATTTCAGTCAGTGAGTAATTCGGTCATTTTCAGTTTTCGAGTATATATCAAACAAAGAAGTGCATCTTCTTTGAAACTACAACTGCGAACTAAATCTTCCCCCTTCAAAGAAACTGCGTCAGAGATGCTTCTGAAGATGAATTCGTGGAAGCCTTAACAGAAGTTGGCTCCAACCGTCTCGAATTCACACCATACAAACAGGATGGCTGATGTAGCTGCTGCATAAATTAGCGCTCTAATCCAACATTAAGTACTCATATGGAAGAACTTGTTCAGGATGCTTCACTTCAGACACACAGGATGCTTCAGAACAAGATGGATTATATTAAAGCTCAGGACTCAATGGCCACTGATGCTGAACGGAAGAGACCCCCTTCTTTCCCTTCGTTTTCCCCTGTTGTCTCAAGGGGTCGCCTCTTCGATCTCAGTGACCAACCCCAATGACCATTGAAAGCTGAGCCTTAATTATAAGAAGGGACTCACTCATTCATGGGGCCCCCACCGCAGCCACGCGCCGAAATAACACGGGACTGAGGAGAATTACAATTCACAGTGTCATCTTAGAACTACAATCAGAACGAACAAGGGTAAGGGATCTTATAACTATAAGGGAACGAACAACAACAAGTCATGTTCTTAACTGCAAATAATAAATAATAATGGTGAAGGAATGGCTCCGGTATTTGGTAGCCTGATTTTGATCGTAAGGAAAACACGAAGAGAATCCTTGTGATCAAATTCAGGTTACCAGATACGAGAACCATTCAATGAAGGGGCTAGATGTACATTGTAGGTCCTCGTTCTTAAGTATAAACTAACTCCTGTTCTTAACTAAAAAATAAAGGCCGACGATAGTCTGTCGACAACCAATGCCCTCCGGCCTCTGGTAAAGTGTCGACCACTATGATGTTGCAGCTCCTGTTGCTAGAGGTCCGTGGAGGATCTTCCTGTTCCCACAGTGTCTTAGAGCTCACATGATCGGATCAAGCTTTTTTTGATAGAGCTACCGCGCTCACATCCCCGAGAACCTCCCTGGTCCCATTTTCTCCTTGAAAAATGGGCCAAGGATGGCAACCTGTTAATTTTGATATTGATTCATCATCTACTGTTGATCCTACTTTTTTTGATATTGATTCATCATCTACTGTAGATTTAAGTTTAAAAACTTGGAGCAATTTTGGGATTTTGATTTACATGATTTGACGAAAAAATAGATACTTCTTACGTATTTCCTTTTTGGAGGACGTAAGAAGTATCTATTTCGTCGTCCCCACCTGTTATCGCAGGTGGTCTGAGATGCATCTTCTTCAGAAGCAGGTCTGTTCTTAGGTTGTTACAAGCCGTAAGTGTCACCATTTCATCTACGAATGCCATGCCCATTGCGCCGGCTCCGACGAGCAAGTAATCACAATGCAAGAGCCGAAATTCTTCCCCAGCATGCACATCCTGGTGCTCCGAACTTCTTGCTCCAGGAGAATCTACCATTTTCAAAAAAAATTAAAATTGTATTAACCTATTTTTCCAAATAGAAGAATCACTATTCTTGAAAAATAGAAATACAACAAAGAGAAAGAAGTCCTAGACGACTTAGAAGTCCTAGACACATCCTCGTCGACGTATATTTATAACGGGAGAAGAGAGGCGCTACAACTAAAAAGCATACTTACAACTCAACACGAGACCACCTTGAAAAAAATATAAACAAATTATACATAGATGGTGCGCAATGATTTTCATTTTCGCATGGATTGTTGGTATTGGAAAAAATCAAACCAGAAAAATCGGTCTAGACGAGACGAGGACTCTGATGACCCTGTGTGTTTGAAAGAGCTGCATGCTGGCGGGGACATATAATTTTGAGTATACAATACGAGACGAGGTGCCTCCATATTCATCACTTTCATCACGCTCGTCATACAGAAACAGATGTTGGGTGAACGTGGAACAGACTCAGATTGTTTTTTGTTCCCAAGTAAGTAAAAACCCCCTAATACATCAACTTTTGATCTGGTCCTCTCGTTTCCAGGACAGAATTCTGACGTACACGATCTGATGTATACGACAGACTTCTGGTGATGTACAAGATCAAGTTCTCATAGGGTTTCTCCGCGACAGACCTGTCCTCTCGTTTGTTTCCCGGAAAGATTTCTGATGTACATTCAGATTATGCAATATTATTTAGCACTCATGATGGCGGGAATCTTCCTGTGCTTCCTCCGTGGGAGCGACGCTACCCTTGTTCTTTCTGCCCTCATTTCATTAACGCGGAAAAACGTGAAAATAATCTAAAAAAAAGCTAAAATAAATACTGTAGAAGTTTCAAAACAAGTGAAGACCAAACTACTACAATACTTGTTTGTTTGTATTGATCAAATAAGGTTCAAGTAGAAGGACCAAACAGAGCACACTGCAGCAGGCCCCAAACGTTACTCAAGCAGCTCCGAAGGCCAAGGCATCCTGTGTCTAAATAAAACCTAACCAAGAGCCAGCAACTTGCCGTACCAAATTGTAGCTCCTCTCGCGCCAAGCTCCACCAGGTAGCGGGGAACAGTGGTTTTTCTCAAGAGTTGTCTATCACTTCATGGCGACTAGAGTCCACACTAAAGCGCTTAAAGAGCTTAGGTTTTTGTTTCGTCCCCTCTAATTTCAGAATCGTGCAAATCGTTTTTGGGAAAGCTGGCTACGATGCTCCACTGCCCCTCTCGATCGCCGTGTAGATAAACCCTCCTCTAGTAGATAGACCTTCCTCTACGAGACGGAAAAGTAAGCCTCCTAGACAGCCCACTGTTCCCCGCTACCTGGAGCTTGGCGTGAAACATTTTCGAGGAGGAGTCGAGGTAGAAGAGGGCGAAGGCGTTGTACTCCTCGAGGCATCATAGGCATAGGAAGTTACAGTTCTTGTGGGCGGTGAAGTAGTTGAAGTTGTGGGAGTAGATGTTGTCTTGTGCAGTACTTGTGAAGCAGAGCCAGTTGACGCCGACGAAGTTGCAGATGACGCCAAGCTCCAGGTAGCGGGGAACACTGTTGAGAAACCCTCAGAATGCAGACCCGACACGACTAGTTCTAGTATCAAGGTCAACATGAAACTTCTATATGATAACGGACCACCACGCCTTCCGTGAAATGGACAACATGAGCTCGCCCATCTACTAAAAACAGCTGGAACTACTCGGAGTACCACCAGGCGCCTCTCCCTCATCATACTGGTGGCCTACACGAGAGTTATACATAGTTCTTCTTCCCAGCAATTCCAGCAGGCTCCTGTTTACGAGGCGCCAGAAAATGGCTCGATTAACCAGTCCAACAGAGAACAACATATACCATCGATCCACAAGACCACAAGAACCAACGGAAACAAAAGGATTTTGATTCTTTTTATCAGAATCAGCGGATAATAAAATCAAAACAGAATCTTTTTCGGCCAACATCAGTGACAGCGAGCATCTTCGCTTTCGCGCAAAGGCGAGCCAGTGTTTCTATATTTTGCCATAGTCGTCGTGATCCTGATTCTCAATTTTTCTCTTTTTCTTTGTAGTTCTAGTAGGAGCTGAGTTAGCACTACTTATGCAAATATTATATTCGCCCTGATGTCGGTTAAAGTTTCTCATTGGGAATCTTGCTGGGGCGGTATGATGATCAGGACTAAAAGCGATACCAATGGATTACGATATCGACCCACCATGAGTATTTAAGTACCCCCTCGCCCACACCGATAGCGGCATCGGTGGGCTTTAACTTGCTGCGCCAGGTTGTTCAAGAGGGCCTCTAGCTTTTCCTTATCCTTCTTCAGCCTTTTTGTTCCCGAGTGGTCTTGTGGCTGAGGCAATAAGTTCCTGCGCCACTAAGCTTGTGAAACAAGAACAGCTCCTACTTGCGCTAGACCATATTGCCCAGGAGCGGGAATAGCGCGAACATGAGGAAGGCCTCCCCGCCTTGTTGCTGTAGTTCTTCTCTTGTCCCTAGTAGCTAACCACAGCAGCCCCCTTTAAAATTTCGTGGCTGTGGCTTTCTAATGCCAGAGTTGACTTCCACGCTAGCAAAGAAACCACCTTACTGAAGTGCATTCAGTGGCACTATTCCAATCATGCTGCCAGAGGTTAAAAGCTTAGTCGAGATCCAGTCGCCCCCTCTGCCTCTTTTTGCCTTAAGCTAGCTCTGCTCTTATTTCAGTTGTTTGCTACTTCTCCCATATTTTCACCACTTTTCGAGTACATTGCAGGAGTACCAGTAGCGCCTTGATCAGCTAAAGACGGAAAATGGAGTGTGTCTACCCGCGGCTATGATGTCTCAGACAACTCAGACACAGACGCAGATAATGCTTATGGAAGGGCCAGTTATCTAATGATAAAAGGACGGAAAATTTTCAACATGCATTTTTTATGGTGGTGCGAAGCGGTTTGGCAGTCTGCCTAGCATTTCCCTTATGCAGATGCATTCTTCACGGTCGGTATATGATTATCAGTCACTTGCATCAGTCTACTTCTACCAAGTTAGGCACAGCTAAGTATGATAATGATGAATCCACGAAAATTTCGATTACTATTTCTTACCCTTGTTATTCTTAATATTCTTATTCTATATCATTATATATAACAACTCTTTCTCTATCTCTATAACGTATTCACGATTCTCACAATTGTTACTCTTACTTACTCAAGTTCAACATTCTTCATTGTTTTCAGATGAGGAGTAAGCAAAAAAGTATGGTCATGGTCCGCTAGAATTGATTACTCATTTTTACAAGTCAACAGCTACCGCTGCGCGGTCCCGATGTAGTAGTCAACATTCTGAAGGAAAATAAACACTGAACGAGCAGCAGGCGAGAGAATATTTTTAGTCCGAGGGAGAAAAAAAAATCATAAGTAGGCGTCGAAGGTGCTTTATCAGTCATCATGATAGAAGTAAAAGCTTCTTTAGCACTGATAAATATTCATATAATCCAGTATATTACAACACAATAATGGTCCTGAGTCATAAACCACACCTTCTGAAGGCGTTAATATTCCCTCATCAAGATATCTGAAAGCCATGAGAAAGCAGCACAGATTAGACGAAAAAAAGCTGACAAACAACGACAGGGGATACAATTAATTACGGAAGTACAGACGGCACGCACCTTCTTGAAATAACGGCGCGGCCGCCTCCTCCTGTCTTCCTCCTTGACCTAGAAGATCTCAGTTCTGCAACCCAACGGCTCAAGACTATTGAGCGCATTAAATTCAAGTCAAGCAAAAGGATTCGTCCGCGCCTTGCTCCTGTTCATCCTGTACAAATTGTAGTAGCTAGTTGCCCCCCCCCTGTCCTTAATTGCAACTGCTCCCCCTCAAAATCTTATGCCTTTATTCGAGTGAAACACAGACGCGTCCTCTCGTTCTTCTTGCGCTAGAGAGGCTTCCCGCTGTTGGTCGCAAGAAATTTAGCGCAAAAATGAAGAAGACGAATTTGCCACGACGACGAGGAGCACCTTGCTACTGTAATTGTTGCTGTTCCTAAAAATTACAGCGGCCCCAGGTCCTGCTTGCTCATTTAGTTCCCCTTAGTAGTATTATTGTTTAGTGTGATTTTTCATCATAATGATTAAGATTATTTCTTTAGTTTTTTTAATGTGAAAGCAGGACTAGACGATGACTAATCATGATCAAGAGACAACTAAGCTACAATTTCTTTTTTAGATGATCATGGAGCCAGCAGCACTTCGGAAGTAGATAAAAGTGGCACTGTTGAAAATTTTTACTCCTGATGTCATGCGTGTGTCCCGGAAAAACTTGAGCAATTATCAGAGCTGATTAGTGATTACTAGTACCCCGAACCCAATTGTACTAGTAGCGAATACTCCTGTACCTGTAAAAGACTTCCTGAACTAGATTAATCATAACCACCGAAGCTATAACCCACAATACGTGTAGGCCTGTATCAATTAGCATGCTCAACTTGAAAGAACTTCAGGTAACCACGATTAATATAGGCCTTCTACACTAAACAAGAAAGCCAAGGCCTAAAGCTAGTACAGCATCACAGCACTGCGCTAGTTAGGTCTTGAAGAAGGTTTGCTCTCGCTCTGTCCTTTTACGGCTCCTGCCTATGCAAATTTATGTTTCGCAAATGCACCTGCGTACGATACCACCACTCGTCAACTGCGCTGTGGAGTTTCTCCATGAACTCCGGGTTAAGTCTCAGCTCTGCAGCGTCGGCTGGCAACACGTCTATTACACGAGGATTCTTTTTGACTGCACTGAAAAGGAGGTCCCAATCATTTTTGTATAGCTCCACGCTCGCGTGCGCTATGGCCAAGGGATTCTCGTCCACTGCTTTCTTCATGAAGTCCTTGTCATGTGTCAGCGGAGACAAATATTTCAATACCTCAGGCTTATGCTCGACTGCACTGAGAACGCGGCCCTCGTCTTTGACTGCACTGAGAACGACGTCCGGGTCTTTTTGCAGCTCCAGGCTCGCGTACGCTATGGCCAAGGGATTCTGGGCCACTGCTTTCTTCATGAAGTCTTTGTCCTGTGTCAGCGGAGACAAATATTCCAATACCTCAGGCTCAGAATTGACTGCACTGAGAACGCGGCCCTCGTCTTTGACTGCACTGAGAACGACGTCCGGGTCTTTTCGCAGCTCCGCGCTCGCGTACTTCATGGCCATGGCATTCTTGGCCACTGCTTTCACCATGAAGTCCTTGTCACGTGTCAGCGGAGACAAATATTCCAATACCTTAGGGTCAGGCTTAGACTCGACTGCACTGAGAACGCGGCCCTGGTCTTTGACTGCAATGCGAAGGATTTCCTCGTCTTTTTGCAGCGCGGGGCTCGCGTAGGTTATGGCCATGGCATTCTTGGCCACTGCTTTCACCATGAAGTCCTTGTCACGTGTCAGCTCCGGCAATTTTCTCAATACATGAGCACTCTCTTCGACTGCACTGAGCATGAAGTCATAGTCTTTTTTCAGCTCCAGGCCCAGATCGCTCGTAACGATTTGCATAAGGGCGCCCGGATACACGGCAATTAGGTCCCGCATGAAGCATTTGTCATCTGCCAGGCCGGGATCCTTCTGCAGGGCCGTGGAGATTAAAGGTCAGCAGTCAGTGGCCACTGCTTCTGAAAGAAAAGGGCCCCATGCCTATCCCCTTGTTTTCCCTTCATTTTACCCTGTTCTCTCAAGGGGTCTCCTTTTCGGTTTCAGTGACTCCAATCTAAATGGTGACCAATGAAAGTTGAGCCTTAAGCCGAGTATATGCCTTCTTTTGTCATCGGAGGCTTCTGCTATTGCGGCGAGAACGAGTTTCTTGTCATGTTTCAGCTCTGTGGACGCATAATGGAAGGCGTATCCCTTTGAGGCCACAATGGCTTCGTGCATGAATTTGGGGTCCTTTTTCAGAGCATCATCGGCGTACAGCTCCATCCAATAATCGACCCAACGAACAAGGTTCTCCTCGTCCGGACGAAGAGGAAGAATGCGTAAAAGCAGCTCCTTACCCGGTTGAAAGTGATGCGGAGACGCGTCCTTAATCCTCCCACGAGCTTCCTTCCACCCAAATTCAACAATTTAGAAGGTTTTGGAGGCAGCATGGCATGCGGCGCAGTGATCGCATGGAGTCGAGTTGCATGGAGGCAAAGGGGGCGCTTCTTGCGTCCCATATTTTTCTGTACTCCATGCAGATGCACTCCACCATGCGACCCCATGATGCGCTCCATCTGCATCAACCATGCTGCATGAACCACGCGTCTTCATAAGGAAAGCGATGATAAATATCTAGGGCTGTTTGATACTGTGCCAAATTCTCAGATGATACAATAACAAAGCAATCCTTGATGGTTCCTTCACCAAACACACCGCGACGTTGCGGCCAAATGGATTTGAGTTCCTTGTGAAAATCTTCGTCCAGCTGCTTTGGATAAAGCGTCTCCGCCGGCCCGGTCGAAGTGGACAGCACAAGATACTGGCTTTCTGCCATCCCGAGCTCCTCAGCCAACTCCCCAACTGTGGCAGTTTGCGGATCGAGTTCATGCTTTTGACGGTCTGGAGCAAAGCTGAATCTTACGTCTTTCGTAGCTCCAGTCAATCCAGTCATGCATTGCAAACTCCAGGATGAAGCAGCTTCCGACGAAGTAGTGCCACGACCTGCTCCTGCACATGATCAACGAAGATGGTAAACGACGAAGTGGTAGACGACGAGGATTGATAGTGGTAGACGACGAAGTGGTAGACGACGAGGATTGATAGCCGTACTTATAATATATTATGGGTGAAGCCAGCCGCAACCTAACTAGGAAAAGTAAAAAGAAATGAATGTAGATGAGTTGTACTTATATTGAAAAAGTAGAAGAGGTAGACCACAATGTCGTGACGATCTTCATTATTAGGATTCATGATACTAGAAGATAATCTAGATTACTAGTAACTTACTCATCTATTGAAAAGAAGATATTTTTAGAAGTACGAGTTAATGTTGTTACCAAGACAACTACATATTTATTAGACAACTAGGACCACAAGTTGTATTAACAACTATTGATTATTATAGTCAATACCTCCTGAGGACGCCGACTCAGGTGCTGGCTCAGACAGCGTGATCAGTTTCGTTTTGGACTGGTGAAGAAGCACCGCGTCCGTTTTCGATGCCGAAAGAAATAGGAGCACGACAATGCCGCAAGCGTTCTTGCGCGTCGGATTCAAAGACGAGAGAGTATTCCCCATTTTTGAAAAAAGAGACCACAGGCTATCTGTGTCGCAGTTTGAAAGTTCTTCGTCTATAATTGGAGTTCGAAGATGTTCCTCGAGAGAGCAGTAATTTATTTAAGAAGTATTAGAGTATCTTATTGAACTATTCGTGGCAATATTGATGAGCGATGCTGTATCTGTATGGCTGTTAGAAGCTTGTGTTGTTTGAATGATTCTACTTAATATCTCTAGTACATGTACAACAACTTTCGTTGTGTTAATACTTAATTACTGATGCTGTGACTCAGATGAATTGAATGTCGTTTTTCGAACAAGCGCTAAGGCCTATTTAGAAGCTGTGTCTTTAATCTAATGATCCTCGTAGTATTTGAAGGTGATTGCCAAACTATTTCAATTTCTTTTATCTGATTTTTCTGGTTTAATAAGTGTGATTTTTCTCAACAATGAAGAACTAAAAATCCAAATCCTCTACATGATCTTCTGTGAAAAAATTCCGAAAAACGGAAGTGTGTTCGTTAATCTTAATCGCGGAAGGTACTTGCGGAAGCTAGCCGTCGATGGATGTGGTCCGATCGATAGTCGTAGTCTCAATTTCCTGGATGAAAAAATTCCGAAAAACGGAAGTGTGTTCGTCTTCGTTGTACTGCAGTGGAGATTAATATCAAACAAAAAGAACAGAGTAAAAACAAGAACAACCTACTTATTATGCTACCTATTCTCGATGCTCGCAGTCGCACTCACAATACAGAAGATTATACCACTTTTAGTGGATGTGGTAGATGGCAACTCTAATAGTACAGATGACAGCTACGCACACTCTCATACATCTGGGACCTCATAGATCACTTGTTTTGCTTTTGCTCACGATACAGATGTTGACAAATTTGGATTTGGATTTGGAGATTTCAGAAATTGCTACGAAGGAAGCGAAGGAAGCAGCTCTTTCTCTCTTTCTACATCACTTCCTCACGACAGAGTTGCGAAATCACGCTTGCAAGGTTTTGCTCACGACAGAGTGGCGAAATCACGCTTGCAAGGCGACAGAGGACTATGATCAAAAAGCTTAAGACTCACTCACCATCTCCATCAATGCACAAGATCTTTAGATTTTCCATGTTTGCCCTGCTCGCACTCAATCACTCAATCCGTCTGACAGCACCTTGGCAGAAGTGTAGCTCTTCATTGAATGCTCCCACGCGTCGCTCCCCTTCTTTGGGCCCTTCTTAGACTTACAGCGAACGACATTCTTCCCCTATACTTTGTTGTTCTCGATGACAAGAAGTGGCGCCTCCACCTCCATACATTCGTCGTCATTTGCTTAGGCTGACTCGCGGACGACTGCTCACGTGACTTGCAAGAGTCCTCCCCCGTTGCGTTGAAGAGGCGCTGGCTCCTCCATCTTGTTTTGCGGCACAAGTGTCGAACTTGTCCTGGTAGCTTTTCTATGACAGATACTGGCAGCTTTTCTAGAACATTCATCTTGTCCAACACTCCAATTGATGTCTCAGGATAAGCAACTACATTCATCTACACAACTTCTTCAAAGCTTGTTGAAGATGCCGCAAGAGTAGTTGAAAAATACGTAAATTTGTTAGTTAGTATAGGCTGTTGAAATATTAAGCGGTGTACTAGTAGCGGAATCAAACAAGTCGTCATGTATCTGTATGTTGTAGGAACATGTGTGTTTTCAAGTACGTACGTTTTTATGCCCAAGCTGCATCTTAATATGTCACCGTCCTCGAGGTATCTGCATGGACAGTTGTGTTTGTGAGTGAGTAACGAGAAATGTCGCAAATATTCTCTATTTTACAGGAACTGTGAAGCTTGTAGTCCCAATATAAGCGGTAGTATCTATACAACACATATAGTACAACGTTGCAGGAAGCACCAGGAGAATGACACAGCTCTAAGCACGAAAGAGCTCTTCGATTCCGAGCTCATAAGTGGTAGTTGTGGTACAATTGAACAATCGTGTTCGTGGCTTAATTCATTCCCTATTAAATTCTTTCTATTTAGGTATAGTATTTTCTATGCAGATGGATTGTTGATGATTGAATAGTTGTTGACTATGTTGAAGTTGAGTTAGTTCCTTTAGCTAGGCCTTCTATGTGGCTGGTATCACTATCATATGCACGACCAGCACCAGCAGTATTAGTATTTAGAAGTTCCTAATTGTAAGTTCGCTGTATGAAGAAAAGTGCATCGAGTTGTATGAAGAACCCTGACAGACTGTTTCATTTCGAAGTTCTGTCAAGGCTAAAAAGTCCTACCAGTCTACTCACAGATAATAAATATGACTGCATAGTAGAAGTAGTAGTCCAGGACTAGCCACTCTCTCACATTCCACAGTCCAAAAGTCCAAGGGTGGACGTGGAGATGGGAAGTAGTTCTTGTACTGTTCTGACGATTGAGTACAATGATTCCTAATAGTCTACTAGTCCGACGATGAGTTAGAGTTAGTCTCCGCTCCTCCGCGATCTCGTTCATCTGCCTGACGAAGATATCTTCCTCCACGAGGAGAAGCAGCTCCTAGCATAATGCTGCTGTCTCTAGTACTAATTCTAGTATTTCTATTACTATTAGTACTTGTTTTTTCTGCATTTACAACTGACGTGGAAGTGGTGGAAGCGTTGTTTTTTGGAGAGGCAAAAGGGTTCCGCGTGGGACTAGTACTTGCTTTCGGTGATACTGCACGCGAGGTCCTCAGCGTTGGCGACTCTCCCCTTTTAGCAGAGCTCCTCCGTGCTCTAGAAGTCATAGTGGCTTTACTGTAGTTCTTCATTTGTGAGGAAGCTGCATCACGTCGGTTCCGGTATGCAGCACTACGGCTAACAGACCGACTGTTGGACGAACTGGCTGAAGATGATGAGCTGCTTGATGATGAAGATGAGGATCTATGATAGTATAACTGCTCTGCTGCTCTCTGTCTCTCACCACGTACCGTTCTGGAACAAGAGGGTGTTGAAGAGTGCGGTAGTTCATGGAGGTCACCAGCACCAGGAGAATGATAGTTGTAGTTGTTTGCGCCGGCGTAGTTGTTAGAGTTATACGCGTGACTTCCTGCACCAGCACGGGCTCCGCCAGCTGCTGGCCCTAGAAACAAACGGGCCCTCGCGCCCACTTGTCGGGTAATGCCATCCCAACTGGAGAACGTCGCACCGAGAAGCATCTGCCGTCTTGCGAGTCGGATGCCTCGTAGGATGCGCGAACGCCTTGCGATCAATGCCCATTTTTGCAAGATAGGTCTTATTGCCGCATGGTAGTTCGCCTCCTCTTGAAATTTTTCGAACTGCGCAATTGTGTTCGCGTGTCTCTCCAGGTGCACACCAATTTTTTGCTCTTCCCTCACAGTGAAGGCCCAACCCAAAAATTAGAACTTCTCACTCTACAATCTCAATCTTCTCAATCCATCTTTTACATCATCTGTGTACTAGTTGTTCAACATCACTTCTCTATATTAAGTAGAAGTAGGTGAAACTTGAAAACACGTTTTTACAGAACAAGATGAACATGATGAACTAAAAGATGAACTACATCAACTAGTAAAAGTTATAAAGTACTAGTGGAGGTCATAAAAAAAGGCACGTGCCGCTAGCAACCTAGATCGAGCGTTCTTCAGGAGGGTTGCCTGTGCTCTAGCCCATTGGAGATTGACGCGCCTAAGTCGCCAGGTTCGAAAAAGTTGGACTTTGCGGAGTTTTTGCCGGGATGAGAAGTTGCGAGCATTGACTAGAGTCCATCTGGCAATATTGGCACGTTTTTGACGCGAGTTCCTGTCGAACAGGGAGAAGCCCAGAGTCAGCAAGTGGCGTTTGTCTCTTCGGTCCACGAACCTTAACAGCGTGGACAAGTAAACACTTCGGTCCTGTTGATGTCTCGTCGCCAAGAGGACCATGCTCTGCTGCAATTGGCATTCTCGCCAAGCAGCGAACACCCGTTTGATCAGATTGCTTTCGTGCGCGGCAGAAAAAGCGGCGCCGACTCTTTGCAGTGCCCGCCGACTCCTCACACTGCTCATCGCGTGCCGTTGGGCATGTTCTGCGTGCGTGATTTTCGCCCAAGTCAGGAAGGCGAAGCTCTGCAAAGCCTGCTCACTATTGGCCAAATAGTAAGCCATGTGCTTCCTAGTACCCTTGGCGAACAAAACTTCGTGGCGCCAAGAGTGAATCGCGTGCAGGCAGCGTCGCTTGGCCTGCTGTACCGTGACTAATTGCTCTCTTTGGGCGTGTTTCACCTCCTCCAATCCGGAAGCTTGGAGTCGCGCACGGTCGCGCCACGCAAGGAACGGTCTTAGCAAAGCTGCAGCATGAACTTTAGCATGTTTTTTGGTGACTTCGGCAACAGAATGCGACAAATTTTTGCGACGCTCGTGGCTCACAAAGCGCCACCAGCATTCGAAAACTGTGTGCATGTGGCGCTCAGCATGGTGGCGAAGTAAAGCTTTGTCGCAACCTGAGTTGGACAAAGGACAATCTACTTAAGGAGACTACTAACTTGGTAGAGGTAGTTCCAATGTGAAGATAATAAATTGCTCATGCTCGTCAAGTTGATGCAGTTCTTTCATTTTCAGGTTGTGGTTGAGCCCCTTGACTACCGATGTATTAAGCGTAACGAAAAACATCTGCTCTGGTTCTATTTCTAGATCTAAGCAAAGCAAGAATCAGCGTAATATTAACTACTGCAAGTCCCTTCTAAACCTAGAAAAAAGTAATTCATACCATGCACCAGTCTCTCCCTTCCGGCGTGATGAAAGTCGACATGCTGTTGCAGTCTGGTCTGATGAATGCCTGTCAATGCTAGTTTGTGCCAGGCCAAGATCATGGTCTTCATCACATTATTATTTTGATACTCGAAACCCTTTGTCACATGCTTGTTTCGGACATGGTTCAGCGACTCGTTCAGTCCCTTCAGCACGAACGTGTACCTGAATACGAAAATAGAGGTAGAAGTTGTGAGAAGTTGTGAGGTCTTCTGATGCTGATGGAAGAGGCTGCTTCTTGCATGTGGTGGACCCATCGGCGTAGTTAACCAAGAAGATGTTGCGAAGTTCGATCAAGGATACAATTGCATCATGGACATTGCGCAAAAATCCAAATCATCATGATCAACAAAGCTTCTCATCTACTACAGATCTAAACGACCCTAAGTAAGTTGTGGTACTTGTCCCTCTTCGCCACGTCTTTCCATTCTACGAACACCAGCTCTAGGCGCTTTGCTTCATGGGTCTTGTGGATGAACGCGTATAACCCTTGTGTCGCTCTCTGTAACCGCGTACTGGTTCTGAAATGCATGTCGGATGCGATTTTGTGCGCTTTCGCCACGTGCTGGCTCTGCACCAAGTCTCGCCACAACCGCACCGTTTGACTGCACAACAACCGGTCATGATGCTGCAGAGCTAGCTGCAGCCTTTTACTAGAGTTGGCTCTGAGATTTTCCGCATGTTGTCGATGTTGGTGGTGGACACCACGGGACTCGAGCTCCTGCAAAGCCCAGAAGCGCCAAACCGAGAAAACAGCTTGCCTCTGGAGACAAGGGTTAGAGGTCCTCCGTTACGGAATTACATTCTTGTTCAGACGCAGACCATCCTCGACCCTTTTCCTACTTGAAAACGAGTGAAGGATGGCAGTGAACAACAAGAATGTCGCAATGTCGAAACCCTTAATAGAAACTTTATCGCCGAAACGTTGAGCAAACGCTTTGGCACGAGCGTTGGCGGAGGCCTGAAAAGTAGAAGAAAAGGCAGCAGCAGGATGTAAGTGACGAATTTCGAAAACTCAAAATAAGCGAGCTACTGACTGAAATAAGAGAGTCCTGACTACATTCCTCTTCTTTCAGTATCTCCCTTATTTTCAATAGTTACTCGGTTATTTCAGTTTTTCGAAGTTGAAAAATTCATGATTGATAGAACGTTAGTTTCTGTCAAAAAAAGTTTAACACTTATGAACGATATAATTCAAATTACCACTCTCTCTTTCTCCGCGTCCAATTTCCCATTGTCCTTCACGGTAGCAACGAGAGCCTTCCAAGACAGGATACACTTCTGGACGGCCAGAAGACCCCCAAACTTCACCACAGTCTCGGATTGACCGATTGCACTAAGCTTCGCCTTCTCCAATGACTCCCTGACAATGCGCTCCTTTGCCTCTTCCTTGGCCTGTAGTAGGGGAAAGACGAGGACGATGGGTGTGATTTATATGGAGGTTCGATGATCTAGAAGCAAGGTACTAACTGCGGTAGATGTAGTAGTTGCTCGATATCAAGAACTACAGTGTGGTGCTGGCGATGTGCCATGTCATGTGTATGTCCCTGTTATGGCCATTCTTGATCACCGTAGAGTTTTTTTTTTTTTGCGTTAGGACTATATGCCGCCACCCTTTCAATCAATTATTTACCCCCTTATTTATAAGATCATCCAAGTTACATACTGGGTGCGCATAAGACCGTACAATCGGCCACAAATCTAGAGACAGAATGGCAGCTGACACGAGGTCAACTCCCACAACGAATGCCCACCCAGGCCAATGGCATTCCCAACGGCGATGCTGGCGTTGAGTTATGTAAGTCAAAGAATTATCAAGCGTGAAGATTTCAAGGGTCGTTACCACAGTTACGGAAAATTGAAAAAATCGCGTGGCACTCTCCCCTATAGACGCACATACTACCTGTTCATCGTGCCACATAATTTCCAGAAACTCTAATTAGGGAATTCCTAATCATATTGATTGATGTCGTACCTGTTCATATCACTACATATCACTACCTGTTCGTGCCAACATATCTCCATAAATTTCCTCAATTTTCAGACGAGATGTTGAATTCGCGTCTTTTCTTAAATAACTTTTTTGCTCTACTTGAGGTAACTTAGTAGACTTTAGCTGACTCACATCTTAAAAAAAATTGTACCTGTTCATGCCATATCTCCATAAATTTCTTCCGGAGCTCGTTTTCGTCCGCCGCTCCACCAAATTTGCCCCATAATCGCATTGCGCCTAACGTCGACTTGAGTTCTAACATCCTGGTATTCAACCCAGTGACCACTTTTTCGGTCTGCAGGCATTCCACCCAGCCTTTGAAGACTCGAACTTTCAGGCTTCTTTCGTCGTGGTGGCACGTCGTCAACACTGCATTATTAGAGCTGTCCGTAATTCATCTTTCAAGTGCATCCTTGAGAATAAGTATGGAGGAGAGTATTACTCCCTTAGGATAGATACTCCTCCATATTACGTCTCAAGGATACGCCCAAAGATGTATTAGGTACAGCCTTAACATTATGGGCATATTGCTCCATGTTGCTTTGGATCTTCTTTAATTGGATCTCTTGGCGAGCGTCGTCTACCACGCGAACCCAAGCGCGAAACACCATCTCCTGCAGGAAGTGGTCGGACTTTTCCCCAAAAGTAAGTCTCAATTTCTGGACCATGGCTGCTCGTTTGGCTTCGCCTAGTTTGCTCTCCATAGCGTCCCTTTCCCGATCGGCGACAACGCGTTCGTGCTCCTTGCGCCAAGACTGCCACGCGAGGAGCATCAGCATCTATAATTGTTGTTGAAGATTTCATGTCGTCGTGATTGTGATACAACTGAAACTGAATAAGTAAAAAAAAAGTACTTAGCAGGGTGAAAGAACTACTTTCCAATTAATATTATAAGAACAAAGTAGAACCCGACATGATGTCCGTTCTCGCAAAGAAAAAACAGTATGCAGGCAGGAGGTAAAATTTCTGACGAAGTAGATATGAAGAAAAAAGAAACACAAGTTGTATGTTGCAAGAAGGGATACATAGCCTAAAAATACTTAGAAAAAGAAACAGCACAAGTAGTTGACAACATGTGAAAAGTAGTTAAGTATGTACATGTGGATCCGTCACGAACGCCATTTTCAACCTTGACAATGCTTGTTCTTGCTTCAAGTTCTTGATGTTCTTCTTCAATTTAGTCGCTTCCCTCTCCTCCTTGCAGTTCCTCGTGGCCTCTTTCCACAAGTTCAGGATGCTTTGTTTCGTTGCGGTGACACCCTGAAGCACGAATGTCTCGAAGGTCTTCATGGATCGTTTCAGCATGTGCTGATACTCCATCTCTTTCCGATTGTACTTCTCGTCATGCGTAGCCTTTCGCCAGGCCTTCATCATGGTCTCGAGTTGGAAGTGCACGACTGCACGGTCGATAATCTTCTGCTTGCTCTGCAGTCTGGCGCCAGCCTTGGAAGACCAATAGTTCACTTCGGAGATGCGGAGACCTGTTTGGAGCCTCGTCTTAGGTAGCATTTGAGATCTACTTTTGAGGCCACTCAATACAAAGGTACCTCCAGAGGAGAGCCTAAGAAGATATAATTGATGTTATTTTCTTGATGATATGTTAACGTGGTTAAGCACGAACCTAGTAGATAGACGAGTCTCTATCATCAATGACAGTGGTAGGTACGACAGGAGTCACTTCTACTTTATCATCTGCAGGAGAGAAAGCTTTCTACCTGCGTCGAAGAATCTCCTCGAAGCCACACTACAAGCAAAGTAGCAGATGCTAGCGATTTACAACTAGTCCTACTTGTATTAAAGAGAAAACTAAATATTATAAATATATAGTACCATGCAATTCGGCTTTGACATTCTCCAATACTGACTCGTGATCGCGCGATTGACTAGTGCTACTGACATGCGACTTCCACGTCCAAAAGGCTCCACTGAGACAGTAGCAGTTCTCCTTTGTGATCTCGTTGGCGTACTGTTGCAATCTTCCTAAGACACGTCTGGCCATTCCCTTAGTTTCCGCCACAGAGTCCTCAAGCCCTTTCTCCATAAGTTGGTTGGAAGTTTCGCGCTCCCAAGCGATGAAGCAGGTCTGTGGTGGTGGTGTGTTGTACTTCTTGGTTGTGAACAATGGAGTGCTCGTGGTGCTCGATGAAGAGAAAATGAAAATGAATCATGTATAAAAAGTTTCAAGATGTCGTTGATGTCGTTGTTGAGTACGAACTTCTGAATAGAAATAAAGGATCATCAAAAATTCCTCATAGACAGTTGCCGAAAAAAACAACTTCCCAACGTCCTCCCTCTCTATTAAGTACCTTCATCAAAACTTCCGGTGAGTCCCCGCTTAGCATGTTCCTTGTCTTTGCTAGTTTCCAGGATTTTTCGATCTGCTCCCTTCGCAATTCCATCTCCGCTTCGAGGCGCTTCTTTGCCAAGCCAGCCTGTGTCACTCTATGCCATTCCCGTATAATGTCGGTTGTAACAAACGTGCTTTGCTGTCCAAACAAATCGATCCCCATCCGACTCATCACCTTCATCGCACAAGTTCTGGCAAATTCTTCCGCTTTCCTGCCCCTCTCTTCGATGTAGTAAGCACGCCAATCGGAGAAAGCGTTGGCCAAAATCTTGAGAGAGTCCTTTTTGTCGACCAAAAGAGAAAGCGACTTCTTCTCTTTCAGCACTTTCTGTTGGTAGTCGAAAGCGACGTGACGCATACGCGCGTCACCCTTCGAGGCATTCACCTGGTTAACCCACAACGCGAAGACGCCTTGGCACAGCTCCTTGTTGCTCAAGTGAATATGCGCATTGGCAAGCAGGTCGTTGACGAAATACCCGTTGAATTCGTCCAGAGTGTGGCGAATCTCCAAGTCAAAATGCTCCAGATAAACACCAAGAGGGTCGGCGCCCAGATCGTCCACGGCGGACTGTTTCACTTTTTGGAAGTGCTCGTGGGTTTTGGGAGACAAATGATCTGCGCTAGTACAACCATGTTGATGGTGTGGTCTCACACTCGCTGCCGCACTTCCACCATATCCACCTCCTGCTCCTCGAGGGGATAAAGAGGACGATGTTGATCCTAGTACTTGCCTATGATTTCGCTGATAACTACTAGATCCCGGTCCATCCGCTGCCATCAGTCGCCTCTCAATAGCCGCATGCTGGTTGTTCGTTCTTCTATGTGTCACACTCAAATCTGTTGGCGGCACTTGGTAGTCACCCGCTCGTCTCCCTAGTCGGGTTGCGTCTCCTGCTCTCGGTGACAACGATCTCCCCGGCCCTAGTCGGGTTGCGTCTCCTGCTCTCGGTGACAACGATCTCCCCGGCAATCGGGTTGCCTCTGCACCTCTAGGACTGGAGAGGCCTCCTCTGCTAGCTGAACTAGTACTACCTGAGCAGGGTCCGACAGCACCTCCAGCACCACTTCTACTTTGTATAATCATCCTCTTTGCAGCAGGACTTGCTGTTGTACTAGATTTATTTTGGTGAGGAGTAGTTCTTGCAGCACTTGCTTTGGGTCCACCTCCACCTCCACGTCCACCTGTAGAAGTTGTACTAGATGTAGATGTAGTGGTTGTATAACGGAATGGACTCATCGCGGCAAAGGGAGATGAGCTTTGCACATACTGCGGTGAACGACTTCGAGAGTCGCTCTTTACGTCTTTCAGAGTGTCTAAATGCCGATCTACTGCCTGGTCTAGGCCATGGGCATACTCGTTCGCATGCAGCAGCGCAAGCGCATCGTTGGTGGGCAATGGAGAGACTGGCCGTGTGGCCGGCTCATGCTCCTGGTTTATTTGACCTCCACCACCTGAACCAACAGCTCGTGTACCAGAAGTGATAGTATCTTTACTACCACTCGCACTTCCAGCTCCTCGTCCACGTGGCGTGCCCATGTTGTTGGATGTCACTTCATCACTCTCTCCCAGCAAGTGGCCTTCTAGGTTGCGACGTCGCTGCTCACGCATTTCTAGCATCCTCTGCTGTTCTGCCAACACTTCCCCAATCAATTCCTCATTGGCGTGTGCGCCAGCCCTAGTCATCTGAGGAGATCGTCCTTGTGTGCTAGCAGAACGCATATTCATCTTTGAAGGCGAGGAAGTAGAAGCGGCTCCTCCTGATGCACCTCCAGATGGTAGCTTTCCCACGATCTTACCACTTGCAGTGACTATCATCCCTGGTGGTGCTCGTCCAGAGCCTTCCTTGTCGTCTCTGGACTTCGGTCTCTGCCTCACTAGAACTTGTGGCGGCACTTGTCCGGCTATCAGTCGCGCACTACGGTCTGCAACCCGTTTCGCCTTATCCGCTGCCGTGCGGCGCATGTCTAGACCACTGAATTTCTTAGCCGGATGCTCTCGCAGCAGCCTGTTCACGTTCAAGCTGGTTCGCCGCAAGTGACAGCTAGCCAAGTCCACGCCAGTCTTGCTGTCCACGATCAACGTGTTGTTGGCCCAAGAACGCTTTCTTGGGGAGAAGATGCTCTTTTTAGAGGTAGGTTTTTGGTGCTTGCTTACCCCGCTTGTTATGCCCTTCTCCCTTAGGAGAGGCATAAAAAGCGGTAAGAAAAGCACCTTTAACCTACCCTTAATCTTTCTAGCCACCATCACACGATTCAGAGCATCTAACTTCTGCTCCGCATCCGCAATTTCTCCTTCCTCCTTCGGCGGAACAGGGGTTTCACCCAAATCCGCATACTCTCCACCGTTCGCTGAGATTCCGTTGGTCGCCACGGCGTAGCCGATCACGTTCTTCGATAACGTTTCCAAGAATTAGACCTCACCCTTATCCATCTTGAGACGCATCCTGGGAGCTTTTTTCCTTGGATCAGCCTCTTCAGGATGCCTCAGAAGATGGATAAGGGTAAGCCTTAAAAGAACGAAGAAATCTTCTGGCCCAAGGATTTCATCCTCCGCAGAGCCCGCATCTCACGCATGTCCAATCGCCAAGACTCAAACGCCGTATGGGTCATCTTGTGGCTCCTTTGCCTGGAAAGGAACTCCTCAACACCAGCTAGACTCAATGCGTGCGCGGATTTGCATCTAGCGACCTTGTTGTGGTGGATCGTGTGCTTTTCCCACAACTTGAAGAACGTGTGCAAGTGGTGACCCGGGTTGAAGTACAAGTTCGCTCCGACCATGTTGTGCAATTGATGGTGGCGCTTGCGCAATTCGGTAACAGTTCTACGCTTCTTCTCACCTAGAGCTTCACAGCGCCAAGCACCGAAAACTAGTCGCATACCGCTTTCATGCAACTCACCTGATAGGTCTGTGACTTGTTTGTGTACGACGTTGTGACCAAGGCGAGTCCGATGTTCTAGCTGCGCTCGGAGTTTCTCTACCTTCATCTTCCCCACCACATTGTGCCACAATCGGAAGACGCAGTCTTTCAATTTTTCCTCATTATTAGAGGTTGCGACATTGCATTCTTCAGATCATCCCTGACCCTTTTCCTACTGGAAAAAAAGTCAAGGATGGTAGTGAAGAATGCAATTTGGTAACCCTTAACATTAGCGGCATCCAACTGAAACGCCATACGCTTTAGCGCTACTTCTTTGGTGTTCTGCAACTCAGCGGTGGCGCGTCCGTGGCGGCTCTCGCTCTTCCACGCGATAAAGACTCGACTCATTTCGCGACTCTCGTGTGCAGTGTGCGCTTTGGCGTGGAAGGTATCGCGCCATCTGCCGTGCTTGATTTGCAGTTGCCAGACGTGGAAAAAGCGGCCTAGAATGCCTTTCCGATTACGCTTGAGAATCAAAGGTCCGGTGGTTGTCCACGCGCGGTTCAACAGACTGTTCTTTTCCGCTTCTAAACGCTCTGCGCGTCCGTCATGCTTCATACCTCGCCAGATATGGAAGACCAGCCGCTTGATCAGGAGACGTTGGGGTGCTAAGGAATGCAAGTTCTTGTTGCGTGTAGATGAAGAGGACATCTTCTTTGTGTCAGGAGCTCCACCTAAAGACGATGTTGTGTGATGCAGACTCGCAGCATGGGGAATGTCCAATGTGATCATTTCTCCAAGGTGTTCGTCTCCGTGATGGTCGCCGTGCAAGGATGTTCTCACGACTACACGGCCAGCGGCGTGTGCAGGCGCAGAGGAAGCGCGATAGGACAAGCCAACACGCTTAGCTAACACGCGACGTCTGTGCAACAGAGCAGCTTCGTAACTGTGACTGTTGGCCTCATTGGGTGACCGTGTATGACTTCCATAGCGACGTCGCTTCTCATCCCGTTGATGTCGAGTTTGAATTTGAGGGTCAGCGGATGAACCTTTATTTTTGTAAGACCACTTCGCCTGGGAAGATGCACCTCCAGATGGAGAGACACTTCTAGTTTGACAACCACCTCTGGTTGTGGAGGGAGAGAAGTGCTTCGCCGAACGCGCCCTTTCGCGACGTTCCGTAGACACTGCTTTCGCACGTTCTTCGGCCGAACGCGCCCTTTCGCGACGATCCATGCGGTTCAACCGAGCGGTAACAGCAGCGGCCGCGTTCTTGTTCGCAGATGATGCTTTAGAGGTAGGTTTTTGGTGCTCGCTTACCCCGCTTTTTATGCCTTTCTCCCTTAGGAGAGGCATAAAAAGCGGTAAGAAAAGCACCTTTAACCTACCCTTAAATGCTGTTGTAGTCATTTTGTTCGCATATGAGTTCATCCCTGATGCTCCATTGAAATGAGCCTCATCATCCGCTGACGAATCTCCCGTTCCGGTTAGTGTGTAGTTCTTACCCTTATTTCTTCTTGAGGGTGGACTAAACGGTGAAGATGCACGAGGACCACCTCCTCCAGTCGACGACGTACTATCATCTTCATCATCATGGCCTGCACCACCTCTTCTGGGTGAAGAGTTGCGGACACTTCTTTCTCTTTGTGCTTCTTCGAAAAATGCTGCTTTTTGACGAGCAGTGGTGGTCACTGTTGTCTCATGCTGTTCCAATAGCTCCCTGACGTGATCCATGATAGAATCAGGCGTCACCTTGTTGCTGCTCTCTGGCAAAATGTTGCTTTCTGCAACTGCGTCCAAGATGAATTGATTTCGCTTCTCGGACATCACCAGCACTCGCCAGGCTGCGACGACTGCGCGAAGACGCTCTGCCCGTAGCCAACGACCCACTAAGCGGACTCTGGCTCGCCGAGCGCGATCTAGAGATCCAGTGTTTTGTTTCCAAGAGAGGAAGCATATCTTCAGCAGTTTCTCGCTCAGATGGATGCGCGAAGCCATTCTGCGCAGATAAATGTCGCGCTTCTTGTCGTAGGAATCAAATTTCTCAAAATTACACGCCACGTTCTTCAGCAAGCTGCTGTACTTCCAGCTCAAAAATCCCAACGCAAGCAACTGTTGTCGTTCCCGTCCGTGCGAACAACTGCTGAAAGTTACCGATTTGCGTCGCAACTGAATCGTCGCGATTTTAGCTTTCCATCGGAGGAAATAGAGCCTGGAATAATAGGCCTTCTGGAGTCTGGAGAAGCGATTCGCGTAGCGACTGAATTGCCGCTTGTCTTGTTCCTTGTTCTGAGCTCGCTTTGAGAGCCCACGCCAAGGAGCAAAGGTGCTCTGAAGAAGCTTGCGCTTCCTGCCCTTCACTTGCATGCGGAAGAGCCCAACCTGAAGGTGTGAGTGAAGATTTCTAGACTTCGCGAATGCGCCGAAAATTATAGTACATGGTAATAAAAATGGGCAATCAATGTTGATAAAAAAATGACAGTAGAAGACTACAAATACATTCAAAAAAGCAACAAGCAATGTTTCTGTTTGTACTAGACGAGCACATACTACTCGAAGAAGTACTTCTAAGTACCTCCAATCTCGTGTAGGCTTTTTCGGAGTCGTCTTTTGCGAGTTCATCCTTCTTCAATTGATCCAGCAAGGTGTCGCTTTCCAACGTTAAATGCTTCACTTTGTCTTCCATGTCAGCCCTGTCGACTCTAGCTGCTTCTGCGATCCTTCGTGCGTCCAAGGTTTCCAACAGAAGTTCCTCGCACTTTTTTTCCAATGTTGTAGACGATCTTTGCAATTGCCGATCGTTCGCTTCTCGCATTTCCGCCTGAAAGCGGCGTAGAGCCACGTTTTCTCGTTCGGTCGCGGACAATGCCTCACTCCTGTAGTTCAAGGCACGATCTGCTTCCCGTAGTTTCGACTCCAAAGAGAGCATGTGTTCGTTCTTGTTGTCCAGTTCGGCTTCCAATGCTGAAATCCTGGCTTGCATCTCCTGTTCCCGCAGTTGAAACGAGCGCGCAATATCTTGATCCCTCGACACTTGGGCTCTCAAATTGTCATTCGATGAAGCCAACAACTCCATATCAGCCTTCAAACTAGCCAAGCCAGCTTGTTCGCGGTTCTCGATCATCTTACACTTTTCGCGCACTTGATCCATCTGTTTGCACAACCTCGCGTTTTCTGCAAGTAGATTGCTGATTTGCTGAGACAGTTCAAGCTCGCGATCTGTGAAGTACTCTCTCGCCGCTTTCAATTCTTCAATTGCCGACATGTCGATCGGCCCTAAGCGGAATTCAGCACGGTTCCGTGGGGAGAGAATACGGGATAGAGGACCCGCAGTCGTGGTAGAAGACATTGCGCGATGATTAGCTGCGCTGTTAGAAGCTGGACGAGGTGACCTAGCTGCAGTCGTATTAAAAGAGACACTCGACATTTTTGCTCCACTTGATGTGTGACGACCGAAACGAGTGACCTGAGCTCCTGTTGTTGTAGCGGAATTTCCTACTGGTAAACCTGCTGCAGCTGGTGCGGTTGAAGGTAGGCCAGCAGGTGGAAGCTCCTGTGCAGGACCACTTGCCACGTTTGTAGCAGCACCTTCAGCACTGGGTCCAGCTCCAGCGTTACTTGCAGTGTTCTCCTCAGTATTGTTGTTCACCATCACCATGCTTATTGATCTTCAGTGTCTATGTTCTTATGACAAGTACGATCTTGATGACCTTAAGCTTTCCATGTACTTAGTTCATCTATAATCTCCTTAATAATATGACAACGAGAGTTGTAGTTGTACTTTAATAACTTACAATTCTTACGTAGTTCTTACAATTCTGTTGGAAGTACCTCTTACAATACTTATTTAGAAGAATATCGTCCCCCGACGCAGCTCACCCTCCTCGTCCCTAGCCTGAAGTATGTTTAGGTAGAGAGAAAATACTGGGGAACTGAAAGGAAATTTGAGCTAAAGATGGAGGAATGGGGGATAAAGAGAATGGTTAAATAGGATCATGTATGAGGAAGGTGGGAAAAAAAATGAAAGGGAGAGGATAAATAAGGGCTGTAAAAATTTGTGATGAGAGTCAAGAAGGAATGTCACCATTATCATACGGTGAGGTACAACACAAGTTTCTCTTTCTTCTTAATAGCTTGCTTGGCTTTGGAAAAAAGTAGGCAGATGAACATTGATCATAGATACACTCCTCACAGCTTTCGCCAAGTAAACTTCTCACACAGAGGCTCTGAAGCTTGACAGATCCTATCGGAAGCTAGGCTCCTCTCACGACAGCTCTATATTACCTCATTAAGAAGTACCTACACAATTCAGTAGACGGAAACGTTTCTCTCTAAGACAGATCGCCTCAAAGACAGATCTCCTTCACTGTTCTCGCATCAGGCTCCTTAAATAAATATATGACCTTGCTCATCTCTACTACTGGAACGTGCTGGATTTCCAAACTCAATAGAAAGCCCAACATCATCGCTCACACGCTCAGCAGACAGATCAGAAAGATTGGACAGAATGGGAATACGTATACATTCTCATTCTCACACCAGTTTACAGCTAGTCATTTCCCTCTCTTACTCTTGTTCATGATCCCACGACTATTTTGGCCGCATAGTCATAGCGTGAAGTCAGGGCGAAGGAGTTCTTAACGTTAGCGTTACTATAAGTGGATTTGATACTAGCGACTTCTTTGAAGGTGTTGATGTGTTTTTTATTTGGGTTTGGCGACGTACTAATACTATACAGGATTATTGTTCTCACGACACTGCAAAATGTTTCTTGTCGTGTTTCGGTTCTTGCGAACACACAACATTCTATAATACATAGTGTGCATCTCGTCCTACGGGTATTTATGCATAAGAGTGCAGCTCTTCCTTCTACTCAAATAACGACCTCACGACATCCCCATCACATCCGAGAAATCACGCGCTGCTTTTAATTCTTGATATTTCGCAGAATTTCCGCGAATTTCATCCGTCGACATGTTCCTCAGCTCTCTCGTTGCATCCTGGAAGGCCCTTCCTGATGGGCCAGATAGGTTCGCCTCTGATAGGACTTCCTCTGCTGTCAGGAGTTTTCCTCCGAGCGCCAGGGTGTTAGAACTAATGGTCGTTCTTTTCGTGGGAAAGGAAGCTGAAGCTGTTCTCATAGTAGTTACTGAGAGGCAATTACGACAATAAACAATAACAAATATTAAGATGAATTACAATTTCTTCAGCTACCCCTATTACAATTATCGACTTCATCGAGAGCCATAATCGTGATTCCCGTTTTTGCTCCACCTCCAATCACCATCCTATTCAAATTCGTCTTGCCAGCATCGCTAAAGTCTCCAAACAACTCCACTCCAATGCCAAGACCATTAGTGTTCGCATTCCCGAATTTGTCCTTCAAAAAATTGCGCATTTTCATCGCCTGAGTATCACCCGAGGCTTGCTCCTTCAACAAAAAGTCCAGGATCCTGTCGTTTTCTGAAATTTAGAAGTAGATGAGGTTGTAGAAACAGTAGAAGAAGAAGAAATCCTTCATGATTAGTACTAGAGGTGAAGCAGAAACCATCCATCCTGGTCCTGGTGGTTCTTGCGTCTGAGTGAAGCTTCCCTCATCAGCCTGGACCTAGAGGTAGAGTTACAACTAATGATTGTTGCATGTTGGGATACTATTGTTAGAGCTACCGCGCCCGCATCCCCGAGAACCTCCCTGGTCCCTTTTTCTCCTTGAAAAATGGGCCAAGTATGATGTTGAGGATGGTCCAGCGGTAGCCTTAATATTGGTATCCATCATGATTGTTCCATAGTTCTTACTGATGTATGATCTACACCTTCTACGCCCATAAAAATGGAACAACTAATGATCTACAACTTCTACGCCCATAAAAATGGAACAACTAATGATCTACAACTTCTACGCCCATAAAAATGAAACAACTAATGATCTACAACTTCTACGCCCATAAAAATTCTTCAAGTGCAGCAAATCCAAGCCGTTGAAAGCAGACGTCTCCGATGAGAGCAAAAGTTGCGCAACCTCCTGCTTCACGGAAGAAACATCATCTGGACAGGCTAGTGCTTGCTGTAAAACCGTTTCTCCCGACACATCGGTAACAAAGAAGCTGTCCTTTGACCCGGAACCAAAGCAGCTGGTGGCCGCCAGCTTCTTCAACAAGAATTTAACCACTTCTGGCTTTCTTGTTTTCATCGATGTTAGCTGTACTATTGTAGTCGAGGAACTATTTCTAGTAGAACTAGAGGACGTGGACGAGGCCGAACACGAAACAGCGAATTGCAACATATTCGCGCCAGTGTTACTACTGACCGGCTCATTCAAGATTTTCTTTCCATTCCATGCGCAAATTTGCTCGATTGTCTGCTCCACTTTTTTCAAATCAAATTCTTCCGTTGCTTGAGACAGCAGCGAATCGCGAAATAATTGCGGCCAGGGCTTTGCCAAGGGTAAGCCAATAGTCTCACCTGCTCCACCAGAAGAATTTTTGTTTTTCGGAAGTTTTTGCTTCCACTTTTCAAACACACTCACCAAATGATCCTTCACTTTATGTGAAAGCGTTGTGGCCTCTAGTACTGTTACTGGTGTAGTGGCAGCATCTTCATCTTCTGAACCTCCTCCATCGAGACCTAAGTATCCAAAGCCGTTCAACTTCCCGCTGACTGTTTCCTCCAAAGCTTCGATACATTTCTCTACATCCTCCTCGTGGAAAGAAAGTGTGCCATCTTCTGAAATGCTGCAGGATTGAGTTTGAAAATGTGCAAAGAAAAGCCGCATGGTCTCCTCGATGTGGCTAAAGGTGTATCCGGAGTTTTGTTCCGCGTCCTTTCCGCTAGTGCCGAGTTATGAAGAATGTCAATGTCTGAATGAATGAATGAATTTGCCTAGCGCGAGGTGATAGTTCTTGGTCTTTTTGCCATCTACTACTTTCAAAGACGGACCACCTTGGCTTCCCTTAGTGTGACTATTCATGAAAACAAGCTCCGCCCTTACTTAAGGGTCGTTGGACCGAGAACTACCAGAAGAAACTTATTCATCCATCCATAAGAATTGTGACTTGAGCATCTGCGCAGATACGTAGTAAGAGACCGCAAACTGCATGTGCGCACCTTTCTTCAATAGATGTTCCAGTAAGCGCAGTTGTAACTCGTGCGGCAATTTCGCGGAATTACATAACCGCTGGAGTAGCGTCTGCCCCGTAGAGGACGGGGAAGACTTGTTGTTCTTGTTCCTTGATGGTGCTGTACTAGTACTTCTTGTAGTACTTTGATTTGTAGAAGCAGTGATTTTGGAGGAGGACGCGGATCTAGTTGTACTTGCACTAGAACTGACATTCGCTTTTACGTCGATGTTGGGTGCGGGTAAAACACAGTCCAAGTCCAGCATCAGTGGTTGCGCGTACACATCGAAGAATTTTAACACTTCATCCAGAAGAAGCTTGTTCGCAGAAGAAGATGAGTTCTCTTTTACGTTGTAGTTTTCGATCTTTTCATGTAAAGCCCAAAATTTTTCCATTTTGTTTTGTAATTTCTCCGTACTCTCTACCAGCTTCTGCTGCTCTTCTGCCTGCTGCCCTTGCAACTGTTCTAAAAGCTGTTTCTGCGTGGAGGCATAGTTGCCGGAGCCAGCACCTCCACGTCCACCACCCGCATTCAAAGAGCGACTAGAAGATGAAGCTGCACTTGCGTTCCTTCCATGCCAGAAGCGGTTTTGTTCAACAACTGCATCTTCTTTCAACTTCTCCTGTGCCGCTTGCAGCAACCCCTCTGGAATATCGTACTCGGACGCTCTTTGGATGATGTCCAAACTGATAATTCTGCTTGCAGCTGACGAAGAACTTCCGGTTGTAGTATCTTCAGATATTGCTGATATGATTAGAGCTACTCGCGAGCTGCATGAGCTACCGAAACCAAATTATCGGCGTTAGTACGCATATTACTTTGCTGCATATTTCATGGATTTGGAGGGTGCATCTTCTTGTTCTTCTTCTCTAATACTACTAATAAGAGGAGCCTTATTTACTAATACTTCCACAACGAACTAATAAGTAGAGCCCATTCAACAACAACATGCCTTAACATAAGAATTTCCATCAGTTCCTCGATTTCTTCGACTCTATTCATCAACAACCGGTAGAGTCCCATATGCAACCTCTGTGTTAAATTCTTAGAGCCTTCGCAGCATCCCTTGGGAGCAGCTTGTTCTCTGGATCCCCTAAGGTGCTTGGTGGGATATTTTGAAACCTACTAGATTATCATGCGGGAAAAGGTAACTACCAACTTAAGTTTATAAGAAGTAGGAGTAGCGGTAATAAAATCAGCGGTGTACCCGCCATTCCCATTCACGAAGGGTGTGTAGAAATGAGGACAGTCTTCTAATTCTTGTGTCCAGAAATGCTGTGTGTCCAGCAATGCTGTGAAGGATGCGTGCGACGTAGTTGCCTTAAAATTTCTGTCCGGTAATACTTCGTCAGCGATTTTGTTGAGAAACTTCTTCATATACAGCAGTTCCGATTTCTTATCCTCCACTAGCTCCTGCAAGGTTTCGTTATAGTAGTCGATTGCATCCTCTTCCTCTTCCTCGTCAGCATCCGATCTTTAGATTTAGAGGAGCCACGGGTAGAGTCATCTTTACCTTGATGTTTATGCTTCTTGAATCTTCATCTTCTTTTGGGGCTGTTCATCTTCTTCTGGGGCTCTTCATCTTCGTTTGGGGCCTCCGCCTCAGCATTATCTCGTTGCAATATTTTTCCCAAGAACATTCTCTTTATAATTTTGTGAAAGTAGTACAAGGCATCTCTTTGCTATCTGAAGCCTGCCGTAATCTACTTCATCAGAGAAATTATTTCGATCCACCTCAGCCAGCACCGCAGCTGCGTCTCCTTCTTCAGGACGATTCTCATTATCATTCTCTTTCGCCATCGGCACTGTGTTCGAAGGGATCGACGGTCCCGTGCCAGAGGAAAACGGCGCTGCTTTTGACGAAAGTGTTAAAGCCACCGCGGTCGCATCTTCCTTGAGAGTTATATCTTCCTTGGGAGTCATTACGTATATATTTCCCCTTGAAAAAGAAGAAGAACCAAGGATCATGATGATAAGGACATGCTTCAGCGGTAGCCTTAACTTCGCTTTCGCTTTGGCTAGCAAAGTAGATGTTCCGCCAAGTCCACCTCCTGACTTAGACTTAGAAGCCCCCTTGGGCGGAACGTTGGCCCGGAAAGAGGACGTCGAGGAAGCCTTCATGATGATGATATCACTATAACATTGACTGGAAAGAGGACGAGGAAGCCTTCATGATGATGATATCATTATCCCCAGCAGTAGCTACTAGTCGGGGAGCTGTCAACGTCGACTAGTTGTATCTATTTCTATTTCTATTACCTACGGTATTGATTATGAAGCTATCAAATTTTGAACATGAAGTAGTTATATATAAAGAATCTATCATAGCTCTTGTCCGTTGAGGTGCGTCCGTGCAGGTGCAGGTTTTCCACCAATAAAGGCAGCTGTATAGAGTCTTAGGCTTTGGCTACGGTGGACTTGGGCGGGGGGATTCGCGAACTGTGCACTTGGGGCTTCCATTTCGCTATTTGGCTAAACCGGGGCTTTTGCTGCAGCCTCTCTCTCTCGGTTTGTCTCTCTCTCTAGTACTGTGGTCTCCCATCTTTCTCTGGACTAGAGGAAGGATCTTTGCTACAGATGATAAAGTTCTTGTAGACAAAGCGTCATCCTGCGTAACTTACGCATAAGGAGCGTATTGCAGACGATAATCGATTTCTCAGAGGCATTGGAAGTAATGAATGTGTCTCGATTTTGTTGTTCACCATGACCATCCCTCAGGGAGAGTTTCAGGGTGAAAAGCTTACAACGAACCACGACCAGCACGACCACGACTGGTTATTTCTATTTGAAGCCAGTTCTACTGCATTGAAGATGCTCCAGCATGATCCTACGATTAGGATTAGGAGGCGAAGATTGTTGAACGCGAAGTTTGTTTAGACAATGTTAGAAGTAAAAACTGGACGATTACATTTTGGAGTCGCCGAAGCCGACAATTCATACATCACCTTTCTAGACTTAGACTATACAAGAACTGCGATCAAGAATGCACTAAGAATAAGATCATCTTGTAGTTCCAGTACCAGTTACTAAAAACCAAAGGCAAAGATAAACACCCAAGATGAACCAAGACGAATCTATACACGAAAAAATGGTCAGTAGATATGAGAAACGATGACAAAGTATGTTACATGTTATCCCAACAGATTGAAGTTGCTCAAAGACAGAGCCCAGTTCTTGTATGTAGAGAGTGAGAATCTGATGAAACAGAATCTCAACATATTTATTTTTTTCAGATTATAAAAATAGGGTAAATCTCTAAAAATTTTTGTAGTAAATAGTTCAGGTTGAATTACTTACTTAGAAGACACAAGAAGGCGTCGTTAATAGTATTGTTCATTCAACATCATAAAGCATGCCATGAAGATATGATGTACTAGACCCTTTTTTACACATGACAAGGACTTCCTAGGTTCGAGAATCGCTATGCTCGAACAGGAACATGCTCTGTAATTCTTATGACTGATCATCCTATTTCTGCTGCATATGTGTAATGCTCATCATGATCTGCACACCAACAAAAATTACAATGGAATAAGTTCTTGCTACTTACATTCATTATAGTAAAACTTAATAACGACCTTAAAAAGGAGCGATATTTCCTGGTCCTCAAATATTTCTTGCAAGAACGACATGCATTATCCAGCTCACGGTGACGGTGGTCTATTCGATAGTCACGGTGACGGTGGCCTATTCGATAGTCACGGTGACGGTGGTCACGGCGGTTCGTGTCCACCTCCTCCTCCGTTCTCCTTTACTACTTACAAAAGTACAATCCACCTCCAGCAGACTGGTCCCTACTTACAACGACCCCTTATTAGCTGCGTAGATGATATCGACAGTACTAATTACAACCCCTTATTTTTAGTGTAGATGATATCGACAGCACTACTTATTCGATAAACTGAAATTTAAGCGAGTAACTACTTCGAATAAGCGAGATACTGAAACAAGAGCAACGTCATGGCTCTGCTATTTCAGTTGGCTACTCGGCTATTTTGAGCTTTCGATTACAACCCCTTGTTCGCGTAGATGAGATCGACAGTACTACTTACAACCCCTTATTCGCGTAGATGAAATCGACGGGGGTTCCATCCTTGTACTTCAAGTTTTGGAACTTTTCTTCGAGATCCTGAGGACTGAGTTCGAGGGTCTGCACGCCTAGTGCCAGACTGTACGGCAACGTCAGGTACATAGCTGCAGTAACGACGCCGACTTCTGCGACGATCGGAGCATTAGAGGAAGAAGACCACGTAGTTCTTGATGTTGCCTGATAAAAATAAATTCACTTTGAAGAAGATGAAGCGCATCTTTCTTGAGTTTGATCTTCTGTTCTCCCACCGCCCTTCTTGAAGAATAAAAACAAGTCAAAGAAAGATGAATTTGTGGAGGAAAGAAGAAGTCAAAGAAAGTATTGTGAAGTAAGCGAGTAACTACCTAAAATAAGCGAGATACTGAACAAGGAAGAGTAGCCTTGTCAAAGCTGCCTCCCTTATTTCAGTCAGTAACTCGGTTATTTTCAGTTTTCGAGTAGACAAAGAGAGGCCTCTGTCTTATTTATCAAGATTGATTTGTGGAAAGGAAGCCATAACAGCAGCACCACCAGGGATCAGCGGCCTAATGCCCATCATTACGATCGGAGGGAGCAGGAGAAAAGGAAGAGGCGTACACCAACCGCGGACGACACTGAAGTTGGAGATTGAGTGGAATTTTTCTTGTTGTCTATTCATTGACGCCTCCTGTATGGTTCTGGTATTTTTGGTATTGCCTGAATTTGATCATAAGGGTTCTCTTCTTGTTTTCCCTTATGATCAAATTCAGGCTATACCAAAAATACCGGAACCATTCACCTCCATTGACTACATTGATGCTCGAAAACTAATACCGAGAGTAGACAATGGGATGCTAGAATTGCAACATCAGCAGAAGAACTACAAGTTATAGTTATTACGAGTACGGTACTGCTACTAGTAGTACTGAGTCAGCAGCACCACCAGATGACAAAAAGTACTCCTAACAAGAACAAATAATAACAAATACTTAGTACATCCTTCTTCTAACAAGAACAAATAACAAATACTTACATGATCAAAAGCAAAACATCTGCCTATAATACAGTGTCTGCCAGACGCCTTCTGCGCCAGCCTTCGGGCTTAAGCCCAATTCTTTGCCATTCTTATCGAAAACTGGAACACCCGATCTCCACTCTTCCATACGTGTCGAGATCATATTAGCTGCGTTAGCTGTGCAGACAGCGACGTAGGGGATTGCGAGACCGAATGATTGCAGCACGGTATAGCGCTTGACAAGCATTGAGAGGCCGATAGCGACACCGACGGAAGACCTGAAGATGTTCTTAAGGTGTCGTAGACGGAGGTGACGTAGAAGACTGGAGGTGACGTAGGCGTTGATTTTCTTTGAGCAGTGAGTACCACATACATGTAACTCCTAAGAAACTACTTATAGATATCGGTGGAGCACACCTAACTAGAAAACAAAAAACCAAAAGAATCAAGTACTTATAGAGATAAGTAATTGAGTCATACCCACAAGCCAGCATGTAGCTTCCAAACAGTTTCGTGTTGTCGATGTCCGCGCCAGATCTGTTGGCGTAGTTGCATCCGACGTTTGCAGATTGGTTCAGCCATTGCCAAAACACGGTCTGCGAGATTGATCGGGGACCAAAAACCAACATGCCTGACGTGATCGGTACGTTTGCTGGTATTAGAGCGCAAAACATTTCGTTTCTTGCCTTCATTTCTTCGGAATCCTCAGAAGGAAACCCAAATAAATCGTATCGAGCCTTAATGGTACGTAAGCGCACATACGTCCTGGTAGAAACATCACCTCTCCCGTGACGGGGTGAATGGTTGCGTCCACGACTTTCTTAGCCTTCCAAAGGTCGAGAGTTTCTTGCTCCGTATAAGTTTTGCCCTTCTTCCAGTCGGAGGTTAGATGGGGAGAAGGATGTTCTTTTGGGTGTAGGATAATTTTTTGGGTGTTTGGTATCTATTGTGACGAGAAAAAAAAGGGCTTCGATGTATTTGGGTCAGGCTAATCATCATGGTGAGGCAATCGACGCAAGTATTTGTCATGTTCGTTGACGAATTAATATGCTCCTTATACTAGGCATTTTCTAACTATTCCGAATTCAAATCTACTATCAAGAAATGACATGATCCTAGGTCGTGTACACTGTACGTGTAGTAGTTCGAAGCATAACTTCAACATTTTCTGATATTGTTTCAACTCTTCATCCGTCACGAGTAGACTGCTGATATCCGTGATGTCCTTCATGTGCTTGACGCGGCCAAAGTAGGTCGTCAAGTCGTGACGGCATCCCTTGGGATCAAAACCCGGCACAGTCTCTTCAGCATCGAGTTGATCCAACAAGGCAGGTGCAGCAAGCAACAGCGTGCTTCCAGCCAGCAAGGCCTTGGCTCGGGAGGTGGACGAGGAGGAAGATTCTTCACCTGCTCCAGCCAGAGTCGTCGTGGTAGGATCACCTGTCGTACCGAAGTTCCGGAGACTAGTTCTTGACTGGGTGAACGCAGCACGACTAGGGGTCAAGCGCTGTGGTCTCCCAATGATCGCCTTTTGCACATGTAGTTGTACACCTCCTTTACGGTGTAGATGAGAAAAGGCTCTGTGAGCAGACATCATTTTTTTCTAATATGATCTTCTACTAAGTTTTACTAGTAGTTCAAAAATGTTCGTATCATGAAGTAAATTTCACTTAGAACAAGCAGAGGTAGAGCAACAAAAAATGGGAAGAAGATGAAGGTCGGGGACAGTAAGATCAATTGAAATTGAATGCTTATAATTTGCCCTATAATGCAGCAAGGTGGAGCGAGATGTTCGTTGTGCAAAGCAAAAATATTGGATTTAAGACAGGTATACGAGTGCAGTTGCCGTGATTGATGCGAGAATGATGTTTGAGTTTGTTATGGCTAATATTTCTAAGATGTTATCTGTGAATATGATCAGACTTACACGATATCAGAGTGAGAATCCACGACAAGGAATAAAATCGTTAAGAATGACAAAAAAAAAGCGGGATTGCAAGGGAAAGGAAAAATGTAGTAAATGAGCGCAACCAATTTTAGCCAAAAGAAGTACCTGAAGATGAAGCATTTATTTAGCCACGAAAATAAAGTAGAAGATAGATTATCTTCTATCCTGATGAATAAACTCACAATCACGAAATCTTCTTTGTTATATCACACTGGACAGAAATAAATTTGCGACAGAACAAAAACAAACCCAACCACCAGATGAAGCAGCATTTTTGGTATAATTTCACCGACATCCTCAACAATCACTTATGCACTCTCTCTTCACAGTCAAAGTACAGACACAGACAGAAATTCTATGTGTATGTGGTTGCAACAACGATCACCTCTGTCTCTGGATGTCTCTGGACAGACGAAAAACCTTCAACTTCTTGTACAGATGACAACTGACAACTTGGCGATCACCTTCATGTGCTCATCTCGTCAACTTTTGAGTTTGCCGGTTTGACAGAAGATCGAGATCATAGACCAAGAGGATCTTCAGCGCTTTTATATCTTGATCGTTTAGTTTCAGTCAGAAAGAACCTCATCTTCAAATTTAAAAACGAACTCCTGAAGAGCTGTCGTTTCTTATCTAGCAACGAGAAGCTGATGCTGTCGTTTCTTATCTTTTCTCGTCTTTGCTGTTGCTGACAAAAAAAAGGGCAGAAGTTCATATTCATCATGTGCAACTACTACATCTACATTTTTGCGTATTCCGAGATGCAGCGCTGTTTCGTTAGATGATGATGGATATCGTGCGTCTAGATACTTCATTGTCGTCCAGCGTCTATTAATAGATTGTACTTGATGTGAAGATTATTACTTAAATGATGTGCGCAAAATAGTACTTGGTATGAGAGTAACCATGACATTATTGGTTTTTCAAACCTGAGGTCCGATTCGCCGTCGCGGGACCTTGTTGTTCTCTGCTTACGCAGCAGAAACACATGCATGTGAATCCTCGAGGAACATGATGTTTGGGATATCAACATGTTCTTAGTGTAGTGTGGCGACCATCTCCTCGTTCCACCGGGATGGTAAAACAAAGAACCGCCCTTCCCCTCATTCTGAAGATGTATGATATTGAAATCCGCACTCATGGCAGCTTCTCCGCAGCTACGTCCTGATCAGCAATACGGCTCCAATATTGAACGTCACAAGCAGAAGAAAACATTTACTTCTTCTTCTTGGCCTTTTCTTTTTCCTCGTCCTTGGGTGGTGGCTTCACGAAAGGAATGAACTCCATTCCTGCCATAAAGGGGACCAACACACGGGGAACGCGGATACCTCAAGGTCGTTGGAGGTGGGGGTTTCAGGTGGTTTCAGGTGGTTTGACGGGTAGTATGTTTTATTTCATGATGTTATTTCTTGAAGAACGATTCCAGTACCTTACAGCAACAAGTAGAAGTAGATCATGAGTCACCAATCGAAGATATTAGTGTCAGCTCCAAGAATAGCATCAAATTCAAATAGAATAAAAAATACCTTCTTTGGTCTGGTAGTTCTCCAATAGGCAGCACATGCATCGCTGAGTCGCCACAAGAGTAGAGTTAAGCATATGAGGAAATTGTTGGTCAGTTCCGTGGCCAGCACGTGTGTCCATCCGTCTAGACTGAAAGTCAAGGCAGTTGGAAGCAGAGACCAACTCTCTGTACTTTCCCTTGCCATCATCGTCACCTGGAAACCAAGCCTCGAGGTCGTACCTATTTGCAGTTGTGGGTTGTGGGGAGTGAGACTACTTCTCACTGGTAGAGGATCCTCGTGGAGCAGGTCGGTTTTTCTTTTTAGCCAAGCTTTTGATTTGATTCTAGTAAGATAGAAAGTTGAGCTTAAAAATAAAATCTGAAATCCAACAACTACACATAAAAACAAGTACTTCTTGCTCGCCGCGTCGTTGATTTCTCCCGAGACGATGTTGACGACTCGATATGGGAATTCCAAGCTCTGGTAGAAGCGTTCTGACGTTTCCCTGATCTTTTCGTGCTCTGCTTTGGACTTTTCTTCGTCAACGATGCAGAATTGTTCGACCTTCTCGAATTGATGGCATCTAAAGATTCCGCGAATATCCCGACCGCTGGACCCCGCTTCCTTACGGAAACAAGACGAGATGCCGCCAAATCGGATGGGCAGAGTGTGCTTGTCGATGACTTTACTGCGGTACAGAGCTGTGATAGGCTGTTCACTGGTGGCGATCAAGTACCGGTCGAGGTCTGGGTGGTCTGGCCCTTCAGTCACCTTGTACAGGACATCATCGTAGTCCTTCAGTTCGGCGGCTTGGGCCATGACGCTCTGCTTCATCATGAAAGGAGGCTGGATCGGCATGTAACCTGTATAACGAAGATGAAGTAGTGGTAGAGTGTTGCACGAGTAGTGGTGTTGTCATCAACTGTGTGTTGAAGATGAAGTAGTGGTAGCACAAGTAGGAAAGGTTTTAGTTTAATGGAAAGAGCAGAAGTGTTAGGAGAAGCTGCTTATAGAGGAATTTTCATACATGACGTTGCAATCATACAGCATCCACCTCCCACTAAAAAATCACTTTTAAAAGTATAAGTATTACCTTCTCTCATCAAAAACGCGATTCCGTAGTTGATTAGAGCCTGGTTTAAGAGGACCGCTGGCCCAGTCAAGAAGTATCCTCGAGAACCGAAAACGTCGCGTCCAGCTTCAAAGTTGATGCCACCGATCATCTCAATCAATTCAAAATGAGGTCGGAAGCCGTCAGTCTGGTATCTGTTTTTTGATGGTTTTGGTTGGTTGGGTGGTCGTGTTGGTAGTGGTTGGTCGTGTTGGTAGTGGTTGGTCGTGTTGGTAGTGGTTGGTCGGTTGGAGAGCACCAGTAGGGTGGAAGTAGTCAGGAGAAGTTTAACATCCTTAGTTGTTACTTGTTAGTACTTACACTAAAAAGCTTTAAATGATCGATGGTACTATTGTTTCGGAAAATCTGTAGTTTCATCTGTTTTTTCCATCAGCTTGTTCCAGAAGTTAGTAACAGTATCAAGTACAATGACAAGTTTGCTATGGTATGATCTGAAGCTGATGACCCTAAAGTAACCAAGAAGTAGACCCTAAAGTAACTATTTGTCATCATGATCGTGAAGGCTTAAGTACGGCACTCCGAAGTTCGGTGGGACGCCCCATGTAGCGACGATTTCATTGTCTTTGTCTTCGTCCTTGGACACTGGCACAGAGTCGTCGAGGATGTTACCTAGTATTTTTTGTTTCCTCTCACATGGTTGAGCAAGAGATGCAAAATCTAAAGCAGAAGTTCTAGTATTTGCTATTGATAACAGAACAAGTGCAGGAGATGCAAAATCTAAAGCAGAAGGTCTAGTATTTGCGATTGACCACCTCTACTACATCTACTTCTAGGATTACAGACTCCTTCGCTTACCAATCTTCCCCAGGACGTCATCCCTCTCCACCAGGAGGTTTTTTGCGTCTTCTTCCAAACCTTTGACCGCAGACTCAATCTTCTCCTTTTCGGCAACCTCCTCTGTGCAGGGATCCTGCCCTTTGCTAGCGGTCTTTTTGTCCTTGATCCTCTTTTGGACTGCGTTTACCTGTATTGGGGGAGGGAGGAGAAGAAGTGCTGACTAAGTCATAGGATAGTTTGTAATTCTAGCGAGTAGCAGACGGAAATCCAAGAAGAATTATGGACGTTACTTAGCGTTCAGAACTTATTGCAAAAATTCAAATTGTATCTTTCAAACTTCGGAAGATCTGCTTTCATCACAGTTGTCACAACTAAGTACTTACTTGAATCTCTACTACTTACCTCTTTTTTTTTCTGTTCCATATCATATTGCTTCGCGACCCAAGCCTTATCCAAGGCGATCACTTTGTCTACGATTGCCGGGTCTCGGAAACGCCTCCTCTCAGATTCCCGCACCTTCTCTGGATCGCCACCCTTGTTCTCACGCAAGAGATTGATATCAATCGTCATTTTCCGGTATTGAGGATGGTGAAGGGAAATGGAAGATGTTCTTGAAGAAAGAAATGGGAAAGTAGCTTGGATAGTACGATGGTTGGCACAAAGACCCAAAATTGTGTCGAAAAATGTGGAAAATTTAGAAAAACGAAAATCGTTATTCCGAACTAGAACTTTGATGCAAAGTATAGTTGTAGTTGTAGTTGTAGTGCTGTGCTGGAGTGTTGTGTGATTCAGAGGATGAGATATGATGTTGCGTCAGAATTATATGGCGCTGTTGAGCAATGATTTCACATTGAACTTCTGAAGTTCATGGACTCCGATAATTTTTCTTTGTTTCATTATAATGTGAGAGTTAAGAAGGCCAAAGACTTGTTGAATATCATCCTCTGAAATTTTCAGACAGCAAAGGAGGCGCACTCTTTCCTGGGAAGGACCGTTTTCCATTCAAGGATCATGATCATGAAGTTTTGATCCTGATCAATAGTTGTTATGGAACGTTTTTCTTTCATCAGAGTTTTTAGAAGCAGTTGTCTGCAAGAGTGGATGACGTGGATCCATGCTAGTACATCTGCCAAGACAAAGACAGAATGTTGAGCATCTTCTAGGCAGTAGAAGAGAACATGAGAAAACAATTTTTCGCTCCAACACGATTTAGTTGTGGAAGCAGAAACAGTGCTCTGCGCAGAGGCAAACTCGCCTAGCCAGAAGCAAGACCGAGATTGAGATTCTTGTTGTTGAGGTTATTTTATTTCCAAAAATTTGTTGAACAGCATTTCTTCAGCTCTGATTCCAAAATCTATAGTGAATCCCGATTACCATTCCTACCATATACAACACCGCTACACCGACTAGGGAGACAAATGTCTGAAACTCTTTCATATTCCCAGAACCAATACACTTGCCTGTCCATGGACAGTGGTGGTCATATCCTTGGATACAGGTGTCGCAAAACTCGCAATGTAGAGTGCCAGAGTCCTGTACAACGTCGCAAGCGTTACAAAATCGATCGCCAGAGGAAGGGATTAGAAGAGGAGGTTATTTGCAGACTGAGTAGGATAAAAATAGAAAGTTGCCTTTTTCTTGAAGTTGTGGATTGCATGGCATGGATGACAAGCATGGCATGGATGGACCATCCCCAAAAAAATCCCAAAAACCGATAATAATGAGGTACGCAAGTCCAAGAACTGGAAACAAGATCAATGACACTGATCAAAATTTTTTTCTGCACATGCACTGTCTTTCTATTAGTGAGTGGCTCCGATATTTGGTACTAGCCTTCGTTGGATCATGAGGAAAAGAAGAAGGGGATCCTTGTGATCGAATTCAGGCTACCAAATACCAGAGCCATCCAGTCAAAAAGTCGTGTTTGTAGTATCCGGAGTCATAAGGGAATATACTGGGCTCGAGTCGGTGCTCGCCGTAGAGGTGGTGGTACTGGAGAAGGCAGTTGATCTGGAGAAGGCAGTGGATCTGGAGAAGGCAGTTGATGACTAGAGGTAGAAGATAACGCAGGTCCTGTACCTTCTTCCACTCTGGTGATCCTTCTAACCGTGAAAAATCTCGAGAAGCACTCGTGTTGGAGTTCGACCATTTCTGGTGGGCAGAGGATGTGGCTTCGGCCAAAACTTGGCCTATTTTTCGCATGCCGATAGACGCCGCAGTCTTTGAACACTGTTTTCAGGAACATGAATTGCACCAGAGCAACCAAAGACCACCACCAAATCGTGTGCCATTTTAGGTACGCTAACACAGGCTGCGCGACATCGTTGTGGAGATTTAATAATTGAGGAGCTCTTGATGTCAGGAGTGCTGCTCCTGCTGGATGTAGTTGTTGTGCTGGAGTTGTAGTATGTTGCTGCCTGCTCGTCAACGCCGTAGAAGAAGGTAGTCCTCCAGTACTACTCATCTGGCCAGTAGGAACTGCCATCGGCTGCACAGGTTTCTGAACCAGTCGCCACCCGCACATGATCGAGGCATAGAAATGATACGCCAAAGCAGGCATCATACAGAACAGAACGATGGAAAACCCCCAGTTAGGTCCTATGAATAGCGTGTCCTTGTAGACCCAAATTTTCCCGTAGTTGCTCCATCTGGGAGGCGGTGGCTGGGAGGAAGAGGAACTGAATCGACTTCTACGACCTGCTCCTCCTGTTCTCCTATTGCCAGAAGTAGATGGCACTTCTCCATAGCCTCGAGTCCGCCCTCTGCGTCCCCTACTCGAAGATCCTGCTACACCTGAATTTCTACAACTAGGACGTCGTCTTCTCCTGTTCTGGAAGAATATCCTCGTACAGGGTACGAGGCAACACAAGATCTGTTCGACCAAAGACGGTCGATCTCTATTGCCGGTTCCTTCCTCAGAAGATGTTGAATCATGATCATCTACTTCTGAGGACACCGATTGTCCATCTTCATTATCATGTCCGCTAGCATTGTCTGCTCCTCGATCATGATGCCCATTCTCTTGGTGCTCTCGAAGTTCTTGTCCTTCCAGCTTTCCGACAATCTCCACAAGCTCTGTCGAAGGGTGACCCAAAGCCGTGGAAGCATTTTTCTCGTTGTTTGAAGAGACGGCGATAACATCTTTTTCGTTTTTGTCATCTCTGGAAGCCGAAGCAGAGGAAGATACTTCTTGATGATGCATCTGATTTTGTAGAAGGGCTTTTACGTTTACCTTGTTCCTTCATCAAATAAGTTCTTGGCATTACCAAGATGGAGCAATACCAATAGCACATCATCAGTAGAAGTGATGCCTGGATCTTCTGATCGAATATCTCATGTGACTGAGGAAAGGGACAATCGAACATCAGAAGTCTGTCCACTATGTGGCCTTTGGACTTTTTGCTTTCATCGTCCGAAAGATTATCATGGTCCCCTCAAAGGCTGTGGTCTAGGTGCTCCTTGTCCGCGTTTGCACTTTCTTGGACTCTTTCTCTTTCTTATCACAAGATGAATGTGAATGCACACATCTTTAGCATCATGATCTCCAATGAAAACTCCAAGTGTAAATGTTGTCGAGCTAAGGCTACTAGCTACCTGATATTACTGTCATCAATTGCGTGGACATTTACATACTTACAGTGATATCTGAAGCAGAATCCTCCTGCGCAAAGGCACCCTCCTGCATGGTCTTGTATAGGGAGCATTCACATCCTCCTGCGCAAAGGCACCCTGACCGGATTTTTACCTTCAAATGGCGGGCACGGACACCCAGGGATATCCAAGCAACAAACTACACGCCTCGAGAACTTATGAAATTGTTCATCTTCTCCAAGCTCATCTTCACTCCCTCTTGCCTCCCATGCTTCGGCATTAGCTATGTCGTGAACACGCGACTCGAACAGTGTAGCTTTTTTAGAGCTTCTGCTAGCTTGGTGTTCTAAAAAATTCGTAATAAATCGTAGGAATTCGTAACTCTGTACTACTTTTCGTACGTGAGAGAAGTGCTCGTGGTCGTGCTCGTGCCAATAGAGAAAGAGATAATAGTAACATCAGTCCGAATCCGAAAACTTATCTTATCATAATCATTGAGTTCTTTGTGATTGCAGCCTTATCTACATCAGCCCTACGATTATCGCTGCATTCGTTCCTTCGGTTTAACAGCTGGGCCCGCAAGAGCTTTCTCATCTGCGCTGTGCAGGCCTGTACGCGCAGCCATCTCGCTTCCTCATCGCTCAAGATGCGAAGTTAGAATTTGAGAGTGAGCGGCACGACTAGTGCTGGAAAGCGACTGTAGTTTATGATCAACAGGGAAATAGCGCATCAAAACCACTCCTCGAGAAGAGTCTCCAGTATTCTCAAACATAGAATTTGAAAAAAAAAAAAAACGTGTCCGCTGAAGGAGTAGATGAGCATTCCATCTCGTACAAAGGGGGACGAGTCAGCGCCTTGTGCCAGTAGCGTTTAGGTACTTCGATTTCAAACTGCTCCAAGTTTCTCGGCCAGCCTGCTCTTATGTTAGAGCTACCGCGTTCGCTTCCCTGCGTCCATCCCTGGCTTCTTTTCCAAGTAGAAGAAGAGCCAGGGACGGATGGTACTGTGGATGCTCTAACACTAACGGTAGCCTTAATCATGACTTCCTTCTCGAGATGGAGTGCGGCTTCTGACATATCCTCTTCGCGCTGCGGCTCTTCTTGCTTCTTTTCGAATTTATTTCCACCCGCGGTCGTGTCTAACCAGAAAATTAGATGGCAGATTGATTCATGCGAGGCCTAAAAATTTATAACTTCAACTTGTTCTATCAACTTCAACCTGTTCGATCATAGCAATAGGATAGGAATCTGATGCTCGCCTACGGAGAGGACAGAGGTGAGCATTCAGATTCATGTACTAGAGGACAACAAGTCTTAACATATCATCAACTTCTGCTGCCTATCATCTTAGAAATAGAGACATTAGAGAGCAAGCCTTAACATATAGCGACCTTCGCCGTCGTAAGTTAGAACTGACTCTCCAAACTCGACGCACCCGTCATCCAGAAGCCGAAAAATTCCTCCACCCCCCTCGGGTTTTCTAAATTCGAGTGGTGAACAGAGTAGAACTCCTACAACTGTATGGTTCTGGTATTTGGTAACCTGAGTTTGATCCTAAAGGTTCTCTTCTTGTTTTCCCTTAGGATCAAATTCAGGTTACCAAATACCAGAACCATTCAACAACTCCTGCTTTCATTTCGATTTCCTAAGTGAGAATGATCTAAGTAGCAGTGGTTATTTTTATCTGTCATCTATGTAAGTATTTTATAATTTAGTTTGTTCGCTTACACATGATCGGTGCAAGATATCAAAGGACACAGGGATGAGTGTTGCAGCAGGTCGTGGACACACAATGGCAAAACCGAACGAATAGTTACTACTTGTATCTTCTGTGGACGAGGAAGGATATGAATTTCAATTTCAAGTACTTCTTCTAGCTACTTATCACGTACTTCTACTTAGTAGCAGTTGATGACGAGCCTTACCTAAAATGTTGACAGAAAATCTTCATGAAGCATTGAATGTTGACCGCATGAAATCCATTTTCCGCTCGAAGCCTCACCTCTCGCAGGTTCTCCGGTCGCCAGGCTTTGCGTTCTAAAGCAAGAACAATCCGCCAACTCTCAAGGATCGAATCACCCATACCCCAATGCCCAAACGATTTGCGGGTCACATTGTGCAAGTACCACGATACCAAACTTCGAGTGTCTGTGTGATTGTTCGGGCTGTCGTTCTCATCCTCATCGCGAAGAAAATATCGTATCTTTTTCGACGTCTGGCAGAGCGCGCCTGTTCCTGCTTGGGTTAGGAAAGGCAAAACCAGGTTCAAAACGTCAATCAGTTCTTCTTCGGCAGGACCACGAGCTACCGTATTTTGTTTTGAAACTCTTACACGCCGAAGAGGAGAACCGTCTTCTTGTTCATCTACCTCATGATCTGGTGCGCGCTTACTCGGGTTCGTCACAGCTTCGATCTCAGCTGCTTGCGCAGTAGTCGCAGAACTAGAAGAAGCACTGCTGGTGTTGGTCATTTCTTAAAAGATTTGAAATTATACTACAATCATGGGTACTTAGTTGTTGTTTGCTCTGTTTACGATGACAGTTCTCCTTGATTTTATAGTACCGAATTATACCTCCATTTTCGTAACAGCTAATGTGGTTCGCGACCCGAGTTTATCGGTTAGCGAGTATCAATCCGCCTATCCTTTTTTTGCCAAATTTCTTCTAGCCTCTAAGTCGTAAACGAACACAGCAATCTTCATCGATGATCATCAACAAAGTCAGTCTTCGTTCTTGTTCTGTCGTGATGTTCTTTGTTGCACTACCCCACGACCCTGTACAAACTACATGTGGTTTTGTTTGCTCCAATGGTCTTGTTTGCTCCAATACGAGGAATACAAGAAATGGATACATGAAAAGAATCATTCGATCATTATGTTTAGGAGTCATCGATTTAACTATCGAGTGAGTAATCTCTATCTTTCTGTGTAAAAATTGATTAGAACAAGTCAGCATAGTAATAGAGGACCAGTGGCGCTGGTCTGCGTTTACGATTCTATGTATAGATTTTTTCTCAACATTGTTTGATGCTGAAAACTACTACGACTAAAGGGAGCCGTAGTTTTACATAAGTCTGTATTTCATCCTGTGGCCTGTACAACTCAACACTAAAAGCACCCGGAGTAGATGAAATACACTACCTCAATGTTATGGCTCAAGGTTTGGTGTGGTAGAACCTCAAACACTATCAGATGGAATATCTAAGTAAGTAACCCAGCTCCAGAAGATTAGATTTATTTCAATTAGACAGATAAAGCAAGGCAAGGTAAAAATGCAAAAAAAATAAGCGATCCAAGCAGGGGTGTTGTTGATTCTACTTGGGCACCAGTTCTACCGTGACCGTCACCTCCTCACATAGAACAATACATATGCTGAGGAATCAGAAGACGTGTCCTCCGATTGTCTCGTGGGTATCGCCGTAGAGTCGCTGATATTCGCCCAATTTTCATTTCTGACACAACCCAATCTGACACACGCCGTGTAATGGCCACCGCTCATCGATCCTGCGTGTTGCGACACACCTACCAGGTCGTAGATGTACCGGTTGCTATTGGATCTCCCTCGTCTTCTAGGTGGTCCCATTGACATCCTGGACGCAGATTGTCTCTCCGATTCTCGTTGCTCATCTTCCTCGCTTGTCCCACCACCTATGAAAGCACTTAGCGACTGTGTTGGGACTACTGAACTTCGACCTACGTTTTTCCAGCTTGTTCCGCTAATACCTCGATCCAAATTATTGTCGTTCTTGTACTTTCCCACGGGAGACATGGTCGAGTCCATCAACATCCCGTCTTCGTTCTCGACATTTCCAATATCAAAAACACTCCCTACTCGACTACCAACCGTCGGATTCGCTTCTACGAACTCGCCTATGTCTAGACCGCGTAGTGGGAAATGAACGTTGACGTCTAATTTCCTCCTTGACATCCACGAAAACCGTTTTAGGTGTATAACTAAAACCTGTGGTGGCTTGTAAATGCCCATGCGCTTCGAGATGTGCTGAGTGCGCTTGCAGTTTTCGCACTTGTAATCTTCGACATCGAGCTTTTCCCGGTCCGTGAATTCGCGCAGGCAGTCGGTGAGGGTGATCTGTTTTGGTGCCGTTGGTGTTGTTTGACATTGCTGATGGATGATCACTAGATACATTGATGATGCATGATGAGTGAATGAGTGAATGAATGAATGAATGAATGTGCCTAGCAGGAGAATGAATGAGGAATGAATGATGGATGGATGATCATCATCAGACATCCAAGACGAGTAGTACTTACATGCAAGTTCATAGATAGATAGCGGTCGTGTTGATAGTTTAGCCAGCCAATTCATCGATACGAATACGATAATTAAGCTTAAATAATATCTTTTTTAGTACATCCCGTATGCTGCTAACTCGATTCGTCGGGACAGGCAAACTCAAATCCAGGAACGTGTCAAAAGCCCAACTGGCGTGACCACAGATGTGACAGTATGTTTCGTTGAAGAGCTGTCCGCCAAAGATGTCGGTTATTACGCTATTCCCCGTAGACATAGAATAGCTCCACCATCTCATGGCTGCCTCGTCGAGGGATTCGCCTGATGGAAAAATGATGTTGACAGAAGTACTGTAGGTATAGGCGTATGCTCGAGAGGATACCTTATATACCAAATATACTTATGATACAGTTTTTTTAGATGATACAGTTTCAATTATTAGAGGTTCGTCGTAATATTTGGGAACTCGTCTGCATCTGCAGGACGAGCCTTGAATTTGAACATCATCAAGTTGATCATGTTGACAACATGTTTAGATTTACTAAACAACAGTGACCACGAAGTTGAACAAGTACCTTTCTTATCCTGCAATTCCACGTACTTTGGTTTTATTCGCACTCTGTTCAAATCCTCATGCAGCCCATCCAGCAAAAACCTCATAGCTTCGTGCGCATCTTGCTGATTGTACCCACTGAACTGTGGCGCGAATTTTATCATCACTTGCCTTACCGCAGCTGGATTCAGGCATTGGCCTCCACTGGCTGCAAGTGCCTCATCCATGAAGGCCTTGAATTCTTGAGCCAATTGACCTCCCGTACCGTTTAAGCTCCTCGCACCAGTAGATGCGCCACTGCAAATATCCGATGGGGAGAACTTTTCTTTGAAATACAAAGCTAAAGGGGGCACAGAAACCAGACACTGGAGGATACTGTTCAGAAAACAGGTGTTTCCGAGGTTTCGCAAGCCGAACATTTCGCGTGTGTAGTTCTGGTTCATGACATGTAATTGCTGCATGCGTTTGGACGACATGCTTATCCTGCCTGGAGAGGGAACCCCAGGTGAACTAATATTCTTCGATAGCATGGTCGTAGTCGTCGTGGCTTTCTTATGATCCTTGTTGGTTGCGTCTTTGGAGGTTGTAGCGGAACCATTAGAGGTAGGTTTTTGGTGCTCGCTTACCCCGCTTGTTCTGCCTTTCTCCCTTAGGAGAGGCATAAAAAGCGGTAAGAAAAGCACCTTTAACCTACCCTTAAAACCAGAAGCTGCAATACTATTATCGTTCGTGGGTCGTGCCAAACTCGCCGTGGTACTACCACTTGTCGTGCTTATGCTGGCTAAACTCCGGTTGCTTCCCACTGAAGATGTCTTAGCTTCCTGTTGTTCGAGGTCCGTACAGTCGTACTCGTTGCGCTCTTTGATGGTTGCGGCGCCAAGGAACTTTGCGAAGCCTTGTTTACAACTGAAGAAGAAGAGCGCTTTTTAAAGCTCAGCCTTCAGTGGTCGCTTTCCCCTTTCAAAGCTCTCCCCTTCAAAGCTCTCCCCTTTCCCTTCGTTTTCCCCTGTTCTCTAAAGCGGCCGCTTCTTCGATCTCAGTGACCAACCCCAAAGACCATTGAAAGCTGAGCCTTAATCTTTGCTTCTGAAGTTCCACTTCCAGGTCCTGCTATTAATGCGCCGATCTTATTCACAACCTGCTTGTTCCCACTGCTTGAAGTAGATCCTATTCTAGCTGCTCCAATTTTCGTTGGTGACGGTGAATTTTCTACTGCATTAGGTGTACTATTTTCCGTAGCAGGTGCATCGCCCATTTTCCTCAAGGACCTGCTAGTACTTCCGGCATTAATAGACGAGGTTACAACACCACCTGAAACACGCATGATCTTCCTGAATAGCCTAATATACTTATTTCACTATTATTTGAAGTTGAAGATGAAGATGAAAACTCTGACATAAAACCAAATACAGATTGAACTGAAGTTGAAGAGTCAAAATCAATGTTAATATGGAACGAAGACAACGACATCATGGGATTAGTCAAGCACAACGACATCATTTGGAAGAACTACTACGTACTACATAGACGAGAGAAAGGATAAGATGATAAAACCAATGAATGGAATCAAAATCTCAACAATTTATGGCGGGCTTCCCCACTAAGTCACTTTATGGAAGATCACCTGATCTGCTCATGATGCTTTGCGCGACTATTTATTATGTTGAAAGTAGAAATCTTTTGAAAAACCAAAATGAAAATCTTTTTCAAAATCATACAGTACTAGGAGGACTTTGCATCCTTTTAGGTAGAAAGATGCTCTCCCCAGAAGCTGTTTCAAAAAAGCCAGACAGAATGGTCATCATGAATAGACCGTCCGCACAGACACGGGTAGGAAGCTGATCAGAATTCACTCGTCAACCTGCTCTCGGCACAGATTGATGCTGCAGATATTTTCTTCAGAGAAAAACTGTATCTATATGACTCAGACTCTATCAACATCCTCGCGTCTGACAGATTCATCCGAGAAAACTGTGTCTTGGTCTTGGTACTCGTCAGAGTAAAGAAGCGTGGTCTCTCAAACAAACCGAACAATACACGTAGTGATTGAGCAACAGTGCGATTGGATCAAGCATGATGTTGGTCTCAAGCTCAACTGTGTAGATAGAACATAGAAACGAACACAAAATTTTGTGTCTTGTTGTGCCTACTCGTGTAAGCATTACACATGGTGTCCTTATACATAGTACTTTTCCAAACCTCATGATCATCCTAATCGCTCCTCAAAAGATAGCGCTTCTTGTTTTGCTTGATTGCAGTCGTGATATCTTTATTTTACACTTATTGAGAGGTTACTTTCGTTGTTTGCGTTGTGAAGAACCTAGAGCACAGTTCACCACTGTAGCGGACCATCCGTCTTGACTAGACTAAGTTGGAGCCAGATCTAGATGTAGTTGCAGGATCTGAGCTAGTAGTTTACAAGAATTCGTCAGCAGGCTCGTCAGCAGGGATATATTAAGTTCTTATTGAGATTTATTTACGAGAAAAAAATACTAGTTGTTGAGGCTGAAGAACCCACACGTACACCTTTCAACAACTGCATAAATTCAAACTTCTTAGACCAAAGCAGGAGACATCGCAAATGCATCCGCTTCTCGAAATGCTTTGATTACGTAGAAGCGGCATCTCAAGTCCTGGGAGATGGAAAGGACGCCTCCACAGTTGTCGAATTCCCCACAGTAATTTGGAGCCGAGAAGATGGTAACGAGTCTCCGCTCAGCGAAAAACTCGTATCCGTCTTGGACAACCTGTGAGTTCTCCTATGTATGAGTTGTAAAGGATGGGGTGAAAATGTTTTTAAGACGAGGATCGCATTTTTAATCTTTCTGGATGTGCTGTAGGTCGTACATGGGTTCTTCTCGACGGAATCAACTATTCGATAAACTGAAATAAGCGAGTAACTAGGCAAAATAAGGGAGATACTGAAAGAAGAGGAATGTAGTCAAGACTCTCTTATTTCAGTCAGTAACTCGCTTATTTTGAGTTTTCGATTAGAACTAGTACGAGTAGATCCGGAGCTAAAAGAAAAATAAAGAATCACCTGGTGCGCTCTGACTATCAAGTCAATTTCGAGTCTATCGCAGATCTGCTCCACGATGTCGGTTCCGAAGGTTAACGATATCCCCCTGTCGTTGGGCGCCCATCCTTCAGTCCCTTGCTCTGGGTCGGACCACAGCAAATCACAGAGCAATCCTTCTCCAGGGACGGCGGTTGGTCGTGGTATCTTTCGAATCAAATCCAAGGCAGCTTCTCGAGCAACACCACGACCAGCAACTTGCTCTTCCTTCTGCTCCTCTTCCAATAATGCTGGACTTAAGCCGCCATGCATGCAGAGGATTCGATCCTCGACTAAGGCGCAGACTGGGAGCATGTTGAAGGCGTCTACGAAACACTTCCACAGTTTCGCGTTCCAGCGTCTTTTGCATTCGTCATAGAAGCCATAAACCCGGTTTATACAGGGACACTCATGTTAGAGCTACCGCGTTCGCATCTACTTCCCTGAGAGCATCATCTTCCCTGGCTTCCTTTTTTTCAAGCAGAAAAAGGGCCAGGGGGGGGGACGAGGTCATAGATAGATGAAAAGACGCATCAGCGAAGGTAGCCTTAATCATGATTACCACGCAAAAGAAACACATCGTCTGGGTACTTGACACGTAAGGCGAAGAGAAGACAAATGACGTCGACTGACCTGAGGCCGCGATCGACGTAGTCGCCAAGAAAGAGGTAACGGTTGCGTTTCTTCTTAAACAACATAGGAGCTCCACCTCCTGTAGTACTACTGCTCGAACGTGCATTGCTTGGATAGAATTGTGCTGTTGTGGAGGGTGCAAGTGAGGGTACTATGGATGCAGGGACGCTGCCGAGAACGACGTCCGCTGACGGGAGCATGGGGGAAGGTAGCATGGAAGAAGGGACTATGGATGGATGTTCGTAGTGTATTGCAACTCCCGGGTCTAGCTCTCCTAGCAGAGATGTCCGTCGCCGCTTTGGTGAGGGATTTTCATCGCTCGCTTTCCTTCTCTCTGCAGCATCTGCAATGATTTGCTGTGCTGTCTCACTGAATCTTTTCCTCTTCGAGGATCCGCGTGAAGATGCTCCCCCAACACTCGAGGGTCTTGGTGATTGTTGTAGATTCACAGATGAGACTCCATTAAGCGGTGTTGCACTTATGATGACGTTTGGCAGGGACAGAGCAGTAGTAGAAGTTTTTTGTTGTGCTTGTGCAGCTTCCTCTGAAGGCCTAGCACCTCCAGACAACGGTGCATCAGGATTTGGCGACTCAGACGATCCACCTGGAGACCGTAGTCGCTGTGGCGTGATGTGCGAGTTGTTCACACCTCCGTTGTTCACACCTCCTCGTCCACCTCCAGTTGAAAAGGTATTTTTCGACTTCCTTTCCTGAAGTTCTTGTAACGCTCTTTGTCGATCTTCTTCGTGTAAAGAACTTAGTCTTATCAGCCTCTGATCATCGTCATCGAAGGAGTCGTCTAGAGACCCTTGGAAGGCGTCCAGATTGGAATGTGAGAGCTCGAAGGTTGAGGAAGGACGGGGAATAATAGTTGTTCCTGCCATGTCATGGCTCGAAGAAGAAGGAGGAGGCCCAGGACCAACAGGATCATGTTGATTTGTCGTTCTAGACAGAGCGGAGACAAATTTGGCAGTGGTTGACGAGATTAAGGAAGTCGCAGCTCCATTATGGAGGATGTCTTGTTGCGTGCGAGAAGAGGTTGCGGCAACGCGAGAACCTCTACCAGACTGCGACTCTTCTGGCGTAAAGACTTTCTTTCCAACTTCACGACCACCTTCTAGGCTGACAAACGTTAAGGCTGTTGATGCGGAAGCGCTCGCATTGCCTACATTTGTTGCTACGTCTCCTGTTCTTGCCGTACAACTAGAAGAAGTGTTGTTCTTATTGTCTGTACCCGTTGTACCACTTGTCACCACTTCACCAGCAGCTGCTGCACCTGTTCTAGCACCCGCCGCGCCGTTTTGTTTCGATAGAGTCGGTGAGTTCAACTTCATCGACGATGATGAGTGCTTGTTCGCAGGCAAACTGTAAGATGGCGGACTATCGAGCAAGTGGTTTTCTACCTCTTTTGATAGTTTTCTTTCTAAAACTCTGCCACCAGAAGATGAGGCTACTTGAGGTAGATGAAGACGATCTAGAAGTGGTGGAGAGTTGTTAGTGCCACCTTTGGACGACTTGTTGTGAGCCTCAACAGCTGCAACATCAGGAGACGCATGCTGTACTCCGCCAACACCACCCCTTGCTCTTGCACCAACTACGGCATTGCTGTTTCTAGCACTACTTTGAATAGTACTGTTTCCACCTGCTTGACTAGGTAGAGCACTCCCTGTCCCTCCAGTGCTCTCCTCTCTCCCGCTCTTGAGCAAACGCCGTAGAGAATCTGCAGTGTCGTGTAGATCTGGTGGTGTCGGCGCTCTCTCGCTTTTTCTTGGTGGTTTTCGTTCACCGGCCGCGAGTCCTCTTCTTCTTGCTTCTCTTCCAAGAGATGAAGATGCAGCAGCAGAAGGGGAAAAACAACTCCATTTAGACGAGCTCGAAACAATTCACTTCTTCAGTTCATTTCTTCCGATTCCCAAGACTTGGGAAACCGATTTTCAAAATGACCCACGACCTTGGAAATGAATTACTTTGAGCCTCTGCCTTAATCCCACCCTTAATAGTCACATCTCCCCCAGTAACATCGTCTATTGTGGTCCCCGGATACCCGACACTATCGAATAACCTCAACAAATCCTCGAACTGGCCATGTACATCACCGCACACATGCAGGCCAGCATCTGTGGTTGCAAGTTCTAGAAGCGACTTTTGTCTCGAAAACGCTTCTCTTGCAGCGAAAATCAGCAACAAAATTTCCTCCAGCGAGAGCAGTTCGGAAGGACCCGGCACAGGTTGATGATAGTGAAGAAAAGTTAGAGTCTGCTAGATTGCATCTTGGTCCCCTCATCTCGACCCCTTTATTCCTACCCTTGTATCTTTTCGTAGGAATAACACAAGGCAAAAGGGGACACTAAATGTTGCCGATAATGATGGAAACATCAAAAAGCTGACCATAAAAAAGAAGCCGAAGAATTTACTCCTCCTGGGGAAGGTGCAATACTTCTACTGTTGACAGTGCTGACACCAGCTCCGTGTGGAAGATGAGGTGGTGGCATCATACCTGAGCTCGAAGTAGGAGATGTCCTCGTTGAAGGGGCTGCGATAATATGCGGATGCTGTTGTTCTTGACCAGGAGCGTATTGAGGTGAAGGCCCAACACTTCTAGATGGAGGCTGCACCATCACACTTTGAGGCTGTTGTATTCCAAAAAGCATGGCTGCAGAAGGAGATGGCAAAGGCGTAGTTCTAGAATGCTGCTGAGGGTTGTACATGCGCCAATCACGAACGGTCTTAGGCACAACGCGATCGATTACTCGATTTAAGCGCTGTAGGATGCGTTCACGGGTGAGTTGGAGGTTGCGACCAGCTGGCAGAGCGTCGCGAGAGGTTCCCGTGGAGCTGGCGGCTACTACTTTTTCCTTTTGTTGGAAACGACCAGAGCCAGCGACTTGTTGATTTCTATTGCGTTCAGGCATCTTGGCAGAGGAGGAAGATGAAGAGGAGGCGGAGGGGTTCTTGTTTAGTGTAGAAGATGCGGGCGGAGGCACATTCACCATGATCAAGGGGTAAGGGTGGGATGGCTAGGACTAGAGCGTTAAATCATAATTTTGGATTTGCCTTGGTTCTATTGATTCAGTGTGATGTACGAAAACATACCTATTTCCAGGCGTTCGTAAAGACTTTGGACATGATGTTGGTTATCGCTGAGAGAGAGCCACGCCGCTCTTTCTTATCACGCTCATAGTTCCTCTCTCAAATACGTGGTCTTCGTGTAAGAGTAAAAATTCATCTGAGTCAGCTCCTCATGGAAGCTCTTACTTCGCTCGACTTCTCTGTTACAACTCATCCTCGTCCTCTTGGCATGGTCTAAATGATCATGATGACACTTTTCCCGTGTTGCCTGGCAACCGAGGACACTCTGCACGAGGCTTCCTGGAAGGGCACAGGGCTTCCTGGAAGAGACGCCGATGACCTCACCGTTTCTTAAATGTTTGTGCTAGAATTATGATTTTAATCGTCATAGTCATCTTCGAGGTTCATCTTGAATAGTGCTGGAGAATTGTTTCATCAGATATATTTTTGCGCGTAGTGGTCTTTTGAAATAAATCAGAAGATGTTATTAAAGTGCACAACATTGATCATCATGGTGACTAGTACCATCAATGATGTTCAACACGTTGAAAATAGAAGAAATTCCAACTCTTGTTTCCATGTGAAGGTTTCCATTCTTCCGTTCGCATTCTTGCCTTAGAAATAACAGGTGATGCTAGGCCGCCTGTCGTCGTTTTTGTGCTCTGTTCTCCTTGTTGCCACAGACGACTTAATGATGGCCGCTTCCGCTTGCTCTGCCTAATATAATAGTGGTCGTAGAGCCGTCCTTTAACTAGGAGAGATAGAAAAATCTTCAATGTAATCTTAATTATTTGCCGCAATAAAGTAGATTAAAGCTCTGCACTCAATGGTCACTGACTCTGAAAGAAATGGGCCCCATGCCTCTCCCTTTGCTTTTCCTTCATTTTCCCCCCATCTTTCCTCAAGAGGGATCTCAGTGACCAACCCCAATGACCATTGAAAGCTGAGCCTTAAGTAGATTTCCCCTAAAAGGCAACTCTCGTCGAATATTTGTTGGCTCAGTATCGTCCTCGTCGTCGTGAGTCGCGACCACGTCCTCTATCTTCGCGTCCGCGCATAGCACCTGGTGATCGTCTACCGTGTTTCGCAAGAATAACAGCGACTGCGGAACCGTTGATCTGTTTAATATGTTATGTTCTTGTAAGTATGTTCATTGTTATAGTTATTATACCAAAAAGAAAAAATTCAACATCCTCGTGTTAAGATGATTTAAGTCATAGAAGTACATTGGACGAAGTAGTTTGTTGCTTGTGGTTTCCACAACTAGTAGTACAACATCCACCAGCTACGAGGACATTTAAGTAAATAGGACGATCATGCTTCCGCATTGTTACAATTAGAAATTATACCTTTTCCCCATCCAATTCCCTCAAAGCTTTTTCCGCATGTCTGCTTTCAAAAAATTCAACAAATCCGAACGATTTTGATTGTTGCGTATGATAATCACGCGGGATATGGACATCTTTGACTTCTGCGATCTCTTCAAATATGCGAGTGAGCTCCTCCTGTTTTGGGTTTCAGATTTTTGGGATTCTTTGGATCATTTGGTGATGATATTATTGTTGCAAGTATAATCTTGATGTCATCAATTTTATTTGTGGTGAACGAAGGAATGAAAAAACTTATTTCAGCTTGCTTGTTAATCAACATACACTTGTTCTTCATAAAGTACATACCTTGGTAGTTCCCGGTCCCAAATTCCTGACCAGGACCGAGCATCCATCGCCTCCTCTGCCTCTGCGGTCAATCGCGCCCTTTGGGAGGCCTCCGTCTCTACCTCTGCTTCTTCTCTCTTCGCTCCTGCCACGACCACCTTTGGGAGACCTTCTGCGAGAGTCTCTTCGCCCGCGTGGGGAACGGGAACGGCCTGAAGTAGATCATGTCGTGAAGATCATAGTGGCCGTTCTGGCAAAATAAGTTTGACAAGTAGTAATTTGTCGTAAGGAACAAGATCTTTCATGAAGTGGTTCGTTGTACGAGGTACTACCGTATGCGGACTAAAACTAAGGTACTCCTCTTGAAAGCACTTGAATGACGAGAGCTCAGTTATACCTCTTCCCAAACTGCGAGTTGCAGGACTTCGACTTCGTGATCGGCCCATTTTCTTGTATCTGATGTGTGTTCTTTCGCTTGTGTCTTTAACTTGAATCCACCTCTTGTTCCACGACCTGTTGTACTTTAAGCTTGGAAAAATCCACTTCTTGAAAACTTGTTGTATGCAGCTCTTGAAAACTTGGAAAATTCACCTGACGTCTTGATTCTTGAACCTGTCTTGGACACTTGAATCCACCTGTTGAGGAGCTGCTCGATGCCTTGTCTGATATGTTGAGAGAGAAGTTGAAGGGGGATCAAGATCCTCAGCAAGAAATGCATCCATGAAGATTATCGGATCATATTTGCAAGCAAAAAAAGGGGATCTCCTTTCGATTCTTCCATCAGTTCTTGTCAGATTTTAGAGTTGCAAGATAATTGAGGATCTATCATTTGCCTGTCCTTTTGCTCATCTTCATGCAGTGCCACCTGGCTGGACTTGTTCGAAGTAAGAGCTTAATAATATGCGGATGTACGTCCTTCGGATATTATCTTGAGTCACGAAGTAGATCTTGTTGTTGTATTATTTTTCCACCAGCTGTATAACTCCCTTCAATCTCGATCCAAGAACAGCATTACTTCGAAGAGTCATCTCGTCTTCGAAAAATGGCACAGCAAAGTGCTCGGGCAATGTTTTCAACATACGTAATCTGCGCGAATCTTTCCCTACGGATTTTTTCTGGTGTCCTCTCCCAGTGCATCAAAAACGGAGAGGTCCATATAATTCTTTTTCCCGTAGCACTACCCATTCCCAGAGCATCAAAAACGGAGAGGTCCACATAATTTTTTTTTCCGTAGTGCTACTACCCATTCTTTACTTCAAAAAACGAGAAAGATAGTATCATACCAAAAATACCGTTGCGCGATATTAATAAAATATGCGGTGAGCGGTGGTCGAACTCGAATGATCAAGCACCAAGGTGCTGGTCCTTCACCTTCCGCTGTAATTGTTGGTCATCTTCTTCTCACGGCGATCTTCACAACTACACGACGAAAATTCATCATCCAAGAAACACTTCAAAAAACACCATCCCAAAACTGTACCAGCACGAACTTAAAAAACATTTTTCCTCTTCCCTAAGACCTCCTGGCCCAGCTCCTTGAGCCATTCTCCTTCTACTTTCTACCTCCATAATATTCTAAATATTCAAGACAAAATTCTTCTTACCAGATAAACGGTATAACAGCTTTTCTGTGTTTTGGATAGGCTTCTCCGAATTTCTTTAGGTACCACTGATGATGGTGGTGACCACGCGGCCCAATATTGCTGAAGGTATACCACGCGAATGCAGCGGCTGGTAAGGAACACGCGGCGATGGCGAAACCACCCCACTCCAGAATCTCCGCCGTCAGATTCGCTGCCGAAGTATACTCAAACAAGCCACCGTAGGGTATCTATGTATCGGATTCATCATGTGGGAACGACTGATAAAGTGCTGGTGTAAACAAGCCACCGTAAGGTATCTGTTCTTGGATTCATCATGTGGGAACGACGAGCTATCTGTTCTTCCATTGATCATGTGGGAACGACGAGCAGTTGTGCTGGTCCGTCGTGTAGTTCTTGCAGTTGGTGTATGTGTTGTTCTTTGAGATTGAGAGGGTGATGGAAGAAGTGTGTCCAAGTAATATCCTATTCACAATAGCAGCAGTGTAGGAAAGTGTAGTGTAGGAAAGTGTAGCAAAATGTCCAAAAGCAGAACGAAACCAATAAGTATCTATATTATAAGTGTTCTATTCAAGTACCTTGTATTCCTTCTCCGACGCTGCACTCTTCGGTGAAGAGCCACCTGCCTTCGTTCCAGGACTACCTAATCTTTTTCTTTGTCTAGCTCCATTAGCAGGTCTGGGGGATCGACTACGGCCTCGTTCTTGCTCTCCGTCTATTCGCCTCTTCACGACAGAAATGAGACTACTGAACGCAGACCTTTCGCGGCTCTGGAGGTGGTACCTTGTGGAAGCTGTGGCTTTCCCTCCCGCACTTTCTCCTGCGTTTCTGAGGTTCAGCAAGATCGAATCGGAGTGAATGTTCAAAAACATGCCCAAGAAAGCCAAAGTCATTCCTAATCGAAAAAATGGCTGTCCTAGCATCCAGGAATCGTCATATTTCACAACGTAAACCAATGCTAGAGACTGTTGGAGACCATTCCAGAGGCAGAAGAGGGTTAGAAGCAATTGAGGGAGCAGAAGGCGATGAAAGCGAAGTTGTTTGTAACTTGATTATAACTAATGCTAATCATCTTCGCCCACAACGACAACCACATGAAAAAGTAACCAACAGAGCTGCAAGAATTTTTAATATGTTGAATAATTATAAAGAGGAGCCGTTGGCATCTGTTTGAGCGTGTTCTGATTCTGTTCAGAAGTGAGGGAAGCGAACGAAAAGCATGAACAAAGGAAAACACTCACAGGAGCTTTCTCTGCTCTAGTAATGCCATATCAGGAAGGCCAGCATGGACACTGTCAGGGGTACTGGCGTGGCGCTTGCAGGCATGCGACAGAGAGGGTATATAACCGCTCTTTGAAAGTAGTGCAGCTGAAAAAACAATAGCAGGATCCACGCACAAGGATGAAGTGACCTGTGATTTGTTTCGAGGTTCACAAGTGAAAATGAGGAGAAAGTCTTCACGAGAGAGTCTTCATTCATCTTTCCATCTTCACGTCGATCTCTTCAATCTCGACTAAGTTGTCTATGATCTAAGAAAGAAAAAGCAAAGTAAGCTACTCACTAAAAATAATTATTCATGATCAGTAACTGCTACCTGAGCAATTCTCCCATTCCTCCGAGCGCCAAATACTGGTCGTACATGACCAGCTGTGGAACCCAGAAAGCTGGCGACTCTTGCAAGAACCACGCTAACCGTGCATCGAACATAGGTCCCCACTTCCTTGAGGCGTATCTTCCGTATGCATTAGACCTCCCTTATTATTTTTTTTCATCTTCAAGCGCATCTTTGACCGCATGATTTTCCCCTTACAACGAACAGGGACGTCGAAGGAGAGTCTAGGAAGATGCATCTTCTTCAAGTTCAAGGGCCTCACTCAACGCTATGTAATGTGCGACGATGAAATATATAAGTATATAACGTAAGGAGCCTTAAACGGGGCACGAATGAGTAGAGTGGCGATGAGCGTGATCACACCTACTACAAGCATGAGGCCCGTGCTGTACTGCACGTACAGCTCAGCTACTGCGGGGGATATAACGACACCCATTTTTCTTGATATTCTGGTTCTACTGCACTACTTCTTCCTGTTGTTCTCCACTAATTCTTCATCTTCTTTGAGCTTGTTGTTCTACTACTTGTTGTTACGATCCTGATGCGCGTTGTATCTGATATCTGTATAATGTAGTTCTCGTCAAAAACTAAGTAACATCAAACAAATTAACATCAAGTGCTAATAGATTTATAACTATGTCTAGTTGTATCAGATATTTTTTGTTGCTTTCGGTTTCGTTATCCTACCCCCTGAGTTTTAGTTGTTTTACGCATCGCGATCGACAGCACAAGAATCATTCTAGGAGAACTAAGACCGAAGTAGACTCTCTTCAAACTCAATGTTATTTCGCTTAGTTTTTTTACACTTCGCTTCTATTTATTATACCTCTACTCACAAATAGAAATGTCACGTCTTCTTCATGCTGCCACGGGCGGTGGCGTGAAATACTGCAGAAAAGACCTATTTATATATTAGATTAATGCTGACATAGTTGAAAGAAACTACCCTAGGCCGACAGTGATAGGTGGGTTCGGTTAGCTTAGGTTATGAATCCACCTGCACACCGAGCCCCCATGAAAGCTAGCTGCTCGACTTGTTCATCAAATTAGATATAATGTTGATGTAGTTCTTAGACGATAGTGGATATAATAATCTTGTATTTCTTCTTAACTATGCATGTAAAGAAAGTGCTCCTCCAAGGTACTTAGTCCCTAGAAAATTTCACTCGCGAACGCAGAACGCTTCACATCAGATGTAACAATCTTCATCATGATTTCCATTTGTATCTGACCAGCAGTCACGGGAAGGACCTTCAGAGAAATTCGCATGGGAAGGATCTTCAGACAAATTACACAATGCACGTCGCTAAAACTTCTCTTTCACTTCCTCAATTTTCTGTTCTTGTGTGGTGATCGCGCAAATGCAAACACCTTTTTTGGTTAGGTCAGGTTGTGGATCCTGCACAACGAGCCCCACCGGCACCTGGTCGCCTCCGAGGATAACGGGTGACCTGTGTAAAGTGGTCTACGAGCAGCGAGGCAGGCGACCTGAGTAAAGTCGATGCTTGTAGTTCACAGAAAATGTAAGTGACGACTAGTAAAAAGATAGTTGTTGATCTTGCTGGATCCTCTTCTACCTGCGCTCTCTACGACAAAACATAGGAAACTGTAAAACAGAGGTGGACGTCTTGGCTCGAGGATGTTGACAGAAATTTTTACTTGCTATTGCTCTCTCTTTCTGCTTGGGGACGAATGGCACAACGCAAAATGTACAGGAAGTATTCGCTCAAACTTCGAACTACACTTTTCTTCATCTTGGTATTGGTTGCTTGTCGGGTTTAAAAGTTAATAACCATTGCACCACAGAATTTGTTTACGCACGACAGAAACCGAATAACTGAAAGCCCATCACAATCGCTCTTATGGCAGTCGAATCCGATTTCTTTGAAATTTTCAATAAGATGGAGGACCCTGTTCTATCAACACCTCGAACAACAACTATACAAGCAAGGAGTTGTAGTTAGGTGCGATGTGCGGTGTCGGAAAAATAATGGATCCCCCTGCCATTGTTTTCAGCTTTGATTTGATCAGAAGGTCCCCAAAATCGTCACGCTCTAAAGTTCATAAGTAGGAAGGTCCTCACTCTTAGTCTCATTCTGTTCCAGTTCTATGGGTCTCATGGTGATGAAAATGATGAACAAGATGATCAAGATGACGATCATCCTGATCAAGCTCAGAAGAACAGCACAAAGACGAAGGACGAGACCAGTCAAACGATTGAACAAATTACAAAAACGCGCCCGCATTATCATTCTGCACATGTTTCAACTGAAACAAGTCGGCGCTACATTTAAGGGATTCACAAGGTGAACCAACTTTTTCAGCCGTACAGCGTCCGCGTTCATAAACAGCGGATCAGGCTTGTCGCCCCCCTGAAAACATGAGTTGAAGGTGTTCACGACATACAAGCCCCATTACAGAGCAAGCCTGTTTTTATCATTTTAAATCGGAATCGCAGAGTGGAAGCATTCAGCTTAATTTGTTGACGGATATTTAGCGTAACTAATGTTCGCGAGCAGAATAACATTATTCAATTTCAAATTCACTCCTGATGATCATGGTATCCCATGTGCGCTGCGAACGCGCCATCGTTCATGGGCGGTTCGGCTGCGCTGCAGTACAAACGGCCTTCTCCCATACCGAGATTTGTCACTCCGTCCGCGCCCAATGCTTGACTCATACGGTGAAAAAAAGCACCACCACTTGGTGCGTTTGTTTTGTCCTCCACAGCATTATTAGCATTGCCTTGTCGTCCGGAAGTAAAAATGGCAGACAGTCGCTTGTGTGCCTCGTCTTCCTTATCATCTTCTCCAAATCCAGCCTGCTTGATGTTTGTAGTTCTAGTTGTACGCCTTTTAATAACGGTGGATAAACGAGGATTATGGTCGTGATGATCCTCGTCAGCAGCTTCAACTTGTTCGTTCCCAAGTCTCTTGTTCATCCCTTCGACCCCTTCGACAGGATGTGTCTCAAAAGCGCTTTTTTGCGTTGTGAACAGGATAAGAGTCAGAAAAGCCGCAGGCATCAACAGGACGGGCATGTAGGTTACGGAAAAAATCAATTGCCCAACGGCTGCAGAGAATACGCCGATTGTCCGACCAGCACCAGCCGCCAGGGTAATTAGACTGACATAGACATAGGTAGATAACATTTAGACTTCTGCTTTTCAAGAGCTTTGAAGCAAGTCTTTTAAAGAGCTTTGAAGCGGAGAGAACAGCGACAGTGCTTGATGACTGACACGAGGATCCTTGACGCAACTCCTTCAATATGACTCAGGGCCGGACGGCCCCCCCCTCACCCCCTGTGGCCTGGTCTGTGGTGGCGCGCGCGCGCGCTTTCCCGCGCGGATTCTTCACGGATCGTAGTGGTGGAAGGCGTCAAAACTTGGCGCGGGCCTCCCCTTGGGCCTCTCCGCGTATTCCTGAGGGGCCTCGTGACCTCTGCTGGCCCTCGCAGGCGGAAGGCCTCCAGGGTAAAAGGCCGCCGAAGGCGGCCACGGTCGCAAGAGCAAGCAAGCCGATGACCAAGGGCCCGGAGGGTACAGGCGGCACGGCTGCGGCGGCGAGGCCTAACGGATGCACTTAGGGCACAAGCAGGCACCTGGACGGGGGCGCAGGCGGTCCCTTGGGCCCCTTTTGAAGCCTCCCACCACCATCGGAGGCCCCTAGGGAACAGCCAGGCAGCTGGAAGGGAGCGGGGGGGGAGGTTACTGGGCCCCCTTTTGAGGCCTTCCCCCCCGGCAGACGGCTGGAAAAGGGGTCCAGGGCGCCCGGCCCCCCCCGCTCCCCCCCGCTAGGGGAAGGCGTCGCCCCGCGCCCTGGAACATATATACTAGTAATTAAAGATGAAAAGTAGAGTTCAATTTTGAAGAGCTTTCAACTTCTTCATCACATGAACGTTTTTTACGGAACATGGTTGAATTGCATCTGAGAGCCATAAAGCAATCTGGGAAAATATCGAGGCTCGGTCGTTTTGATTCGTGTCCGCGGCAACTAAGATCGGAAGAGCATTGGCACGCAGGTCGATCCCGATGAAGAAGGTCAGGTGCACGAGCACTGTCGCCAGAGTGAGGGTGACATAAAACGGTGAGTCCCAATGCATCGCTGTTTTGCTAGGAGGAGGCGGATTCAGAGCTGGAGCTTTTTCTTGGTGTGCGTGTATTTGGGAGGATTCAGTGTTGATTTTTTCCTGAAGATGTGCACGATGAGGACCAGCAGGAGGCGGCATCACGACTCGGAATGCTTCACTCCCAACGTTCGCCATGATGGTCAACAAAATCAGTGCCGAAGTGCAAACGAAGGATGCCCCTTGGATTCGTTTTGCGCTCTTGAAATAGCGACGCGCGATCGGGAAGAGGAATACGCAAGCCACAGTCAAGCCAATCCCCGTGAGGGTAGCTGCGAGACCCATCTGGGTTGGTCCGAAGCCGAATGCCGTTTGAAAGAAGAGCGCGTAAGCGCAGCAATACCCTTGCGCAGATGCCGAGCGATTAAAGCTTTCTGCATAATACATCATAATACGGGTCTTCTTTTGCTTGGCGGCTTTGATTTCTTCTCCTTCTGGGCTCATGTTTCTTTCGTCCTTGGCTATTTTTTGCATTTCAGGAACGTTCGTCGTAGCTGGAACAGCAAATGACGTTCTTGTCATTCTGCGTCCTGAAGCGACGTCTTGTTTTTTCATCGTCGAACGACTCACCACTGACAGCGAGTGGGACAATCGCTCAATCACGCCCATGACTGAAGCGCCCTCGCTAAGACTCTTTCGGGTTTCAGAACCGACTGGATCCACCAAAGTTCCAGCTCCCTGCTTTTTTGAGGTTAATATTGTTCCATCAGCCGCCAAATTTCTAGTGTTTTTAGCCAATAAAGGTTGTTCTAACTGTCCAGGAGTTCTTGTAGGTCCAGATGTAGGTCCTCCAAGAGCGAGCGCAGCTGGCGCAGCGGTTTTTCCTCCAGGTACAGTGTACTTCTCCTGTTCTTCAACAGCAAGTTTTTTCCTTTCTTCCTCTTTAGCCTGTAGCCAAGATGGTGTCTCTGGCAATAACGTAGCCGGAAAGAGCGTAAGCAAAGCAGCAGTGACGAAACAAACCATAGATCCCAAAATAGGAGGTGCACGCCAACCCAAAGTATCGTACAACAAACCTCCCAATGCTGGACCAACCAAACAGGCCATCATTGGCATGTTCGTTGCCCAACTGAGTAAAAACGCTCTTGCTTCTTCATCTTCTGGCGTTACATCAGCGATGTAGATCTGCACCAAGTGAGGCACCGCGGTCCAAGACCCAGACAATGCCACTGCGACGAACAATTCTGGCAAACTGTTGGACATGGCCATTAGGAGTCCACACACCCCAGCTCCATACAAGCTCACTTTCAGCACGAAAGCGCGTCCGTAATGGTCGGCCCATCGTACGAGGTAAGGCGGAAAGAAGATGCCTGCCATGCAGCGACCGAGAAAGAGAAAAGTGGTAAGCGCTGCGGAAGCTCCAAAGACACGCGTTGCGGCGAAGGGGAGCGTCGTAGACTGGATCCCGATACCTAGAAAATCGACAAATGCGATGACGACGACAGCATAGCCAGCTGAGACTGGGACAGTTAAACTTTCGGGACGCACCATCTTTTGATATTGATTTCAAAGAGAAATCGTCACGATTTGATTATCTTGACATTTTAGTTTGGTGAATATTGCTAGAAGGGTATCAATCATGCGCGTTAAAAAACTTATATATATTCATAAAATGGACTGCCTTTTTAGCGACGAGCGGGAGCGTTGGCAAGTTATCTGATTTGACCACAATGCAGATACATAGTAGATAATCCAGAAAAGAATAGCTAGATCGACTACAAGTCTTCAAGTGTATCAAAGTAAGATGCAACTAAACTCTTCACACAACTAAAGTCTTCTCTTGAATTTTTTGAGAACCAATCACACACCTAAAATAAGTACGTAAAACCAAGCGGCCTCAACACAACTACGCCACTTCTTCACTACATACAGTGGCTATATCTGACTCATTTCTACTTCTAGCTGATTCGTTTCTAGCTGATTGAGGTGCGTGCAGGGGGTGGGAAAAAGCAACATAAACATTCATCAATGCGCTGTCTCTATGTGAATGTGGGAAGGAGAATGATCTAGAACGGGATCCATCAACTTCCATTCGGGACACTCTCAACGATCACGAATCGCTCCGCTCTCTAAATCAGAATGACCAAGTAGTCTCGACGAAGACAGAGAAGACTTTCTTGGTGTTCGAGCCCTTGTATCTCGGCAGGGCTCACTCGTTGAGCCTTAGAAGAAGTAGAAGACGGCGAAAGATCAATTCATCAAATAGCAACGGACGATACTGCTGCCTCATATATATAATGTACTTTGGCGCGACTGGCTGTCTGTCGGAGACGTTGAGATTTACTAGTTTTGCACATGGTAAAGTTCTCGAACGAAGAACATCTGCATTGAATTGCACAGGCCTCTCTGAAGCTGAAGTAGTGCACCTTCACGCGTTCTCTGAACCTTCACGCAATCGACATTTGCCACATGATGATGACGCGAGAGAGAGACAAGAGAGAGAAACAAGAATGAAACAATGACAAGATTAAAAACTTACCAAGCACAGATCATCTCTGCAGGTTTACAGGCGAATTATGTAAGCGAAACTAGAATATTAAACTGAGAGAGTAGATACTACAACTACTAGCGAGGAATGACGAGAATATTATATATTACATACAAGAAACATCTTCATTTTCTTTTTCAACATCTTCCTTCTTGAAGTAGTAACACTAACATAAACATAAAATTCAAAGAACTAAAAGTAGTTCATTAATCGCGCATCAGGTGCAGCACGACGTGGTGTGTCTGGCGCGACTGTGGTCTTAATGCCACGGGATATCGTTACGGTCGATTTCATTACCTGCGCACGTCGCCGATCTTCCATCGCTTCCTCATCGGTTGGCAACTTCAGTGGAGCAACTTGATCCTCGTTCGAAGTTGCTCCACCGAAGTTGCTCCCTGCAATGCCAGAAAAGCCGAAGCCCCCTATTGTTCGGCCCAATTGACTCATGAGGCCAGCGGAGAAAGTACTACTAGAACTTGTACTTGAGTAGCTGGTGTCGACGTCTTCTTCAGGAACTACGTTTCCACCTGCAGCTTCAGCATGTGTAGTACTTGACGAAGCAGATGCCGTAGCCGCCAGCTCAACATCCTGGTTTTCAAAGTCTCCTGTGATGGAAGATTTCAAACCAGCTCTGCTTTCCTTCTTTCTCTTCTTCTCCTTCTTCTTTGCTTTGCGGACTTCACTGTCGGATCCCTCGAGCTCTAGGCCACCTCCTAGCGAATCTGCATCTCGCCGTCGTTCTTTTGAAGAGCCACCTCCTAGCGAATCTGCATCTCGCGGTCGTTCTTTTGAAGACGAAGATTTTTTCTTCTCTTTCTTACTACTGGAGGCGGTACTAGTACCTGAAGATGCTGATGAACTGACTACAAGGATCGACTCAATGGGAGATGAAGATGATGCAGCCGAAGGCAGTCCTACTTCCACCGATTCCGATATCGATGCCGAACTTCCTGCGGAGCTTCTTGCTTCCAGAGAGCTGCCTGGTGGTTCACTGCCACTAGGGGAGTCCTGCGGTAGCGTCGTGGACAGCAAAGCCGTAGTACTCGTTGATGAGCCGGAGAAGGTTGAGGAAGTTTTGGAGTAACTCAAGATCCGCCGGTTCGTGTCGAATAAAGCTGGTCTTATGGTACCGAGAGAGCCAGTGTAGAGAGCCAGTGTAGTATCTTCTTCTTGCTCAACATCATGCTGGTGATTCGTACTATGTTGGTGCGTATCATCTTTACTAGTACTCGGAGCCATAGTACTGTCTGTTCTATGTTGAACTTGGCTGCTGCTTTCTGGCATTTCAACGTGACTTTTGGTCAGAAAATAGTGGTCACCAACTCCTTCCGCAGTGCTTACACTCGCAGGCGTAAAGACGTCTCCCGCAGGCGAAAACAGCGCTGGCGTGGGACCGCTTAAAACACTTGCGGTTTCTAGCTCGTCTTGCAGACAGCGCGATGTAGGAAGGAACCTTCTATTGAGGTTTTGTCCGCTTAACCCACTAGCATCCGAATGATTATGGTCTACTTGAATATGGTGAGCATCTAGAAGTGCTTGTGCTGTTGCCGAGCTAGTAATTCTTTTCCCTGATGATATTCTTGGCTCAATAGAAACCCTTCTACCTCCTCGACCACTCCTAGAAGATGAAATTGACGAAGCTAGGAAGGCCTTCGACTTCCCTGTTTGTCTAGTGCCGCTTCCTGAGAACGATTTCTGCTGATTCTTCTTTTTTCTTCTCCTCCGCCGCGCACTTCTACTTGACGGTGACGAAGATGATGTAGAGTTACCGTATCTGCTTCCGCTAGAGTCACATGCCGATGAGGGCTCACTACGACGTCTTCGAGGAATGTGGGCTCGTCGTCTTCGACCTGAACTTGTAGGTGTCTTTGCTGTCGTTTTCTTGGAAATACTAGACGAATCATCCACTTTTAAAGGACTTACCCGTAAGGCCTTTTGCTGCCGATCTTCTTCGAAGATTTGCTCTCCTTTACTGCCTCCACTTATGTGGCTGTCCAACTTCCCTTTCTTTCTCTTCTTGCTCGATATCCTACTTCTGTAATGGTTTCTTATCCTCTCCGCGGAGTCAGACACGCTGCGAGACGAAGAACCGGAATTTGACGACGCACGTCCACGACCACAAGTCTTACTTCTTCTCCTACCACCAGACGCCCTCCGCCGCCGTCGGTGTTTGCTGTGTTAGAGGTAGGTTTTTGGTGCTTGCTTACCCCGCTTTTTATCCCTTTCTCCCTTAAAAAGCGGTAAGAAAAAAAGCGGTAAGAAAAGCACCTTTAACCTACCCTTAACTGTGGTTGTGGTCTTTCTTCGAGGACTTTTTGCTCTTTTTTCTTTTACTGTCGTCCCCTGGTCCGCCCTGCTCCCCTAATATCATTTGTACCACATCGGCACCGGACATCTTTGACAGTTGAGTATTGTAATCAGGACAAAATTTGTTCAACAGTCCCTTCAATAGCTTGTTCTCCATTTCTAGTTTGCTTGTGTCGGCCGGCGCTGGTGGTGCTGTTTGATGAGAAGGCAGAGCCTGTACCTGTAAATTTTGTTGTACCAAGACAGAAGGGGGTGAGTAATGGTGCTGCTGTTGATTCATGTACTCTAGTTGTGTTCTTGGGGACAAAGCCGTGGTTGTTGTTGGTACCGCGTGCTGCTGGGTCTGATGTTGCTCCCTTTGAATCACACCACTTTTGAGTTGCGGACGAGCAGCCACTTGTGATTGTGCTTGACTCATGCCTGTGGTGGTAGTGGTCACGGGCTGGCGCCTTGCTTCGCCTGGCGTGCCAACCTCTCCCACACCAGCAGGCGACCCCGCAACTGAACCAGCACCGGGTGAAGAGGCCGTCTTCCCAGATATTCTCCTTGAAGAAATACAACTATGGTCAACAAGTATTGTCGGCGATTTCCCCTCTACTTCCCTTCTAATAACCGTCTTCCCCCTTACACGTATGACTATTATCCGAATGCCTCTTCGTCGGCGGATGACACGTGTAAGCCATCGGATGATGAGAACGAACTTCGCCACATTGTCCCACCTTCTAGCGATTTCTGCCTTCCATTCGCGAAATTCAGCGAGACAATTCTGCACCCATGGATTTTTCCGCAACCACTTAATCTTCAACACATAGCCAACGTAGTAGAACATCTCAAAACAGCGTTTCCTCGCGCTGATTCTGCTTTGTGCCCGTTTCCGCAACCGTAAAAACCAAGGAACCACTACCCGATTGACCACAAGCTGCAGCTTTTTAGTACAGGCTAAAGCCCTTCGTTTTCGAAAAACGTTTCTCACGCGTTCACACCATCGATGAATGCGGACCAAGTTTCTAGCGGAACGTTGCAAAAAGGCGACGTTTTTACGTAAGCGCACTGCAGGTATCAACTTGCGCTGACAGTAGACACAGAAATTGATTGCTTGGACACAACGTCGGATTCGTTTTCGTGTCATCCATTGAGACATTTGGAGCGTTAGTTAGAGTCTGCTTCTAGATCATGATCGGTTGCCTCATCTTGACCCCCTCATCTTGACCCCTTTATTATTACCTTGTATTTCACGAGAATACAAGGCTTTAAAGGGGACACTAAATGTTGATGCCGAGAATTGATGGACACAGACACTAAATGTAAATCATGTTGAAGTTGACCATAAGTCAAGGTGTCTAAAGTAGAACTTGAACCTGCTTCACTATTTCCTCTACCATTTTCAAAGGCCAAAATCTTCTCCAACGCTCCCAGCTGCCCATTCCTCAAAAACAGCTTCGAAACCCCCAATCTGTAGTCCGTCGTCGGCACGGCCAGACAATGAAGCAGGCCTTGAACAAAGAGCCGGGGATCTTCTTGAGCGAGGGTGAGAATTCTACTCGTAGTAGAGGCAGTAGAAGAAGTGGTTGTTGTACTACTGGAGGAGGTACACCTACTCGTTTCACCTCCATTTTTCCCTCTACTCGTCTGTCCCAATAACCGCTGCGCAAACCCGCCAGCCACGTCCTTATAACCTGTTCTATGCGGAAACGCGTTCTTCATCAGCCGCACTAGTTGCACTGTGCCACTTTGCCTCAACTGCTCCATCACAGCAGGACTGTCCCACAAACCGGGTTTTTGTTGTAGATTCGGCTTGAAACACCTGATATATTGAGGCTCGCATTCGGTACTCAAGATGTGCATCAGGCGATTGAGGTCGTGGAGGTAGCGTTGGGAAACAGAGGAGAAGACCCGATTACTTGTTGTGGACGAGGTTGGAGTACTAGTAGTCGATGGACCAATGTTGATGACGCTGTGTGAGAGTTTGCGGACTAGGGGCTTTTCAGAGAGGCTCAAACAATTCTCGAGTTCGTCCACCATGTGAGTCGTATTCTTTTCCAGCCATCCCGCCGTTTCGTAACTGACTGCACCGGCGTAGTGGGTTTGGGATTAGAAAAATGAGTAAGTACCTAGAATTCAGACATGGACGAGGAAGAGAAGCCTTTCAATACACCAAGACGAAGACCACAGTAGACGCAGGAAAACTTTAAGTCTTGTCATGTATGTGCCTCTACTGATATGACCTTTCATGATCACCGTAGCGACAAAATGGCAGCCGACACGAACAATTATCTTTATCTACTTGATCTTTATCGAATCATTTAAGTGAAAAATGTCATAAACCACAAAAGCCGCCCGATTAGTCTGACTCGCCCTACTGGCAGAGGTCGCTCCACTCTTCGGTTTCTTGAAGAAGGCAGGTTCCCTCTCCAATACTTCATCCGTGAAGCGGCCTTCATCGGTCTTCTGATTCTTCCTTAGCAGTACCAAATGAGCGTCTAGCATTCCAAACACACGCCCAATGCTGGCGAGGAGAGGTTCGGGATCGAAGGTTCCAGAATTGTTGAGTGGTGATTCGTTGGCATGCACGACTGCTCCTTGTTCGACTACATTTGTACTATTTTTGCCCACTACATGATCCATCTGAACATTCATCTTCCCACCTCCCCCGCCCACCAACGACTGCTGTTCTTGTTCTGCTTTAGTCAATATCCCCTCACGCAGATACAACTGTCGTTCTGCCTCCATGAAGTTTTGCTCGAAAAATTGTTGCAACCTTTCATTCGCCAGGTTTATGCACAATTGCTCAAAACTGTTTACGGTTAGCTGTTCAAAACCGTAAATGTCCAAGATGCCGATGTAGAGGGAACGTGTGGAGGCTGAGCAAGTGCTTCCAAGTGTGTCGGAAGCTGCATAATCGTTTGCTGTTGATGATTCTTCTTCATCGTCGTCTATTTCATCATCATTGTGCTGCTCATCTACTATTTCTGATTCTGTACCACTAGAAGATCTACTTGAACCGCTGCATCCTTTTCCTTTCTTTCCCGACAAACTCCTATTCAACCATGCAACGACTTGGTCAAATAACCGTTTGTAAAGTGTTTTCCGCACAGCAGTGAGGCACTGCCGAACTTGGCCTATGCTTCTTGAGGTGGTTATGCGTTCGCCACGTGCAAAAACATCCTTCTTGAGAAGCGCCGCCTTGAAAGCCTCCCAACTTGGAAAACCGAGGAGGGAAGAGGCTTCTTTCTGCGGCGAAGCTTCCGGTACTGTCCCTGCAGCGGTGTCTTTCGGTTTCGCCGTGGAATCCGTTGCATTGAAATGGAGTGGCCCTTGCTTTGGGGTTCTAATCCTAATGTAGCTAGATTAGGAAATTAATAGTCATTTCAGCAAGATACAGCGCAAAACAACGACAGACGCCCTCCGAGCTTTCACAACTCTCGATTTAACATCAGAAAAGAGAGAGACACACCAGCAGCCTGGCCAGTGCCGTAGATGTCGAAGCACAGTCGCGGGGCCCTGCCTCCGCTGCTGAAAAACGAGGGGACAGCGAATGACTAAGGAGCGAGGTCGTCTGCCGAGTCTAGTCAGCCAATACGCCACGCACTGCATTAGCCAGCACGCCCCTGGTCTCCTATCCCCTGCGCCGGCTGCCCCAGGATCCCCTCAGTCAGGTCACCACCAAGCAGCAAACCTATGGCCCGTGGGCCGTGCTTCTTCTTCCTCTTCCGCCAACTGCTTTGGCCACTCTAGCAACCCACGCCGCCCCATGCATGGCTTTCGCCTCCTCCTGGTGAATCTTCCACGAGCGTACGGCTTGCCTCACTGTCATGCCTGAGCTCACTGGTCACCTTCTGCGCCATGTAGAACGCGCCCCCTTGTCCTAGAGTGCCAAGGGCCTCCTCCTCGTCGCGGAAGTTTTTCCCAACTCCAAAGCATGCACGCAGCCAACGCATCGCGGGCGATGTCGCCCACAGGATGTCTTCGATGGGCGCACTCCCTTAGGTGCTGCAAGAAAGAAGGCATCGGCGAAGCGCAACGCTGCAGCGGCGTTGACTTCGTTCGCCGTTGGTGACGACCAAGCGGGCCTGCTCTTTCGCGAAGGTCTTGGGAGACGCCACGATGGCAGCGCCATGGGTGCCATTACCCGGAACGGCTGCGGCTGCACCAGCGACGATAGCTTCGCCAACAGTTTCCATAGTCTACTCAGTGCGAGTGTTATCGTGATCGCTTTCGCGGATGTAGAAGCTATAGCGCGAGAAAGCTGGCGCAGCGTTTCACACTACCACGGCGCTGTGGCATGCCCGCCCGCTCCCCCCAAGCTTAGAGCAGGTTGCGACACGTGCAGAGTTCCCGCGGGGTGCTTACTGCTTTCGTCAGCTATTGGCCTGACGTCGCCGGTGGCTCCTGCGTTCCTTCTCCGCAGCCAGACCACAAAAGCCGCGGAGCCACGCGGGGGCCCGGCTAGCGTTGACGATGGGCCGCACAAGAAAAACGCAGCCGACAGAGTGGCCGCCTCCATCGGGGTCCCTTCAGCTTCACGTTGACACGTGTGGCCCCCCGTATCTGCGTCTACCATGTCAGGAGGAAAGTGCCGGGCTTGGGCTTATTGGCTTCGGCGTCCCAGCTGGCCTCGTCTTTGTAAGACAAACGAAACTGGCAGCGCCGCGCGCGGAGGCAGCCTGGCCGGCGGGGCCTGGGCGCCAGAGCTAACAACTGGAAGAACGGCAGCGGCGTACGCACCTGTCGGCCCCCCCTGCGCACTCAATGGCGCTTTAAGCATGTGCCTAGCATGTTTTTACAAAATGTACCAATCAGCGAAAACCAAAGCCATAACTATGTCATCCACGTTATCTCCCACAACCTCGACTGTCACCGTACCACATTCCTCATGCTTCTCCGCAAATCTCAACTCTCCTAAGAGTACAATCGCACGTAAAATGTCCCATGCTGGCGCTGTCTTCTCCTCTCCGATGTCCAGGGTCTTCAGAGCTTGTTTCAGCTTCTCGAACAGGTCGGTATGCCAACTAGTTTCATCCTTGGAAAGTGGGCCGCATGGAGAAGTACTAGAAGATGTATTTGCATTTGGCTTTGCCTGCTTCTCTTTGTTCTGGTTGCCGCTGTTCTTCGGATTAAAGGTAGTTTCTCACACACTACCCCGAGCCGAGTGGGTGTACCTCTTTGCCCCTTAGACTCCCCTCCAAATCCAGGAGAAGCCCACTCAGCATAGTCCACATAGGATAGTGAAGAACTACCCTTAATCGGATAACACGAGGTGGCATCAATCAGATCAACTTCAGCTCCACCTCCTGCTGTGAATGTACTGTACGGAGTTGTCGTTTTGCGGGTTGTTGACGTTGAACCCGATCTTCGTGACAAGAACAATCCATAGAAAACGTGGAAGCACCGCTCTCCAGCGGAGACATCAAACCTGCTAACCCGCGAGGCTTCCAAAAGAAACGTCTGGATCGATGCATGCCGAAATTGAGGAACTGCGTTGAAGTTCAGAGCTGAGAACTTCCCAAATCTCGAACTGTTCCTATTCCTCACTGTAGTGGCATTGCCGAATGCTTCTAGGACTAGGTTAGCGGCTGGAAGACAGGAGGCTGGCGTAGGAGCGTGAGATGTTAAAAATGGTGTTCCTGTTGAGCTCGGAACAACCTTCTTCTCTCCCTCGACTAGAAAATCCACTAAAACTTTGGCCGTCTCGGTCTTCCCTGCTCCGGAGTCTCCAGAAATGATGAATGCTTGACTGCGCTGTCGAAAAACGAGACGTCGAAGCGCGACATCGCCAAGGGCGTAAGGATGCGGTGGTAGTTTATGCGTTCCTCCAGTCGTAGACTTGTTTTCGTTGTTGCCTCCTCGTGAGCGGTACCTAGAAAGAACGAAGGTTAGGTTATAGGCTAGATAGAACGAAGGTTAGGTTAGGCTAGATAGAACGAAGGTTAGGTTAGGTTGTGGATCCTTCTCACGAAGGCTTTCCTTCTCAACGAGCGGCACGGGCACATGCTCGCCTCCGAGGATGATGGGTGACCTCGTCTCGCAACTAGTTCCTCATGACCAAATTGCTCCATGTGGTCCTCGTCTATCATGTGGCCCTCTAGTTCCTCATGACCAATTTGCTCGTATTTTGTATGGTTCTGGTATTTGGTAGCCTGAGTTTGATCCTAAGGGTTCTCTTCTTGTTTTCCCTTATGATCAAACTCAGGCTATACCAAAAATTATACCGGAACCATTCATGTTTGCAGCATTATACCTCTCTCTAGTCTCCTCCGAATACAACGTCGCTCGCAACGTCTCCTTATACGGATTCACCGCCAGAAGGACACTGGATACGTAGGTATAGTATTGATCCTGCCTGAAACGACGCTCCAGATTGTTGAGGATGTTGTCCCCATTCAAATCCTCCAGCTCGCAGCAGTCGGGCACTCCAGAACCGTGCTGCTGCGACATCGCGTTGTCGTTGATGGTGGTCGTGGTGGTGCTTTTCTTCGTCCGAGGTGGTCGTGGTCACTTTCATCCGAGGCGTCGTCTGTAGTTCATTCATTCATTCGAACCACGTAGCAACGTAGGTGTAGAAGTCTGCACTACACGACCAGAGAAAGCAAATAAAACGACGACATCATTTATCGTTCAACAGGGCACAAGGAGGAAGACCATAAGCATTAAGAAGAGCCCTTCTACTTTGAATAATTGTATTTGTATATCCCATATTGATGAAGGATCTACAATTACATCATCCTCATTCCTAATATAGCAGCTTGCTTTCTCTCATCTAGTAATATAGTTACGGATCACGATGACAACTGTGGGAGTATCGCTACATGGTCAGGGGTGATCTGGACGTTCGCTACCGAGCAAGCCATCTTGCTCTGTGTTCGTTGATCCTTGCCTTTCCGGTAGCCCTCCCGTCACCATTGACGAGAAGGCTTGTAGCGAACAACGGCTTTACACCACAAGCGGGCATCGTCACAAGAACCTCCACGACGGGACAGGCAATAGGGATAAGAATATGCTGACGATGAATGACATCAATGATATGAAAATTTATGTGGCATAAATCTTCTTACCAATGAAGATCCAAAGTCCTCTTTACTTTTTGTCTTTTTTACACACAGACGTCACAGATTAAAAAGGTTGTTAAATATTACAGACTAACAGAATGCGCTCCACACGACATCGTCCCCTACTAACTTCACAAGAGAACGATGGATCCCCAGTCCTAGATCATTTGAGAAGTAGTCTTACTTTTATTTGGTGCATGTTGCCCAGCACTGTTCTATCTTATGACAATGAAGAAGAAAACTACGTGTACTATTTGCCTAATTTGGAGAAGTGAATCATGACAGAAGAAGAAAAAATGTTCTAATTATTAGTGACTGAGACTAAATTTAAAGCACACACAATCGGAGCAGAGTAGCAGGAGGGTACTGTGGCATTCTGACTGTAGAAGGTCTAATATATCTATTTGTTTGTATTCGCATCATCAAGAATATTGATGTCATGGAGATATATCCGTCTGTTATTGTTCAGCTTTAATATTCTACATCTACTTACTTGAAGCCCTAAACTAAGTACCTCTAATCGCTACCTCTGTATTATTTCGCAAAAGGAAGTCGTGGAAAAATCATCATCATTTCTATTAAAGAATTCCAAATCTACCAAGACTTCTACCTTTACCTTTCATGTCGACACTTCCAAGACTAAAACAAACTGTAAATTAATCTTATACACGGTTGTAATATACGTAGAACCAATCAGTATTGACGCAGCGTGGCCTAAAACGGACACTAAAGACGTCGGATCGAAAAGTTATCATAACATCGAACTATCATGCTGATCTAACTGCTGTCTATAATCATGTTGATCTAACTGATGTAGTCATCTTCTCTTCTCTAACATCATGATGAGATTATCACATCCCGACTACGTTCCCCCCGGCTTCAAACGTTGCCGCGAGCATGAGCGAGGCTGTTGATCGACGCGGACTTGATGACCTTGAGCTGCCTGGCCTTGAGCCTGATTTCGAGCTCACCCAAATATGATCCATCTTGAGACGCATTTTGAGACCGTTTCCCCCTTGCAAACGTCTCTGAGATGCTTCCGAAGATGGATATTAGGGGGAGGAAGCCTTAACTGATGCTCTGTACCTACTAAATGGTCTGACGCGAAACTCTGGCCCAGCACGTCTGTCGTCGTGCCACTCCACGGGCCACAACTCGTGCCTCCCGCAGAAGTATGCTGCTCATCAAGGTGCTGGGAATTTTCATCATGGTCGTGGTAACGTGTCTGATAGCCATGAGAGAGAGGGTCATGAGAGCTGCGTCTTGAGGAGGGGTAATTTGAACAACGTCCTTGTCGTTGATCATGATAGGCATGGTACCCAGGGCTAAGAGGACTGTCGTGACTTTTGCCTTTGCCACTGTGTGCGGAAGAGGAAATGACGGCAGCGTGTTGGTTAGCGTAGAGGTTTATGCGGGAAACAGGGACAAGGATGTTGTTGAGCTTCAGATTTGATGGAAAAACTCAAACAAGTCCAAAGCCAGGTCAATCATCGTCTTTCTTCAACAACGCTTTATTGAAAGAACTCTAGTATGTAACCCTCTCAAAATGATAAATTCTAGTAACCCTTTCAAAATGATAAATTCTAGTAAGTCAACGTTCTTTTTATAATTGTTCTAGTAAAAACCCTCTCAAAATCATAAATTGTTCACCACCTTCTCCAGCACCATCTCGCGACCTCTGCGGCTCAGCCCCTCCTCGCTGCTCTACTTCCTTTTTACGAGTATGCCTCATCGTGGACGAAGTGACCACGCTTGTAGCTGCCGGATATTCGTCGTACAGGAAGGAATAAGGGACGCTGCGAGCTGCTTTTAGAGGTAGGCTGTTGGTGCTCGTTTATCCCGCTGGTTATGGCTGTCCCCCTTACGAGAGCCATAGCAAACGATAACAAAAGCACCTTTAACCTACCCTTAATGCTTGATAGTGGTAATGTTGACCGCTGCGTTGGGAAATTTCGTGCTCCAGTCCGCCAAAGCTACTATGGAGCGTTTCTTGAAGATTTCCATATTCTTCCACGTACTTGTGTTCCCCAGCAAAGTAATCGTACCCGTGGTAGTCGCGATGATAATCATCTTCGTGCTCTTCATCTACGTGTTGTTGTTCTTGTTCATGTTCATGATAGTAGCCTTCCCAATGAGCATGTTGAAGTTGATCTCCACCTCCATCGACGCCATCATGATATACTACATCATGTTCATGTCCTATCCTACTATGCAGACTCTCCTCCTCATCTGCGTCTACTAAATGATGAGTTGTCACGAGGTCAACCCGATCGATGTCTATAAAGTGAGTCTCGTTGCCATCAGGGAACACGATCAAAGTCCCATTCTCAGGCGGCGACAAGCGAGTATCTATTTCCAGAAGGTCTTCTGAACAGCAAGAGACGAGTCTTCTAGATGGCGTGTCATCGTCAGATGAGCCAGTCGGCACTGGTTGAGGCTCAGTTCTAGATGACGTGTCATCGTCAGATGAGCCCGTCGGTACTGGTTGAGGCTCTACTTGGGGAGGCGGGATCCACCCAGGTGGATAATTTGGAGTCGGTGCTCGCGAACCAAGCGAAAATGATCGAGGTGGGTTGTACGCATTGTAGTACTGCTGTTGAAGAGGGCCACCAGGAAATCCTCCACCATTATTCATAGTGGTGCTATCATAAGTGCTAAAGAGCTCGGACGATGTCGAGAGAGAAGTAGATGGAGAGCCAGGTCCCTGGAAGGTGCGCCGGATGTAAGACGCTAGCATACTCTCAGCTTCGGTTTCATCGGTAAGAAGAGTGGGTGGACGCTTGTACTCTTCTTTCTCGACTACACTGCTGCTGCTGCTGCTGTGCTCTGTCGCAGCTCTTTGGTCAACATCACGCTGGTTGGAACGGCTGTCGTTATTGTCGAGGTGGGGGACGTTCTGTGACTCTGCTGAAGAACCTGAAGAACCTCGTGTTTCTGTCGTAGCCTCCTGAGATGCATCATTTTCGTTCGCCGCAGAATTCGCTCGTAGATCTGCTGCGGTGGTGCAAGTGGATTGACCTAGTTGAGGTTGTTCGACTACAGCACCTGCGCCGCTCCTCCCAACTGAACCGTTCCCTGAGGGGATATCATCTACCTGTGCGTCTACTTGCAGCACATCTCCTGTTGATGGAGTGTTTCCTTGCGTGGTCCTATCAGTCGCTGCTGGATCACTTCTCGTCTCAGGTGAGGCAGGTAGTGAGGTAGCGGAAGGAGTTGCCCTAGGTGCTTGGCTCGTCGGAGTCGTACTACCACAGTTGCTTGACGTGATCGGTGCATCACTCACGCGGTCAACTACACTTGCCCTTTGTCCACGACTAACTCCACGACCAAGTCTACAAGTCTGCCTACGCACCAGTTTCGTCAACAAGTAGTCAGCAGCAGAAATAGCGTCACCCTCCCGATAGAAAGGACCCCAAGATCGACGATGCTTGGTACCTGCATCGCCCTGAGGTGAGCTCCACGCAGTGTAACTCTCTAAAAACCAAACATGAGGACCAGAAGAAATCGGTATATTAGAGCGAAGGCCTTCCTTGGTGTTTCTGTTCCCCGTTTGTATTAATCCTCTTACCACTTAGGAGAGTCAAGACATCGGAATCTTAGACAGAAACACCAAAAGCTGCCAATGCTTAAGTGTATGAAGAGGATGGTCTTCTTGGTCCTCAACATCAGGATTGTGGTCTACTGGTTGAGAATGAATATAGCTACGTGGTGGCATCAAAATGTCATCGAAAAGCTCGACTGCCGAGCCAAAAGAATGTCGAGGATCGCGCTCGGGCGGCAGACTCCGCGGTTGTTCGTCAGCACGAGTAAAAAAATCTGAGTCCGTACAACCTCCCAGAGAAGCGAGTCCTCCCGAGAACGAGCAGAAAGATCTAGACGAGGATGAAAAATCGCCTACTTCTGTCTTGTTTGTGGTTGTTGAAGAAGCAGGAATAATTGGGCGAAGAGGTTGTGACGCCTCTCGTCTTGGCTGAAGAAGAGGTGGTGGAGAAAAAGAATACATGTGATGTCCTCCCTCATCTACCTCCTCGGACTGGTGTTGATGCCAATACGAGGATAGACCGGCACTATCGACGTCTTCTTGGTTTCTGCCTGAATCATATTCATCTGCCACTTGCGCATCGTCTGCAGCAACGTTCTCCACTGGCGCAGCATCATGCTCTAGAGAAGCAACCGAAGCAACCGTAGGTGCTGGCGCACTCGCAAGTGGCTTTTCAGCAGACAGCAGAGACGAAGCAGAAGCAGAAATGAAGGTCGTGTTCCATACCTCGACCTCCATCTCCTGAGAATGCATATTAACACCTCCTCCAGTCGGAAGCAATGCATCACCAGCTTCAGCACCAGCCTCCTTGATACTTCTACGCTCCTCCTGGTGCGCAACATATCCTGGGATAGAACTCAGATTCATGATGTGTTCATTTGCCTTCGCGAAAAGGTGGTGCTGCTGCGCGCGTAGCACATCGTCATCGTTCGAGGAGGGTCTGGAACTATGGTCCACCCTCAAACTGCTAGAGTCCGATAAACGTTGTCTCTCTGCGGGAGAACCGGTGGGGATCATTTGAGATTAGAAGACGAGGGAGGTTCGAGGTGGTCGAGATCGAGTGCTGTGACTTTGAGGATCACACAACGATGAATTCACATGATTCATTTGTTTCAACCAGGAACGCATACTATTACTAGCGGCATCAATTTAATATGTAAGAACCTCCAATGTTCTTTCTTTTGTACTACTTTATCATTATCATTCTTTCGCGCGCGACCCGATCGCCTCGCACTTTTGTTCAAAGAATAATTTTCATACATAGTGGAAGAAGCTGTAGGTGACACTATCACGACAAGGAGCCTTAAAACAGTTCGGATTGCGAAGATCCACTCACTTCAGAACGGCCGCCAGCAGCATTTCCCAGTGGCCGTCTTCCGCTCGATCTCGAGCTAGGAGGAGGGCTAATCGGCTTACGAGCGCTAGACCGCGAAGACGGTGGGGGACTCGCACACTTGACGTTAATACAACTAGAAGAGGACGTGGAGGAACTACTAAAGGATAGGGAGCTACCTCCTGGTCTAACGTTTACGTTGTTAACACGGCTTACAAATAGGGGGTTCTCCAGTGATGCGGGGTCCTCGCTGTTCATCTCCTCTGACTGCGACATGGTTCCAATTCCCAAAATCTCCCTCGACACTTCTTCGTGGAGGAGCTAGTGAGAAGTGCTTTTTTGTACTACTCTTATTTAGCACTGTGGTTGTTCTTGGGAACAATAGACACGCTGGCTTTTCGTTGTGGTTGTGGCGAGAAGGAGATGTCGCCATCAAAGATTTCTATTATCAGACAGGAGGACTTCCTTAACCTTGTGATTAGGATAGGAGTTGGCTCACCTATGAAGGGGTGAGCGTTCGAAATCGAAGCCATTAAAGAGCCATAAAAGATGAAACGATGATTATGTTGAAGCAAGAATGTTGTTCTATAATTTCACAACTATGCGGTCTATGCTACGTGTTCCACTTTACAAATAATTGAAATTCTTTAAACATCAAATGCACCCAATGATTCGGTACTCTATCAAAAGAAAATAATCCATGCTTCTACCCAAGAATATTTTACTTGTTTATCCGAAACGAGAACGATAGTGGCGGCCGGCTAAAGGGGTAAGGGGTATTACTCAACAAACGAAGCTTGGGACCGGGAAGAGGAAGATGGAAAGGAGCTTGTAGTCCCGTTATTGCTTCTGTTCCTTCGTTTTTGACTGATTAAGGACAAAGCATATTAGCCTTGCCAGTAGTATGATAGCCAAGACGAAGACGTAGAGAATTGATATATCTCGAAAAAAAATGTTGGGCCGGTGTGCAGTTCCGATACCAATTCATCAAATACAATCTCGTCGATGTTGTCAGTCACGACTACTGGAGGGCAAAAAAAAACTCTGAATTTTCAAAAAACAATATGCTGCCTAAAATTTGCAGAGGGGTTGTCTATGCATGACTTGGATGCAGGGTGTTGGAGGGGTACAACTTCTACTGCGTGTTATTACAGTATGACTCTATCTGATGCTGGTATTTTTGGATGTGAAATCATATGTTGGGATGACCATGAGTAATTTTGTTATAATGAATCCAATATCAAACTAGCAATGCTATCGGAGATGTAAAATATGGTCCTATGGTCGGTATGTTTTTTTCGATTTGTTTGACTTATCGAAATCATTAGATTGAAAGTCAAATCTTCAAGTTCTACTACCTTTTATGTTGATCATGCAAACAAGATAAATCAGTGAGTCTTTACCAATAAGTGAGTATTTACAGCACAAGAAATTTGATTTTAGTACCCATAATTTTTCATCACGATTAGCACACTGGAAAAAGTCTAACTCTAAGTCTGATTGCTAAATAAGTCTTTAGCTCCTGTCGCAATCAATAGATGGCGCGACACGACTGATGGTCATGAGTGATTGTGAATTGTTCCGCTACCGCTTGCTACCTCGTTGTACTAGTAGAAAGTGCCACGTACAAACGTGTCTTCCTCGTTCGACGACTGGAAGACGATCTAGCGGTCTACTTACTTCGTCTCCCCGAACGAAGATATCGATAAGCAGGCACGTTGGTCCGTGGACGCTTTGATCATGTTCTTTACACCGCTAGATGATAAACATATTTCTCAACTAGTACAACGGGCAGAACCGTCTATCAACGGATGATCGCTGTGTCTTTTTTTTGAATTATCTAGAAGCTAGGTACTAGTTAGATAGATACAGTTACAGATAGGCTCGAGTAGAACTGAAGTAAAACTGTAAGTAAACTTCTGTAAGTATCTATATTTTATCGTGTTGTTTAAAACTTCAATGGAGAGATCCACAATTCTTATAATAGGATGATAAAAGAATATCAAAACTTCATCAACCTGGTGTCAAAGAAGACTATAATTTTCAGGTAGCTGCCTGCATATCATGGTGCATGCTACTTCTGGAGGAAAAGGAAATACTTAGACTTAAGGTTCGTGTTACAAGAACGTAAATATTTGAATTACACTGATTCCGATTCGGTCGTTGGTGAATCGTTTGCCCCTGATATTTCGAATTCCATGAGGACGATACCAGTTGAGAGATAGTAACGATAACTAAATGATCGTTGTGATTTTCTTCCGCTGTGATGACGTGTCCTTTACTTAATCACTAAAACTATGTCTACCTTTACACCTACAACTTTCTTAACTTAGTAGATCAAATATCGATGAATGGACTAGATCTTGGAAGTGTATGGTTCATGTCACTACTCTGCACTTTTTAGATAGTCTAGTCGTAGATTAAATAAAAATGCTCTAACAAGAACGGAGGTGTGATCATATCTTCGTACATAATGGTGTGATCATAAATTATTGATGAATTTTCTAGCACGAGAGAAGGAAAGAGGGAGAAAGATTGACGAGATTGTGGACTCTACTTCGAAGGTGAAAGAATACGCCAATCTACAATCCTATTGCGCTTTTTTGAGGATGAAGATGTGGTTGCTTTCTTGAGAATCATGATGCATTGAGATTGATGAGATGTGAAGGAATCGTCTCTGATGTGTGAATCATCTTCATGCTAGTAAGTTCTAGAAGTGTTTCCTCTCGGAGGTTCCTCTCTGTACTACTCGACGAGGTGCCTCGGTATCCATGTAATAATCTCATATACTACTTCAACTTCACTCGGTGGCGTTTTAACTTCACTCGGTTCACTCGGTTAGTGCATTTTACTCATAGAGTGAAAACCCTCTTCCACTTTCTTCCAACATGCACTCAAACTCATGGTAACATACTTACAATACAATAACGTAGAAGTTCCTTGGTACTTACAATTATAGTCTGTTGCTCTCGTGTTGCTCTCTCTTGCTCTCGCGTGGCAGGAGTTCGGGGAGATCCACCTCTAATGGCTGGTAAGCAAGAGATAAGAGCCGAGAAATACAGGCACTGTTAGGTTAGCAATTATTAAGTATGAACACGTTGTGCTACACAATGTACAGCATGATAACGGATTATCACCAGAGATCCTCTAATGGATAACCTTAAAACCTTCATCGAACTTATGAAGGATTGAACTTGGGAAAAAAATGAAACGATGACTGCGTATATCACTTTTATTTGATGCTATGCATTCTGTAGGCCGATCTTCAACATGTTTGCTTATTTTGTTCCTTGACGTTCGTTGGTAAAATTTGGATGAAACAGCTATCAATCTGTTCATTTTGTTTGGTAGATTTAGATCAGATTATATATCTCAACTTAGTAGCAAGCAGCGTCTGTAACTGTACATTTTCAACATCATTCCATGATAACCACGAGCACATACAACGACCATCACAAGAGAAAAAAGTGATGACAACGAGAAAAATCAGATCACGCCAGAACATCATGAAACACCGTCAAAACGCTATCGCATAGCTGAAAAACGTTGTAGTCCACTTGCTTCGAAAACGGTTCCACTGCACCACCAAGGGAGTTGCACATTAGCTTGTACCTGAAGGAGTTACGCACATTAGCTTGTACCTGTTGCGAGTTATTCGATAAACTACTGAGAAACATTGATTAACCGAGGAGTAACTAAGTCCTTAAAATACTTAATAGGAAGCGAAAATCTGTTATCATTATCAAGTTTCTTAAGTAGAAAAGTACGATAATGATAACAGATTTTGGCTTCATACTTAAAATAAGCGAGGTGCTGAAAAATGAAGAGGAATGTAGTCAAGACTCTTTGATTTCAGTCAGTAACTCGCTTATGTTTAGTTTTCGAGTACGCATTAAGAACTTGTAGTTCGTTGCGCCTGGTGTCGTGGTCGGACTATCATCAAGTTGGGGGATTATCGAGCAGGTCGGTAGTTTGTTCTCATGAGGAAAGCTGGAATGGTGTAATTAAAACTCAGACAAAAATGCTTCCACCTTTACAAGAACATGACAAGCCTTGTTGGAGGACTGATACAACTAGCAGTGGAGCCAAACTAACTAGGAAAAGAAAAAGGAAGGATAGTAGCAGAAAATTCACCATTTCGAGAATGTAAGTGTACCGTTCCCCCGCCACCCCGCTCAACACAGCGGGTTCGCACGTTGCTTTCCATGTGCGGATCAACTCGGTACCGGTCACGCCATTCTGCTTGATTTGTCTCGCAAATTTGACACATTGATCCCAGCCTTTGGGTTTCTGGCCCCGAGGACCCAAGGCTGGGGAGGATAGACCGCTGCCGCTAGTACCTGGTGTAGGAAGCAGATAGTTGTAGTCTGGTGGAGCGGATGGAAACTTCGTGTTGTAGTCTGTTCTTGATTACTCAAGTGCAGTTATCAAACGACCTCTATTAATATTATATGGGTGGATCCAACCTAAGCCTAACTAGGAAAAGTAAAAAGAAATGAATGTAGATGTTATCAAACCTCTATTATTTGTGATCTTAGGAGGCAACGTCTCTTATCTTTCTCATTGTATCTGCACCGTCTCCGGACCCGCCCATTGGCTGCGCGATCGGCATCTGAGTCTCCCGACGACCCAGCTCCGTGAGGTGAATATTCTGTTGCGCTACAGCATTGCGAGACGAAGGAGTTCTTGAAGCAGAAGTTTTACTTGTCGCAGAAGACGAGGTCCTCGCCTTTCGTCCAACAAATTTGGCCGCTTCTACTTCCGCATTTTTCATCTGTTTCGCTGCTTGCGCTGCTTTGCCTCGTGCAAACTCCTTCTGAAACTCCTCTTGTTCCGCTGCTTGTTGGCGTCGACGACGTAAGTTCATCGCATTCATGACGTCCAATTCTACCTTGGTGACTGCTTCATGCTCTTCGCCGTTTTCATCGACAGAATCATCGATGTTGGAGAAATCTCCTTTTACAGCTTTTTCTTCCGAAGAGGAGGAAGATCCTCGTGATGATGATGATGTAGTTCCAGTTCCACCCTTGTTCTTCTTGTTCATACTTCCAGTCATCTCCGACAAAGAAACAGCAGTTCTACTAGACAACCCAACATCGTCCTGCTGTGCTTGTCCTTCTTGCTCATCTACCTCGTCAGCACTAGTAAGGTTATTGTCGAAGCTCTCTCCATCCGGAAGTTCGAAAACTTTGATTTCAGGATGCTCATCCTGGGTTGTAAGAAGCGGTTGTTGAGCAGTAGGAGTTGCACTAGCAGTAGGAGTTGCACTCGGAATTCCGGATTTCTGTTCTGCGCGAGCCGTATTTTTCACGGCAACCAGAGATACAACTGCCTCTTGGTATTGGTGTTCTTCGCCTGAGTAGATAGATAGATAGATGTACCCACTCACGGGGTATATTAAGATAATGTAATATGATCGAAGACCCAGACAGTGATGTTATATTGCAGTAAGAAAGTTGTAACTTGCTTCTGTATGCTCTATTTCCATTATGATCTTCAACAACATCTAGTACTGTTCTTCCTATGCGGCTTCGTTTCCATCACTGTTGGAATCGATCCTGCATCTAGCGACTCTGCTGGCGCACGGCCACCGCTGAGCAGAGAGATCGGGCGACGTACATGTTGCACGACGTCCAACGCTAAAACTGGGCGATGGGCAAGTAGCAGCGCACAAACGGTGCCCAAAGAGAGTTGCCTCATCGTTTCCCCTAGTGCAGGGGCCCTCTCCGTTGAGAGAGGTCCACCTTCTACTAGGAGACTTTTCAGTTCGTTTTATTGAGAAGTTATTATAACGGATTTTTCGAGTCTGGTGAGTACCTATCGTGCTGCGTGTTTGCATTTCGCAGTATATCGACGAAGAACTCATTTCTCGAAATTGCCATGTTCCATGTTTATGTTTTAGCAGTAGCACTCATATGACTCTGCATCAATCCACTCAGAAAAACGTCTTCCCTTCTCTCCCTCTGGTTCTGATATTTTGCTCTTTTATTACATTTCTAGAAAATGTACTCGAACTAACGATCGCAATATCTTCCCTGCAATAGTGGGGGACTTCTGGACATCATTCATCTCGTACAGGAGACGAACTTTGCGCAGCCGCAGCATCATCTGGATGCTTAGCTTTCTGTTTCAATCGACACGACTTCGTTCAATGAAAGCAGCAAATCAAAATCAAAATCGAACTATTTCTTCGTCACTTCCTCCCCATCAGCACCCTTCTCTCCACCTCCACCGCCCACTATTTTCAAATACTCATCTAGTTTATTCTGTAAACGCTTCAAGAGATTCTTCGTATGTGGATCTCTAGAGCTTTGCCAGGCGTCAAAGTTCTCCTGTGTTGACTGCAACTCCCGTATCCGCTTGTACTTAGCGGAAAAATCTTCTAGGAAGTCAGCCCCTGACTCTGCTGCTTGTAACGCGGCGGGGAAGGACAGGAATGAGGATCTCGACGATAGGAATGAGGATGACACCGGAATTGAAGAGGAAGAGCGCATCGACATGGATTCTTCTGTGCAAGATGTGGTCCTCGACGACGACGACTGCAGTGGTCCGACAATAGTACTTGAAGGCGACGTGGCTAAGGCTATCACTCTGTCGTGATTGTAATAAAGCTCTGCCGGATCCTTCAGAAGGTGAGATGCGAGCGTGCCGTGAACTCCCATCTTTATTTTTCTTGTTGCAGTTCTATTTCGTCTGAAATTCTTTCATTCATTTATTCGTGTCTTAGACAGTACTACTCCACTACTACGACTAATCACACTCTACTAGAGTGGTCTAACACGACTCTACTATAATATGTTCCTAGACTTGAAGTCGCAATCAATTATGCTCATCTATGTGTATGATGACTAGAAACTTCAAGATGATCAGACTATGCTTTCCATCACATGAAAGGATAGTGCGCGGCCCGCGAGGACGTTGAACGAGTCGTCCAAACATATTACGAATGTTCCATGTTACGAATAGAACCGATGGAAAGACCACCACAAGGCTCCCTCCAGAGGGACAGAGAGAGAGACCGATAGCAATTAATTACGACCGAGAAACTTTACACCCAGTTGTTGTCAGACATGTAAGATGTCCAACGAAGAACACTGCACTGGAGGCACACATTAGCTTTAGCCACCAAAACGCGACACCTCCTTATTTCGCTTGTGGGTAAATGAGTGGGTGCGTCGGTCTTCATCTCATAAAAATGTTTTGAGTCTTTGAAATCACGAGTAGTGTCCTGCTTTTGGAGGACGTGGGGTCAAAAGGTCAAGATATAATGTTTTCTCGTCTGTAGGGACTTGGAAAGGTTAGCATAGGATTCCTCAGATGTTCATACTCTTAGAAAGGATATCCCGACTTCCCTAAGTTCGTTTCCATCTGCGGGTAACCGCCTCCTCCACCTGTGTAGCTATCTGCAGCTGCTTGCTGCCCTCTCGCGGGTGAAGTAGAGGCAGTTGCTGTTGCTGAGGCTTCGGCGGGTAAGTAACTGGGAACAGCAGCAGTGTTGGATGCGGTGATTTGTTCCATTCTAATTTCCTCCTCGAGAGCTTCAAACTCTGCGTCTAGTGCCTCGTCGTCGACGCCGTCGAGCTGTGTGGACGATTGTAATTGTAGAAGAATATCTATAAGATTGTATATTGCTGTTTGTAATCGATGTCGTTGTATTTATTCCTTTCTGTCTAGTGGATGCAAGGTGTTTTTGTATATTCTTCAAAGGATGTATAAGTATATCTATTTTCTTCAAAAGATGTAAGTAGAAAAATATCTATATTCTTCAAAAGATGTATTTAAGTAGAAAAGAGTACGGCATAATTTCTCCCCATCATTTCGTTAATCTCCTCCACATCCATCTGCATGTCGCCAAGGTCGTCAAAGAGATCTGCCACTCTATCCGGGTCCAGACCTCCTTTCGTTGCGTCCGTCAACTTCTTCATTTGCTCCAGCGACCCTTCCATCGCCTTCACGGTGTTCGCAGTCATCACCATGTTCTCGTGCTGCAAGGACATCCCTTCCACGTTCAACTGTGTGGCCATCAATTGCTGCTGTTGCTGCTCTAGCATCTTTTTTCTTTTCATGATCTGAAGGGCTTTTTGTTTGGCTAAGGTGGACCCGCCAGTGCGGTTGCCCGTGTTGCCCTTCATCAGTTGCACGATCTCTTCGTCGCATTCCTTGATCCTCCTATCCAACTCTTGAACCCTTCTATCCATCTGGTTACTGGTGGCAGCAAGCGTTGGTGCGGGTTCCTCCTTCCTCCTGGGCTCATTGGACTTGGTGTCCACAACATTGCCGAAAATACGCTTCATTTTTGAACACAACTCCCGAGTTCCAGTAGGAACAGTCTGGAACCAACTCCCGAGTAGATGAAGGAGACAGTGCTGTCGGAGACAGGAGCGTTTGCGGTTAACGCGAAACGGAATAAATGACTCAATTATTAATACTCCTTAAACTTATCCAAAACAAGAACACATCATCACTAGGTTGCGCCTACTTTCTTACTCTAGAACAACACCACTCAATCTTTAAAATTTTTGTTTTTCATCTACAGCGAAAAATTCAAAACGAAAACCAGCTAGTTTTTTCATCAAACGAAGATTGCTTACGCTGCCTGTGTGGGATACGCATAAGGAGGTCATCATGAGGCTTTGCTTTTGTCTCTCAGTCCTCGCTCGAACTGAAAAATGTGCTGCCAAAGATGAAGTGCGAAAAGGAAAGTCTCTCAAAGATGATCATTTAGTCAACAGAGATTCCTTGCTCTCTCACACCAGATATTATGATCGTGTCAGACAAGATTTTTGTGTCAATTGCCAGGATCTTGGATCTTGACCTTTAGTTGTCTTTAGAACTTCTTACACGTCTACAGCTTGTGCTCGCTGCCGCTGCATGGATCTCTTCAAGAAGAACTTCTCCTCGGCAACAACAAAATGCTCTGTCGTGAAGGATCCGTTTTTCACGAACTAGCGACGTTCGTGGAACAACAAAATGCTCTGTCGTGAAGGATCCGTTTTTCACGAACTGTTCCAGTTGTTGTAGCTAAGATGAGTACTTCTACATCTCGCGAGATGGAAAGAAAACTATATAAAGATGCTCATCTTCAACCTGATGCTATATGTGACTGAGAAAGCGACATCAGCTGCTTGGGGAGGTTGGGCAAAGGAGCTAAGACGTATCACAGTCTCCTGATGTTCTTGCGTTTGGGTTGAAGGGTCCCTTCTTGACTCTATTTTCGGCTTCCCTAGAAACTCCAACAACTCCACTAGCCCTGCTCGTCGTAGTCCTGGTCTGCGTCGTCCGCGCATCCTTGTCATCAACTAGTTAGAACTAACGGAACAAGTCTCCCATTTTGAGCAGCATCTTGGGTCTCCTTTGCCCTTTAAAAACGGGACCAAGAAGATGCCTCATCTGAAGATGGATTTGATTTCTTGTACGACCCTTAAACTAGACCGCCTTCTCCATCTTCATGTACTAGACTGCCTTCAACTTAGACCTTACTTTTATTCATCTTGGAAAGCATCTTCGACGCAGTTCCCTCTTGAAAAAGGGATCAAAGATGCCTCTTAAGACCATCTTCATGTACTAGACTGCCTTCAATTAAGAGGAATTATCCCAAACCTTCTCCAGCCAAGATAATTAACATTGATCTTTCTCGCGTCTCTCGCTTGTTGGTGAACACTCCGCAAACAGATCTGCTACGTGTTCACGCATTTGTATTTAGTTGAGCTTAAAGGACCACCGTAGTGTCCTTGGTACAAAGAGCCAATCAAAGATCTTAAACATCCTTCAATACCTGGGGATCCCACACATGTATGAGCCACGAATTATGTGGCCTAGGATAAGGTATGGGACCAAGCAGGATCACTTAACTTATCAATTTCCATGAAGAAGTGAAATTTTACTTGGATGCACAACACTGACTATGGGGGGAGGCCAGTGAGATCCTTGGGAGGAGGCTCCGTTTTCGTCATTAGCAGCGCTATGACTCGGGGGTCCTATAACTAAAGAATTATGAAGAGGAAAAAATTTTACAAAGAGATGTTTGATTTAACGGGCGACGCCCCATAGGTGTGGGTTTTGAATGATGAAATCAGCGTGTAATTGTTCTTCGGTTGCTAAAGAGAAGAAATCAGTAAAGGCTCGAAATCGCTCTTCTCTGGTCAGGGGATCACTTAGGTTTCTAGCCGAGCAGATCCAAGTAAAATAAATATCGAGATTATAATCTTGGATTTTCTGATGGATGCTCGCACTGAGTTTCTGAGTGCGTGGGCATCTAGTGCTGTTCGCGCATAGCGCGAAAACGTCGCCTAAGTTATCCACGTGCTGAATGAGAAAGTAGTCTCGGAGAAGGTGTGCCCAAATGAATGTGGAAACGTTCACTGCTAACGCTTCCAATATGCCTATGTGCATGTACTCGCCGGAGAGGAAGCGGGGCAATGAGTTCAGCTTTAAGCGGAAAAAGCGTGCGCCCTGTGGGAGGTTGATGTAAGCGCCAATTGACATCTTGTGATCATGGAGGTTGTCGAACTGCCCACGTTTCAACTTCTCGTTGAGACCTTGCACGTCCTCAAGGGCAGCGTCCGAGTACGCATGGCCGACGGGTTTGTCAACTCGAGTTGGGTTTATGTGCAGCGGTTTAATGTGGTGCAGCGCCCACACCATCAGCTTAATCGAGGCCAACGCTCTGTTTTTCTCGGCTGTTTGGCTTAAGCATCTCGCGAAGTTGTCTGCTAGGAAATCGACCCCTTTCGCGATGAAGATCTTGAGGCGATCTAATGATGCGCAGTGGCGGAACAGCCCTCTAAAGGTAAGGACGAGAGACAGCTCGACCCGATTCTCAGCGAACTGGCGAATAAGCGCATCACCCAACTCCACACAACGTTTGATTTTGTCTGGGCTAACTGATATCTTCAGCCCGAAACTACGCAGATTAACCGGGTTTATCTCGTAGGCCAATCCAAGGACCGTGATCGATTTCTGGAAGCGATGGTGACGATCGTCTTTCTCGGGACTTCGCCACCAACCTGTGAGCCCTAAGTAAAGGTTGACCAATTCGATTTGTTTCGTAATACATTCTGGTCTGCATTGCGGATGAAAGTCGTCTATGTAAGCAGTGGTGAGTACTTGGAGTAGAACTACTATAATCAGCTGATGAATCTCGCTTGTATGAACGCACTCGTGAACGCTCGAGAGTGCCCCAAACAAAGCCACCGTAGATGGGGTCACTTGCCATCTGCGAAAACGTCCTTGATTGTCTGGTTTCGATGACACTTGGATGGAATCCGGTTGGAGGTGAGAATCAGGCACGCTGTGGGGGACGGGGTAGAACATTATGTTCTTGCTTGGATCTTCCGTACCGTGTTGGAAGTAGTAACCTTCCATGTCCGCTTTTGCCATGGCCGGCACGAAGCTGTACTTAAGGTCAGGCTTGCTGACTGGGTTTCGGTAGATCTTCTTGTTTTCAGGTTGCGACTTGTCGAAGAGTTGCTGGTGTTCTCGAAGAAGTTGCTGCCTGATTGACTTCTCCGTAGTCACATCCTCTTTAACGTCTTTCTTATTCTGTAAAATGAGATGTCGTTTTTTCCATTCCACATGTTCGGACATTAACGCGCAAGATAGTTCGATGGATGCGCGGGAACCCAAGAGACGCATGCGCTCTTTCACTACCTGAAGCTTGTTCTGGCCTCTTAAGTCAACGCAGGTGCGAATCTTGGTAGGGTTCTCCGGAGTCGGCTGATGAACCGGAAACGGGACAGCACCTCCAACGGCCGTCACGGACGAGATTGGAGCGGGCTGCCAGAAACCTTTCTTGTGCATCTTCAAGTACTGCTTCCACAAGACCTCAATGTCCTCCTCTGGTGCCCAGTGATTGTGGTCTGGAGGCATACGCGATCTTCTGGCTGCCTCTTCAGCGATTGCGCGTTTCGCCTCGACTTCGTCCGAGTCCAGCATCCTCCAGAAGCCACATGGTTCCACCTCTTTATCCATGGAAATGCCATTAATCATTTTGCGCTTCCATGAGAGAATGAATTCAGCATTCTTGTCGACCAGGGCGTCGCAACCCCTGGCGATAGATACTGCTAGTTCTAGTAGCCGGTGAGCGAGTGCGAAGTTCTTGCCATCGTAAACGACTTTAAGGTGAGGAGGCATTTTGCTGAATAATTCTGCGTTTTTCGTCCTGAGACTATGTTCTTCCGCAATAAGCCATGACGCCAGTCGCGTAGCTTCGGCGTTTATTTCTTCGGGAAGCGAAGTTTTGCTTTTTGTGATGGTTGGTGTGAAGTAGTCTGGCAGTGTAGGACCTGCGCCATAATCGCGAGCTGCATCGGTCTCGAGTACTGGCTTCCAGCTGTTCACTGCGCCTTGGACCAGTTTTTTCTCTGATTCGGTGGAAGACATAAAGAATTGCGAGCTGACTTCGGAGATGGATGAGGGGGAAACGGGTCGAGACTGGTGCTGAGCTAGTGTCGGTTTCCCTATGGATTCTTCTACATCTTGCAAAATCTCGGGTTTCGTGAAAACTTGGTAGGACGCGGCTTTGCACTGGATGAAATGTTTTGGCACTGCTTTTGATGAAGATGAGCTACCCGCGACCACCGACCTAGCGTTTTCAGCCTGCTGCTTGAGCTTCTTGAAGAAAGGGTTGGTAAATAGCGAGTAGTCTACTTTATTAATATCTACGCGCCCTCCTTCGGTACCATCCTGGAATTCGGACGACGCTCTTCTTCGTTTTGCATTTATCTCATCTGCATCCGAGCGATGGCTTTCGATTGGAAGTGACAATGTTGGCTGTCCATTGTTGGTTGTGGAACCTTTGTTGACTATTAGTCCATGCAGCGCCGGAGGCAGGTCGCCATTGCTGGCCGCTGTCAGATCTAAATCCAGCTGCGATCTCAATTCGTTGCATAAATTATCGAAGTCTCCGCGTTCTTTCTTTTCTAGGTATGCCCGCCTTTGTAGACGTAGTAGTTCTAGATGAGACTGCCTCAGGAAGTGGCCCCATTGTTGTTGCTTGAGCTCGTGAAGGATCTTTTCTTGCTGCAGCCTAGTAAAAGAATCTGGGTTGTCGTAGTCGTACTGTGGTGCCCCGTCCTCATCGACTGGGGCGTAGTACAGTGGTGGTTCGTCTTCTTGATCAAATGAGTCCATCTTGATGTAAGCTATCAGGTGGGGGGGGAAAGGGAATCAGAAGGGAGAAGTTGTTGCGCTAGCACTTATTGTGGACGTTAGTATTCTCGGACTGCGATGCTCTTTCCCTCGTTCGTGGTTGTGTGACGCCACTCGTTGCCTAGGAATGAAACCACATGGACTTTGACCCGCAAACTTTTCCACCCGCGTTTCTTCTGCAGGCTCCGCAAGGCGGCCACTGTCCTGTTGTTCGCTGTGTACAGTGTGGCGCCGATGAAGTAGCCTCGAATCTTTAAGTCGTTTGTAAGGTCTATGTCTCTACGGTGGGTAAATGAGTTCAACGCTGTAAAGATACTTTGACCGGCGTAAGGCCCTTTGTTGAAAAACTTTGAAATATTGTTTTGCGAGAAACGAAGATTAGATATATCAGTTTCTACTATACTCATTTTGTGGTGAGGTGCTACCGTTTAGGTAAGACAGAAAGCTTTTGCGAAGTCTTTTCCTGTTGAGGGGTTTTGGAGAAAAGCTGAAATAAAGTCAAGTCGAGCAAGGTCATGCGAGATGAAACCACTCTACTCAACTATTACAGAGGTCAAAGACCAAGTGCGAGGCACGGTCACGGAACAGCAGAAAGTCTAATAAAACTACAAGCAGACAAGGCGTGGTCACCGTCTAGTTGCAGTTTCGAAGGATTTGATGGGGGGGTTTCACAAAAACTGGGCAAAAATTGCATTGTGTATCAATCCAAGGGTAGTATCGCTCCTACTTCAAGGGAAGGCAAAGTAAACGAGCGGGGGGATGTGTAATATGACATGCATGAACGTTCGCTTGACCACACTAGAGAATAGCTTTTAGTAACTATAGAGATTTTTCATGCTTGGTTTTTCATGGGGGGGGGGGATGAAGGAAGAGACTTTCTGTATCTGATCTTTTTGGAATGTTGGCTGTCAGCTTGAAGCTAATTTCTTCAGCTGATCCGAGTTTAGCCTTCCTTGCAGGAATGCTTTATTGAGATATTCCAGCAATTTAAGATCTCCTCCATGTTTGTTTTTATTTGGGCAGTACTTGCCTTGGCACTTTCCTTCCATCCACAACAAACAAGTTTTTTCATCGTCGCTTTTCTTCTTTTTCACCGGTCTGTCATCCTTGTGAGATGGGGAAGGCTTCCTCGACTTCAAGGATCTGATCTCGGCTTCTAATGCCCTTGTTCGCTGGTTCACCTGTTCACGCACTAGTTTGTCTATTTCAGTTCTCATTTTCTTCAAGGCTTCAGCTTCGACGCTTTCGCGTCGTTTCTCAACTGCAATCTGAGAAACCAGGTCCGGAAAAACGTTTCCTACTAAGGTGGCCTGCAGTTGGCGCTGCTGGAAATTCGGCCCTTCGGCAACAGGTGTGGGATGAGCGAGGTTCACCTTAAGTATCGAGTAAAACAGGTCGTACACCGCTTCCAAAGACAATTTTTGCTCGTCGGATTTTGGGTCGAAAGATCCAGCCACGGCTTTCATCATCGTTTCTTGTAGTGCATTGGCATCAGCGTCGTTGATAATCTGGGTACACCGAAAGGTAGCCAATAGCGCCAGGGGGAAAAGGTTCAGATTTGCGGGGGGCTTAATCAATCGGTCGTAGTTTCGTGCTTGAAGCTGCCTGAGCACGAACAGATACTGTGCCGGTGTGCATTTATGGCGAAGATGGGTACACCGCTCTACGACCAGCATGACTTGTGCGTCAGTCGGGACGCCCAGACCTTCGTTTTCTTGAACGGCCTGCTGTCGTAAAATATTATCATTCATCTGCTGCATTACTACAGCAGGAGCTGCTGGTGGAAATGCCATCGCAGCTATCGGTTGCGGCTGACCTGCATCTTGCGGGAAGGCACCCAAGTCACCTCCCAACGGAGGAACTCCTGGTGCTTCGGCAGCTCCTGGGCCATGCCCCATTACACCTGCAGCCGCTGGAGGTACTAGTGCACCACCTTCCTGGGGCCCGGGTGCCGCCGGGAGTATACCGGCATTAGCCGCTTGTTGTTGGTCCATTTTGTTTTGAAAGTATATAAACGCAGAAGTGTATAAAGTACGAAACTAGAAACAAGAGAAAAGATAGTATAAAACTAACGTAACGTAAACAATATTAGAGAAACCGCCTGTGTTGATTGATTCGCACCTTTGTGACCAGAATTATTTATTATAAAGGGGGAGAATTAGTAGGGGGCCACTGAAGGTCGACTACGCCAAGCTTCGCTCGAGGCACCGTATTGGCTACTGGAAGAAGAGAAGGTGCTCGACTCGCCTCTAATCGCTACGGAAGAGCTATGAGGCTTCATTGTCCCAATGGAGTAATCTCTCGGCGCGAATAAAATTGGCTTCTTCAGGGGCCATCGTAGGCCAACATCATCTGGCAGGGCTCTAGCATTTCCCAGGTATCTGTACATGCTATCAATGGACTGCCACCGGCCCACTTGCTGAATCTCAGAATCTGTTAAACCGCCGTCTGCAGCAGAGCGTGCTCCACCTATCCGCAGCGAATGCAACATGATCGATTTCTTATATTCGTCTTCGCCTAACTGCACTACAGGATTAGCAATGTTAGCTAGTTGAAGCAGTCCTTCCATCAGCTTGAGAAGGGTCCTTGGCGGTGTGTTAGCAAAAAAGAGGAAGTCTTTTTCCGGGCAACAGCACTTGGGGCATATCTGGATAAAATCCATCCCCAATGAAGGAGAATGCCCGCATGCACATCCTAATTCGACAACTTGTCTGCTGACGCCGAATTGGTTGTTCTTAGCCGAGACAACAGTCAGAATAATTGAATTGCTGCCTCTTCTCCTCTCGCAAGTCGACGTTTCATCGAGCCTCATCATGAAAAACCAACAGAAGATCGCGAAACGTAGAAAGGGTACTGCTTGAAAACTCTGAGATCCCACCTGAATCGTAGCCAACGGGGCGCTGGTAAAATGAAGGACTAAGGTCATTATGTGCCTAAGTCGAATCCCTTGCTGTTGAAACTGGTTAGGCGCCGAACGCAAAAACATTCTCGCGATCTGCAAAAACGATTTCCGAACTGGACCGTCAACGGTCTTTATCAGATCCGCAAAACACTTGACGTATTCCATGTTCTGGGCTTTGGATCGCTTAAAGTCCTTGCATTTCTGGAAGGCTTGTGCTAAAAGTTGAACTCCTTTGACCTCGATATATCGTGGATGAGGATCTCTGCCTAGCATGAGCATAAGCTCTACATACTTCTTGTACCCCGACTTGTAGGATCTAATTGTTGTTGCCGACAGCCGGGATTGTAAGTCGAACTCCGCGATTTCGTTCGTTAAATCATCAACATATCTTGTCGGTGACTTGATTTGGGTCACCACCAGCGGGATTGTATCGGGAAGCCTATGAGGATGGTTTTCCACGTCCTCTCGGATAGTGTTAAGTGCGCTCTTCCAGTCAACCAGCTCTCCCGGACCAATGCGTCTAGCGGTTGGAGCAAAAGCGTCACCTGGCTTATGCACAATCCCGCGTGAGAAGTGGCGTCCATGGCCTTTTGGGCTAGTCTGCTTTAGAATACTACTAGAACTACTCGCTCCAGCGTCACTCTGTTCCGGTGCGATGCTCTCAACTCCTTCCTTGTTCAGAATAGCAGCCATTGCTTCCATGGATCTATTATGCAAATCTTGGTCCAAAATCTCTGGCGGAGGTGCTAGAACTGCTAATTCTTCTTCTTCCGTAGCAAGGGGGGGTGGGACTGCTGTAGGCGGGGGTTGTGCTACGCTCGCATCGGTATCTTTTCCGCAAGAGAATTTTTGTAGTACTTGATCGCGCAGTGTAAAGTCGGCACCGAGGCCAAGACTATCTGCAACAGCTCTTTTTTGGTCTGAGTCTAACCCTCCAAGTGTGGACACACGGACGGAATTGTCGCTAAGCAAGGGGCTAGAACGAGTCGGTCTTTTGACTGTACTCGAAGCCTCGCGCAACTGTTCTGAAAAAGGTGTAAAAGCAAGCGTTGTCGTTTGCCGGTCAGCGACCAAGGCTTGGACGCGCGCCGACCTTCCAGGCATTATGGGTGGGTTAGTGGGGAATTAAAACGTAAGTCGCTTTAGCAACACGTAATTGACTAAGTACTCCTTGCCCTATTGTTTAGATCTACATTTTTATTTGATTCAAACTCTAGAACGCGAACAGATCAATCCATAATTATCCCAAACCTTCTCCAGCCAAGATAATTAACATTGATCTTTCTCGCGTCTCTCGCTTGTTGGTGAACACTCCGCAAACAGATCTGCTACGTGTTCACGCATTTGTATTTAGTTGAGCTTAAAGGACCACCGTAGTGTCCTTGGTACAAAGAGCCAATCAAAGATCTTAAACATCCTTCAATACCTGGGGATCCCACACATGTATGAGCCACGAATTATGTGGCCTAGGATAAGGTATGGGACCAAGCAGGATCACTTAACTTATCAATTTCCACTTTGGCGTTCTTAATATCGAGATCATATCTTCCCAGGCGACGTTGTTATGTCCCATGGCAACAGATCGAAGATTTTAAGAACGGAGCTAGAGATTATACGGGGATGGCACGGTCGTTAACCCGTTCGTACAGTCAAACGTAAGTCGCTTTAGCAACACGTAATTGACTAAGTACTCCTTGCCCTATTGTTTAGATCTACATTTTTATTTGATTCAAACTCTAGAACGCGAACAGATCAATCCATAATAAAAGTAAGTCTTAATCAACGCTGTACCCTTCCGCTGCGAGTGTGAGGTCAGTTTTGTCTCTCAGAGCGGTCACGTGTCGGAGCCACTCGGTCCTTGAAACTTCACTGGCACCAAGGACTTCCTCCTTTTAGAGGTAGGTTTTTGGTGCTCGCTTACCCCGCTTGTTATGCCTTTCTCCCTTTGGAGAGGCATAAAAAGCGGTAAGAAAAGCACCTTTAACCTACCCTTAATCCTTGTACCGCATCGACATACCAAGGTCCCAGAAATGAATGAGGGTCCCTCACGAGGTGAAATATTTTCAAAGAGCTCCAAATAGGAAGATTTTGTCCAAACCCAAATGAAGACATCCTGATATTCGTTGAAAGAAGGATCCCGGAAATTCATTCAAATAGTCTCGGCAAATGGAGAATCAGAATGGAGGAGAAAATAGGAGGAGATGTCATGTCATGGAACCTCGTTTGTAGCTGTGCAGGTCTACCTGTGAGGTCATAACATATTTGATACCCTCGCTCAGCAAGCAATTGACCCAGCAACAATAACTGCGCGCTTCCAGCTCCACTATATTTCGTGTCGTAGAAGCCGGTACACGACGTGTAGATCCCACCTGTGGTATACCCTATCTCGCCGGCAACTAAGACTTCTGGGTCTGATGGTGAGGCAGTACAAGGCGTAGCATCAGAGGGGGCACCAGAGGTCGTCTTAGTTGTATCAGCCGGTGGTGCATAGTAGAGAAACACTGACCAAAATTTTACTGCTTTTGCACTTTCGCTCCGCTGTACTAGTGGTTCAGGTGTATTTTCAACTTTTGTACTGCTCACTACAGCAGAGGAATATGCAAATGATCCCTCGTCTGCGGTTTTCTCCTTGGATGAAGATGACTCAGCTGCCGATCTATCTCTAGCCCCCTTTCTAGCCCGTTTCGAAGCTGCCTGACCCATTTTCTTCTTCCCGTGTTGTTTCCCTTTAGCTTGTTTGTGGACTTCGTTAATAGTCTGTTTCTGGTTGTTACCTCCTCCAGGTCGTGCATCTTCACCGTCGTGATCGTCCTCCTGGGCGTCATGATCCTGGTCATCATGACCGTCTTTGGTTCTATCGGCTTCTCTTTTACCAGATGCAGGATCATGATGATCTCCCCCAGCAGGGGGCCCAGCTCCAGAACACGTAGACTGCGTGGTCTGGGACGACTGCGTGGGCTGGGACGACTGCGTGGTCTGGGAGTAAAAATATTCCTGTTGTTGCAGTTCCACATTTCTTCGATACAGCCTCTCCAAATCAGCGGTTAGCCAGTTGTCACTGGGCTTGTTTGTCCATGTGAATTGGCGTATCTTTTCGCAGATGTCAGCGGACACCTCGTTCCGTACATGAAGCGTATAACCTCGACACCTCTTCCGCTTTTTCTTTGACAAAGAAAATTCAGATGCTGATGAGGCTTCTTCTTGTCCAAAACCAACATTACCGCCATTAGCTGCTTCTATAGGCCCTGCAGTTGAGGAGCTTGAGGTGGCTCCACTTGTCGTAGAATTTTTAAAGGTTGAGACTCCTTTTCATTTTCTAGTAGCAATCTCAAGTAGAGAAGGCTTGTTGTAAAAATGAACAAATTTATTTCAACATTAACCCTTAAAAATAGAACAACTCCGAGCAGTCGTGAATAATTTTCGTATACATCGCTCATGGTGGATCTTTGCTGCGAAAAAGCTCTTTTTCCCGAAGGACACTGTCATTGGGAGGTACCCGCGATAACAACAGGTCGCCACTGCGTCCAAACTGCTGTACTTGTCTTCACGACTGGAGGACGAGGCATTTGGTCTTGATTTAGAGGTAGGCTCCCTTTGGTGCTCGTTTATCCCGTTTGTTATGCCGGTCTCCCTTAGGCGGGTTAGGAGAGCCATAACAAAGGGGAACAAGAAAAGCGGCACCTTTATAACTACCGACCCTTAATTGATGTTGTGCCTGCTGCAGTACCTGTGCTTGTCGTACAACTAGATGATTAGAGCTCAAAACATTTCATTTCTTCCCTTCATTTCTTCAGAATTTCAAGAGGAAAACTGCGAGAAATGAGTCGTGGAAATGAAATATATTGAGCCTTAAGATGAACTGGCACCACTTTGTGCGGTTTTACTATTGCTTGTGCTTGATGAAGAAGAAGCCCCTCCGCGACCACTTCCACTAGTGCTCTCAGCGAAGCCGAAGGTACTATGACTATCACTTTTTAGCTTAGCGGTAGGCTTTTCTTGGTGTTCGTTTGCCCCTTAACTGTTATGCCTGTCCTCCTAACCCCCTTAGCAGGAGAGCCATAACAAACTACGGTAACAAAAGCACCTTTAACTACCTACCCGTAATTAGCGTATCAGTCGCATCCTGCATTACGAGGAACTCCACGTCAGGATAAAATTCAGGGATTAAGTCCAAGACCGGTTCCAAGTCCGATCGGAATGCACTTACTTGCATCGCCATTTTGAGCAGTAATTATCGAGGTCAGGTGTCACAACTCTTCTTTTTCTAGGCAGGATGAATGAATGAATGTGCCTAACAAGAGGTATGTGCCTAAGAACTCAGGAGATGAAATTAATAAATATAGATCATGAAGAGGGAATAAGGTTAGGTTAGCGATGTCTGGCCAATGACGGTAGCATGGAATGAGGGAATAAAGTTAAGTACATCAACGTGTCACATCATGAGAATGATGTTGTAGGGTCGATTCGTTATCTAAGCGGTAGCGGTAATTTCACGTAGTATAACAGCGTTTGGCTAAGTATGTGGAAAGAGTGAGAGGTCGTAACTATGAGGTGGACCACAGCAACTTCAATTTATTCAACATTAGCTGGCAGATAAAAAGCTGGGATAAAACATCGCGGACCAAATTTACTGTATTCAATCAAAATGCGAATATAACGATAATGAAAGCGATAGCGACGTGCGTAGAGAGGAACAATGCAAAAAATTGAAATTCTGCATCACGCATTTTTTGAAAATATAAGGTACTTAATACATCATAGGTTTAGGTGCAAGCCATGAGTTCACCAGATGAACATGCAAAAATCGCTGGATCCAGTGTCACGCAGTGGTTGTGAGGAGAACCTCACAGAACGTTCTCTTGCAGGTGGAACACTGTTTCAAGTCCATTTGTCGACGCCTGAGAAGTATCGTCTCTTTTCGGGACCAAGATAATTCTACTTGCCACTATTCGTCCTCTCAGCAAACATCAGATGAGGATGAATCATCCTTGATGATGATACACCCAGAATTTACGGGCGTCAGTGTTACTAATTAATCAGTGCTGTCCTTGCTCCTCTTCTCTAATCTTTGCATCTTCTTCTTTTTCATGTTCGTTTATCCTTGTTTCTTCCTTTTCTTCTTCTTTCTCTGCTTTGCAGCTTTTGACATGAGTCCGCCACTTGCCCACAGCTAGAGCTTTCGAGTGCAGATTTGCCGTTTTGTAACTCCATTTTGCCCTCTTACATTTAATGGTGTAACTTCTCGCGTAAAAAATTGCAAGTCCCCCGTGGCAATGCTGCTTTTCAAATAAAACAGTTACTTTTACTTTAGACAGGATGATTACTCACTTACTAGTTAGTACAAAGTTCTTCTTTTGCGTTCGCAGAAGGCGGACAAGAAGCAAACTGTTTCAAAGCCGTAGGTAAAAATGAGCCTGAAGGAAGCTTTAGACGGATTAGACTAATAGACTTAACGTGGAACATTTGGAAGAGATGAGGAAGGTCTAGTCTTCCGAAAAGTTTAGCTATTGCTTCTAGTTCCATCAAAGCTTCTCCTCACAAGTATGAACAAGAATCCTTAGAAGACCTCAAACTTCTTGTTCCCTGATTTTTATACTCAGAGGACTTTTTCCAACTTCTCATACTGCTCAATTTTCATTTCTGACTTATTTCTGGACCGTCTGGTCGACATCGATCTCTCAGGCTAAGTGCTCTAGTCTAATGCTTCCAATTGTTCTCCGACAGCAGCGACCTCAACGTGTCCACCAGAAAAGCCATTCCCTCCTAGAGTTGTTGCCGACGTGTTCCCATAATGTTCATCCTCCGACTGCGCCTCCGGATCTACTTCTACTGTACGACCTTGATCAGCAACAACTACCTCTGCTGCACTTTGAAGAAGACAAGGTCCGCTTGAGCTGCTAGAGCATTGCTTTTCGTTCCTTCCTTCCAACCATTCGCGCACCACTTTGTACCCATCCGGCTTTGTGGCATCTGCTTCTTTACTTAAAGGTTGAAACAATTCATATTTATCTTACATATTTGACACATTTAGTCTTGACAGGTGTCAAATACAGCGTACAAATATGAAATGTTTCAACCCTTAATTTACCGTCAAATTTTTCACGAACCATTTCGGGATACCACAGCACCAACTGCACGAAGCGTGAAATAAATGCCCTACCGAATTCCTCTGAAAGGATTAAAGTGCGAGTTTCAATTGAACGTCGTTTAGCTTCGTTTGTTGTCTGTCCAGGGGTCTGATAATCTTCTGTATCTTTATGCACGAAAACCGCGCTATGAGTTAGAGGTAGGCTTTTGGTGCTCGCTTACCCCGCTTTTTATGCCTTTCGCATCCTAAGGGAGAGAGGCATAAAAAGCGGTAAGAAAAGCACCTTTAACCTACCCTTAAATGAGGTTGCACCAGAGAGTTGAAGACGTAAGACTTGTCTCTGGTCAATGCAGGGTCTAGATAGGCCGCCAGCTGTTTGCCTCTGGCGGGTGTGACCATAGTCGCACGCGAAACAAGCTTGATGGGATCGACCCACGTCGCCGAGTCGGTTGTGTCGCTTTGAGCAACCACCAACTCTTGGACTCGAGTGTACGGGTCGGTACCTGGTTCGTATTAGAAAGAAGAAAATAGGAATGCATACTCTTGGACTCGAGTGTACGGGTCGGTACCTGGTTCGTATTAGAAAGAAGAAAGAAGGAATGCATACTCTCGCTCGAATATAAGGGTTGGAAACTGGTGGTAAGCATAAGCAAGAAGGGATAGGGAAAATTCAGTAAGATTGTGGAAGAGTGGAAGATCCCAATTATATTCTTGACCGTCTTTCATACGCTAAAAAAGGCATCTTCGAGATGAAATAAAATTGAACAAGAACAAATAGAAGTACTTGTTCCATCAGTATAATTTTCATTTTATATACTTATAAAAAGTACCTTGCTCTTCCCAATGCCCCAACATCGCCAGCGCGGGTTGAATCTCTCTGGCCTCCCTGTTCAATGGGGTCCAAGTGTTCACCAATTGCAGGTGTTCCTCATAGTTCGGCGCTTTGGAGTCCAGAGTGTGGTCTAAACTCGATTCGTCAATGACATCCGCAACAGCCAATCTCCACGCTATTTCCCCCAAATCTCGCGCTTTTGGCAAATCCAGGTTGTAGAAATTCTCACCAAAATCAGGGTTATTTGCAAGGAGATGGCGGAAAGAACTATGGGAGTTACCCTTAGTTGGGTCTGAAATTTCAAATAATAGTTCTTCTAGGTCCTCCTCTTCATCTACTTCAGAATCTTCTGTAGAGATTCGTTTTTCATTCACCCGGAGTTGCTCCATTTGTGTGGCCCTCAATAAGGCAAGCTCTACTTCTACTTTCTCTTTGTGCAGACCTCGAAGCTCAGAAGCCAGTCTCTCGAGTTCCTCCCTGATATTATTTCGGTCTCCAAACAATTTTTTGTTGTCGTTCGCCAGTTTTTTGAGGCGTTGTAGCCGGTCTTCTTTTTTTAGCGGATCGCCGGAAGCCACTTCAGCAGCAATTCGTTGAGCATTCTTCTCGATCTGAAGTGAAAGTGCCTCCATCTCTTCGCCGAGGGCGTGCTGTTGCGTGGATAGGGTAGAAATCTGAGAGTCGAGTGCGGCCCGTTTTTCCTCTGGTCCTGAAGAAGCTCCATGAGGACCAGGAGTAGGGGATGCACCTTCCATGATCTGTACTTGCTGCTTTTCCTCTTCTCCGTCGCCTATGTCAACATCATTAACCTCCTTCTGAGCAGGACGAGCACCGTCAAGAACATCTTCTTCAACGACCCCGCGCTCGGATGACGCAGAAGAACCAGTCTCCTCAACAGGAAGAGGAACCTCCTCGTTATCAAGCTTAACAAGAGATATATCCGCAAAAGAGGCCAAAATTGCTGCTAGAGCGTTTTCGTATCTTGGCATCGAGGAGCGAGACCACTGGTAGAACTCTCCCGGTTTCTCAGGACGCGAATCAACATGAAAAGCTGGAACTGCTTGATCGCTAGAAGGTCCTACTGCACGCATGGCAAACTGGAAGAGGACGTGATGCTGCTTGTTGATGGGCTTCTTTTGCAGTGATTAGAGGTTTAGGGTTAGAAGGGTGTTCGTGTATTATGCCTGTTTGTTATGCCTGGTGTCCCCACGACCTAAGGGAGAGAGCCATAACAAACGGTAACAAGAACACCCTATAAAAGTGTACCCTTAAAGTGACTTCACAGCTTTCAACACTTCCTTTCGAATCTCAGGATATACAGTTTGGTGGAAACGTAGCATGTGCAAGTCGAACCACATATTCTGCGTCACCACCTGATGTGGCGCCTTGTTAGCGTTACTCCATCGTTGGATGAAGTCCCGAGCGAAGGCTCGCAAAGCAGCGTTGGACTTTTTTTCTGAGAGTGTTTTTCGACCATGTGCATGTGGGGCTTCGGAGAGTGCTTCGGTTAGCTTGTTCATCTCTGACTCTGCAGGAGCATCTTCATCTTCCTCACCTTCTTCAATCCCAGATCCATCCGTACCGTTAAAAACCTGCTCTCGTATATTTGCTTGCTTCCATGCTTGGGCCCAGGACTCTGCTTCTACTTGAGTGGAGTTATCCAACGGCAAGCTGCTACGTCTCAAATTGTCACTTCTCTGGAAAGCAATCGTTTGCCCGTTCATAGCAGAGACCGTGAACTTTCTACCTTCAAATTCTGAATATTCCACGTGGTTACCTCCTGACAGTGACGAAGGGGCGGCTCTTAACACTGACGAAAGGTCTGTTAGCGTTTTCAATTTCATCGGCTCTGGCACAACTCGCGGTGCCGCGTGGCCATCATCTGCAGCACCACGTGCTCCCTCCTGAGCAGGATGAAGAAAGCCCTCCGATCCGCTTCCCTTTCCGTCTCCACCTGAACGCGAACCTTCTTTTACGAAAGAAAAATCCATGTCCGTGAAAGGACCCTCAGCAGAAATTGGCTCCCCGTTTTCCCTAAAAAGAAAGGTCCACATGAAGGGTCCGTCCTTCAGCTTCTGCAAGTAGCGATTCTCAAAGGCTTCCGCGAGTTTCTTCATCTCGGTCACCTTGTTCGTATTCTCATCGTGTCGTTTCAACACAAGTCCTTTCCATGTTGGGAAATGAGAACTCCATTCCGAAGATGCAGAGGTCGACCCGCCCAGGTATTTATCATCTTAGAGCTTACAAGAATCCACCACTTGCAATCCATCCTAAGACTGTGACTCTTTTCCCCTTGAAATGAAATGAAACAAGGTGGAGGTCGTACTAGTACATCACTATTAGTATTCACCCAAAACCCTGTTCTTGAAAAAGATACATCACACACTATTAACTACCCTGTTCTTATCTAGAGGATATAGAAAACGTCTCTCCTAGGATGCTGTTTGAAGATGGATTAATTGATGGATTGGGGAGCCTGAATCATAATCGCTATCCAACGGTGTCGGGATGGGTTTCGTCGCTGTAAAGAGCTTGCTAAAATTCTTCCCATTCGAAAGCGGAAAAATCCCAAAGTTCAAACTACCGAGTGCTTTACTGATGGTTTTAGTAGTATCCGCGACCAAGGATCGCCGTTGCTGCCATGTTTCCTTCGCGTCTGCTACAGTCATCGCAAACAGGGGCACCAGAGGACGCGGCTGCAGAGCATTCCACACTTTTACAAGATATGTTCCCCACGAATAGGCCCAATTATCCCACGAACCTGCTTCGATTGCTTTCTGCATACGTTTGCGGATTTCACTTCCCCCCTCGCTGGTCTGCTGCCAAAAGTCAATGGAACAAGACGCATAATGGCCTTTGATTGGCATCGGAAGACTTTTCTTCGTTACGACTCCGCCATTTCCGTGAGCATGAAGTCTCTCGTGACAAACGTTTCGACTGTGTAAGCGACCCACGTCCACTCTCTCCTCTACGAGCTCAGCTTCGCGTTGTAGATGCGACCGCATTTCCTGCATTGCGTTCAGGGCAAATGGGAAAGATTTCGAAGCAGCAACGAATTTCAACACCTCTGGAAAAGAAGCAAAAACCTGTTCCAATTGCAGCAAAGAGCCAGCATCTTCGTGGTCCCTCCCCAGCATTTCCAAGAACAGGTCTTCTTCTGCTTTTTCCAATCGTTTCACCAATGTGCGCATGATTACGGCAATGCCATGACTCTCGGTAGTCCACTCAGCAATGTACAAGACTAAATCCGTGAGAGCTTGGCGCAAACCAGAAGGAGATAGAGAGCCTTTTTTTTCTCCAGTGGCTACACCACCGAGAGTGAAAAAAGCCTTCTCAACTTCAATGCGCAAGCCGCTAACAAAATTGTGTAATGAAGATATCCAAGGAGAAGCATCTTTATCTTTTTGTCCATGTTTTTGGTCTTTTAAAGCGTCTTGCACAGCTAGGTAGGGAATGACCCCCTTCACGACGGACTCCCTGATTTGTTTATGCAGTCGCTCTCCAGCCTCAGCTGAGTCCTTGAATTCGACGATCTTTCTACTCAAATCGCTCCGCATAAACTCCTCCTGCTCGATTAGGCGATCCTCTTCATCCAGCATCTTCTCTGCATCAGCTTGTTCGTGGTCCTGTTGTTGTTGTTGTTGTTTCAGTGCCAACAAATCCTTCAGTTTCACCCGAGCATCCTTCCACAGAGTAAGAGTCTTGGTAAACGCATCCCACTTGGTGTCAGCTACTTCGATCACGTGGCACAAAGCTTCTGTGATTACTTCCGACAAAAGCGGGATTGCCTCAGTCAATTTCTGAAACTTCCCATGCATCACAGTCGACGCCAACTTCTGTGCAGACATATTCACTTTGTTTGCGAACTGGCGGTCAACGTGAACCCCAAGCGATTGCTTGGCATCGTCGTTTCTCGCAGCTTCTGTGGCATTTCTGCGGGCCATCCTGCAAAAACGTGCGAGTCGAAATTGGCCTTTATTTTCCCTACTCGCTTTCTTGTGCGCGTCGATCTTCGCTCTGAGGTCTTCACTGCAGTAAAAGCCTGTCGGAGACGTCGAAGGCTTCGGTGTCGGGACAGCAGGCCCAACAGCAGCCGCGTTTCGCTTTGGAACAACATCAAACAAGTTTAGCGGAAGGGGGCTTCTCGTTGCAGTGGAGGCTCCTGCAGCATGGACAGCATATACATCTACCTTGTACACGCCACCCAGGAGGAGCAATAATGCTCCGAAAGAAGAACTGGAGTAGGGAGTCATTGTGTTTTCTTCGAAGCGAAGCAGATGTTGCAACAAGAAAGATTTTATTATCGCTTTTATTAGTTTTAGTACTAGAAGGTGCTGTAAAAGGTAGTTCTACTACTAGGTGCAGAACTCGATGTTTAGATGATGTGGACTACTTCTAGAAGATCAGTGAAGAGAGTCTCTGAGGCTGAGACTAGTTAAAAATTTTGTAACAAACATAAAACGCTCATGAATACATAGTACTAGTACGCTGTACGACGCTCTTCTCGTATTTGATATCAATGTTGGGGCACATCAGAGAATTCGTTGATATAGTTTTTGATACGACGACCAAAAATAAGACGTTGTAAATAAGATTACAGCCAAAAACCACCTTGTTTTAGCGTAAGAAATAAGTCGTGTACGAAATACACAATTTCTTGAAAACAACGGTAGTTGTCAGGAAGAATAAACTGTCTTAGTCAGGAAGATGGGATAAAGATTATCAGGAATTACCACAGGTTCTTTCACACAAGGACAAGGTTCGTGTCCGCTTCACTCGCTGCTCCGTCTTCGGATCTTTCTCGTCCCCTTCAGCTTAGTACGATCTTCTCTCTACTATTTCTCCTTATTCTGTACTACTCTACTATTCAGATCTCCTTATTCTCCTGTGTAGATCTTGTGTAGGGTCCCCATGATTGGTATGATCTTCTTTCTTTCGAGCTCCTCTCTCTTCTATTCAGATCTCCTTATTCTGTGTTGTAGATCTGTAGTGTCCCCATGATTGGTATGATCTTCTTTCTTTCGAGAGCCTCTCTCTATTCAGATCTCCTTATTCTGTGTTGTAGATCTGTAGTGTCCCCATGATTGGTATGATCTTCTTTCTTTCGAGGTCGCTCCTCTTTTAGCTGTAGATGATCGGGCAACTTTTTTGTGGATTAGGGTCCGACCATGATCATCTACTTTGGAGACAGATCCACAATTATAGTTGTGATCCTTGGATGAGATTGTAGGTCGTTTAACTTCAGTTCACAAGCCAGTCAGGGCTCTGGGCCATATAAGCACCACTTGCAGCCCAGAGCTCCCAGCACGAGGAGTCAAGTTGCCAACCTTAAGAGTCCTCCTGATAGTAGTGCATCACGGTTTGGCAGACCGTCAAAAAAAGCCTCTACGGCACATGCCCGATGCCAGTAAAGCAGTGAAAGCCGGAGAACACATCCAACAATCTCGTCTCGTGAAGACATACATTAGTCAGTAAGATAAGCTTGTCGACGGTAGTCAAGTTATTTTAAACGTCAGGTAGTAGTAGTAGTAGCGTACCCATTCATGGGGCATTGAAGAGCAGTTTAATTAGCAGCTATTCCATTTCCTTCGTCTTTCTTCTTTTTGCCCAAGGTGGTATATAAAAAGAATTAGAAGCCGTCAGAGGCGTGAGGCACAGGAGCCGATGGTAGAGGACAAGATAATACAATATCGAAACATCCAGAAGAACCTATACCCGACCCGCAACATAATCGGTCTATTTCTAGCTGTAGAACAAGTACGACGAAGTACTTCATCATCTAGTAGTCATAAAGAGTAGCACATTACATACCCAGCACAGCACCTAGTTGTAATTGCAAGTATTTGAAGCTGAACTACGAAGATGATTCCAAAGATACATTTGAAGATGGGTTGTAGAACATGTCTCCTCTACGCTTCCACTTTTTTATCAAATAAACCATAACGAAGCGTGTCTCCCTTCTCCTCATCGTAGAGGACAGAGGACTTTGGTACTATTCTACTTTGGCTGCCTCTTCCTCCGTCTAGAAGCAGGCCTCGAAGCTTCCTTTATCCTCATCTTTAACACGTAGAAGTTGAAGCTTCCTCTCCAATTAGGTTGTTGCTGTTGTCGTTTCGTATTTTTAAATCAGCAAGGTCGTTTCCTCGTCCTGTTTCGGAGCGAGTCCGCAGTAACCGACCAGAATTTGGATGAAACCGGTTAGTACGGAGATTACAGAGAACGAGTAGTAGATGATCGGGAAATAATATAGGGCGCCAGTCGGCAAGATGGCGCACCTGTAGGCGTAAACGCCGAGGGCGACGATTAAAGCCAGAAGCGCGATACCGGCTAGCGAGCCGAGAACAGAGATCATGATCAGGGTACCGCACGACCTGCGGAATTGACCCCAGTGCAGGTCGCTAATGCAGCGAGAGCAGCGGAAGACCAGCATCATCACCAAGAAGCCAGCCATAACAATCATGTTCAGCACCGTCGTCGCGAAAGGAACGTCCCAAGAAGTTCCAATAGAAATAGAAGAGACCCTCCAGAGAGACAGTCCAGTTCCAAAAACGGAGGCTCTCACTTCCCCCTCATCCACTGCGAGCATCAGCATCTGCTGCGGTTGCTGCATGTAGACCTGCTGTTGCTGCTGCTGCGGTACTCCTCCCATATACGGCCGCGGCTGCTGCTGCGGTACTCCTCCCATATACGGCTGCGGCTGCTGCTGCATCATAGTGTTCTGATCTTGCGGCGCCATCGGCATGTTGGGATAGCCGCCCTGTTGGGAATAACCCCCTTGCTGCATCGGCATAGAGGTGCTATATTGCTGGTTACCTCCATCATATTGCGGATTGTACGCCATCTTGTAGGTGGAGCTTCCTTTTGTTGTTGATTTGATGATATTAGCAACTAGAAGGAGATAGATGAAATAGTAGTGGGAGTGGGTCCTCTTTTTATCTTTATTACTTACAACGTAGATAGATAGATAGATAGATAGATGTACCCACTCGTGGGGTGTAAGATCTTTTAATTAGAGGTTGCATCTCCACCACTTTTTCACTTCGTAGTTCTTGAAAAATTTGATGCAGCTGTACCCGCTACGTACACTTTTTTATTACACTCAGTTCGGTCTACTTGAGCCAAAGTGGCTACTTACGGCAATAGATCCACAGCAAGAAGGTTAGGTTAGGTGTGGGCCCACTAGGTAAACCAGCAGACTTCAGTGGCTACTGACGAGCCAAAAAAACGACCACGACCTACAGCTGGTGGCCGTGGCGCTACGCTAACTTCTAGTAAATAAGCTACACTAGACCGATCGCCGCCTCTGAAGGGCCGCGTACTTCCGTCTTTCATTCGATTCCAACTTTCTCTACTTTCCTGGAACTGATACGACACACTTTGTTATTCTAAAAAGTAAATGTTAACCTCGTGCTCATACTATTACTAAATTCTTGAAAGTCCTCCACCTCCTACTAGTCCTCTCGCTCTACTGGTTTTGTGATTTCTCAACCGCAAGTATTCATCCTTGTTCGATGCGCAGTAGCCGACCGCGGTCCACATTCTAGTTACCAACTCCTCCCGCCCTCGTCGACTTTTTTTTGAGTTAGGACTATATGCTGCCGCCCTTTTATTAATCACTTAAACATATCAAGTACCTGCGACTTGAAGATTAAACAAAGTTACATATTGGGGGCGCATTGGCTCCACCACGTGGGCCTTGTAGACAGAAAGTTTTATCGTGACAACAGAACAAGGAGAGCTAGAAGTGCGAACGAAGTTAAAAGGGTGAATGTAAAAACTGCATGCAAAGATGGTTGTGCCAATGACCCTTGATCTTATCTTGTTGAGCACGTTGAACAGGCACTATCGGGGTCCAAGGAAACGTCTCAACGAACACCTGTCACCTAAAGAAGCGTAAGGACACAAACTCGGAACCAGCACGCTGTTTCATCAAAATCGTGACCATATCAGATTCAGCTAGAGTTAGAAGCACTCTAAGGAGAGTCTTTTCTAAGTAATCAAGATTTTTGCAATGAGCCAACCAGCTTCTTTTTAGCTCTATGGGCGGTCTTAAGTCTTTCCTTGCTTAGCAGTCCCCCGCACTTGTTCACCTTAGGCGGAGAAATTGCCGTGTTGATCTTCGTACCCAGAACTAGGCGAGCCCAGGTATTGGACTCGTAATCGGCAGCATAGTCGACTACAAGCTGTTCACCCTCCAGGAGATGGATTTCTGGCAGCATGAGTGATAAGATTAAGCAACTTTCTCCTTGTTCTTGGTGTGATAAGATTACCTTTTCTTCAAGTTTCTTCTTGTTCTTGGTGTGATACGATTACCTTTTCTTCAAGTTTCTTCTTGTTCTTGGTGTGATAAGATTACCTTTTCTTCAAGTTTCTCCTTGTTTTTGGTGTGATCTTAAAGACAAAGATCACCTTTTCTTCAAGTTTACTTAGAAGTACCGTGACAGCAAGATTGTACCGTTTCGGGATCTTCCATTACCCGTCGGATCGGGCTTCTTGCGCTTGTCATTTTCTTCTCTATCGGTTCTTCCGATGATCATTGGCTCAGCTGCATATAAGTGAAGAACGTGCATACTAGTATTAATGTTTTGAACCGAAGAAGACCAAGATCATTCAATTTCTTTGGACAAACTAGTATTAATAATGTTGGATTCATTCATTCCTTTCTAGACGATAGTAGTAACAAGTATAATTTGGTGCGCCATGGCAACCTCTTATTTCGTCCTGTAGCGTTCTCCTTATATACTTTTTGGACGTGGTCTTGATGCACAAACTCTCAAAAGTCGTTATTTCACGAAGAAAAACGAAAATGAAATGCTGACTTCTAGTACACAAAAACCTTCAACTTGTTTCGGAAAAACAATTTTTCACTGATTATACGAGTACTAGATATTAGACGACGTCATGCATAGTCGTAGGTCAGAAATATTCAAAACCAGCTGTAACTCCTTCTACTTGCTGGTCTTAAATTATTCAAAAGGAAAATTTTGTAGTGCGTTGTTCATGAGTGGTGCGTTGTTCATGAGGGAGCTAAGTACTACTACTGCGCATAGCACTCAACAAGCCGATGTAGAAAGATGCTTCAGCTATCTACGTGAAGAAGCTCTAGTTTATATATTATGGAAACTAGATTATAGATATAAACTAGATATTTATATTATGATGACTCGAATCTACTCGGCAATCTGCCTGGCGAGTTCTCCCCTGGCGAATTCTCCCCGCTAGTCTAGCTTGTTGTTGGATTGTTAATCGCTTCTCGACTGTTTCTGTAAACTAGATTATATAAACTAGATATTCATACTATAGTATATATAAGTTTGTTGTGGATGTCCTAGTTGTCCCTTTTCATCATACTATAGTATATAAACTAAATATTATAATCACCCTTCACATTCTATTCTTCTCCACATCTCGTCAATGTCGCTGCTTCACTTGCGAGGCTTCTTACTGTTACGGACGTGCTTTGAATTCCAGTCTTTTAGGATCTGTAGTTTTGTCCGCGAATCGTTAGAAGTAGAGATGATACAACTTACTATTCGATAAACTGAAATAAGCGAGTAACTACTTAAAATAAGGGAGATACTGATGAGAAGGAAGAGTAGCCTTGATGCTATATTAAGCTAGCGCCTCCCTTATTTCAGTCAGTAACTCGGTTATTTTGAGTTTTCGAGTACAAGAAGAAGAAGAAGAAGAAGAAGAAGAAGAAGAAGAAGAAGAAGAAGAAGAAGAAGAAGAAGAAGAAGAAGAAGAAGAAGAAGAAGATTCAGTCTGACTTCATCGACGTGCGTCTGACATCAGGTTGTAGAAGACGATGAAAATCTTGTTGGTATAGTCTATGAATCTGTGTGTCTAACCTTTAGATAGTCGAAAGACCTATTGCACAGAAGCGATGAGATGAGAGGCGGTATATTCGAAAAACTGAAATAAGCAAGTAACTGATCAGAACAACCGAGATACTGATGAGAAGGAAGAGTAGCCTTGTCAAAGCTAGCTAGTACCTCCCTTATTTCATTATCAGCAACTCGGTTATTTTGAGTTTTCGAATGTATTTCAAGGGTACTTATTCTTCATAACAAGTTTTTGTCCGGAGTTCCTGGTTCCACGTTGTCTGGGACCCCGTGTTGAAGCTAGCGCTGGTTCTGTTAGGGATTCGAGATTGTCTCCAACGTCGCGACGAGCTGCTTTTGCAGGACGAGGATTATAAGCCTCATCGTGGTCGTCGTGATCAAGGGAGTGTTCCTCCAGACGACGATCATGAGCTGGACGATCATGAGCAACTGAAGAGGGGCCTTCTGCGTCGGCCACTGACGAATTAGCTGGAAAGTGGTCGCCGGCCTCAGGCGCAAGTGGAGCCGCGCTTGGGACAGCAGGAGTTGGCAAATCAGAATCTTCACCTAGTACAGGAGTGGGTGCTGGCAAATCTTCTTCGTCACGACCGGTCACATCTGGCTGTACTGCTGGTTCTCTAGCGCTGGAAGTATGACCAAACTCAATATGATCGTTTTTTTCTTCTGAAGATCCGCCAAGTAAGCCCCCAGAAGCATTGAAGCCGTCGGGGACAATCGTCGCAGACGCAGAAAAATCAGTGATCAGTTGATCACCAAAAGAACGCTCCACAGGAGAGGCTTCATCCTGTCGTGCTGCGTGATGATCATGAGCCGCTACAGGAGAGGCACAGCTAGAAGGGAGCTCTTCAGTTGCCTCAGTTGGTTTTTGTACTTCTGGTTCTACTCTAGCGCTGGAAGTATGGCCATTGCCACAGTGGCCATCGTCTTCTTCTGCCGACGATCCTCCAAGTAAACCCCCAGAAGCATTGAAGCCATCGCGGACACTCGTCACGTACATTACCCGACCCTCAGCACGACCCTCAGTACCACGAGGACCACCTCCAGGAGGGGTTGCGGCAGTGGGAACGGTTGCGGCGCTAGACGACGGTGGGGTGCAGGAGCTAGACGACACGGAGGATGGCTCCTGCTCATCGAGGATAACAACGGGGGCAGCAGCACGACCATTGTCTTCGCCACTAGCGCCATCTGGAGAACCTCCACAAACACAACAAGCGACAACTTCAGAATCTAGTACTTCAGCTCGTTTGCAGTCTTCATCCTGTTTTTCGTTTAGCCACTGACGCATCACTGCATAGTCGTCTGCAGAGTGCTCAAATCCAGCATCTCTGTGGTTTTTTCCACCTCCAAACCTCGTCTGCATCATTTCGCCATAGTACCGAACAAGCTGTATGAACCGGTAGATGAATTTTCTCGCAAAGCGGTCAGAGAGAACAAGACTGCGCGACTCGATTGACCGCCGCTTTGTGGCTCCCATTTTCTTCTTATAATTGGCTTCAAACGTGGTAGTTGTAGCAGATAGGTGCCTTGTTGAAGCCTTAGCCTTTGGCGTCGAAGCGGGCTTATCATAATCCCCGTCTTGATGAACTAAAATGGCTCCGTGCATCGCCAGCATTGAATTGAAAACGTAAGACTTGTTCTTCGAAATGCTCTGGTCAGTAAAAGTTCCCAGTTGCTCGCTTGGCTTCGGTCTTATTAGAACTACTCACTCAAGAAATCCCTTTTCACAAAGTCTTACTACTCACTCAAAATGAAATCCCTTTTCACAAAGTAGAACAACATTCTAGAAAAAACCTGCTTCGTAGACCTTGAATGCCTCTGAACACAAGCACGAGGAGGGTGTAAGGTTTAGAATGCCTTTGTGAGCAAGATGAACTATCATTGATCCTTTACGTTTAGGTTTAGGGGAAGTTAGAAAGGCCTTAAGGTTAGCATCGTTGCCCGAGACACCAATTTTGCTGGTTCCATGTAGGTGACAGCAAGTGTTGTATCCGTGTCTGCAACCACCATATTGCGAGTCCGATCGTAGACTCCCTGCTCACCCGACCCCTCCAGATTCACCTGTCGATGCTTGATGAAAGCCAACGTAGGTTGAATCTCTGCGGGATCTTCATTTAGCGGGGTCCACACATTGATTTAGAACTAGCGGAAATGATCCATCCTGGTGAGCATCTCGGTAGCTGCCCCCGTTTCGTCCCTTTAGAAACGGGACAAAGATCATGACTCAGAACAAGATGTAGTATTTCCTCAAGAAGATGTATTTCCTTAATTGATCATGCGGATATCTTTTTCGTACTCTGGCGCAGCTTTGCCCATTCTTCTTACCGCACCTGCTGGATCCGTCTCGTCGCCGTCTTGGAAAGTGTAGTCTAGACTCGAAGGATCCAGGACATCCGCCACCATCAGTCTCCAAGCGATCTCCCCGATCTTTTGCGCCTCGTGCAACTCCATGTTGGTGAACTTCTCACGGAAAGAAGGGCTGTTTTCGATTAGGTACCGAAGGGTGTACGGCAACGCGGAGGACTCAGAAACGGTCTCCGCTTCTCCTTCGTCAGGAGACTCTTCAGAAGAGGAGTCGTTGTTCTCGGAGCTCATGTCGTTGTCGCTTGATGCTGCACGATCTTGTTCCACATCTACGTTGTGGTCTAGTGCCCCTTCGGAGGGGGCTGCACCGAAATTACTTGTTCCTAAGACCGCGGCTCGCAGCTTCAGAAGCTGCTTCATGCGTCGGCGATGGTCGCGCTTCATTTGCTTGCCTCTCTGCTTTATCTTCGCTTCATGTTCTGCCCATTGCTTTTCCTCCCACCGTCGGAAATCGGCAGCAGCCATTTTTTGAGACAACTCAAACTTCTTCTGATTCAATTCTCTTTGCCGTCTGTCGACCAGAGTAATTTCACCGTCGATTTTCTCGATTTTTTCTCGCTCTTCTGATATCAGGAGTTGATATTCTGCTCGTTCTTTCTGAAACTTCGCAAACTCCTGCTTTGCTTCTTCTGTCGCTTGCAGGGTAGTAGAAGGCTCCACGTCCACCTGGTAATTATATCTAGTAGTAATCTTCTCTATACTGTCAACCGTTTCTTTGCGCTCTTTCATCAGAGACGTATACTTGTCGATGAGATCGGCATCTTCTCTTGCCAACGAATCTGCTTCTTCATCGACGTCCATAGCTGCTGCATCCACCGCACCCGTTTGAACCACTCTTAGAGGTAGACCTATGTTTTTTGGTGTTCGTGGGTTCTCCCGTTTGTAGTTATGGCCGTCCCCACCTAAGGGAGAGAGCCATAACAAACGGTAACTACAAGAACAGCTTTAACCTACTTACCCTTAACACTCTTTCTCTTTCTCCGTCTTGCACTTCCTGCTCAGCTTGTGGCACACCTCCTGCGTCTTCGATCGGTTCGGGAACACAGATTTGTAAATCCGCAAATGTAGCGAGAATTGCAGCTAAAGCAATTTCACTGTTCCCAAAGTTTTGCTGGAAAACCCATTTGTACATCTGACCAGGCTTTTCAGGCCGAGTATCAACATGGAAAAATGGCACTTCTGCTGTCGTATTCGGACTCGGGGAGATGGCTCGCATGTTGTACGCTAGCAGGACGTGATTTTTCTTCCACGTTTCCTTGTTGTCAACCGGGTCCTTGCCTGCTTGAAGCGACGTGGTTTCATCTTGCTCTAGTGCAATAGCATCTACCACTAGCTTTCGGATGTGTGGCACCACTGTCTGGTGATATCGGAGCATATTCAGGTCGAACCACATGTTCTGGGACACAAGCTGCTCTTGCGGGTTTCGATTTTTACTCCAGCGTTGAAGGAAATCCTTCGTGAATTCGCGAAGTGCAGGGCTGCAGCTCTTCTGAGCGTTCGCTGTTGAAGACGCTTCTGCTCCTTCTTGTCGTGCACCAACCGCAACAGTTGCTGCAGTCGCCATCATCGCTTGCTTACCAAGCTCATGTTCAGTCAGGCGGCGACGGATGAGAGCCTGTTTCCAAGCGTGCGACCAAGACTCAGAAGCAAACGACATGCGATCCACGAACAAACCACAGCTGCGCAGGTCAGCTTTTTTGAACTCAACAGCAGTTCTAGTACCCTCAGCCTTTGATCTAGGCGGTTCTGTGATCGTGAAGTCGAATCCGGTCTCTTCCGAGCCGCCAGCTTGAAGCTCTGTTAGCGTCTTTAAAGGCGAAGTGGTGGCGATCTTCTTCGCTTTCGCATCGGCTCCTTTGGCACCACCACTTGTACTACCAGCTGTAGTACCTAAAAAGCGAGCTCCTCCTCCTGAGGTCAAAACTGAAAAATCCCTGAAATTCAGCGTTTTATGAGCAGGCACTGGCTCCTTGTTTTTGTCGTTCATCAGAAATCTCCACTCGAATCGCTTGCCCAGCCAAGTCCCCTCCGTCAAGTACCGTCTCTGGAATGCGGTTACCAGATCTTCTTCAGATTTATTCAGATTTCTGACATCATCTTCATCTGATTTTTTGAGAATCATCCCGACCCAAGTGGGATAATGGGCACTCCACTCATCTGCTGCACGACCCCAAATAGTTTCGTCACCGTAGCTAACATCCAATGGGGTCGGAATCTCACTGGCGGGAAAAGGACAAATGCTAAGACGGTCCAAGGCTTTGGTCACGGTGTTTGATGTGTCACGTACCAAAAAACGGCCTTCCTCCCAATTACTCTTGGCATCGTCGGGCGTCATCGGAAATAGCGGTAGCAGTGGACGCAATTGCGTTCCTTCCCGAACCGTTGCCACAGCTTTGGTTGCAGTTCGAATCCAGTTAGAAGCTCCCGTGGTTCGGGGAATTCCTTGCCTGATGCTCTCACGGAGCTTCATCGTATCTTCACTCGTCGCTGCCCACTGGGTAGCGCAAGAGCCGTAATGATGCTCCAGCGGCATCGGCAGTGCTTTTTGGTTGCTGTCGATCTGGTACCTCTTCCGACGACCATGCAGGCTGTCGAGTTGGAGCTTTCCTTCGTTCACAAGCGTCGCTTCTAGACGCAACTGTGTTCGAGCCTCCTTGAAAGCATCACGAGTAAATGGCATCCCCTTCAAGGCCGTAATAAATTCTAGATTAGAGCAGGTCTTTGTTGAAAAGTAGAGTAGAAAGATACTATCTTGCCATCTAAAAAATCCAACGACTTCGTCAGTGTGCTTAGGAAATTCCTATTCTTCATCATCTTGCACCAGCCTTACTATGTTGCTATCTAAATCCAACGACTTAGTCAGTGTGCTTAGGAAATTCCTGTTCTTCATCATCTTGCACCAGCCTTACTATGATGCTATCTAAATCCAACTACCTAGTTAGTCAGTTTTAGCTATTCTTCATCATCTTGCACCAGCCTTAATAAGAACGTCCGGAAAGGTTTCAAACACTTCATGTAATTTTTTCTGTCCTTCGACTCTGTCCTCTTTGAACTTTTTTTTCGCGTTTTCGAGACGTTTAACGATCGTCTCCATGATAACCGCGACACCGTTACTCTCCGTAACCCAGTCCAGCGTATACAAAATCAAATTCGCAACACTTTGAGCATGCTCTGGGACGGTCAGCCGTTGCCTGAAGATGGAGGTACAAAGTACACTTTTATTTTGTTGCTAAAAAAAATCAATAGATACCTCTAAACGACATAAAAAAATTACAAAATCAAGGCTTAGTACTAATCAAGGTTTAAAAAATAGAGACAAAATAGGGGTCAAAATAGGGGTAAAATCTAAAATCTGGCAAAAGCCTGGACAACATTTATCTATTGGTTTGTTTGTAATTAGTGGAGTCTGTTTATTTATTGGAAGATCTGTATTTAGTGGAGTCTGTTTGTTTGTAAGCTCTTGGGCGGTCAGCCGTTGCCTGAAGATGGAGGTTTTAGTTTTTAGTACTTACAAGTTAGAATGTCCACATCTGTGGTGGAGCCAACCTACCTACGAAAGATAGAAAAAAGGTAATGGTACATAAACATATGTTCTATCCCAATTTTTATTTCATCAGTGATTGTTGAGTACGCTTTCCCAGACGAGACGAGGTTTCGAACTTTTTCCACAACCACGTTGACGCCATCGAAGACTGCTTTCCATGATTCTTTTTCTGCTCGGGCAGCTTCTACTTGTTGTGTCCGCGCAGCATCGACCATAGCCGCAGGCTCGACAATCTCTTTCACGGCTTTTCGAAAACTTAGAACGTAGTTCAGGAAAAGCACTTCTCTCGCGTATCCCACTTTCTCTCTATGTAAATAATAATGGACAGCTGCGAGCTGCAGACTGGTGATTTTTCAACACGAGTCATTCTTTGTCTTCACTACAAAAAGTAGTACTCGTGTCGACCTCCACGAGTTCGAGTTTATCTACTAAGTTGTTTAAATCTACTAAGTTGCTACAACAAGTAGTAGAATCAATGGAAGATGTTGATGTCCTCTAAAAATAATAGCTCTTAAAATTTGTCTCTGCAATCTGACACCACCGGCTGCTGAATCTTTAGCGGCCACCACCAACCTCTCCAGCTCGTCACGATATGCTTCTTCATCGTCCACTGCAGCTTCAAGCTCATGCTCCTCTGTTATATCATCAAGAACGTCTCGTTGCGCTTGCGCAGCTTCCAATTGTTGCACTATGAGTTAGAAAAATAGATACTACAATAGAAAAAGACGCTTCACATACAATTTGAAAACAATATTTCTTAAAGGTAGAAGTCAACTGCTAAGTCCATGCAATCATCATCATCATGATTGCAACTTCTAAGTCCATGCAATCATCATCATCATCATCATCATCATGATTGTAGTAGCTAGTACTTATTTTGGAGTTACACTTCTACTTATTAAATAATTTATGATTGTAGTAGCTAGTACTTATTATGGAGTTATTGATTCACATTCTTCAGTCGATTCGTGCCCTGCATAATTTTGAAGACTGTGTTTCCAATTCGCCAGTGCATGCACAAACCGACCCCGCTGGGCATCTGCAGATTCAATAAAGAGACAAAAAATCTCCATCACTACATCCAGAAACATGGGGCAGACGCGGAGCACCGAATCCAAGTCCACGTGTACCGAAGCACCATTCAAATTTCCCAAAATATTAGAGGTTCTCCATAACAGTATCGTCTACAATGATTCTCTTTCTCAAGACTTCTCAGTGTTACTTAGTTGATGTGGTGGTGCAGACCTGACTAGAAAAAAGAAAAACCAGAGGGAGATAGAAAAGAGAAAAGGGTAGTTATCATCAAATAATTGTGGTGGTGCAGACCTGACTAGAAAAAAGAAAGACCAGAGGAAGATAGAAAAGAGAAAAGGGTAGTTATCATCAAATAATTGTGGTGGTGCAGACCTGACTAGAAAAAAGAAAGACCAGAGGAAGATAGAAAAGAGAAAAGGGTAGTTATCATCAAGTATACTCCTACTCAGTGTTAGATAATACCGGTGGAGCACGCCTCTTCACTAGGAAACAAAAAGAACACGACACAAAATACTTAGTACGCCTCACTAGGAAACAAAATAAAACACACAAAAAAAGTTTTTATAAGATTATAATAATCTTATATTTGTGGTGGAGCCGACCTAACTAGAAAAAAAGACAGACCAGAGGAAGATATAGAAGAGAAAATCTTATATATAAACAAGCCGTAATAAGGCGGTCGAAATGAAGAGCGAAGGAAGGTCGAAATAGCTCGTCCAGCTTTCCGGCGTCGTTGCGAGCAGCCTTACACATTCGGTCTAGTGGCATTTGAAAGCGGATCATCTTGCGATAGTCTTTATACTTCTGAATGCTCGCCTCATGCGCAGCCTGACAATGGATCGTCGAAGAGCAAGAAGTACCGCGTGCTTCCGTTTGGACATTAGAGGAGAGATGATGTTTTGGAGAGCTGAGAGGATGGATCAAGGAGAGAAAAAGGAGATTTAGATTGAGAGAGAGGAAAGGAGATTTGGATGGATCGCAACCTAAAGGGAACTTCACAACTACACTATCTATTCACAGTTGCGGCGCAGCTCTAACTAGGAAAGACCAAACAAAGAGAAGGAAGACGTGAGACAACCGCTGACCAAGGTCATCCAACCTTCAAAAACTAAACGTAAACGTCAAATATAACAGTATGAGGAAAATTGGAAGCGTCACAACATCGAAACCGACGACATAGGCAAGACAGACCATGTTGACACCGATTAATTGTTTAGTCTAATTTGGATGGATCGCCTTAATCGGAGAAACATCATCTTTAGGACGAAAACCCAAATGAAGGTCCAGCGAACGCGCTGTGATATCATTAGGGGCTCCTGCTCCCACAACCGTGGTAGCTTTCGAGGAAGGAGAAGGAGAAGGTGGAGCAGCTCTGGCTGCCACAACGCTGGCAATGCCACCAAAGAACCCTCCCCCGAAGAGGTAAACCAAAACAGGAATCATCTTTTTTCTAGATCTTGATTCTTGCGCCTGGTTGCTTAGTCTTAGATGAATCAATCTTGTTCTTCACAGTGAAAAATAGTTGTTCGAATATATTTTTAGAAAAAAAATGATGTGAACAATACGTAGAAATTCAAATTTCTACGAGTCTTCTTGTAGTAGCTTCTTGAAAATGTCTAAATTCCAGTTATATTAGGTGTTTCATGTACGTCGTTTTCATATTAACGGACAACAATTTTTTGAGAAAGAAAACTGGCATCAAAGCCTCACAGTTCTGTCAGCCAATTTCTTTCCTGTAGTGCGATAAAAGCAGGTTTCTTCTGGAGAACCTTAGAAAGAGAAGCTACATTCACGTATCATCAATCTAAACCCATTTTGAGTCTCGTCTGGGAAAATACTCGCATGGTCTTGTGGGAAGGGGGCGCAAAAAACCGTTTCAGAAAGTAGAAAACAATACCGTGTGTGTCGACCACCGTAGAGAATTTGCACAAACTATGTTTGTTGACATCATTCGCCTTTGCATCACACATCATGGCCTGTTTTGACAAGCGAGCATTTTGATTTGGATTTGGAGATTTCAGAAAAAGTTTCTGGCTACCCAGGGGCGAGATTCGTTTCACAAACCGCAGACAGGCGGAGACAACATAATGCCACGAAGAGAGAAAGATAATAATAAACAGACTGAGCGACAAGCACTACCACGCTAAGTAAGGAGGAGAGGCAATTATGAAGGCATCAAACATACTTACTCAGATAGATACAAGTCGGCATGGAAGCAACCGACACGGACATGCACAATAGCAGAGCAGCTTTACTGTGTTGTTAATTTTTCACTTTGACTCACCGATGTTTCATCACGACATGTGGATTTTGGAGAAAGCACAGAGATGAAAACTCACAACAGGAAGTGTGCAGTCCTTCTCCCTTGCGGATGAAGATTACTCCAAAATTATGGGTTGATTTCGATTCCAAACAGCACACAACTAGATATTCTGAATTTGCCTGCCTTTTGTTCTCGCGGTCTAAATTTTACCACAATAATATCGTCCAGCATCCATTGAGACTGAGTGCACTTCCATCGTCTCTACTAGAGACCATCACTTGACATCCTTTAGTGACACGAGCAACTGTGGAAAAGTCCTCATAGTCCACCTATGAAGAAGCTCAGCATTTCTTACACCACTTCACTTTCAAGGGTGTCCAGTTCTAGCTTCCTCTGTTATCGTTCACTGCATCCAGGACTTGACTTAAGCCAGATAGCAGAGCCTTGTTATCGTCGGCACCCAAATTAGATAGGCTCTCGGAAATTCTAATCCAAATGCATTACCTCCTAAATGATGAGGGAATGAACGAGAGAGAGGGAATTAACGATTAGACATCCCCCTTAACTGGAGATCCGCCACCAAATGCATTTTTACCTCGTAAATGAAACTCGTACAACTTACAACATACACACTTATCTGAACATGAACTGCCCTTTGTTCAGAAAAATACAATTTTACTTATAGCTGAAAAGAGCAGCAGGTACGTAGAAGTCAGACTGAAAGAAAACTGGTGCCAAAGTGGAGATGAGGAAATGAACTATGAGACGATGAGACAGGGACGCCCCCCTTAACTGGAGATCCGCCACCACCTGCTCCGCCACTGTTCTCCGGACTCGGGCCTCCAGCAGTATGTGCAAATTCTATGATCATAGGTGCGCCGGTCACCGAGTCCGTCGCCACTGGGATTCCACACGTCATGCGACCTTCACCAGTCACGCCACATATTGCTCCGTTCCCTGCGAAGGATGTTGCAGTTCTGGGAGAGCCCAGGGCTCTTTTAGACGGATTACTTCTACTTGCGAAGGATGTCCTTGTGGTTTTTTGATGAGTGGACCTCATTCTTTCTCCTTCAGACGGATCCGAAGAGAAGGTGGTTGCTGGAGAAGTTGTAGACGGATGGCAGTGAGAGCCAGGCTTTATAGGTATACCACGCATGCTTCGCGGCATTCGTCGTGATGACACTGAAGCAGAAGACGAAGAAGCAGAAAATGTTGACGAGGTGGTAAAAGATGATGACGTCCTAGAACAAGATGCAAAAGATGAACCCAGTAAAGAAGAAGCCCCACCTCGTCGCCCACTGGTACTTCTGCGCTCATCTCCATCTATTAAAGCTCAGCCTTCAATGGTCATCATGACTCTGAACGGAAGGGACCCCCTTCAAAGCTCTCCCCTTTCCCTTCATTTTCCCCCCATCTTTCCTCAAGGGGGGGTCGCCTCTTCGATCTCAGTGACCCGAATCTCAATGGTGACCATTGAAAGTTGAGCCTTAAATCTAGAAGTACAAAACTCGTCCTTTCTCGTGATCCACCAAAACCACCTCCCACTTCTAGTCCACTCGTCGTGATTCTCCTTCCACTAGATGAAGAACGAGTGGGAGGTGGACCGCAATTATTACCTCCGAAACCATTCAGCAAGGCATCGGACATGTTCTTGGGAATACGCCCAACAAGGTCCTGTGCCCCGTCGAGAACATAGTTCCATACCATTTTTTTTTGGTTTTATTGGTGACTGACGCGACGGATGCGTCTGAAAAATAAATCGAGACTGTACTATTAGTATTGTGGAAATTTGGGAAAACTTCTTCGCGCTCGTCTTGGATGTTGGTCCAGCAATATGGCATAATGAACGACCGAAAGTACAACCGACTTCAACATCTCGATTCGATACCGACACGCATCTGACGTCTCTACGCAGGACAAAATGAATTTCATATTGCTAGTTCTTGCGTGATCCGACAATTCGCGACCACCAGACCAGATACAGAGCGCAACCTTTGATAAAAGACTGTGAAGCTACATAGAGGACCGAAACTCCGAGTCGTTACTGTGCTGAACGACAACGAGAGACCGAAGAACGAGTTCAAGTTCAAGTTCAGGGTATCCCCGTCTCTCGCCCCAGTCCTCAGACCAGCGCAGCTCTCGGGGAGTTTAGTTGATGCTCACTGCTGTTAAGTGAGTTCAGCCTGCCCTCCACCTACTCCTAGAGGGAGGCTCTTATTCATTCACTCATCATGGTCAACACGGCGGCACCTTACGGCGACACGGACGGCGCGACCGCAAGCCCTGCGCCAAGAGGGACAGCTGCACCTTGTTGCTACTCAGCACGAATTCATATCCGCCACCGAATTCTTACTGTGCTGAACGACAACGAGAGACCGAAGAACGGTTACGAAGGTATCGACAAGAAAGGCTTGTCCTGCTTTGCCCTTCCTCTGTCTAGAGGGAGATTCTACGTACATCTATAACCATATTGTACGTCTAGGGGCGAGTTCCTCCATTGCCACTCCTAGTGACGCGAAGCGAAACAATCACATCTCCTCCAATCTGGGAAAATTCTAGTAGATCTAGCGTGATTACAAGCATGATTACAACGTGTATAATGCCAACTAGCATGGTGATTATAATGTCTAGTAGTCGCCTCTAAGTACTTGATTTCTGAAACCAACGATCACGAATTCATTCCTGAAACAAGCTGTATGCAGAAGTGGATGTGTGATGAAAGTCGAAGTTGTATGTTGATGAAGTTCAACTACTTATGTATAATGATGATTTGTTTAGATTGTAGGTTGTTTAACTTCTCAAGCCCTGCTTTATTAAGAAAAGCTAATCATTAACGCACACACTAGAGGGGAAAAGGATGAACATCAACTACATTCAACTAGTATAGGGGAAAAATTCAACTATGTATGTGAAAAGATGAACAACAACATTCATTCTAATAAGAGGTATAAAATTTAACTAAGTAAGTATTTTTAGGCGCTCGAAAACAGGGCACCTCACATAGGTCTTTTTGGCATTTAGCCCTTTTAGCCAAAGCTGATTAAGATAACTTTTCAAACTTGTGCAGAGGTCTGCATTAACTCTTCTTGCGTTCGTCCTGTTCTTCCGCGGACGACTGCATACAAGTAGCCTGTCCACTTATTTCTGCAGTTTTGCCGAGTCCGATTCTTTCGAGAGAGGAGAGTTCCTTTCAACAGGAAAACATTTCTGCTGGTTTTGTTTTACTTCTACATCTACTACTTTGGAAGAAATAAACCCCTCTTGCTCATTATTCTTTTTCTTCATCCTCTTTTTAGAAGACCTGGTGCCCATCACGAAAACAATTCATTTCGTCACCTATGTGCATTTTCTCAGAGACTACTTCTACTGAACGACCCCAAGAAATGGGCAAATTCAGAAGAGAAAAATGTATGACCTGTGAGAAGTAGACTACAGTTGTAAATGACAATTAGAACAAGAATTCTTGCGAAGAGCCTTAATCTTCTTTGGTGTAGTACTCGGTTTTTTTTTCCGCCCTTTATTGGAGGAAGAGCTCCTGCCTCCACTTTTCAAATAGGCACGAAGCGAAAAATCACCGCCAGGCTTATTTTTTGTTGGCAGAGTAGAACACGAAGATTAGAAGATGTCCTCACGAGCACAGCCTAATTCATTGGTTCATTCTCTTCATCCTTTCACAATCTCAATCACATCCTGTAGTTATTGTTAATTGTTAATATCCCCTTAAGAAGACGCAGAGGCAGAGGCTGGTCCTTGTGCGTGCTCATCTGGAGGCAGCTCATGCCTTGTCCTGTGCGCACGATCATCTTCATTTTGCAGGAGGAGCTCAGGTACGTGGCGAGGAAAACCAGCTTCTTCTTGATCGCCTTCGTGGTATCCATGCTCTCGCAGCAGTTGTAGTAAGGAGGTTACTAGGATTCCTGGCAGCGACGTTATTCGTTAGAGCACTTCCGGTTCTCGCATCTTCCTACTTGCAGTAGAATCCTTGGCCTTTTCATTCTTTTCCTACTTTTCGTTTTCCACATTCTGTTAAGTATCTATAAGTTAGCACTAGCCGTTGCATTTTTGCAATCACATTTCTATCCAAACAGTGTACCAATAAAGCACTGATTTATACCCGTTCTTGACCAACTGGTTTTTTACACGTTCTTGCCCATGAAATAATAACAAGCCAAGGATGTTGATACTCCTAGTAAGGATGATGCGGCACATGTGCCTTCGCGTCATAATCCGGTTGTTGTGGCCCGTTTTGAAGTACTTCTCGCAAATGTTGTAGTGACGCCACTAGTTTTGGTAAAAGCTCGTTATACTCTTGCGAGGGCAGCAATGTCCTCAGTTCATTTAGTGATGACAGCGCGCGCGCATGTTTTCTCATCAGCTGTTCCTGTTGCTCGGGATCGTCTAGTGGTGGCAATTCTAGAACGGAATCCTCTAGCAGTTTTAATAGCTCCTCAAGGCGAGGCCGCAGACGCTCCAGCTCCTCGACCCTCCCACTAGAGTTAGAGGCTGCGCTATTTTTGCATTCTTCAGCAGACCATCCTTCACTCCCTTCGTATTGGGAAACAGCTCAAGGATGGGAGCGCAGGATGCAATGTCGTGAAGCTATATCCCTTAATAGATGAGCTACTGCCTCCACTCGAACTACTGCCTCCACTCGAACTACTGCCTCCACTCGAACTACTGCCTCCCTGGTCGTGCTCCTCTTCCTCTTGTGGTTGTGCTTCTGTTCTTTTATTAGAGCGTCCCCAGGTCGTCCCTGTAGGGATCCCGCAAGAATATGACTCACTATGGTACATACTGTTCTTGAGGAATCTCTACAACCAGGGATTAATTACGGGAAGCCCTAACTTTATGGTACCCGTGCTTTTTCAGAAGTCCCAGTAGTAGTCTCAGAATCCTTTGCACTGGCTTCGTCTCTTTGAACAGTTCCACGGGTAGTTGGCTGGCTAGTAGTTCTTGCAGCTGTACTAGGAATTTTGCTAGCGCTCGCAGCTTAGGTTCTAGATGCTGTAGCTTCTCGGTTAATAGAAAATCATGCGTTTCAAGTAGCGCCCTAGCCACGACCGACAGCGCGTCGCAAGCATACGGGTGCTCGTCTAGTGCTTGCATCAGATCTAGTAAGGACCCCGCTAACGTTTAGATGTCACTCGAATCCATCTCGAAGTCCATCCTGAGACTGCTTTCCCCTTGAAAACGTCAACGTCTCATCTTTTTAGGGTAACTAAGTAAGATGCTTTCTACTTCGAAGAAGCACCATTTTTAGGGGAAGAAGCCTTAAAAAATCATATTCATGTCCTGGAGGCGCCGTAGGATATCTGCTTCCTGCTCCATCTTTTCAACAGATCCGTCCGTGCGAAATGCCAAATCCTCCCCCAAACTTAGAAGATCTCTACTCTCCTGCCACTCATCTTCAAAGAACTGCTGCATCCTTGAAGAGTTGTACTATACCACGAGAATACTAGGAATGCTCGAGGGGAACAATATCTTAAGCTTTCAGAATGGACGCAGGCCACGGACCTGTCCTCTCTTAGAATTCGTAAGTCCGGGCCACGCCCCCGATTCAAGCCACGTCGCAAATAAATGCTGGTGGACTTGTACTAGACAAGTAGATAACAAAAAAAAAAGATGCAGTCAAAAATGTAAAAGTGTGAGAGATGAATAATTGATAGGTAAAGCCTTAATAATGCAATGTGTAACTGCGTTTCTTGTTCTACTGCGAATCGCCTTGCCTCTTCTGCGGCAGCCTCTCTTACCTGATGAAGAAAACCCACGGCTCCTGCTATGTGCTCAGGCCGATCAGAACTATTAGCGCTCACCCCAAGAAGGTCCTACACCTACTACTCCTCCTGTAGGGTATTATGAATAAGGACTACGACTAGACAGCGACTATTGTGAAGATTAGAGCTCCTGCACTAGACGGCGACTATGATGAATATTAGAGCTACCCCATGAAGATTAGAGCTACCCCCCTGGGGGGCCCAAGTCGTCCAGAAGCTCCGGGTCCGAGAAGATGCGGATTATAGGGTTAATCTCGACGCTAGCCTTAAGATCGAGTCCATTTTCCGTCATTTTTTTTAATGCAGTCGTTATAAATGACTCGGATATGCCAAATGCTTTTGCTAGGCGTTTCATCAATTCATTGTGCTCATGATCGTCGTCTCCTTCGTCATCATCGTCGTCTCCTTCGTCATCATCGTCGTCCTTCTCTTCTTTTTAGAGCTCAAATAATTCATCCTTTAGTAGAAGAGTATTCTCTAAGTAGATCAAAGACTCGCCCTACAGATTATGCAGCAAATGAAAGTAGTCCCCGAGTTGTCACAGGATCCGAAGATAATCATCGGCTGAGCAAATATTATCGATGCTACTCCTATGGACCTAGACAGTCAGGCGCAAACAGGAGTTGTCAGATGAGAAAACCATTACCACCTACTTGGTCATTGTCGTGTACTTCTTCAGGTTCGACCCTTAATACTAGCCGTTTTTGAAGCAAAACTTACACAGAGCAAAACTTTGCACCTACTTGATCAACGTTCTAAGCAATCATTTTCATGAGGGAAGCCTTAATCTGGAGCTCCTTTCTGCGAGTCCTGTAGTCTCGCTTGGTGTAGTTCTTGGCGGGCCTCGTGTTCTTAGATGACCCACGTTTGATGATCGTGCCGTATAATGCAGTTGTTCTAGACGATAGTGGAATAGTTAATCTTTATTAGGTCCATAACTAACACTAATCTAATACACCCGAACATTCCGTATAATTATACGTCATCATATCAAGTATTTACCATTGGTTTACTGTATGAAGGGATACACCTAAGAATATTAGACGGAAAACTAGCCGGTATTATATCAAGAAATTTCATGTAAAATTTCATTACCTGCTCCGACGTTATACTTATTATGTAGCATAGAAGGGTAATTGGTTTAGGAAAGTCGTCCACTAAATCAAACCGAAAACGCCACCAATCTGATGGATCTCAAGAAAAAGCAGGATTTCTAGTGGGTCGATCACGTCTCCCTATTTCCGACTGTATTTCATAGAGAAAGGTGGTTCTAGTTGGTCCTTCGTCTTCATGAAGGTACAAGGTAGTTGTTCTCCTTCTTCTCATGAAAGATGTAGATAAATCAAAGTAACTGCACTTCTGAGTAAAGAGAAACGAAGACGTTCTTTCTGGTAAACAATGAATAAGAATATTAATGTAGTCAATAAGAATATTTACTTGCCTTCAATCCTCAACTACTTCAAGATATTAAGTCTCTACTTCAAGAATAAGGTCAATATTAATAACGGGATAAGTCTCTACTTCTGAAGAATAAGGCCAATAACGGACTAAGCGTGAGACAAGTCCCAAAACGAATAAGGTAAATAAGATCACAAGGCCCTAACGAAGTCGTCGTTCCAATGCTTTCTTCTCCTTTCTTCTGACAAGGCCGACTACTCTGCGTTTTTGAGAGGATGACGACGAGGCTGGTTCTTGTGTGCGCCCATCTGGAGGCAGCTCATTTTTTTTGAGTTGTTGTAGTTTAATATCGTGAGCACGATCACCTTCGTTATTCTGTCCTTGTCCTCGTGGAGGACCCACGCCTTTTTCTACCTGAGAACCTCCGCTATTACTTGATGAAGATGGTAGTTCTACTTGAGAACCTCCGCTATTACTTGAAGATGGCTGAGAGCACCCTTCTTCTACTTCTGCTGCTACTTCTGCTGCTGGCATGATATTGCTTGTCTTCTCAGGTTCTTCTTCAGTAGAGGCACCCCGAGCAGCACCACTAGAGCTGCTGCTATTGGGTGGTTCGTGTGGAGGAGAACAAGGTTTAGCTCCACTCGTCTGCTCGTTGGAGGAAGAAGGTTCTTTAAGAGCTGTAAACTGCTCGTGAGAAGAAGAAGAAGGCTCTTTAAGAGCTGTACAACTGGGGTCGTGAGGAGGAGAAGGTTTAGGTTTAGCTCTACTGGGCTCGTGACAAGCAGGTTTGGCTGTACTCGTCTGCTCGTTGGGGGAAGACGGTTCTTTAGCTGTACCGCGGTTACCACCAAGATCAAGAGGCTCCATTACATGTCCAGGACCATGACCGTGCCCAACATGTTGACCTCGAGATGTTGATGATGATAATAACCTTAGAACATCTTCTTGAGAAATCAAAGCTCCGGGTTCTACACTTGTTGGCAAATGGAAGAATGGTAGTGCTTTAGAAGCGTCTGGAAATCCATATAATTCATCGCTCACTGGAGCCGTAGCGAATCGTAGTCGAGGTGCTGCGGGAGGTTGATGCGGAGGTCGTTGTGCCCAGAGGTTAAAAACAGCTGAAACGTCAACAGGGGGAGGACTGCTGGAGGATGCGAAGCCACCCTGCCCTGTAGTAAAACCACGACTAGTAGCTGTACCTCCGATAGAGGTACTAGAAGCTTCTCGTCGGGAAGTTTTCGCCAAGGGGCCCTCCAATTCTTGGGCTTGGCTTCCTGCTAGAGGAAGTTTATTAAATGGAGGACTCACCTCTGGCCCATCGGCAACGCCTATAGTAGATGGAAAACCCATGTCAGCGTAGTGGTCTCCTTGCTGTTGCTGTTGGTGAATCAGAGTGGTTTCTGTCGTGTCTGTTTGTTGTTCCCCAGAAGATGAGCACAGACGTTCTTGTGCTCGCGATCCAGAAGGGCCTTCACCTCCACCAGGTACAACTCCTGTAGCAGGAGTTGGAGCAGGTGAACCTTTAGGTTTAGCTGTACTAACCTCCGTGGTTGACAGCAAGTCCCTTCCAGGAAGTTCATCTCGAGACTTGTCTTTCTCCATGGGCGTAGTACCCCTTACGGCACCAGCACGAGGCAGCCCAAGAGGCAGCCCACAAGGAGGTCCTCCATGAAGCTCATCTTCCTCAAAAAGCGGCTCTCCCCCACGTCTTGGGATCGGATCTGAGTGGATTCTACCGAGTTTCATGTGAGAGAAGTTAGAGGGGGCACTAAAACGAGTTGATCAAGATCAAGGGCTCGCTGCACTGGGCATGTATCATTAATGATAAAAGGTCTAGAGCTAGACATTTGTAGGTCGTAAGTAATCGTAAAGTGTGAGTTGTATACTAAGCCCCGCACCAAACTAAATAATCTCGACACATCTTCTAGTTGTTAGATACTCATTCTAATCCACATCATCCCGTCAGCCATGCAGTATAATGCATGGTCGTCGGGCGTTTCTCTTAATTCAGTCATATTCATTTCTCAAATATATTAACGAGCATCAATAACGGTCCTTAATGCTCTTTCGTCCCTGCTGCGTGCATCCGCATTCAGTGACGCCTGAGGACGTCCGCGAGAGAAACTTCGCGAAGGCCCTTGTGTTAGAGTGGTCAAAAACAAAACGGTAGAGCTAGAAGTTGTACCAAGATCTCAAGGAGAAGGATGTTGGGTAAAAACAGTGGCAGTACTAGCAGGTAAAAGTTGTTGACCAATGAGCATAATTGTGCTAGCATCCCTGTCCTTTCCAACACCACTGTCAGACTGTGCACGTCCAAGCTCTCGTGGGGATCGTGGTGTGCCATCTGTTTGCGTAGCAGAAGACACTGTCGAGTCTGACCTTCTCCTATTGCAAGCGGGTGGTTCTTTTTGATTTTCAACCTGTTCTTTTTCCCTTTGAAGATGAAGATTTTTGTCCGGAGGCGACAAGGGACATGTATCCTGATGTGGGCCATCGTGAGGTCGGCTACCGCTACCATTTCGATGTGCTGGGCCATCGTGACGTGGGCTAGTACGGCTACCTCCATCATGTGCTGGGCTGCCATCCTGTGGGCTGTCATCTAAAAGTGGTGGGCTAAGCTCACGCGGCGCGTTGCCAGGTGGACGAATGAATTTTCCTTGAGGCTTTGCAGGTGCATTTGTGGTTTCCAAAGGTTCTCCAGCATCAACATCGTCGCCAGAACTCCGATTCACATTGTCAGATTGAGAGTTGCCGGGACGACCGGTACCACCACTGCCGCGGCCACCAATGGTTGGGATGTCGTGGCTGCCACTTGGGTAGTCGACGTCTCTGCTTGGGTAGTCGGCGTCCCTACTTCGGTAGTCGTGGCTGCTTCGGTGGCTGCTTGTAGGGTCTCCACTGGCTCCCTGGGTGCCTGTAGCGTAAGAGCCGGGTCGGCAGGTGCCTGTAGGGTATCCGCTGCTCGTATACCCAGAAGATCTGTACCCACCAGTGCTATACCCACCGCTTCCAGAACTACCACCAGAATTACCGCTACCGCCAGAGCCGGATCCCCCTCCACCCCCAGAGCCGCCTCCACCTCCAGAGCCGCCTCCACCGCCAGAGCCGGATCCCCCTCCACCGCCAGAGCCGGATCTGCCTCCGCCATTCCTAGCTCCGCCTCCACCGGAACTGCCGCCGCCGCCACGACTGGAAACGCCGCCACTTCCTCCAGCTCCACTACCACTACTAGGTCCTGGACCTACGGGAGATGCACCACTTCCGCCTGGTGAACGAGACCCAGACGGTCCTGAAACTACGGCAGATGCTGGTGAAAGTGATGGCACACGCCGGTTCGTATACACGAATACGAGCACGGTACCTATCACGACAACCACAATCGCAACCACAACTACAACCGTGAAAAGCCAAACCTTAACTTTTTTGCTGCCACAAGTGATATTATTGTTGTTCCCCGTACGCTTTTTATCTGCGGCCACACCAGCAGCAGTGCTAGGTGTTGATAGCGAGCTCGTGCGTAGTAGCTGGCTTTTTTTACTTGCAGAAGCATCAAGATCGAACTCGTTCATTGAGAAGTCGTAGTTCTCGGGAGATCTATTTTTCTCGATCATCATCTTGATTTCCTTCGTACTACGGTCCACTACCAGAAGGCTAACTTCAGCATGGTCATCTTGTTCTTCTTCTTTCATCTTTTCGTCGTGTTCTACTACTGCTTCGTCATCGTGGTCCTCTATCTCCTGATCATGAAAAGCAGGCGCAGGCCGGGTAGTTATGTCTATTGACAGCTCTTTGCCTTCTTGCTCTACTCTATGTTCTTCTTTCTCGACGTCGACCTGCATCTTCATGAGAGCTTCTTCATTTTTCAAGTCGCCTTCGCGTCTCTTTGAAGCCACGTCCACATCCTTCGTCCGCAACACGATAACGTCATCATTTGTTCTACTTCTGAGACCAACACCTGGTTTTTTTTTTTCATAGTTGTCTTGATTATCATAGTGGCCATCTTGGAGCTCCTTTTTTACAGCTTCATCATCATGGCCTTCCTCGTCCCCTTGCTGCCCCCGTTCATCTTCGTTGCCACCTTCATGGATGCTGCATAATTCTTCAGGCATGGTGTCTGCTGGTCCAGCCCACTGCGCATGCCCCTGCACATCCGAAACAAAGGGGATGCGAGGACGTAGATAAGGAGGACCAGGAGAAGTTCTTCTACTTGTTGTAGTGTTCGAAGATGTGTTCCAAGATGTTGAAGAGTTCGAAGATGTTAAAGAGGAAGACGATGGAGTGCAAGTGGTTCTTGCAGTTGAGCTAGTAGAAGAGGTAGTTCTATTTTGATCTTCTTGATGATCTTGGAGCTGTTGTCCTTCTTGCAGATGCGCTAAAAGTTGCACCGCTGACCATCGATTTTGCCACTTTCGCTCTAGACAATGTTGCGTAAGCGCAACTAGATGGCCGAAAAGGGTAGCATCCTCCGCTTGGTGTTTCGGGTGATGCAAGTAGCGGATTTGGACGCGAGAGTCAGCGATTGCAAACTGCAATCGATGCCCACAACCCTCGAAATGCTTGTACGGCCCACGCCCGTACAGGAGCTCATAGAGAATTATTCCTAAAGACCAAATGTCCGCTTGCGGCCGCATTTTCATGGACCCGGTCCCTTCTTCGGGTTGCCAAAACGCTTCTGGCGCCATGTAGCGTGGCGTGCCGCACTGTCCGTGGCGCGAGACGTGCGTCTTGCTTTCATCGAGACAACGGGCGAGACCGAAATCCGACAACTTCAGGTGACCATTCACGACTAGGCAATTCGCAGGCTTCAGATCGAAATGCACCAGACCAGCTTCGTGGATTGCTGCCACTGCGGCCACTAACTGCCTCCACAGTGTGTGAATTGTCGCCAGTGATAGAAAGTCCTCTACTAGGTGCTGTCCGTTGTAGAAGTTCTTACCTTTAACATTCTTATCCACCTGGTGAGACTCCTGAGGGTTCTTCTCGCCGTAGTTACTTTGATGCGGACCTTCTTCTTCTCCTCTAGGTACAACGTTTGCCTCACGGTTCGGATCTTCACCAGAGGCACCAATCCTTCCCCCCGACTTCAAAAATGTCTGCAAATCGCATGTGGCGAACTCTGTTGGAGCTACCGCGTTGCATCCCTGGGCACATCCCTGCTCCCTTTTTCCCCTTGAAAAGGAGCCAAGGATGGTGCTGCGGATGCTTCAGCGGTAGTCTTAACTCTAACAGGATGTGCAACACTAATTCCATATCGTAGGCTTCAGCTTCGTAGATTTGCACGACATTAGGACAATGTTGGAGCTTTTTCAAAGCGCCGATTTCGGCTTGTAGAGAAAGCAAATTCTTTCGGTCCCTGGCGAAGACAACCTTCAAGGCAAAAAGGTGGCCAGTGGCGAGGTCTACACAACGGAAACTTAGAAGGAATACATCTTAAGTGACTGGTATGTGCTTCTTGTGGTGAGTGAAGATTTCGATGGTAGTGAGTTGAATATACTTCCATTATTTGAAATACGTGCATGAGAACTAAAAGATGTTTTGTTACTAAAACTAATACTAGATCACTAACTAAGTATGTTCTTAAGCAGTCCGTAAGAAAACATCCGCGCTGGCACCACTGCCACAGTGGGCATCAACCCGTAGATATCGTTGGCCAAAAGCGACTAGAGAACCAATGATCACACGGCGTCCAACCGCAGGACAAATGTCATAAGAGGGTAAGCGCAAGATGTCCTTGTAGTTTTGGTGAGGCTCCTCTGGCTCCTTTTGATCATTATTGTTTTGCGTTCTTGCTCGCTCGTGGTGGGGCTCGTCCTCTACTAATATCAGGTTGTTCTTGTAGAAGTAGTCTTCAACATTTTTGTCTTTCCGCTCTCCATCTTGGTGTCCTCCTGCTCCTCCTCGAACTTCTTCTAAAACTGCGGAGGCCGTATTATGTCCTTCTACTTCATCACTGAAAGCACCAGTCGCATGCGTAGGAGGCGGAGCGTGAAGAAGTGGCGTCAAAGTCCTATTACTACTAGTGCTAACTATATGGCCAGCACTAGGCGGCGAGTGCTGTGAAAAACTATCTCCTTCTGATGTGCTCCGACTCTCTACAGTGAGGGGCCCAGGCGCAGCGAGCTCTTCAGGTGAGGGTTGCATCGTCTCTGCTTGATGACGTGCTCGTCTCTGGCCCGCGTCCTCCTGCGAGGCACCATCGTTTCCGCCAGCCGATGCACCTCTTGTTAGAGCTACCGCGTCGCATCCCTGAGCCCATCCCTGAGCCATTTTTTCCCTTGAAAATGAGGCCAAAGATGGCGCTGAGGATGCTTCAGCGGTAGCCTTAATCTTGACCTTGACACACGTCCAGGTGTCATCATTATTTTGGTATTGGATTTCCTTTCATATATCCAGAAACATCATTTCAAGGATGATTAAGTTGAACTTAGGGTTTAAGGACTGTTCGTAGAGTTAAGTACAACTTGAACTTCTACATATTCGTTTTCATCTAGATTCAAATAATGTGCTACGAGATAGAAATACGAGGACTACCTCGTCCACCTTCAACGTCGTTCGGATCAACGGCAACATCATGACCAAATGTCCAGATCGTAATCATACACGAGGAGACACCGTTTTGGCAGACTCCACCTTCATTAAGAAGCTAGTCGTAGTTTGTGAACAAAGCAACCTGCAATTGATTATACTCTCCCAGTCTAGTACTTCTCCTGTTGCTGTTTTAGGTTGTTGAAGATGAGAAGGAATTTGATTGATTGATTGACTGATCGAGAGGAAGAACAAATAAAAGTTCAGCACGCAGGGTCAAAGCACTTCTTAGGAGAATATCACTGCAAAAAATCCAACATGATTAGACTTCTGAAGAAGCGCTACTGAAAATTTTTGACATTGACCGAGTCAGGACAGATATTTCCAGACAGTACACGTCGCTGCATACGGAATCACCAGGAGTGGAAGATGAAGATCCAAGTCCTCCAAATTTTTAGACAACAACAGAAACCGAAACAAGAGACCGTAGGACAATAGGACAGAGGAAATGAAAAGATGGACACCTTTGATACTGTAAACCAACTAGATGTTGATCGTGTTGTTATGAGAGCGATGCTTCGATGAAGACTCTTGTAGAGTGCTTGTACCTTTCTGTATAATGTGTGGGCATGTGATAAATACGACAGCGCTCCTGCCATAATCGTTCTGTCATAGGAGCAAGTCCTGGGGAGAACATGGTGGATAATACTGACAACAAGACAATAGCAGGGGCATTGCTTCTTCATGATTCAGTCAGAACAAGGGGCAAGGGCATGTGTTTCTTTCAACATCATCGGGTATTTCTCCATCAACGCATCATCTTCTAAAACCGTAGGAAGTCGAGAATCCTCTCAGGCAAACATATCAAAGTCATCCGCTTCTACTGCAGCAGCCCGTTCCGCTTGCTCAGCTTTCCGAGACTCTGCTGTGCCAGGCTCGAAGCATTTCGCACTATTCGCATCCGACCACGCAAACTGTACTACCATAGCCGTCAAATTGTCCTCACTGCCCTTCTTAAAAGCCGTCCGGACCACATTTTTCGAGGCGTCTTCCGCGGATTGGTACCATTTTCCCGCTAGATCGCAGATTTCCTGTGAAGAAAGGACGTCGCAAATGCCGTCGCTGCAAATTACAACAAAGTTGTCCTTGGATGTGAGCGGGTGGATGCGTACTTCGGGAGTCGAGTCAACCACTTTATTCGGCTGCTCCGATTAGAAGAACCTCTCTACTGATAATGAGGTTGTCCTCTGTTGTACTTATACATAATTTTTAGGTTGTAGTCCTATAATAATGAGATGAGCCGAGGAAGACCAAAGTTAGTAAATTTTGGTAGTTGTTCCATAATTTGGAACAACCGTGCTGTAAGTACTAACTTTCCGCTCCCACTGGAGAATATCACGACTCAATGTTGTTCTCGAGAACTAAGAAGTTGTGTTCAACATAAACCAAATCCCACGATAAGTCGTGTTAAAGATCTCCAGTTTCTTAATTATGAAGTAAAGAGTTCCAGTTCCAGTTTCTTAATTTACGTAAAGATCTCCAATTTCGTAATTATGAAGTAAAGATCTCCAATTTCTTAATTGAAGTAAAGATCTCCGAAAGACCGGGTCATCATCAACCCCTGAAACTGGTTCCTCTGCGCTTTGGTTCTTCCGTGTGGGTTACTACTGCACACTACGCGCAGGGAGCCGCGAACATCCATCACTGCTCCGCCAGCCCGCTCTATCCTTGCGCGTTCGTCCAGTCGGTCTGGCTTATGGTCCTCACTAAGGTTAGAGCTGTCCGCAATTCATCTTTCAAGTGCTGCATCCTTGAACACTATGTAAATGGGTGAAGAGTCTTCCCTTACTAGGATACAACTCCTCCATGATGAACGTATGATGCATTTCATCAAGGATGCAGCAGCGTCCAAGGATGTCTGACTATTCGAAAAACTGAAATAACCGAGTAACTATTGAAAATAAGGGAGATGCTGAAAGAAGAGGAATGTAGTCAAGGCTTCTCTTGTATTTCAGTCAGCAACTCGCTTATTTTGGGATGTTGCATTATCATTAGGAGAAGGATAGAAGGTTATCCACAGACCTACAGACTCACCACTTCCTTGTTGTATGATTCGGTAGTAGAGGAGCCTTAATGAGGGGTATGGCACGACCATCTCTGCAAAGGATCGCGCGACTGTCGCCCAAATTTGCGCAGACTAGCCGCAAGCCGCTGTTCTGTTTCGGATTCCCGTGAATCACCACGGTCAAGCCTGTGCTGCCGACTAATTGCAGGTTCTTTCGGTCGCTGACCTCACAGATCTCGGCATCGGTCTGCTCAAAGGCAGCCACATGCGCACTGATCAGTTTCTCATCTCTTGATGCGGCAAGCACGTTGCGTTGTTTGTAATGGGACAAAAGATGTTTCCAGAGTCGTTCTTGACACTGCTCAGCCACCTGGGTACCACCATGCCCATCAAATATGCCAAAAAACATGCCAGTGTCATCTAGAGGCCGGTCGAGAACATACCTTGATCATAGGTATGAAGATTGGAGGTCCAGGTTGTACAGGTTGTAGCTAGCTGTGATTGTGATAAATAATGTTCAATAAATATCTCTCAATGTTGTAAAGAATCTTCAAATTCTGTTTGCCCCCACATGATTTTACAATATTAAGAACTAATATGTACTAAGATAGCTAAATAGTAGGTCTACCTATCCTGCAAAGCCAATTTTTTGCCCGGCCATGATTCCGCAGATGAACGTAATTGCAGCGATTCCATGGTGACGTGCATCCGATTTCTCTTGTCCTCCAATTTTTCATCGTGGATCGGTAACGCCTTTTTATTTCGGTCCACCATGACCACTTCGATAGCGGTTTTCTTCCCATCCTCGTCAACTACTCCGTACAAAACCTCGTAGAAGAAATTGGGGGAAGAAGGTAGAGGAGGAAGAAAGATGAGCTTTTCTCGGCGATAGAAAAAATTTTGTTGTTGTGGACAGTCCCTACTGCAAGGTGGTGGGCAGGAGTATTAAGTACTTTTTGAAAATAGGGGGCAAAGCGAAGTGAGCTTTTAGGCACTAATGCGGAATGGGTCAGACAATTCTTCTGAAAAAGGACATTTTTCTCTCCAAAAGATCCTGATCGATCTCTTCGTGTTTCAGTCAGCCATCCGTTTCTAATTCTAGGGTTGTTCTAGTACAACAATGAATTTAAACGTCACTCTCCCTGAATCTCTCACAGAACAGAAGCCTGAGACAGCCTTGAAAAGGAGTCACGTGGCGTCCGTTCTTTGTTGATTATCATAAATCATGTGCGTAGAATGATGTTTAATGTGTTGATACAAGTGAAGCAGTCCTCTTTGTCTTTTAGTTTGTGCTTGGATTGGAACTGGGAAAAAACCAGGACTTAGAAATATTTTGTGTTTGTTTCCTGTGTCTGTGGTGCTGCAGGCATCGAGGAGTTTCGTTGAAGACGGTGAAAGCATTATAACCAAGTGAGGGAGTAAATAGTAAATGCAAAAATCTACTACCTTCTGTTCATTACAAAAATGTGTTACTATTAAGAGTGGAAAAACTGAAACTGGAGTACAACTCGTAGTAGTTCGAATACTGTCCTCTAGAAGAACTTTAGCTAATTCTAGGCCTCCACAAGAGAGACCCGTTGCACTTGATAATAAAACCTTTTGGCCTTCCACTAGGTCGACTGGCCTGGAAGCTGTTGAGCCCTTGATATTCCTCCTGTGAACGAAGACTTGGACTTGACTTTTCTCCGACGTAGCGATGGGGAGAATAAAGCTGTTATTAAATGGTATTTTTGTGGCCGGAGAGGTTCTTATGCTCATGTTGATGAGGTGGTTGTAGTTAGTAGTATGATCTTTCGACGAGTGAGATGGACGGTTGAGAGAAGTTTATTATGCGGAGAAGAGTTTCTGCTGCCAGACAGAAGTTCTAGTACTTGGCTTGATATTTGGTTTCCTGTCTTCATTTTTATGAGTGATTTTTTAAAGCAAGTCAACTACAACATGTGAAAAAGCGTGGATTTAAGAGATGATACCCAAAGCCTCTTTCTTCGTTCCATTGGAGGACAGTGCCTTCTTGCCTACTATTCCCAGTATCTCCAAAAGCAGTAGAGGATGAGCTACTTGAGGAAGCCGATTGACCTGCTGTTGTACTGCTATGGCTATCACCGGTCTTACTAGTACTTTGATGATCACTCTGCGTTTTCCCAGCTGCTTGTGCACTACTAGGATCTGCTGGCGAAGCGGCTGTAGTTGTTGATGTGCTGCTTCCTGCCGTAGTCGCACTCCTTTTGACTACGTGGCTTCCCGCAGTGTCGCGACAATCTTCTGGCGGCGGAGGCGGTGCTTCGTGATCGTCAAAAGAGACGAAAGTCGCTGTTTTGAGCTCTTTTTTTATCTTCTCGATCTTGTGCAGCTTCTTGATCAAAGGATCGTCATCATTGATGATCTTGCGGAAACTGCCACTTTTCTTCTCCAATTGCACGTAGTAAATCCCCGATTTGACATGCAAATATAGACCCGTTTCCCGGTGAAACTGCCATCGATGCCCAGAGGCAAAATGCGTCAGCCAACCTTGTAGTTGGTGGAAATTTGTAGTTACATTAACCTTGTAGTTGTAGGAGCCATTTTTGTTCCCTCCAACGCTAATCGGACATCTTCAAAACCTTCTAGTTCTACCATGTAATTATCTATGTATCAAATGCAGCTTATTTAAAAATCCGAGTCAACTTCTACATTTTCATGGTGTCCTAAAAACTTGCCTTCGGATGACAACTGAGGGGAGTTTTGCTCATATCAACGTGAAAGATACATTTACCCCTGCTTACTTTTTTTCAGTGTCCCACAGGACTGGAGATTACATCTCATCACATACCAGCTTTGTCGCGATCATCTCGGTACTCGGACATGTCCGTAGGCGGAACCCGTCTGCCAGTCTCTAGCCGGGCTTCTCCTCCTCCATCTTCTCTATCCCGCCCACCCCTATCCCGCCGATCGCGGCCCCTGTCGCGGTCCTGGTCGCCTCTGTCACCTCCTCGTCTACCACCTCCGTTATTAGAGGTATAAAGGTGTCACGCAAGAAGTTACGAAGGCAGTGACGCAGTGGCGCCTCTGTCACCTCCTCCACGTCTACCACCTCCGTTATTCGAAGAGGTGGTAGACGTGGAGGCTCACTAGTCCAAGCTTTGTATGGTCGGATGCAATCCTATTGGTAACACCACTATCTTCAAATCAAAAGAGATGCCGATATTCAACACTTTATTAGAACTAAGTTGGAAATGGTTGGAGTTGGTAGAACTGAGCCTCTGTCACCTCCTCCACGTCTACCACCTCTTCGAAAAACTGTGTTTAGTTAAATTGGTTCGACGGTGTTTAGTTCTTAAAAACTACTAGAGCTAGTACCCCTGCATTCTTGGTTCATTTAATCAATCAATGAATTGGCGAAGCGCGGCAGTCCGGGACTAGCGGACGTGTTTATTTTTTCCATAGGACTATATGCTACCGCCCTTTTAATCAATTATACAAATTCTTACGTGAAACGTGGACACACTTCTTACGTGAAACAATAAATGTCGTGCCTTAATGTTGCCACCACTACCATCCTCATCTCCACCACCTCCTCCTCTAGTGCTGTCACCTCTATTCTCACCGCGTGGTGAACGGGAGCGGCGGCGTGGAGATCTACGCCCACGCCTGCCCCGACCACGGCTTTCAGAACGACGAACCATGATTGATTTTTGTTTGCGAGATGAAGAGTAGAAGTGAAGTAGGACTTAAACTTTTGAGTTGTAACAAGGTGCAGCAAAGTGAGTAGGACTTGAACTTTTGAGTTGTAACAAGGTGCAGCAAAGTGAGGTGTACCTCTGAATCTCTGACAGCTTGAACTTCCACTTGTTCTAATAGATACTAAGGCAGTTTAAGTAAGTTTACCAAGTGGTCTAGTACGTTTATTCAGCTCACAACTACAACTTTAAAGATGGTATAGAGGCAGATCTTCTCACGTGTTTACAGCTACAACACTAAACTGTACTGTTTTCGCATGGTCGTGCATTTAGTAGACCCACGCCACCACAGGATGTCACGATGGATTGAAAGAAAAAAGAAAGACCAGAGGAAGGTCAGTATCTTTATATAATTCTATCATGATGCATAACCTGATTTATATGTCATACGCATCGGCTGCATGTAGTTTCCGGAGCGCAAAACTTTCTTTCATAAACATCATAGGAAGGCACACAGCACAAGCACAGAAAAACTGCAAAGATTTTCATTCTACTAGGATCGCCGGCTCGACTATATTTTTTCTCACGCCACACCAGCTGGCGTTTTTCATTATATAGATGCATATTAGCGAAAGCGAACGACATAGCCATTGGGGACTCAGTGGAACGTCTTCATTCAAGATTCGTTTCAGAGACGAAAAAAGATTTGTTTCTCGCTTGCTTGGTTGCTTTATAGAACAATATGTTTCATCACAGCGGTGGGTTGTTGCAATGGAGTTTTTTTCTTCTGTCGTCCTGATGTTGTTCTCTCATTTCCTCGAGAATACGAACTCGAACACCACTTCATATTTCTTCCCTCCAACATGCGCTCAACAAGTGGCCATGAATTACATAGAAAAATTCGGTTTCGCGTTGCTTGTTCAACTACATGATCCTGGCAAGGTTATAAAAATTGAACAACATGTAGTTCGGGAGCAGGGCAAGGGGAATGTTTGCATGGTGCATAGGGGGACGAGGTGAAAAAGGACTAGAACTAGATTCATTGTGAGATAAACTAGTAGAAGACTACGTAAACGTCCTGTTTTTTCCATACCTACTAGACAGATATAATATTATCGTTCTAGGATAATCGACAGACTGAAAGAAGCGAGGAACTACCTAGAATAGCCGAGCTATGTTGCGTAGTGACTCTCATCTCTTCTATTTCCTTTAGCAACTCGCCTATTTTCACTTTTCGAGTAGAAAAAGGACCTCCTATTAGACTTACTTACAGACTTCATTTCGCCACTCCTAAATTGTAGTTTCCTGTTATACTTTTCCGATTACGGCTCTCCTTGTGCAAATTGTTTGCGGTTCGAGTCCAACAGGGTTTGCCTCAGAGTGGTCCGGACACACTGACACGAAGACACTGCTGAGTCGACTAGAGTGCGCAAAACGTGTGCGTCGCGGACCCTGCCAGCTTGGAGCAGTAGCATTGACCCGTCTCCTGCGGTGACCACAGTCGTGGCAGTCGAATTATGTCGCTCTTCCTCGTCCAGTAAGTCGACCGCGACTGTATGTTGGTCGAATAGGGAAGTAGAAGACCTAGTTGAGGTTTCTTCGTCCTCTTCCTGGAGGTTCATCCGCTGCTCCGAAGAGCTACAATCTTCTTCTACTTGCGATGAGTGTGCAAGATCCTCATCTTCTTCATCTTCATCGCCAGTAGAAGTTGAAGAATCTTCTTCTTCCTCTTCTTTTTCCTTGTCTTGTTCGACGTCGCTGATGCCTCTGTTGGTCGTAGGTGATTTTCCTTGTTTTTCCTTCTCGTCTGTAGCTTTTTCAACATCATCGTCGTGGCCTATTCTCCTCCGCTTAATACTCCTCATCTTTAATGAAGAAAAACTTTTTCTCGAAGTAGGTGCAGATGATGAAAATGTACTTCGTACCAGGTGTTCTTTGGCTGACAGCTGGCCTGTGGACGACGCAGCAATGAGCCCTCTCGGGAATTCTAAGCACCCTAAATCACAAATCGCCAAAGTTGTCGCGTTTACCAGTGCTGAAAACAAAGAGCCGTCCAATTCTACCACGTGCAGTGCGATGTTTAGCACTTTGTTTCCACCGCCTAGCAGTCTGTGGTTGTCCCCTCCAGTGAGGGCTTGAGCAAAAACACCCGATAGATGCGACGCGTGTTGCTGCAAGCGCTGCTGAGAGACCTGATCTGCGCCAAGCTTTCCTGTTCCGGCACGTCCAACCGTGATTTCGAAGTTCAAGACCCCAGACAGCCAATTCGCGGATTCTCTAGAACTACAAGTTCCTGCTGTGGAATTGGAAATCTTCATACTGGAACTCAAAGTGCCACTAATAGATCCGCCACCAGAGGCGGACGTAGGCACCACAGCAACCTTCCTCGATGCTCCTCCCAAGCCTCCACCTCCGTTCATGGACAAAGAGTTTCCGCCACCACCACCACCACTCGAACAGACGGAGTAAGACGACGTCCCGCCTCCACTGACATTTTGAAAAAAGACGCGATTTTGTTCAGAGCCGCTTTCGTAGGGTCCGAAGACTCGGCATAAAACGGTGGTCCCTCCCAAGGAGACAGTGGCACTGCCATCGCCAGTAACCTCGCAATTGAGAGGACGCAGCTCACCGCGTAAACGACCATCTTTACGGAACTGAATCACACGGCTTGATGATGCTGTCATTTTCTTTGATGTCGTGGCACGCCCAGTAGAAAATGAAGATGTTGCTGATGTCATTTTCTTTGTTCTTGACGACGTCGCCGTAAATGTTGATAATGCATGTATTATAAGACTACAGTAGTTCTTGTACGAAAATCAAGAAATCCTCACAAGAAAAGTGAAAACTTCAGACAAGAACATACTTTTTTTGAAGGTCGTCAAGTAACTAAGAGGATGATAAAAAAACGAATCTCCTGTAAAAATGCGTCTTTTGAATTCTTATAAATTTAAATCATAGGTACATGATCTACTACTTGCAGAAGTAGAAGTAAGGTGTTTGATCATCGATTTTGTAGTTCAAGAAAGATGAACAACATATCTTCAAGAACATGACACATCATCACGACATCTACATGTTGATCTCCTGCGTCCATGATCTGCTTTCTCTTTCTGTAGATCAGTGGACCTTTCCATTCGTCTGGAGGACACTGTCGTGATCTCCTCCATGTTCATACTGTGGCTCTCATAATATTTCTGATTTCAGCAAAATTAAACTTGATTTTGATCATTCTTCCGCATAGTGAGGAGGAAGCTGCAATTCCAAGCCTGCTGAAGACGGTAACACTTACAACGTCATGTGTACGCTTCACGTAGTTGCGATCCTTACTCGATCACCACAGAGGTGGCCTTGTTATTACATATTAGTAGTACAACTGGCTGCAACACTTACAAGATGAACTGGAGGTGGCTGCAATAATATAATCTCTCGTGATGTTGGTACCATGGTAGACAGTCTTCATAGAATAACAATACAGCTACACCAGCAGATGTGGAACCCAGCAGACGTGGAACAAGCACATGCAATCCTGTATGTTAATGCTGCTCCTCGCATCTTCCGGAGAGATGACTAGTTCTGATAGTTCATTGTCAGGTGAGTAGAATTGCAGTGCCAAGTTGCTAGAACTAGTGCTTTTCCCCCTCATAGCACACATTCCACCTCATAGTACGCAGCTCTTGTATGGCCTAGAACTTAGCTGCCTCACGTGGCTCTAGATCTCTGAGGGCCCGCTGCAGACACACAGAGTTACATACCAACAATGAATTAGTTCAACTTGTTCAAGCAAATGCCTTTTTGCACAACGGGCTCTAATCCTTTAGTGTCCACACCAAGCGCTTAGTGGAGTTAGATATGAATAAAATGTAACTATAGAGTAAGTGCGATGAACTTCATCTTGCAAATCCGTCACAGCTACTAACTTTTAAACTCTCCGGTAAAGGTCTCTGTGCTTCCCGCAGCCTGGACTGTTTAGTGCACTTCTCCCAAATGCGGCAACTTTGTGTGCTTTCACTGGTTCCCCTGCCTTATGCGCTTTCCTGGCTCCATAGGAAGTCGCATGCGAAAGCTTACAAATCCTAGAGGCGTATGACCTCGCCAGAAGTCCTGACTATCGACGCTTTTCCTTTGTTTTTCAGCTTTAAGCCCCTCGCATTCGTGTTCCGATTGTTCTCGAAGCGCTTCAGCCCTGGACTTAGAGGTCCCAACCTCCCAGCATTCGCCCTCACTAACCGCTTTCCAACCGCAGATGGTGAGCAGATGAATGCGATCTTTTCTTTTCCTGCTGCGTCATGGTCTTCTTTGTTGTTGTCACTAAGATCTTTAGTACAATGGATCCTAGGACCTTGATCGCGAGGGAGATGCATCGGACAGACCTCTTGATAAGATTTAGCAACAAGATCTTTCAATAAGACAATTTTCTTGCAGGATCATGGCACAAACTTTCCACAAAGAATCCAACTAGACATCTTCTGGATTGTAAGGTCAGATGATCATGACGACAAGAAGTAACAGATCATGACGATAAGTAACAGATCATGACGATAAGTAAGAGATCATGACGATAACAAGTAACAGATCATGAGTTCCTTCCTAGCTTCCTTTTCTTCCTAGCTTCCTCCACCCTGAACTTGAAAATTCTTTACTGTTGAGAGGAGGCTCTTTTGGCCCTCTTTTTTAGGCTTTCTTTTTCTTCTTACGCTTCTACTTCTGACATTCCTACTTATCTTATGATCATACTTTGGTAAAAAGTGCCTCGCTCTGATGTAGCTGCACCCTCCTTCTAAGTTTCTTGCAACTGTCATTTAACAAGGCCTGCGGCTGTATCACGTGGGTACAGATTACTGCGCGCTTTTCTCTTTTTTATAGATGGCGCTTCTCTTTTTTCTACATCATTGCGCTTCTTTTTTTTAGATCAGTCAAAAGGCCTCCTATAATTCTACTTTCCGGATTGTTTGGAAGTGTGCTTCATCGTCTCCTCTCTGTAATCGCAAAGAACGTCGTAGATTCTACGAAGGTCTAAGAACTCATCTTTCACCTTCTACAACAAAGAACTTCATATTAAACGAGGACTAAGTGGGAAGCTATTTCGTTTCCTTGATTGGCATCCCCCCTGCCGGCGAAACGATACTATACAATTGCACTATCTCTCCTTCTCACACACTAGCATGGATCAGAGCCAGCAGCTTATCTTTGAGGTTTCGGCTATAACCTTTGAGATACAACTACGCGGCCAACACGCTCTCCCCTAATTGCCCGAAGCGTCTCGCAGAAAGGATCTCGGGACCTCTTCGCAGCGTAGTGCTCGCGCAGTTATATCCCGAAAAAGCTACTTTGGGCCGCCAAAAAAATCTCGCGGTCCTTTTGTAGACGTTTACTCGCGTACTCAAGCGCCCTCTCAGTTGTCTGCACTGCCGCATAAACGATCGCGAAGTTATCTTGCAGATCTTCACTCGCGTACTGAAGCGCCTCCCCATTTGCTTGCACTGCCGCAAGAACAATTTGGAATTCCGCTTTCAGCTTATCACTCGCGTACTGAAGCGCCACCCCATAGGGGTGCACCGCCGCAAGAACAATATCGAAGTCGCCTTTCAGGTTTTCACTCGCGTGTTTCAGGGCCATCGGATTTTGTCTGACTGCCGCAAGAACGATATCGCGGTTGGCTTTCAGATTATCACTCGCGTACTGAAGTTTTTTTTTTTGTTGTCTACTGTCTACAAGTGCACCACCGCGTGACTTGAATCGGGGAGATGGCCCGAAGCTACAAGCAAATTCAAAGAACAGGGACGTGGCCTGCCTTGTAGAAAAGCTAGCGCGGGCTCGCAGAGCCACCTATCTAAGCGCACATTAACCGTGATGGATATAGGAGGCGAATTCTAGCAAAGTGTTGGCTAGCTAAACAACCACTCATACAAAATTGAGGAAGGATCGGCAGGGACACTAGAGCGTCTTGCGTGACTGCCGCGAGAATCAGGCTGCGATCGCCTTTCACTTTCTCAGTCGCAAACTGAAGGGCATGGGGTTCATACTGCAATATCGAAAAAATCAGCCGAGGCTCTTCAATGTGTCCAGCCCACAAGAGGTCAGCCACTTCTTGAGTAATAAAACGATACTTCTTGAACGTGTTGAATGCCGAAACCGTCTCCTCTTAGAGAAGCTCAAAACACTTCGTTTCTTGTTCCCTTCATTTATCCGCCGAATTGTCCTAAGAAGGAATCAATCTGCGAGAAATGACTCTTAGAAATGAAGTCTATTGAGCCTTAACAGTCAGGAATAGTCGTGAAGGTGCAGGAAACAGCACCACTCGCTGTGTTGACCTCAAGAGGAGTATTCCCATCAAAAAGCTGTCTGCTCGCGTCCTCCGCAACGATCGGGCACAGCGTCAGTGTTGGCCTGTGGCTGTCACCTGTTGAAAATGCCCCACTTGTTGTCACATGCGTCGTGGGAAAATCAATTTTCAGCGAGTCAGGATCATCGATGCCCACTTCCCTAGCCAGTTCCACGGCAAACGCTTGAAAATGAGTCCAGGGTCCAGAGGCGAAATTAGATGAGTCGGAGTAGGAGTGCAAATAGTCAAAACTTTTTGTAGTAGTCGTAGTGGTAGGAGTAGATCTAGGACGATTAGGAGCACTTCTACTAGTCGAAATTAGAGTCGGCGCACACTCATGACTTATAATAATCATGAGTTCCAATGACTTTGGGAGTTTTGATCTGCTCCATCTTCCGTGAACATCAATTTCAATAAGCCTTAATCAAATGGATCGAAACTTCCCTTCCTTCAGGAGAACGGCACAGAACCCGCTCAGGTCGATTCTGCAAAGTTACCCCGGCAAAGCCTGCCTTCTTGAGTTGAACTCCACTCACCACGGGGACGAGGCCTCCGCAAGTTACGACCAGGCACAACTGCAGGAGCACAGAAGTTTTCTTCTTTCCCCCAGATAAGAACGTGAGCAGAGAATAAAGAGAAGAGCTCTTCTTTTTGTTCTTTCCCTGAGAACAAGATGAGAATGGCGTAGGCACTTCTTCTGCGCGGGAGGAGGTGCCCGACTTCTTATCAACTGGCGCCATCTTCGTCATCAACTAAGTTATAACTACACTGAGTACTTGTAAGTACTTAGACCGTCGTGCAGTTATGATCTGTGGAAAGTTTATAAGTTGTCGCTTTTGTTTCTTGTTTGTGTGTGAAGGAGTTATTTGGTGCAGCTTCTAGGTTCTAGTGCTGTGAAGCTTCTAGTTGTGGTGTACAGCTTCTAGTTGTAGAAGTTTGTTGGTCTAGTTACCCATATAAAAAATCCAAAAATTCCAAAAAAATTTTACCTCAATCAATGATACATACCACCTTAAATAGTTGTACCACCTTGCTTTTATTGATTATGTTGAAGAAAGTTCTTTCAGTGACTCGAAGTAGACAGGGATAAGATACGGATAAGGCCGAAGCTGTTTCCCAAATAAGTGAGAAGTGTCACTTCTAGGAACAAGGTGCTAGAGTTCACTTTTTTTTGTTTCAAAACAAAGAGCTTTCCGATGTGGGTCATTCAAAACAAAGGTAACTTATAGCTTTCAGATGTGGGCCAAAACAAAGATAAAAACTTATAGTTTTCGGATTTAGGTGCAAACAAAGGTAACTTATAGCTTTCAGATGTGGGCCAAAACAAAGATAAAAACTTATAGTTTTCAGATGCGGGTCAAAAACAAAGGTAACTTATAGCTTTCAGACGTGGGCCAAAACAAAGATGACTTATCCAATCATGTGGTATACTTGGGTCAAAACACAGAAAGGGAATGGGGTCAAAACAAAGAAACGGAGATTTGTGGCAGAGAGAGGAGTGGAGGATGGATTCTATTATTTGTTTGGACTTAAATATAAACTTGTTGGAACAGGATGCAGGCTCGTAACCAGGTCAAGTAAGGTAAATTATAATTTAAGTTAGATTTCTGGAAATTATAATGTGCTACGAAAAACAGCGAAGGACGATGAAGATTATTACAGTTCCTTTTTAGTGTCAGTCTGAGATTAGATTACAGCTTTTTTAGTGTCTGTTAAGGATGTTGTCAAAAAATCATGTGGTCGTTGTCGTGCAGAACATAGATGATGTTAGGGACAGAGCATAATCGTGCTCACATGGACTCTCTGCAGAGTTGTCAGGATCTACGCTGGATCTCTATTTTTAGTGGATCTATCTTTGTCCGTCTCTACCGGTGCTGGATCTATCTTTGTCGATCTCTACTGGTGCTGGATCTATCTTTGTCGATCTCTACTGGTGCTGGATCTATCTTTGTCGATCTCTGCTGGTGCTGGATCTATCTTTGTCGATCTCTACTGGTGCTGGATCTATCTTTGTCGATCTCTGCTGGTGCTGGATCTATCTTTGTCGATCTCTACTGGTGCTGGATCTATCTTTGTCGATCTCTACTGGTCCAATGACGCGACGGATCTCTAGGATCTGCTTACCCTCCTCTCTAGAATTTAGGACCTATTCCTCCGACTCAGGTTGTGAAGGACCTTGGATCACTTGCATACTCTACTAACTCAGGTTGACTATTGAAGTCAGGTTGTAAAAGTCATTGGATCACTTGCTCGTGCAATAGGAGATGATCCTTGAAGAATTTTGATTTTTGATTCTGATGCGTTTGTGCAGCACTTTGCTTTATTTCATTGAGTCCTCTATCATAACGCTTGTGTCCTACTGTCTGGACATCCTCCCTTTTTGCGTTGATGCAGCTTGTGCAGCTAGTAGTTTTACGTTCTTGTGATACCACGACAATGTTTTTCAGTAACCCAGAAGTAATATTATACCCAATTATATTTCGACAAACAAATAAACGCGCATACGAAAGGACCCTTTCCTAGAAGGTGAACGAGTGTCATCATGATCACACGCCACCCAACATCCAATATCAGACTACTAGACACGAGATCCAGGTCCACCAGGGGAGCCCTTCTCAAAAATCGAGTTTCGTCATCCAGACCTCCTAGCAGCCATGTCTATCATCCTCCCTGCCAAAAGCTCCATACCTTCATTCTCAGCAACCATAATGTCCACCCGTGGATGCCAGTACCAGATCTTCGGAACCATATCCAGTACTATCCACGGTTCTAGACTTTATTCCCTGCCAGTACCATGTCTTCGGAGCTGTATTTGATTTCCGCTTGTCGCACTCTAGAGACGAACAGCACCACGTCGACGCCCAGTCCAGGTACACTATTGACCTCTAGACGGCCGCCCAGGTAGCGAGCGTAGAGGCGGGAAGGGTTAGAGAAAAGGCTAGATTCGTTAGATTCATTAGGTTAGGTTAGGGATCCTGCATCCACCCAAAAAACAAACTTTTAGGAGAAGGTGGAAAGAGTATTAAGTACAACTAATTATTATACTGTGTAATATTAAGGTATAATACCTAGGACTAGGTTATGGAGAACATAACTTCACTGCCTCAACATGTTCGTTTCTGGTGGACAAGGACGATATCAAAGTAGCACAGCTCATATAAGTACAAGTAAGTACAACTAATTATAGCAAGAATAAGGTATACCTAGGCCTTTTCAACATAGAAGTTGTCAGTACTTCTAGATATTAGAGCACTATTTGAGAACATAAGTGGCACAGCTCATAACCAAGGGCAGTCCACAGCCACCACCAGCGAAAGTGACCGTTCGAAAATGCTGTTCTGATAGTTCTTCCGCGTCTTGATCCTTTAGGGTCGTGCCAAACGTGCTCTGCGTAGAGGACGCGTTGTCAACTTCTAGAGATTCTCCTGTGGATTCTCCTGTTGAAGATGTTGTATCTCCTGTTGAAGATGTTGCATCTCCTGTAGAAGATGTTGCATCTCCTGTTGAAGATGTTGTATCTCCTGCTGAAGCTGTTGTATCTCCTGTTGAAGCTGTTGTAGTTGTGGAGGTTTATTAGAGGTGGATAAGCTTGTTTTCGTGCTCAATCATGTTGTACAAGGTCGTCGCATGATGCTCGTTTTTTTGTAGGTACTCACTCCTTCTTGAAGAACGATCCTGATCCTAGCAATGTTGAGGCGAAGAAGGTTACATACTCTGTCTCTCGTGTAGTAGTTCTTGTAGGGGTGCAGGTGCTTATTGAACGAGCATCCTAGTAAACCTAGTCAATACATAGATAGAAGTCAATGTTAACGAGTCTGAGACAGCTCAATCTTCATAATCATCAAAGTTAAAATGCTCAGCTTCTAAACTGTCCACATGCTCGTGCACGGCCGTTCCAGTTCCTGTCCAAGTCGTGTGCAAATAGTTGAATATCGATGGCATCTGCTTCTGGAGATTCGAGAGTGCGAGTGACTTCTTCTTTTTCCGTTCTTCTAAGTACAAGTAGAGGTGTTTCAACAACAAGATGGCAGATTGATTGATTGATTGATGTGCCTGGCAAGAGGTTGATCTTGAGCCATATCATGTGGAGCGATGGCAGAAAGAAACAAGTAGCGATATCATTCGACTTGTCGCAATCATGTGGAGCAGTAGTGTTTTGCTGCAGACAATCAAAGTAGAGCTGTTTCAACATTCATCAGATCAACAAGGAGGTAAAAAGAAAAAAACTATCAGGAGTTATGAGGAAAAGTCTATAACTGTGAGTATTACATATTTCTTCCTAACCGGTATTCCCCCAGCACGATCCCGGAACCGAATCGCGCAATTTTCTTCGTCTCCCGTCACCACTATTTCGATTGCCAATGACTTCGCAATCTCATCTACGCTTTGAGGCGCAGTTTGAGGTGGAATCCGCGTTTCTCTGAGACTGTCGGATGCATTAGGAGAGGAGACGAGGTCGAAGGTAGGTGTGACGAGGTCGAAGGTGGCTCGAAGTCTAAGTGGATAAGTAGTGGTTTTTACGCGTCCAAGTGGAAGTTCTACTTCTAGGAAATGCAAAAACTGAATCTGTAGCTGGTGAATACATAGAGACCGACGATCACAGCCGTTGAAGATCTTACTTACATGTGCCAATAAACTTATTCGCTGCTTCCCGGTCCAGTTGATAGAGCCGCTTTTGTTCCATCTCTATCTGTCGCGTTCTCTTCACTGTAGCACTCGCTGCATTCATTAGAGAAGTCAGCCCTTTAAAAGCCCATCCATCGCGGCCCCCCATCTCGACCCCTTTCCCATGAATAACAAGGGAAAAGGGTTGTACCGATATGCCGAGAAAGATGGACAACAGCTGAGGACCTCAAATTCAGTAGAACCTCGAATAGGATGAAATACAAATGATTCGTCGGGTAGGCAAAGACAGGCTGTTGGATCGGACGAATGTGCGCCTCAAGGTTGATATTGTACTTCCCCAGAGCAAGACGCTTTACTTGGTTTAAGGCGTTCCTCGTTATTTTTACCACGTCACATGCTGGGTCTCTATTAGAAGTGGCGGTCTCTCTGAAGCAGCCATCCTATCGCATGACTATTACAGCATCTTTCTTCTTGGAGGTTTAGTCTCTGGAAGAACCACGAAGAGACTAGATTGCGACTAATTGAGGACAAGGATTACCCTAGCCAGCAGAACTCAAGCCAAAGCTCAACAGCAGACTACTCATATCTCGAATCGGACTACAATAGCTACAAGGAGGATACTGGTGGCACGTGACAACTTCCTAGACTCTAGATCTAGTAGAGTAAAATGAATGAATGAGTGAGTGAATGAATGTGCCTAGCGCGAGGTGGTGCAGGTGCGAAAAGAAAATGAATAAAGATCCAGGAAGATGCTGGGCCTAGTAAGATGGATTTCTGCTTCTTCTTACACATGACTACACCAGTCCAAGGAAGATTTTCTGCTTCTTGTTACACATGACTACACCAGTCCAGGGAAGATGATGAGCCTCGTAAGATGGATTAGGATTTCGTGTTTTTGCAGCCTTAACAACAATACCCGCACCAAGCGACATATACCTCGATCGTGGTTCAGCTAGTTCGAGAAATCGCCGTGTTAAGAAATTCGTACTGATTCTTCCCAAAATTGACGGTACTAGATTTTCACTATCCCGAATCGAGTGGGTTCCGCTTTTTACCCCTTAGTTTCGTTCCCCCTTCCAGAATTAAAGGAGGGGACGCGGCCACTCAGCATAGTTCACGCGGGAAGATAGTGATAAACTGCTCTTACCAAAAAGATTTTGTCCAGCAACTCATTCGTTTCTTTAGCAGGCAATCCGAGACTTCTGCAACCTAAGATTAGAACTAAGGAAACCAAGTTGTCAAGAATGGATTTCTGCTTCTTCTTACACATCACTACACCAGTCCAAGGAAGATGATGAGAATAATAATAATAATAATAATCTACCCAGTCTCGGGGTACGTACAATTGTGGGGAAAGGGGGAATTATCCGGTTGCAGCTGCCAGAGGATGAGATGCACTGTTTGAAACCCTTAATAACAACAACCGGGTTGTGCGACTATGCCTTTTATGAATCGTCGCTAAAGTATCGTACAATCGACGAATGTCCTCACTGCTCTCTGGTAGCGGTGTAGTTGCAAGTCGTCTTGTTGCTTCGGCTTCTCCTACTTCAGAGGCTAGCACAAGCTCACGGGTACCACTTGCACTTCCTCCAGCGTTGTCTTAGACCCACCTCCTGTTCGTAAATGATTCATCTTTGAGCTACTTCATTATATCGAAGATATCTTCCTTGGTTGTTTCTTCATATTGATTCAGTGTCGACAGCCTTTTTACTTAGAAACGACCTCGATACATAAGCATGTAGCCATCCTCAATAGCCACCTTAATTGTCAGACTCGTGATGTGGCAATATTTCTGGCTTTCTTGCTAGGAAACTGCGCAGGTCCTTGAAGCTCTGAACATACAGCTGTCTCACTGCGACGAAGGCCTCATTGTCTCGCCAGTTTGGGATGCTAGAGAGCATTATAGAGGATCATTTGGTGGGGTGAGCCAGTTTGGGATGCTAGAGAGCATTATAAAGGATCATGGGATGGGGTAATGTTGCAATTCCAAATTTCGTGGAGTTGGTATCAAAAATGCAAGCTTACACCAGTCAGAGGCCACGACGAAGTCGAAAAGGAAGACTATCACCTTGCTTTCTAAACAACATAACAACAACTTTATTCGGTGTGCAAATGAAGAACATAACAACAACTTTATCCGGTGCGCGTATCGCACTGGGAGTTCAGTCAACAGCGCATTGCCCAACGTCACGGCGTCATCAAAGGCCAGGACGTCCTGCAAGGTGAATCTACGCGGCTCGCGCAAACCTAGGGAAACTATTTCCGCATCTAAAAGTTGGTCTGGGTTTAGAGGATGATGAGGAACAAGGAGTTATATAGATTTGAATACACGTCCTCTGAAGGAATAGTTATAGCCAAAAAGAATGTTCCGTCGAGAGTAGCCGTAACAACCTTGCTCCTGCAATGATGACAGAAGAACCTTTGCGCATACTTTGATCCAGTTTAGGATGGCGTGAAAGTAACTTCGGATGGCGTGCTGGGGATGAAGAGCTTGAGGACTGCCGTTTCATCTTCTTGGAACCGGAACTGAAACACCGTAGCGAACCGAAACACCGTAGCGTTGAAGGCATTGAGCCAGAAGAGGGCGTGGCTCGCCCCCTTGGTGTATAAAGTAGAAGGGCTCTCATGTAGTTTTGTGTCAAACTTGTGAAGATTGAGACGAAGATTGAATCCTGGTCGAGGTAGGTAAAAGCCAACTTGTTTCAACTTCGTTCTAGTATCCAAATATCCAAGTCACTTGTCTTTTCGAAATAAATGCTATTCTTGTTGCATAAGTCGTATTTTCGGAAGTCGCAATCCTCTTTTCCGGAATCTTTTGTACTTGGCTTAGGAATCATCTCTCTCTCTCTCGGTACTCTCTCTCAAGGTGGAAAAGACTAATCATCTCTCTCTCGGTACTCTCTCTCAAGGTGGAAAAGACTAATCATCTCTCTCTCTGGGTACTCTCTCTCAAGGTGGTTACAGCCTTTTATTGTCTGTGCTGGTGGTAACACTAGATGCAGTTCGGGATCCTGAAAATCGTCTCAATCCTACTTATAACACATTATAACTAGTGAATGCTACCGAGAGGACATTTTCACCGAATCTACTTACTGACTTCCTTCCGCAACCGAGAGTAAGCAATTCGTCCCAAAGTTGTTCACCAAGCACAACTGTGCATGCGCCACGAAAGCGCTATGCGTTGGAGCCTGATTCGTTGGTTGTATGTGTCAACAGACAAATGGCGTTGTCACCTTGCTTTCGGCGTTCTTGGAAAGCGGGTGAATGATATCGATTTCATTTGGAAGCTTGTTCTTTGTTGTGGGATATAGAAGAGGGTCTCTTCTTAGTAACATACGATTACGACCACTTTGAAATCTCCACTACCACTTTGAAATCTGTTTACTACACTAGAAAAAGTGTGTGGATCTGTGGAAAAATACGGGTCCGGGATATCGCAATAGTTCCATCGTAACGACATCTTTGGGGTATTTCCTTAACCTGCTGTCCGATCCCACGACCTCTAGCATCTGTGCTGTTTCCTTCACGATAATGCCAGACTTGAGTAGAATCCTACCGTCTTGAGGAGCAGGTGGGGAAGTAGGTCTTGGTTCCTTTTGTCTAGTTTTCTTGAGGGGCTTGGAGGCTGTGCCTTCATCCAAGTCAATCTCCATATGATCCGGCCTGTCCTGCTGCTCAACCTGCTGCTCAACAATCTTCTGTTCATCTTGCCCAACTCCGCGTCCACGCGCAGGCCGCCGAATCACTCTTTCCCTATCCCACACACGAACACGAGCACCGATCAAGACCGTGTCCTTATTCAATACCCTTTCTCGCTTTTCGAAGTACTCAGTCCACTTCTCGGCCAAAAGTTGGAATTTAGCGAAACCAGCTACGGGCTTCTCCTTCTTCCTCCTAGATCGAGTTCCAGTAATACGCGGAGGCGATGTTGAGCTTGACGAAACATTCTTTTCTACTGGTGCTGCATCATCACCATTTACAACATGTGATGTCGCACCAGCAGTGGCCGTTCTGCTATTCTTAGAGCAGTGAAGCTTTCTAGCCAACATAGTGCTCTGGAGATCGTCTGATTTTGTAGCTCGAGAAGCAGCTCGTTGTCCACCATGTCGTACTACTTCTTCTTGCTCTTCTTCTTCTCTTTCCATTCCCACTCCAAGCAACTTGCTTTCCAAAGTTGTCAGTGCTCTTTGCGGTGGTCTCCTAGTCTTGTGAACTTGAAACGTACCAGAACTCGTGGTCTCCTCAATAGCTTTAGCAGAGGTCGTGGTCGTGGTCCCTCCAATATCATAAACTCCCAATTTTCTTGCTTTGTCGTGCCCTATCAATGCTCTTGGCCTCCTACCGATCTTACGTCCGCCTCCCTCTCTCGTCGTGCTCGGCGCGATGAAGCCACCCTGTAGGGGTGCTTTACCAGTGCCGGAAAAGTGGCCGGCTTTTGTGCTAAGAGTGCCAGCGGCGGCGAAGGCCCCGGGACCAGAGGTAGTCAGGTGAAGATTTCGGTTCCGCACCTTAGACAACAACTGCCCACTGGCATCGATGCCATAGTGCGTCGCTAATAAGGCAGCCCATTGCTCTACAGGGACTTGCTCCGAGGCAAGTACAGAGGAGGTACTTGAGGAAGAGACTGAAGGCTTCATTCTTTTGGCTGAAGTTGATCCACTCCTTCACTTCGATGAAAATGAAAATGAGCTACATACTTCCACCTGGTTTTTGATCGGCCGCAACGAAGTTATTTCTTAATCTTGTACTGTCCCGATCGTGACTGATCTTTAGCAAACTGTGAGCCCTTCGCGTCCTTTTTTCTGGGGGTTTCCTCCTTGTTTCACTCTCCGTAGATCATAAAGTGATCATGATTTCTATTCAAACCATGATCTTCTGGAGCAGACTTGTATACTAGTGCGGACTTCAATCCAAATCTTGTACCTGGCCATTACATCAGGGATAGGAACCACGAAACAGGAAAAATTACGTCATGATCATCTTCACAAGATCACAAGAACCAAGATAAGATATTATAACATTTAAGAACCGCAAAGCAGATATTACAAGAACCACGCATCGTCAAAACGAAAGATTCAGATTCAAGTCATATTCTTGTCCTCATGATGATTTGTGCTGATGACTTTCCAGTGTTATGAATAACATAATGGCACATGGGTGGAACCTCGAAGTAGTTCCCGACACCAAGCCCTTCCTCACATGATGCGCGCACGCCGTCGAGTGCCACAATGATATGTTCACCCTCTCGTACAACTAGCAAAAGACTGCGCTTAGATGGATTAGAGGCAGAAGGACCTTGGTCGTGTTAGTCTACCCTCTTAGTTTGTTATATGCTTTTCTCCCTTGGGTGAGTCAAGACACAAACGGTCGTAAGAGAAACACCATCAAAAGCCTGTATCCTTAATAGAAGCAGTCTGCGGTTCTCCAGCATCTTGTTCTTCCCCACAAACTCCTCTATGCAAATCCTCGAAGTGAAAGCCTGAAGGAATCAGTAGCAAGCGAATGAGCGTGTTCTCGAATATGTGGCTTGCGATCGTCACCCTCCTATGAACCTTGACCAAGCCTGTCGGTTGCGCTTCTCTGGCTAAAGCATCCAAGTCCAGCGGTGAAGAGGAACGCTCATCTATTCCGATTGATGAGGAGGCCATGTTTTTCGATGAAGAGGCCATGTGCTTTCAAATCTCCTTATTCTCATTATTTACCGAGACGTACATATACTGTTCTTGTTTTGCAGCTGGTTATCTTGTTTCACTTTTCTTGTACCATACACGACGCTGGTATTGATTCATTCTATACAACGAGCATGTTGATATTAGGTTATTCTGTTCTGCTGTGCCACCAGTTATTTTAGTTTATTACCTCCTAAAGTAGGTCGGGTTGCTAGAAAGTGCGCGTTTGAGATGAGAGCTTCACTACAGAGCAGCTTTCTGGGTCACCAGGGCCTTTCCATTTCTTCCACTTTTTCGTCCCGATACCCTAGAACATGCGGTATATTTTTTCCCGCCTACATGTTCAAGCCCATTATAGACCCTGTCGCCCGGGCAAGACATATGTTTACATTACATTTACAAATTTCTCGATTAGTTCGACGCACCAGCAGCGGTGGACGCAGAGAAAGCAGTTATTTTTATTTCATGGCGACAGGGTCTTGCGCTAACACCACAGGATGATCCACGGCGTGAGTACCCGAACTTACCAGACCATTTCTTCCACTTTTTCGTCATGAATTGCGAACATCGGCTTGATACCTTTGTTAACAGGATGAGACTCCTTCTCTGAGGAGTTGATCCGTCCTTTTTCTTTGGTGCGACCTCCCGTTGGGCCCCCTTCAACGATAATCCATCAAGCGTGCGCGGTGAATATCTGTTGCGACTCACTACACCCCCAATGCCTCTGCGTTGGCTAATGATATTCGCTCTCAAGATGACCATCCAACAGACAACTAAACGCGCAACCCTTTTTCTCTGTAGCTAATCCTTCTAATTCACATGAGAGAGTTAGTTTGTAAAAAATTGAAATTCTCAGTTGACCTTGATTCCTCTATGTGGCGAAGTTCAAAATGACTAAAGCTATCTTCACTTATCGTAGTAATCCTGCCAACAAAAATCGTTGCAAAGTAATAGATACATCTCATCGATCCATCCGACCTATCTTCTATTCCTTGATACAACTAATACCTGCATAACAACTCGTCGCCAACCTATTATCATAATCATCACTCGCGTAAGTACAGATAGGGAATCTTAATTCAAAAATGATTACATAAAACAAAAACCAGGAAAGGTGGACCTGGTTTCGATAAGAACCCATGATTTGCGTACAATTATAATGAATAATACAAATACAGCTGCTAAGAACGAAGGAATATGCGATTGCGTAAAGAAACATCGACTCTTCTATAGCCGAAAAATCCATTTTTTATCTTCTAGAGGTACAACTCCCAATTATATCAGACAAGTTAATATCTTGACAGTCAACTGCTTTGAGATTCATTCACTCACGCGCTCCACCCTTGCCTTTTTTTTCGAAGCCATATTTTTTTTGTATGCCGCGACCGCCGGAAGGGTGATCCCAGTTTTATCCAGTTCGCAAACCGGCGGCAGGTGGAGTCCGATTACCTCCGCCTTATATTATACTTTGCCCTAATTGCCTACGAACCTGCCGATTTTAAAATGATGAAACCTAGGGGTAAAGGAGCAGTATTCAACCGGCTGACGGGTTCTAAATTCTCAACCTCAAAGGCAGAGCAGAGCGCCACGGTTTTGAAGCAATGAAGCGCAGACCTTTTTGATACTCACAGCAACTAAGATCCATCTTGCCAGCCTATCTATATTCTTTTTCTTTCGCTCTTCCTTCAATCGTGTCCGCAACACCTACGAACTGATCCTTACATCAAACGGGAACGACAGCACGACCCTCATACTACAAAGAAGACGATCATTATGAACCAAGTTGCGAGCAGTGCGCCCCTTCCTTCTCAGCAACCAGCTTAAATCATGCTCGCTTCACGCCTTAAGGTGTCCGCTGGCCGTGTTCAACTAACATGTCATTGTAATCATGTGTGACTCGTTCAGTCTCGGATGCTCAAAAGGTAATTTCTCTCTATGCCCGGAGTACGTCGCTATTTGCACTTGGTGGAACTCTAGCCTTAACCTCAGGCTCATGAGGCAGCGGCCAAGGCGACAAACGTTGCGGCCGACTACGACCCCGCATGGAGTCGCATTCGCCGCCTCCGTCTTTACCCCCCCCGTCACTCTTCGCCACTATGCTCCCCGCGCGCCTGCGTGTCAGCTTGCACACAAATATATAAGATAGACTCTCCACCACAAGAACCTGTTTTGACCAACTTGCAATATAATTAGCAAGTGAACCAAAGTAAACGTCAGCTTTCTTAACCACACACTCAGCGCTCAATATTCCACCTTAGAGAAGAGCTATTATAGCGTCATTATTTCATCATTCTCTCATATGCGGCTCTCACTATCTTAGCTATTCCTTCGTCGTCTGTTAATTTTGCTAGTTCGAGCTTAACTACCTCGAGCGCCCAGAAAGAGTGCTACTACTTCGAGCGCCCAGAAAGAGTTCCTAAAAGACGAATAGGCTATTAAATATAAATTTTTGCAAATTGGGGATACCCTCGTCCTAATATTGGGCAGGTCAATTTTGCAATTTCGACCTCCAAAAAAGAGTGCTAGATGAGAGCTTGACAGTTGGATCTCCGGTAGAAACGTCGGAGAAAGACAAGGTATACCTTGAGCCAAAAATGGCCACGGTGAGATCGTGACTGGTGATTTAGCCAATAAGAATAATGTTGACACGGTTACGTTTATACGGTGAAGTAGACAGACTGCGACTAAATAAACTGAAAGAACCAAACAATTCTGTGTCAAACTTCGTGATCGACGTGCTCTGTATCAATCTTCGATCGAAGCACTTCCCCTCTAGCACTACTTATTCAAGTTCTCCAACTGTGCAGTGAGAAGATAGTGAAGTTTCTTCCGCAATTTCTCTGAGAGCTGGTGCTTGTCAGCGAAAGCCGCTGCAGCTTCGCCGCACGTCTCCCCACGGTAGAGAACTAGCCTTTCCGCTTGCGTTGGCGTGATATTTACGTCCACGTAGAGCAAAACATCTGAAGTTGAAATGGTCGTGGAAGACATGTGGTTGTGGACAAAGTAAGAGATATGTAGTTCATCTAGAAGTTGTCGGGATGACGTTGAAGACGCGAGGGAGTGGACCACATTTGTAGTGGCTGACGTAAGTCAGGAAGGGAAGTCTCTAAGGTGACATTGACGACGCGAGTGTACCACATTCATAGTGGCTGACGTAAGTCAGGAAGGGAAGGCTCTAAGGTGACATTCACGACGCGAGCGTACCACATTCATAGTGGATGACGTAAGTCATGAAGGGAAGTCTCTAAGGTCTGTTTTTACTTTAATGTGAAAAAAAAGATTATGACCCGTCGTGGTTACGAGATGCAATCACTGTGATGAACAAAAGATATATTCTGACTAAGTACACTTATGAAATAAAAGACGAGAATCGTAGATACCATCCTCCTGATGGGGCTCTTCCATAAGGCGGCCCGGTCGATCAGAGTAATACATATCGGTATCCCCAGGACTCTGGAGGCGAGCCCTTGATGGTTTTTGCTGGGCCACGAGGAGTTAGACGTAAGGAGAGTGAGACCAAGCTAACTTATTACAGCTACTTAGACTTCGACTACTTAAGTCGTTGATAAATTCCTTAGGAGTCCTGTTGGACCTGTTGGACCTGTTCGAGGAGTAAGTACTAGCTCCTTGCTATCCAGCTGCAATTTCTTAGAGAAGGTTAACCTCTTAGAGCACTATTCTCGGGAACCAGATGAACCAACTACCTCTTCAACGCAAGCTCAACATAACTACAAGTCCGATCATCGCGATATCTTCTGCGCACTTCCTCTTCTTCCCGACCCCTCCGAAGTCTACTCGTCACCTTCGCATATCCTCTAGGTGTCGTCCACCGAGTTGTTCCGGGAGTAGGCGTAGTTCCTGATGTTGCCGCAGTAGGAGATGCCCTAGCTCCCGAAATGTCATGATCGAGGTTTCGCTTGAAAGAAACGGAAGAAGATTGCATATCCGGTTTAAAGGTACACGCTTTGAGCTCCTCTCTCTCACGGGCTGCGGCGGCCTGGCGGTGGTGGGTGTTTGTGGAGAGATATGACGAGTGACGATGTGAATCTACTCGGCAGCCTGCCTAATCTTGACCTTGACCTTCTACTAGAAGGCTTCTAGTTTCTACTCACAAACTAGATACACTATTGTTGCACGGGATAAGCCTAGATTTGGTGAGGTGAAAACTAACCGGCTGTTTTACTAGGTACACTATTTCTATTACGAGCTGCCCGAGCACATCTTCACATCACAGTAGAGTATAATATCTTCTAAAACAGAAGTACCTGTTGCAAACTTCTTCGATGTCTTTCTTTTGTGGCCATCCCCCTGTCGTATAGCTCGTGATATCTTCGTCCACTACCCGCTGGAAAATAAGCATCAGCATCGGTCTCGTTTGCCAAAGTTGCCTCTTGATCTTAGAGCTACCGCGTTAAAAACTTCCCCAAGACGAGTCATACTAGATAACATCTTGGTTCCTTGGGTACTAGTTCTTCTGTTTCCAGTACGTAGAAAAAGGGCCACCTCTTAGCCTTATCTCAACCATTAAGATTAAAGGAACATTGTTGTTGGCAGGAGCAGAGATTATTGTCTATATTCTAATTTCCACCAGTAAGTCTTTTTCGTTGCTTGTTTTTGAGCATACTAGTTCTTCTGTTTCCAGTACGTAGAAAAAGGGCCACTTAGGATGATACTGTTAGGATGATAGATAGATACTTTAAGGATGATAGATGCCCACTTAGGATGATAGATACTGTTACTTGGTTACTTACTGACAGACGATGCTAAAAATGGTTGAGATTGAGCGGTAGCCTTAATGTTGAGGAACATTGTTTTTGGCAGGAGCACGACCTTGTCCCCGTGCTCCTGTCATTTGTCCTTGTACTCCACCACTGCCACCAATGCCAGAAGTCAACGTTGTTGTCTTCAGATTTGATTGATCACCTTTGCTGACAGCATTTGGATATCGCGTAGTCGCATGTGACGTGAAAGTCTTGGCAACCAGCTTGGGCTTGAACGTACACTCCCGTTGTGCTTTGCGTTCTTGTTTTTCTTAGAGAGATGATTCTTTTCTTGTAAAAAAAGGTCGTCTTGAGTCTGGAAAAGGTGTGGGTGCAGCGATTCCGTGATCCTTCCTTACGAGCAACTAGAACTTGAAAAACAAAATTATTTACGATTTCTCATTGATTCTTTCATTCATTCATTCGACCCACGTAGCAGCTACAAATAACTGCCTGGTTCCGTTTGAACATGGACATAATTTCTTCGTTCCTCTTCGCGTTTTTCTTGATTTTTCTGTTGTCGCCAGAGTAGCAAGTCTACGTGCGTCATCAAGCCGCTTTCTGCCTGAAGCCGACGCGTCACCTTTTCCGACAAAACCGCTTGATTGTGTGTCCGCTTCTGCGTTGGACCCACTGATCGGCTTCTGGCTTTGATATTAGATCTCTTCCTTCATTCATTCATTCATTCACGAGGTGTAAGTCCAGAACTTAATTAGTTAGAATGTATCAGAATGACTGCTGCATTAATCTTCAACTGCAATAGGATGAATGTTGCAAGTCGTAGTTCTTGTATTAAGGACCACGAGGTACAAGATGAAACTCCTCTATCTCAAGCATTTGTATGGCCGTTCTTTGTCGAGACTGAACTAGGACTCCAAACGAACACGATTGTAAGTATAATTCCTACATATCGTTCTCTACTCATATCTTTCTCCTTCCCATCTAGGTTTCTCCCATCTGGAGAGTTGTCACCGCGACCCCTTGGACTATTTCGTTCGCGTTCATGTTCCTGATGCTTCAATTTCTGGTGGTGCAAACGGTTAAAGTAAAGCGCATGAAACTCCGCTCGCAACTTCGAGGGCTCGTAACGGCCCACAGATTAGAAGAAGGAAAGGAACAATAGCACTTCCTTAACTTCTAATCTACGCGCTTCTGCCGACGGAGCTTTAACAGCCACTAGCGCTGGTTACCTTCTGCTCAAAGTACTAGTACTACATCTCTCCTGCTCAAATACTAGTACTTCTACATCTTGCTCTACTTTGGTAGTCGTCTGGTGCGTCTACTAGCATACATAGAGCAGTTCTAGAAGAAACTATTTTTATATAGACCAGTGCTCTAGCAAAAAACATCATGTCCTCATCAAGCTCTACTACTAACCTGTATCTCTACTAAAACCCTTCCGATAAGCCAAATTTCGAATCTTCGTCCCCGTCTGGTCTCTATCCTCCTTTTTCGCGTCCATTCTAATCGACCTAAAGGTCCGGTCATCCACAGCACCCATCAAAACGTGAAAAAACACCGTCAGCGACAAGAGGTCGGTGGCACCTTGGGCGGAAGTTAGAAGAAAAAGAAATGGGTACTTTTTAAGTACTTGTTGGAGAGATTTTGGGATTTTCAATTTTGGGTTTCTTTGGGTGAGACTAAAAATGAATGCGAATGAGAGAAAATGAGCGCGAGGGAGAGTGTCTAAGAAGAGTGGATAATATTAAATCTGCTTAGACAGAGGACACGGAGTAGAATCAAACTTCATAAATCCGGATCCAAATAGCGCCACAGCGACAACTTCAACTTCGCATCGCTTTCACTACGCGTATTTGCACTCATACACCCCATCGCATCGAGGAAGACAGGCAAGTCCGCGAAGTAAAGAACTTCTCCTTGAGGTTGAGAGTTTTAGAGGTGTAGCCTGGAGACAGAGACAGTAATTCCTAGTACACTAGCTTCAAAAAGTGTGATGTTGATTAATTTATAGCCTGGACATTGTCATGTCATGGATCCTCTTTTATGTGTCATACTGACACGACCGTCGAGGCGTTTCAACTATCCTGTACCTTCTGTTGAGGAGCAGAATAGCCATTCATAGTACAAGTACACTAGCTTCAAAAAGTGTGATGTTGATTCATTATGCATCTTCCTTCACAGACGCCATAATGTGGATCATCCACAGAAGCCATTCTTCCTTCTTTTTTTCGTTGTTTAACCGCACCGTCGAATGCATCACGGACCTGCTTTTCGAGCAACGCCCAATAATAGCGCCTTGACTTAACAGCACCTTCTGCGCTAGTAGTGTCTTGGAACATATTAGAAGATGAAAGAGATGCCTTTCCAGGTCGCTTGTTCAGCTTGAGTAAAGTGCAACTCAGTGTTATTCAGCCTATGGCAATGAGTCGCCTATATCCTTCTAGTATTAGTAATTTCTTCCAACTCCGGACTGTTCCATTTTAATGTATTAGTACCGGTGGAGCACGTCTAACTAGGAAACAACAATACATAAAAAGGAAGAAGTCCAACTGTTTAAAAAAGTAGAACTAAAGTGGCCACGTTTATGTTAGGATCCGTTTATTCTAGGCGCCTCGAGTTCGTCCAACTGCCCTGCCGGTCTTCTCATCAAAGGCGGCCGAAGCCTGTGCGTACTATTAGTAACGTCTTCCAACTACTAGTATTAGTAATTTCTTCCAACTCCTAGTATTAGTAATTTCTTCCAACTCCGCATTGTTCCATCTTAATGTTGCTATAGAAGTCGTTCGCCCGTTCCTTCTGTCTTTCCCGTCTCTCTAATGCGTCACTGTAGAGAAGTTCTGCGGCAGCTAGGGCTTTCTTGTTCGCTGCCTTGGCTTGAATGTTATTAGAGCTGTCCGCCATTCATCTTTCAAGTGCATCCTTGAAAAGTATGGGGGAGTATTCGCTTAGGATACTCCTCCATACGTAGTTCCAAGGATACGTCCAAAGATGTATTAGGTACAGCCTTAATGTTAGAGCTCAAGAACTACACCCATCGTCCCGGAGCCATCCATCTCAAAACCCTGTTCCTGTTCCTCGAAAAAAAAGACGGTTAGAGAAGATGCATTAGAAGATGGATTAGGGAAAAAAGGCATAAGAATAGGAGAATCCGCTTTTTTGCGCTCCTCATCCGCGACACGTTCCAAAAGACCGGATCTTGCAGTTTGTGCTATCGTGTACGCCGAGTAAAGACGATCATATACGTTGGACCCACGTGAGAAATCTGTATTGAAACTCCGTAGTGGGAAAAGCAGGTGGGTCCTCGCATTTTTGTGCGGGATGATAGATGATGATCTATGTGCTTTTCCTACAACAAGATCAAGAATTTAATATAGGGATACAGTATTAGATATACGAATATTTTTAGAGAATGACCCTACTCATGGATGTCCTTCGACTGTTGAACATTGATTCATCGTATTTTCATTTGTTGAAGAGAATAATTGCATGTCTACCTCTACGTCAACTTTATAGTGTCACCAGTATTACCTCCGTCCACACGATGTGAATGTCCTCCGCCATGCTTTTTCGCATACTGTGATATCCTAGGTCTGTGGGTGCATTCACGGTACAAATACTGATCCAAATCTTCCATTCGCTTTTGCCTTTCCTCTTGACTTAGAGCAGGAGATGAACTGCTGAGGAGTCCTACATCTTCTACATGGCCACTCTGAAGGTGAAGAAGAACTAACGTCCAGAAAGTAGTAGACGCACAATCAAGCGGTTTTGTCGGAAAAGGGAAACAAAGAAAGAACTTCGAAGGAACAAAGGGAAACAAACAAAGGGAAACAAACAAAGGGAAACAACCAAAGGGAAACAACCAAAGGGTGGTCTACATCTACTAATGTCAAAGTGTAAGGTTCACCACTTTATCTGATTCAGATGATGAAAAATTGATCACTCTTAACTCTTGCATGACCAGGGTCTGCTCGTAATTTTCTGGCCGTGAGTGCAGGATATGGCGGTTCAGTACCCGGTTCAAATTCGGCTGGAAAGTGCACTCTTGTAGTTCTTTCTCCGCTTTTTGCGCTCTGATGGCTTCCATGCGCGTCATACTTCGGTGAGGGAGTTCGAATAGACGAGAGTAGATCATGGTCTAGTCTAGTTGGTCACGACTAGGATTGATGTAGGTTTCAGTCTTTCTTGGACATCACCCATCATGACTAGAAAGTTTCTAAAAAGTTTCCCTAAACTTAAATTTCAGATGAAGATCCTCACGCCACATTAAACCGAAAATTTGAGTACCTGTCTTCTACTTCATACAGTTACAGAACGAAACATTCAAAAAAAAACCAAGTCTTAACCAATCTTTGGCGAGCCAAAACCTCTATCAGCGGACGGCCACGAATCTGAGCCTCCTGGCGAACAACTCCGATGTTTTGCACCTCCATGTTCTACCTTCGCGACCGTAGTTGTATAGCTTCCTGTCCGTGTCTTGGGTTTGAAAGTGCACTCCTTCTGCTCAGCGTGCATTTCATGTTCGCGCCAGATCTGCCGATGTTGCTCCCATTTTTCACGACTGGACTTAGAGGTAGAGAGGTTTCTTGTGGTGTTGGTTTATACCCGGATAGACAGAAAAAGACTTTAGTAGACCTTAATAGACCTTTTAACGTGTTCCCGCTGATGGTCATCCATCCTCCTTAGTGCTGAGGGATCGTGTGGCCCTCTGCTGGCGGATAGATCACTGAAGTTACAGGACAAGAGGTGGTTGGATAAATCGCTGAAGTTACAGGACAAGAGGTGGTTGGATGAAAAATTAACGGTGTTATTGTAGGCGATGTGGGCAAGTCGATAGAGTGAGACTGTTCACTAGTCCAAAAAATGATCAATCATAGCTATATACCTAAGCCCCTCAGAAGCCGCCATCGATTCCTGGGCTCTTGCAGATACGATAGGATGTTCCGATAGCCTTCTACGCGTATGATCTTTCTGGCTCTGAACTTTCTGCGTTGACCGTGGTCCACTGGCGCTTTGTGTTGAAGCAATCAAGAAGTCCTCGATATTCGACAACTCTTGATTATGCTGCCTTTCTTGTTCTGGAGATAGGTTATTTGGGTCTATTAGTTCTGATCGCACAGGTGGTGGTCCTCGTGTTGAGGACATGTTGTTTGAAGTAGAATTAGTAGTGCTCTTAGAATTAGTAGCACCTTTACTAGAGGAAGACCCTCCAACTACGTCGACGATGCTGGTCTTCACTATTTTCGTCGGGTGTTGTAACATGAGAGGTGGGCGAGTTGTTGAAGTTTCTTGCCTGTTCTCACCATGATGAAGATCATGATAACCTTCTTCAGCTCCAGAAGGAGCACAATTATTACTACTAGTAGTACTGATCTGCTTAATATGCCCCTGCGAACTCTGGTGTAACAGGACTTGTCCATCTCCTGGTGAGGGAGCTTCACTATGTAGTACTTGGCCTCTAGCAGATCCCGCTTCATATTCAGTTCTCACTCCTCCTTCTACTGGTTCCTTTAACGTGCTTGCTACTTCTTGTTGCTCCTGCTTTCCAGTCATTGCATCTCCATCTGCCTGGGCACCTGCTTTCTCTGCAGCTGCCTTCTCCGCTGCTTCCTCTTCAGGGTCTTTGCATCTCGTCATGTGATACTCCAGCTGACTCTCATACACGAGCCCTCCACATACGGCACATTGAAAAAGTCCCCCTGTGCCTTTTGGAGGCCCATCGATTCCTGCATTTTAGCGCTAGTTTTCCACTATGCCTGGTGCCCTCTTTTCTCCTTTAGATGAAGAGGCACTTCAGAGGAAGAGGCACTTCAGATGCAGAGGCACTTCAGATGAAGAGGCACTTCAGATGAAGAGGCACTTCAGATGTAGAGGCACTTCAGATGAAGCAGCACTTCAGATGAAGAGGCACTTCAGATGAAGAGGCACTTCAGATGAAGAGGCACTTCAGTTGAAGAGGCACTTCATCACTGGATAGTGAAGAACTAGCCTTAACCATTAGGCGCCGCCATCTCCTGGTGCTCTCCTACCTCACGAGGACCTTGTTGTCGGACGAGGTCTTGTTGTTCTACGTGTTGCTGAGAACTTATAAGAAGTTGTTCGTCAGAACTAATACCGATAGCGATAGTGTCCTGAAGTTGTGTGCCGGTTCTTGCAGACGCTTGACGCTGATCAGACGCTTGACGTTGATCAGACGCTTGACGTTGATCAGAGGCTTGACGTTGATCAGACGCTTGACGTTGATCCTCTACCGATGAGCCACGAGTTGCACGTCGTCCTACAGCACGAGGGGAAGAGCCAGTATTTGCGGATATTGCGGTGGATGTCCTGAATTTTCAGGATTGAGGAAACATTTTATGCCTATGCCCCCACTTCTAGTATTATCTGTACGATGTGTAACTACGATGGGTTCATTCATGCGCTCCACCCTGGCCTTTTCTTTTTGCATGCCAAGACCGCCGGCAGGGTGATCCCAGTTTTATTCAGTTCGCAAACCGGCGGCAGGTGGAGTCCGGTTACGTCCTTATATTACTGCGCACTAATTGCCTACGAACCCGCCGATTTTAAACTGATGAACCCTAGGGGTAAAGGAGCAGTATTCAACCGGCTGACGGGTTCTAACTTTTCAACCTCAAAGGCAGAGCAGAGCGCCACGGTTATTGTTACCTTATCTCGAAGCGGCAGGTGAAGTACATTATTGTTGCCTTATCTCGAAGCGGTAAGAAAAGCACCTTTAACCTACCCTTAAAGGAAGCTCTGGGCATTTGCTTTACTGCGACGTTGGGTACGGCTCGCCATTACACAGACCTAATGATGAGCCCTACATTACAACAATCTACTCTTCGCGCGTACGGGGAAAATCCCCCGCCTGCCAACGATTTTCTTGCCGAGCACGCACTTGAAGGCGAGAAAGAAAGGGCTGAAGACTAAGTTGCCCTCGTGCGGTTAAGCTCACTAGTTAACTCACAGCAAAATTTGTCGCTGGAGCGGATTGTTGTTGAAGTGTATCAAGGAGGAAGGGGAAAAGCCGAGAGAGTAGAAAGCTCGAGAGAAACGCCTGGCTTCGAGCTGAATTCGAGAGCATATCGTAGCACTTTACTCGCGAGACCAAACGCGCACTCTCTTCTCTACACTTAAGCGCGTCACCTTAACGATCTTGACCTTTCTCGTTACTCGTTCGCCCTTTCATCATTCTCTCATTATATGCGTCTCTCACTATCTTTCTTAGCTATTCCTGCGTTGTCTGTTGATTTTGCCACTTCGAGCGCCCAGAAAGAGTGCGTCAAGGCGAATAGGCTATGAAATTTTGCAAATTATTCGGAAATACCCCCGTCCATCCTGATATTTTTGGGCAGGTCAATTTTGCAATTTCGACCTCCAAAAAAGTGGTGGATGAGAATTTGACAGTTAAATTTTAGCAAATTCGGCATACTCCCACCATCATTTTGGGCAGATCAATTTTGCAATTTCGAGCACCCAAGAAGAGTGCCACAAAACAAGACGAGTCGGCCATCAAATTTTGCAAATTCGGAAAACCCCCACCCTCATATTGGGCAGGTCAATTTTGCAGTCTCGACCTCCAAAAAAGAGTGCTTGAGCCAAAATGGCTACGATGAAGAAGGAATGGTAAAGAAGCGACGACCCTCAAAGGAAATTCAACAACAACGAAAGTTAGAGTTCCTGATAGAGATTCATCTAGACTCAAAGCCCACTCTCAGAGGATCATATGCAAAGCGTAAATCTAAGTACAACTTCTGTTCCTGATTATAGGCTAGTGGTCTCCTCGCTGATGACGATGCGGCTGGACTGGTGCCCACTTGAGGATAGCGCGACTTCTGCAAGACAGCTCCAACTGCTCTAACACCTCCTCCTCCTCTTCCTGAGGGTGCACCTACTGCACTTCCAGTTGCAGACGAGGAAACAACCGTCGTTGTGGCAGGAGCCCCTGGTGTTGCAAGTGCTCTGCTTCGTGCGGCGATTAGGGGACTAGCGTCAACGGATATACCTCTCCAATTCATAGTCGATAATATGTTCAAATCTTGACCGGGCTCTGTTGAGAAAGAGGAAAAAAATCAGTGATTTTACTTGCTACGCTTCAGCTAACTACTCTTTCGCAGGTGTATGGGTTTGCTAGCTACTCTGTAGCCAGAACAAGATGTTGTTCAACAACAAGCGAGACACTATTATACAGTTATAGCGTACTTCTAACTAGATGAACGTACTAGCTAGTCTACAAAAACTAGACAGTAAATAGAACTGAATTGTACGAAGCAGCATTGGTCGCTGCGCTGCTTGCGGCGTCGAGTAGGCGGAGGGTGTGCCGGAGAGGATCATTTTTCAACGAGGACGACGACCTGGCTTGTCTAAAAACTCTCAGAAGTCTATAGTTACTAATCACTGGTGCGCGTAAGAAAGTAAGTCTCTTGTTCGCTATGTATTCTTGGTCATGCCTCCTTTCATAACGAATCGTCCTACTAGCAGGAGTACGAGGAGTACTAGTAGTCACGCTATTACGTGGGGTAGTATGTCTGGTTGTTCTATTCTCTTCCTTCAGAGAACTGAAAGATACAAGGCTACCTCCAACTCTTGACTGATCTCTCTTGCGTGCGCCTGCGCACTTTTTAGGCGGGCACTTGTATGTTAGTTTTGTTCCGAAAAAAAATCATAAGCTTCTGAAGTTGTCTTCTTGTCGTTCTTTCAAATTGAATCTACAACTCTGTGTTGAGTGCGCAGGGACTGACCACCAGCGCAAAAAAAATCTTCTCTCGCTCTCCTGCGCACGTCTTCTTGATCAAGGCCCTCTCCATACCTTTACTTACATCCTGTTCTTCCACGATATTGAGTTCTCCTGAGTAAGATGATCATGGGAGTGTGTGGCGTCTAAAAATGCACAGTCATTTCGCATAGGACGTCATCATGTGATTGTGTGTGTGAGCGTCCACAATTACGTAAGTACAACAATCGCATATCTTCATGCAATCTCATCCCACCCTCAACCTCCAGCAAAAACGCTATCGCTCGCAACGTGTATGCCTGCTTTACTGCATGTCATTCGTTCCGCCTGGTACTTCAATATGTCGCGGAGGGTATGAAAGGGGGACGACGTTAACTACCATCCGATCATTAATCACTCTTCACGGGATGAAATGGAGAGGTCATTCTTCCCAGGATGTTGAAAAGTTTATCTTCGAAGTTTAGAAGTAGTCTAAAAGAAATGAAAGTTCTTTCCCATAAATCACTGTACTGCTGTACCTGCTTTTTGCGAGTTCACGCGGCTCTTGAGGTGATGCCCCCAGCACACCAGGCAGCTTCAAGTTCGCATACGAAGGTGCACTGCCAGGTCGACAGTTATACGGATTAGAGGGAATGAAAATGAAATGATGGTCTTACTCTCATTTATTCCCATTCTTGGTCAGCAAATGACAATCAAAGAAGTCAAAAATTTGAGATTATGATGAGAAATGAATCCCAATCTAGAATCAACTACCACTACTTTTCTATCTACAAGTAGGACAGTCGTCTACTGCGGTGACTACTTGTTACTCTACTAAGAAGAGAAGGACAAGGTGCTATAACTAAACTCCGCGTGTACTCGACTCGTCGTGCTAGACCAGCTTCGGTTTCTAATGCCCTTCTTCTAACACGTAATGCAGGATGTTCTCTGGGCTTGGCACTGGTTACTCGCGTCGTGGCAGAGGGTAATGTAGGTACTGAAGCTGCTGGGCCACGACGATCTGGAGAAGAAGCGGTTGTAGGATGCGTAGTCGTTGAGTTCTTGGGGAGAAAGGGATTGTACTAGAGAGAACTTGTAGATAAGACGTTCTTCTCTTTTTTTTTGATTCTTGTTTAGGGGAGAATGTAGTGGAAACAAATGTAAAAGTGGATATTCTTGTTTCTGTTCAACAGTGTAAGAAATTGAAGGAAAAAGTGTCCAATCTACAACTGCAAGTAAACGCTTACCAAGCTTCGCCTGTACTAAGGCTTTTGTCTTTCTCTCTTCCCACAGCTGCACAGCCGCTCGCGCCTTACCGGTTCGCTCTGAATTAGAAGACAGACCCAGGAGAAAAAAAAAGAAAAAGAACTTCCATACGAACTAGAAGAGGATAGCTAGATCGATGGTGAATGTTCTTCAAAATTGAAATTCCTCTTCAAATCCACATCCACTCTAAATTACCCTAGAACAAATGTTGATTTCACAAAGAAGAAGTAGATTTAGAAGAAGTAGATCTAAATTAGTCACTCCGTCAACAGCGTAACTTGCTTCTGTTGTTCTTGTCGTTCGAAGGCGTTCGTCAATTTGTTATGCAACGATCGTTCCCGTTCTTCCTGCTGGAGGTCCCTTTCTCTAACTCTGGCCTCCAATTGCTCCTGCACTTGCCTCTTCTTCTCGCCTGCAGCCTTGGCGCGCTGCAGAGGAAAAGTGTAACACTCAGTCTTGGGAGATGGGTAGTCAAGGGAGAAGATCCTAAAAATTGGTTTTGGTGTGGTCAACGATTAAGACTTAGATTAAATCGTTATTCCTTTTAGACGCTCAGAATAGCCTATCTGAAAACAACATAGCATTACTCATACTGCCAAAACTGCTTCATAGGTTCTCACATAGATACGAGGCAATATCTATGTGAGAAGTTGACGTCCGCTCAAGAAAAGTTGATCATCTAAAACAACATCTATACTGCCAAAACTTCCTCCATCGATATTTTTTTCAGTTGTCCCAACAAGCTCTGCTTCTTTGCTTCTTCTGCATGATAATGATCCTCTAAGCTCTGCCTGTACGCCTCGTCCTTAGCCTCAAGTTCGGCGTACGTCATAACCTTGGAGGCTTGTCGCGTGCTCTTGGGGGCTACGGTTGTGGTGGGTTCTTTTGGGGAAATAAAAGGAGATTTTGACTTGGTGTTGTGCGTTCACTTACACGTTTCGCCTACATTGTGATGTCTTCGTTCCTCTATTTCAGGATACCATCGCTTCTATTTATAAGGACAAATCATACGATGAAATTCGTCCTTGTCGATCAAGATCAACAAAACATAAACAAAGTACGATGAAATTCCTTGATCCAAGCCTCCATGTCTATCTTTTTCTTTTTACGTACTGGCGCTTCTCGGTGTCCTGCCCTTTTCGACAGAGTAGCGAGGTTCTCTTCGTCTTCGATGATTAGCGGTAGTACATCCTTATTACTGGACAATTGGGAACCTTCAATTCGTCTTCGATGATTAGCGGTAGTACATCCTATACTGTACAATTAGGAATCTTCAATTTCTTTTTTGCCTAGAATGAACGACTAGCTACTAAATCTAAGAGAAAAAAGAGGAAACAGATGTTTCCACCCATGAAGATTTACAATTGTTAATAGGACCACCACGGTGCCTGTTCTAAGCACATCAATCAATGAATACGACTTACGGTCCATAAGATAAGCCAATCGACGAAATCCAAGCAGTCTCGTCTTGCTTCTTCCTCCGTGAACCACTGAAAAAAAACACTGATGGGTCCTTGTGTCAAGTCGTGCTCCGTCTTCATCTTTACTAACGCCTCCAAATCTTTGACATCAAAAGACTCAAGGATGCGGACGTAAAAGGCGTCCCTGAGGAGGAGATGAGTAGCAGTAATAGTGTAGCCATTCGTGGGGTGTTGCTTCAAGTGCATGCCTTGTTTGAAAAGCATGCCTAGTGAGAGAGTTCAAGTTGTTTGAAAGACATCCCTGCTGGGAATATGTATTCTGAGGTAGTATTCATCCTTGAGAAGTAATCTTGGAACATTGGTTTACAAGGCGTCCGACGTGAGAACAAGAGGAAGAGTTGCCGATGGGAAAGGGAATGGAGGGATAGATTGTGAGAAGAGATGGAGTGTTTGTTGGAAGGATAGCGTGATTGTTGAAATAGTGTGTGCTTGTGCGATAGGAGCAACTGGGCCGAAGTCACCTTGATATGCTAGCGTCCTAGCAGAGGAAAGGACGGTATAATCATACAACGATACATAAAGCGACATACGACTGGAAAAATACAAAGAGAAAGAAAAAGATTACGAATACCTCCCTTGTTCTCGATAATCCCTAAAAATATGAAGGCAGTCTAGGAATCTTTTTCGCAGTCGTACGTGTTCTTTGCGGTTGACGTTGGTCGCCATCTTGGCCCTTCCGGCCATACGAGCAACTGCACGAAGCGTTACCATTTTGTTTTTGTTGGTGAAGATGTTTGTAAGAGTGAGACCTTGGATGTGAACAAAATGGTGGTGTTTGTTAGACTGGTGGTAAGAGAGAAGTAAGGGTATAAGTAGACTGCTTTGAAGGAGTAACGAGACTTGACTGGTATGCACGTGTAGCGAAGACAGGTGAGTCGATATTATCAACTCGTAGTGATGTTTAGGAACTAGAGCACGATGAAACGAAAATCACATGCACTCAACTACTAGTAAGAGCCACGAGGACTAGTGCTTATCTGAGTATCGGAACTTTTATGAGTGCGTCCGGGAGGTCAGCTTTAGACATTTCTTGGGGAGGAGGGGCCTTGTTGAGACGAGTACTTACGTAGCACTTCTGCTGGTGGACTAGTAGTATCTATGATGTATATATTAAAAGTTGTATCTGTGATGGTAACTTTTCAACAAAGTGACAATGAAGTGGCGTTCCATCGCGATCATCGTCATTTCCGCTCGATGATGTCCTTCTTCTCTGTGTCCTCATCACTCCAAATCTACTCAGCGTAGACCAGTCATGTTCAGTGCGACAACTACTTACAACTTGCGTGCAGACCGACTTCGGCCTTCACTTGAAACTAATCCGAGTCGACTTCTCTTGCCGATTCTTCTAAAAGACGCATTCAACAACCAAGACGGATCAGCTTCGGCGACTTGTTACGTGCGTCTTCAGCAACACCATCAAAGGATCACAATTATGATGGCAGGTAGCAGAAAACTCTTAGATCGAAGGACAACCCGAACGCCTTTAGTCGTACCGAGCACAAAACCGAACAACTATTCGACAGACGCAACATCTGTTGTACCGAAAACTAGTACCTACGCCTTCAAGATGTAAAAAAGAACATCGTGTGACTGCACACAGCAAGGTCAGGGGTCTAAACGTCCTCACGACCCCCAAAGTCGTTGTATCGCTAACATACGTAACAGCAGGAAGTACAAGAGCGATCTTCTAACATTGCTCCTCAGGTTCAGTGGTCCTCTCCTTTGGTTGAATAGTCGTAATTCAGTCATTCCCTGCCCCTTCATCCCCCATTAAACAACAGATCCAACACCTTCCCTTCATCCCCCATTAAATAAGTAGTAAATCCAAAACCTTTTCCTGCTCTTTCTCATTTTCTTGCAGATCCAAACGTTTCTGTTCCGCCTTCTTTGCCCTTTTCTGTGCTGCGAGGAGATCGCTTTCTAGCATCTCGAGCAACTGCCGGGTCTGTTTTTGGTCCAAAGCTTCTCCTAAGATGCGGCCGCTTCGCGTACGCAGGAATTAGAGAGAGGAGCATCCAAGATGTCCGGAAAAGGTGTTTAGGCTTGCTTTTGTTGTATTCATTTTTATCTACCAAAAAACTAGCTTGTATTGATATTCTAAGGTTATAATGGAGAAAAAGTAGGCAACTTTGATAATCTTCGAGTGAGATCGAACAATAGAGAACTTCGCGAAAGATTTCGATACATAGGTATTTTTTTGTAAGAGCATCAGCACTTATACAAGCAAACAAAAATATTCCTCTGGCATAAAAAATAATCCGTCCTTCCTGCTTGGCTGCGAGCACACGTAAAAGATAGACGTACAACATCAGGTGCGTCAGGCACAGCACAGCAGCGACCACAAACGCGACAGTGGAGCCCTCGAGTTCAATACCAAAACCGCCCACTTTTGCAGAGGAAGTGAGATCTAGTTTTTTCACTTTTTCCCAGTCGCAAGTGGTGGCTGTACTGCTAGAATGGGATCTGGAGCCAGAAGAAGAAGATGTCGAAGATTTCTTAGAAGAGGCCGAAGCCGAGGCACTCATGTGCGATGACTTTGTGGTACTACTAGCAATATGAGGTGGAGAAGTTCGTTCGGATAGAGGATCAGATTCAGAAGTAGATGACTGCTTCTTTTTTACAAGTGGTTCTAACTCTCCTAGTACTCCAGAAGTAGACCGTTTCTCTTTTACAACTGGCTCTACCACTTCTAGTACTCCAGCATCTTGTCCACGTTCCTCCTCCTTCAGAGATGACACCCCTGAAGTAGGTGTCGCTAAGACCTGCAACGTTAGAGCTGCCCCGTCGCATCTTCCTTGAGGGGCATATCGTTGGACACTTCTTTTTCTTCTTGAAAAGAAAGTCAAGGGTGATGCTGAGGATGCACGGTGGGTTGTCTCTTAACGACGGAATCGATGAGAGGAGGCCCGAAGTAGTTAGAGCCCACCTTAATCCACCGCGAGATTCATCTTAGACCTATTTTACCCTTATGGGACAGGTCTAAGATGCGTCAGAAGATGGATTAGGGTAAGCCTTAAAACAGGTGTTGGTGCCGCATATATGAGCGCTGCCTGTTCTTGCCTAGAGACTTGCCGTGCCATGACGTCTGAAGACAAAAATTCAAAACTTTCTTGAAATTCCTGGGTTCGAACGTTAGAGAGGGAAAGGAGAATCCCAGCGTTGGTCAGTGCTAGCGTTTATTGAGTATTCTTCATGATGACCCCTTTTCCATAACCAAAAGAAAGTTGCTGTAGGACGTGGTGAGCAAGCCTTTTTTAATGTAGTCCTCCACTTTGTCCTGGCTCACGATGTCCAACACCGCTAAAGCCGTTGGTGCTTCTACTCCACCGGCAAAAAATACTGCGAGAATGAAGGCAAGAAAAGGAAAAGAAATTCTACTTCTACGATATTGCACTGGCAAAAAATACTGGGAGAATCAAGGCAAGAAAAGGATTCTACTTCTTCTACGATATTCATTGCACCAGCAAACAAAATTGAACAATGAGGTAAAAGAAATTCTACTTTTGTAATAGATGCATGGGCAAAAAAAATTCTGGGAGAATGAAGGAAAAAACGATTGCTTCTCGTCCAATTAATTTGTCTGCCTACAATGTCCTCGACAACGAGCTTCTACATATACCTGACTCTGCTAGCCTACTTCACCACCTAGACCTACCACGAGCACGACATCAGCCTCTTAAATTAAGATGAACCTAGGACTTTCTAAGATCAGTAATCCTAATAACAGGCAATGCTGTGTGGTATTCGCGCAGAAAGCTTCCAGGTGCCACGATAAATTCCAATCCGTTCTTGTAGTAAAAAAGCGCCCGCGCCATGCATTCGTCTAGCTTGGTGCTAGTTATCACTGTCGGAGGCCCCTGGGGATTTGCTTCTTGTTGCAGGTCTTTGCTTCTCTGCAACTCGGCTGAAGCAGACTCATGCAAAGACCTGTTGTTGACCCCCTCCACGCCCTTTTCGGTCAATGAGGCTGGCGCTACTGGGTTGTAACTTAGAGCTATTCGATAAACGGAAACTAAGCAAGTAAGTTCAAGAATAATGCTAAGGTAGTAGCTCTCTTAGATCACTTTACTCGGCTATTTCAGTTCTTCTTCCATCAACTAACCGAGATACTGAAGAACAAAGAGAAGCCTTTAAAAGCTACCTCCATATGAGCGACAAGATAGTGTACTATGAAAGTGCCTTACGGTTGTGGCCGTGTCCTCTACCGCCTCTTCGCGCATTTTCGCCGCCATTCCATCATGAATACACAATGCATCTGCAAGCTGGAGTGACAAAACTATTACTTTACCGATTTGCACTACACCTACTTGCGTTGATACCAACATCTCTGAAGATGGTGACATTGACTTTCGACCCGACACACTTCAGAATTCCCGCACCTAAGATTTGTCTCTATTATACAATCCATACCTGTAACCAATGTGCGTAGGACTATGGTCGCTTTGATCCGATCGCTCACATTTTCGAGAGTCCGCGTTTCCAGTACATGCCTCTCGGCACTGAGAACTACACCGGTTATTCTTTCGTCCTCTCCCCTTCTGGAGGCGAGGACTGGAAGGGCAGCTGCGACAAGAATACCAAGTACGATCGACAAGACTAGTTGATGGAAGAAGCATCGTTGCTGGAAGAGGCAGCATCGCGGTGGCCACTTTGCTGCGCTTGTCGACATTGTGTCCTTGTCAGATGTTGGGATAGAAGCCAGCTGTTGGGCATTGTCCAAATGATGAAACATTTTGATCTTATCGCTCATGATGTTCTTGGCCAACAGAAGCTTCTTCCTGACATCGTCTGAACGTCAGTCCATGTACACTAAAATTGCATTTTTTTTGTACCTACAATCCCATAATTGGTTTGTGAATTGTTCACCGTCAAATTTGTAAAGGGGTGGGAGAAACAAACGGGAACAAAAAGGAAGGAGCACGCGCTTTCAAATCTGGTCTGGTGTTGGTTGTAGTGCGTATAAGGTACTTGTTTTTTGCTTACTAACTTCTGGTAGGGGTAGTTGTTTTTTGCTTAATAACTTCTGGTAGAGGTAGTTGTTTTTTGCTTACTTATTGCCCATTGGGGAGTTCTGCGGAGAAGGCACTTTTCCAACTCGCTGTACCTCTCAACTGGCCTTGTCCCTCTCCAGTCGCTCCATATCACGACTATCTCAGAAAAACCGAGTTCATTTACTGGCACTGACTACTCCAAGGCCAAATATAACCAAGTAATTATCTCATACCTTATTTCACACTCCCTTCTGTATATCATCACTAGAGAAGTCACAAGCCTTATAAGTAAGAGTATATATTTCTGCGATTATTCCGTATGGTCATCCATATAAGATACCGACACTACACCTTTTGGTCGCTAAATAGTCAAGAATGAAAGAAGATGCACGTTCTAATCGTATCCACGCATGATACCAACCTTGAACGGCTACGACTCCTCCAAGCAGTCTTGCAGTTGCAATCCACCCATTTAGACAAATAAAACATCAAAGCAGACGGACAGCATCTTTACCAGCGTTTATTCACGGAAAAAACTATGCAGCTGTACGACAGGGTCTGTACTTCTAGAGGGTCTTTGTGTGTTCTTTTCCTTGTTCTTCGTATGCCAATTTTCTTGTTCTCTTCCTTATTTACAACAAAATTTCCACCGAGTACATTGCTTTCCTTACAAGGAGCGGTACTGTGCAAACTTCTTCACCAACAAACGAGCTGCAAACCTATTCGTCGTCGACCAACTGGTACCAGGTGGCCTCAGCGTCGTCAGCGTTTCCCGCCAATGGGTCATCTACTTCTCCTATTAGCGCTCCAACAAGTACCTAACCATGTGGTTCAACCTCTTCTTTTCAGCGGAAAACTCCTAGTATGCAATACGTGTCAACATGTTGTCGGAAGAAATTGAAATCCACTATCATTATTCGATAAATTGTTTGCAAGAAGGGATACCAGCCTAAAAATAGAATGAGGGAAACAAGCCGGCTGTTTATTTAAGTGCTTTGAGCGTCGCTGGACCTGGGGATGTAATTCGATAAATTGAAATAAGCAAGTAACTGATCAGAATAACCGAGATACCGACGAGAAGGAAGAGTAGCCTCGATGTTAAGCTACGACCTAGCCAGTCCGACAGTAACTCGGTTATTTTGAGTTTTCGAGTAAGTACTGAGTTGTTTACTGCAGACGCAGCCGCTACTCCATTCTGTGCTAGATGATAAAGTCAAGAATAAGCCTCTTCATGTGAAAATATGTTTGAAGTAGGGACTCTTCATGCCCTTAACTTCAACTCTACTCCCCAGGTCTCGTCAGCCCGCCTACGCAAACGGATTTCGGCATCTCGCTTCAAGCTCTTGGCACTTGCTGCCTCAAGCTCGCTCTCTAGCAGGGTGATTCGACTCTTGGATCGCACAAGTTGCTCTCGTAAGGCACTAGTGGCAGTTGTGGCAGTCGTGGAGGAGGATGAAGAGCGAAAAGCGGTAGTGGCAGTTGTGGTCGAAGCAATAGCACTATTCGTGGAGGAGGGCGAAGAAGTGGCAGTATTTGTGGAGGAGGAGGACGAGGAGGAGTTGATAGGCCTTTTCACATGATTGTTGTATGTTGATGTCTTTGTTGTACTAGTTTCGTCTTGAAGATCGTCGTGATGAGGCATGTAGTTGTTCAAGTTCATACTCTCGGCTTCTTGAAGCAGATGGGAGTGCGTTTCCGCCACATCATCGTCAGGGCTGAGGCATAAAGCACACCCACTGCCGCCATTGATACCCTTTGTCGTGTCGTCACTGGCGAAAGACATTGCTGATGCGGAAGCCGTACTTCATATTAGAGAATATCCAGATCAAGACTGTAGTAATGCATTATCCTGTGGAGGACTGTCGGGAAGTGGAAAAAAAGTTGTAGATTTTGTGAATGTGATCGTCTATCTCTATTTTTCTTACAATCTCTGACCCTTTATGACAGAGCAATTTGTAAGGTTTCACAGCTCGCATGGCATGGAGTGCATGGATCACATGGAGTAGCATGGAGCTAAAGGGGGAGCTTCTTGCGCCCCTTAAAGCTCTGCGCTCCATGCACTCCATGCTACTCCATGCACCATGCGTGCTATAAACTACTCTGTTATGACTATGTAAATCTAAATGTATAATATTCACATTCAACCATAAACCTCCGTCTGCTCCGAAGAGTGCTTGAAAACTGTTAGTTCCAAAAGACACTTTTTTCGCTGTACCATCTTCGTGGACACAGCAACGTTAGAGCACACACGATTACGACCCTAACGCAGCGGCCATACTACGCCAATCATACTCATGGAGGATGCAAAAAGGAAGCGGAAGACCCACAAGTGAGTCCTACAAACACTGTAAAAAGAGAGATGGACGATTGTCCATCTTTATTCTACTTCCATCCCCTCTCTATTACCCTAGTAGTGTATCTTTTTTAAAAAGAGGTAGCCTGACATGTCATGATACCTCGTTCTACGTCTTTTCTAACGTTATAGGGGCCGTTCAGCTACCCTGTACCTTCCGTACGGAAGAGCAAGATGACCGAGTGATATACTATCAAGTATAATCGTTTTCATCATTTTCATCCCACCACTTTATTCTCCGCCTTAAGTAAATCCCACGTCCGTGAACCGCATTTCTCCTCGGTTGCAGCCCTTGTTGACGATACGACAGGACCCTTGGGTGTCTCCTTTTTCCAGAGAGAAGCAACCATTCGGACCAAAGCCCGCTGCAGCAGTTTTTTCGACTAGAATCTTAGATGAGTATGCATTTTGTTGCTACTTATGTGCCAGTCTTGAACTTCATAAGGCAGTGGGTGTGGATATAGGAACCTTCATAAGACATTCCCTTTTTGTTCATCTATTTGTTCCACGCACTGATTTCTAGACGATGGCTAGGCTACGTGAGCGCGCCTTGGTTTCATCTACGATTGTGTCTGATATTCGTCCTCCTACATTCTGTTTGAAGGGATTAGGGTCGAAGGATAATAAACGGGTAAAGACCCTGTTTATTGTTTTTGCTTCATTTTTCTTTACGAGTCTTGTTCCAAGTATTGGCTTCTGTATTATCTAGATTATACAACTGACTTGGAAGTTTTTAGAACTAGCGAAATTCGAGGGCCCTTGGTGCACAGGAACGACAACTCCAGCTCCGAACAGAAATAACATCAAATGATGATGAGGTGGACCGTGGAAGACCAAAGGATAACATCAAAATAAGAGTCCACATAACTTGACGGCTATTTTCGACAACGCCTGCACGGCCTCCGACCTGTGCACGGCCTCCGACCTGTGCACGGCCTCCGACCTGTGCACGGCCATCGTCTTCACTGCCTACGTTTTGCAACAGGATGCTTCTCGGTGCCGTAGAAAATGGCGGTACATTTCCAGTATCGTCATTCATCGCTTTCAAAAATGCAGGAGATATGAGCGATGACGTTGATATTAGAAATTCAAATTTCAATAGGTCTGATCACTCGCCACTGAGGCATTCTTGAAAACTAGATACCGTAGCTGCAGGGAAGGAAGTCTATAATTTCAACCAGTGGAAGTCTATAATTTCAAACAATAGTAGTAGCAGTAGTCCTATTGTATGACTTCATCTTCATCTTTATTTCCAACCATGCCGTCCCGCCGACTTCTTCTAAACTACCGGGAAGGCGACGGCTGTCATGAGAAATCTTAAAGGAAGCTGCTTTCTTGTGTCGCGTATGGTTCGGACATTTCGAATACGTTGCAACAGTTCTAGGCGCCGCTCCTCCACCTGCGCCCATCCTACTTTCGCCCACCCGATCAACGTGAAGTGGACGAGCGAGAAGGCCACCGTGAAGTCGTGAAACAAGATAAAAGGAGGGCCTCTTTTTCGAAGAAGCTCTCGTTGTCGTTTGAAGCCCATGATCATGCAGAAACGTAGGTCAACGCAGTCAGCGCATTTTTCATCTTTTCTCCTATAGAAGACACGCTATAGACGCATCTTTTCTCTTAGTTATCGACACGTTACATTTAGACGATAAAAATGAACTTTAACATCCAATTGCCAGCATAATAAAAAACCTCAGTCTCATCTCTCTCTTCATTTTGTCAGAAAAGATGGGGCGTTTCTGAGTTGTTGGTTGGACCACTCAACATGTGTAATATAACGGTTTTTTGATTTTGCTTGCAGGCCCTCAACCAATGGATTTTGGAATTCGATAAAGTTACAAGTTCTACGCTTCTACAAGGAAGTAGAAAATGATACAAATCTCGTCCCACCGCAACTTGATCCATACATAGCTAAGAGGTAGATCCATCCATTGACTCAAAGTGAAACCACAGGATTGCCAAGAACGCATGGTAGAACAGACGAGAAAGAAGTTCGTGGTCACCATTTGCCCAGATGACAGAGACAGAGGAACTTTTCGTGTTCTTTAAGTTTCAACAAATCGTGGAAGGACATTCTATTTTCATCCAACAATATACTTACTTGGTAGAACTGTGGAAGTCGTCAAGGTCATTCATACATGATTATGATTTCTCTTTCCTGAGAAATTTGTTCTTTTTGTTTTTCGAAATTTTGTATGTCTATCTTGTCAGGCACCTTCTACCACTGTCTACATGGAATATCATGTTCTAGAAAAATAGGGTAGCCGTGAAGATTAACGAAGCAAGTAAATCTCATCAGCTGTACTTAACTAGTGCCACGATAGTGGATGATCTTCCCGTAGGATAAGTACTAACTTTATGTGACAAAGTAGATTTTCAATAATCATGATCGAAAAGTGAATACCTACTTACTATGATGATAGTGAAGATTAGTCCAATCTGACGTCATGTTTTCACCTTTTCCATGCCTCGCGAGGTTGATTCATACGCTTTCATGGATGAATGAATGATCTACGTATATGTCGAAAAGCGTCACTGACATTATCTGCGATTTTGCGGATTGGAACGACTAGACTTCATTCCATGACTGCTTAATAATGGTGTGGTAATTCTACTTATGTAACTAGATAGTGATGTAGGTTGAAGGTCGACAGCCCACGGCTTTGACAATAGTGAAGATCTGGCTCTGAGTCGTTTGGTTCACCTTTCAACCGGACACAAGGACAAACTTTCATGTATAGAAAATGCTACGAATACTAACATACTTTTTGATCAAGTTTCTAATATTTCATATCTGGTGTCGTTGTTTTTATCTAGCATTCTTCCTCACCGCAGTCATCCGCAGTAGATCCGTACTTCGGCAAAATCGGTGCATCATTTGCGGACAGGCGACGATGATCGCGGCGGCGGCGGCGCACGCACCAAACCAAAGCCAAGCCCGCAACAAACGCAATAGTCGAAATCTGCATGACGGCCACGGCCTCGAAGTGCATGGTGGAAAGAGCCGCGCGAGAAGTGGAGCCAGTTGTCGCTGCAGAAGTCTGGAGAGTGCTGCTACCGATCGAACGCCTCCATTTGGTTTTGATACGCCTGGAGTTGATGAGGTGGATTTGTTTTCGATCATCGATCAATACTCACTCCTATATTTTTCTTTACTATTTTTCCCAAGGATGAAGAAAAAATAATAATGCCGAACGAAAAAAAATTGCCAAAGAGAAAAAACGATAATACACGATACGCCGTTTCAACGCTGTAACGCCGCCGAAATCTTCTGCGTCTTTCGTCATATTGCATGCATTCGTCACATGTTGTCGCGTCACCTTTCCGAAATTCTTGTTGATATGTTTCTTATATTCTTCCTCGAGTTGATCTTTTACCTGGGCTGGAAGATATATAAGATCGCTGTGAGCTTCTATAGTCTTTTTGTAGTTCGTCTCTAAGTCGGTAAGCAGTTTCTCCTTTGTCCAAGACGCGCCTGTTTCAAGTGGAATGCACATTGCAATCATATGCAGATGAAGGAATACGAACGACCGAAAAGAACTGATTACTGCATTCAGCCGTCAAAGGAACAATGGAATTTATAACTTCTGTTTAAAATGATGGAAGCAAACCTTGGTCATATGCTAGCTTCTAGTACTTACCTTCCGGGATTTCCGACGCCATCATGTCGACGAGATCGCCTACTGCCTTTTTGACGATCTCGTCGTTGGACCTCGAAATCTTCGGTTTGTCGGACTGAATATTCACAACTTTCTTGGCAGTGTCCATCATGAAACCCAGTGTTTGATCCACGTCCTCGTTGAATTTTTGTTCCCAGTTCTTGTCCTTCCTGATTCCATCCACGGCCTCGTTGACTTCTTTCACCTCGTCCTTGTTGACTCTTGAGTGCCACATCCCCATCCTGTCTAAATCAATGATGGCTACGCAAGCCAAGTAATACCAGGAAGGAAAGGAAAACGAGTAAGTAGGTAAACAACTACTTTGCAATGAGTGTGAACTACACTGGGAGCGACGTCCTGCCAGAAGATATCTCTGCGCTGTCTACTTGCGTTAAATATTCATATTAACAGAGTCAGTTCCTTCGTACCTTCGAAAACTCTTTGCCCCTATTCATTGTTTTTGGTTGAAGGGTCAAAGTGAGACACTGTGCTCTTTATGCTGTCCAGCAGCTGGCTCTTGGAAAACAATGCACAGACAGCATCATTAACAACGGAAATGACCTATGAAAATGACGGGTGTGTATAGACGCGTTTATTCATGTCCGTATATGGGATCAAGTTCGGTGTTGTCTGGGGCGGGGCGAAGCGGAGGAGAACCTCTCTGCTGGACAACAGTTGCAACACTCAGACACATAATCACTCAAGAACGGCGACAGATTCTGCTTCATCTGGTTCCTCGACTTTCTTGAGGTGATCTCGAACACTTTGCGCCGGTTGCTCCCCTCTAGTATCTGCGCGACGCGTTAGGTGCTTTCAGTTTCTTCACTCGTTCTGGATTATACTTCAATTTTCCGACGAGACTACAACAGATGGATCACCTACTGACACTCTGATTGATCATTAATCTCGCATCATGTACAACTACTGACTTCGAGTACTGATACCCAGATGAGTCACAAACCGATCATACACAGATGAAGCCGATCAATCAGATGAAACCAACGCATCAGACCATCAAGAGAAGAAGTTGATGAAACCGATGCTCTCGTCCCAAGATTTATTAAAAAGAGTCTCTGTTACAAGGACAAAAAGATGGGGAGTGATCCTTGCGATCATTGTCCATTCTAGAAATGAGAGGAAACACTTAGTAGTAGTGGCTTACGCGTTCGCGTACCCATTCGCGGGGTGGGTACTTCATCATCAAAAACCGAACTCCTTTTTTCTATATAACATTAACAACTTGTTAAAGTCCTTTCATATTCAGAATCTGCAGAGTATCAACAGGAGAATAGACACACAGACATCGACATCCTTCTCCTTGCTCGTGACATTTCTCAATTGACAATGGCACTTTTTTGAAACTACAATATAGAAGATTAGTTTAATACAACAAGTAAACGGGTAGATTCATCATGAGGTCTAAAAGCACCTCTAATAAGAGCAATCCGAAGTTCTGGCCCTGTTTCTTGAAACTCATCAAGACGAATTCCTCCGGCCTTATGAAGAATTCCTAAAGATCGATTCGTGACATGCGTACGACGTTTCTATTGTATACTGCTTATAGCGACAGCCGCCTACTTACCACCAGGCGCCACCTACCGCCATGATAGCAAGCGGTTGACGAGGAAGTTTTCAGTCCTTATCAGTTTTTAACCACCACCAAGCCGCTGACAAGGAAGTTTTCAGCCCTTACCACGACTAGCTTTCACCCACCAGCAAGCCGCTGACAAGGATGTTCAGTCCTTACTATCTGGTCCATTAGATCCAGGCACGTTCGAAGGGCTTGGAGGGCCGTGTTTGGAGACTCGATAGCAGTTCCCTCGACGTCGAGGTTCCTATCCAAGGAACGAGCGGACTTCTTCAAGTAGTAGATCATGGTCTCGCTTCTCCTTGCATGATTAGAAACACGGAATCGGAAAAAGAAATCAACTGCAAGGAAGCTCAAAAATTGAGACGTTTTTTCTTTCATAATCTTACAGTTAGAATTAGAGAGTTTGAGATCAATATGAAGTAAGCTCCTAACGAAAGTAAAGAGCAGAAGAGGCGTCCTACTAGCAGTATAAAGAGGAGGTCTCGTAGTCATCCTTGAGTCGGTGATACTAGGCAATTACATATTTACTTACTACCTTTACCTTAAGACTCTCATCTTCCGTGCTTCTGCACGCAACTTCGTCCCCAATCGTCCTGGCCGCTGTTGCAGAGATGCGAATATAAGATTCGTAATTCTTAGTGGTTAGTACTAGTACTATGTCTCGGTCGTGTACAAAGAGACAATGTATATAGCTTTACAACTCGTACAGCATACGAGTTACAACACAAGAAATTAGAAAAGCCGCTTAAAAGTCTTAGCATCTTCCCTTCTAACGAATGAGAAGAAGGCCGCGTAAAAAAATTTGCATCCATTCTACTAAAGAAAGACAATGAATGGAGAGGCTTTAGAAAAGCGAATTTCGTAACTCCATGTCGTCGTATCCGGAAATTCTTAGACGAGATGCTCGAGGGCCAACAAAACCACTTCTACCTAGTAATGATTCACTCTTTGACTGTTGGTATCACAAATTTCAGAGTTCTTCAGCACAAATCCTGTCTTTCATGTCATCTCATAGACATGATATTTTCTTTTCTGATCTCACAGATCGCCATCACCTGATGATTTGAATCGATTCGGCAGCATGCTTAGGATTCTCCTGCCGATTTCTATCCCGCCATAGTTTCTTTCCTACCAGATTCACTAGTATCGATTTCCATAATATAAGGCAGTAACCAGTCAGGGAGCGCCTCGTTTTCCCAAACGAGTAGTTTACGGACAGCTCTGGCCACCTCTGGCTTAATTTTAAGGTAGCTTCTCACTATGTATCCCGAGTCGAGTGGATTGCCCTCTTTGCCCCTTAGTTTTCCCTTTAAATCAAGGAGGACTCCACTCAGCACAGTCCACATGGGATGGTGATAAACTACCCGTAATTAGTGCGAAAGGAGACCTCCCCATCAGCGTCACTATTCCGCTCATTCTTCATGTCCCTCTCCGGAGTATCGACGGGGGTTTGGATCGGCCCAAAGAGATTCTCAAAGACGCATCGACGAGTCCTGGTCGTGTTGTGGTCATTAGAGATCAAAATATCCAAGAATCGATTCTGAATACGTCTTGTGACGTAAAAACCCTTCGATCTAGAAACTTTGATCTATAGGCCCTGCCCTGAATCTTCAGTTCAAGAGGAAGACGTAGACAGAGTTGCACTTCCAAGATTTTTGACGTCTCTTCTGCTATGTTCAAGTCTTAAAAACTTCTGAACTTCTCGAGAGCGGCGCAACAAAGTTCTCAGCGACCGCTAAGAACATTTTCTGCACGAGAGAAAAGGCCTCCTTCGTGTAAGCATCGTCCTCCACAGCTGTTTTTAGAGCGATAACAAACTTCGACTATAAGGGTTAGAGCTACTTATCAGCCTCGACTATCCCAACTCGACTATTTTTAGCTTCATCTAGTCTACAACGGCATATGAAAGCGGCATATGGTAATATTGCGACTAAGGAATACTAACGACCTCCGAACTATCGAGGGAAATTAGCCGGCTTACTTTGTCTGTGTGCTTTGAGCGTCGGTGGACCTGCTACACCTTCCCAAACAGGCGATACTAGTACGAGAGCCTTAATTCTACATGAATGCGGCGGCTTGCTTCGCGTAGAAAAGCCAGCTCAAACTCCAAGCCAGGTCTCAGGTATTCAACACCCGAAGCCGAGCTCTGTCCTCGAAGGTGTTCAACATGCTCAGCGTAAAAGCCATTTAGAGCTTCTACTGAAGTATGCCTTCTACTCTTTGTCTACTAGAAAAGATCCAGTTCGTTCTACTGCACCCTCGGGAGCGTCCCTGAGCCCTTTTTCCCCTTGGAAAAGAGGACAGGATGGCGTGGCCGCGGATGTTTTAGCGGTAGCCTTAAGTCTAACAACTGCTGGACTCTATTGAGCTGCTCAGATTGCGCCACACTATCGCTCGAGGGAAGCAACAACCACTTTGCTGCAGTTCTCCTAGCACTGGTGGAGATGGCCGCATTAGAGCTACAGTGTCGCGTCCCTCCTGAGACCATCCCCAACCTCCTATTCTACTTATGAGGTAAACTATATAGATCTCCTCGTGAACCCTGATTCTATTCTGCACTCGGACCCTAATTGTAGGAGATCCCGCGAAGGAGGAAGTGTTCTTGATTACGCCACCAGCAGGAGGACCTCTTGAGGCACCGTCGGAAGTGTGTTTGCTTACACCACCAGCACCGGGAGATCGACTTCCGACATTTTCGATGGAGTTCGTCGGAGTAGTCCTCGAAGAACTACACCTGTTCACCTCTGGATCAATATTCGTAGTTGTGTCATCGGCTCCACTACTCAATAGCCAGCTATTTTTCCCCACGCAGTTTAGTTTGTCGAAAAGCAGAGTATTCTCCTGTACGAAAGATGCGGACGAAAAAAGCGTCACGGGTCGTACCTTTTCCAAAAGATAAATGGTTAAAGTTACTGGATCTGTCGCTTCTCTTACTCTCGATCTGTCGCTGCACTTTTTATTTCCCTCAAGAAACACGGTATTATCAATATTTTGGCTTGTAGACTAGTCAAAAATAAGTGAGTCTCCTGTGACGATAACTGCGACAGATCACAACACGTCGAGCAATCATCCAGTTCAAGGTTTTCTAGCCATATAAAAGAGGCGCTACTTCGTTCCGGTCCACGGTGATCAGCGTTATACTCGGTCTGTTGATTGTACGGAAATTTTAGAGCTCAACATGGCCAGAATGCGTCTATCTTGTCAATATTCTACAACCTAGACCACCAGCACTGTACCTTGTCGTTAACTTATAATCACCAACCAGCATTATTTATTTGATAGTGGTCCATGAAAATCGTGCGGGTCCTCGTATTTCAGTAGTGTCCATCGTTTTGTTGAGATAAGCATCCTCGTCCGCGTGCCAAACTGAGTAAGTACATCAGTAAGTAACCCTTGTGTCATCCTCAAAGATTAAATGATACCCTTTCTTCATGAGAGATTGAGACTGATAGCCAGACTTCATCAGAGATTGATACTGATAGCCAAAAGGAACAAGATGATGAAGATTGTGCCTATAGATACTAGAGGTGCCTGCAAGTTTTTTATTCTTCTTTATCCCTAGTACGAGGAGACCTAAAAATTTCCTTTCGCAAGACCACTGCCCTCCATCGATGCCTCGTAGCGACGAATCGCTGCCAATAAAGTTTCCAAATTACTCAGTTCTCTTGGATTTCTGCCTACATCTGCTTCAGCTTCGGCGTCACCATTCTCTTCATCTGCTTCTTCCGAAGAACCCTCGAGCAAGAGAAAGACTCTCGTCCTTGCTTGGGAAGCCCTATCGTGGTGTGCTTGGAAAGCCTTATCCTCGTGGTGTTGGGAAATAAATTAACGCTGTAGTTTTTCACCATCCCTGGTTGAGTGGGTTGCTCTTTTTCGCCTTGCTTTCCCCTTTAAATCAAGGGGGGCGCCGCTCAGCATAGTCCACGACACAGGAGAGTGAACTCTACTACAGCCTTAAGAAAACCAAGCAGCAATATATGCATCCAAAAAACGCTGATCCCATGAGGCTACTCGATCTGAGTCCCCTCCTTTATTAGAGCTACCGCGCTCGCACCTTGTTCCTTGAGAGTGATAGCATCCTTGGCTTACACTTCTTTCTCCCTTTGGAAAAGAGGAACCAAGATCATTAGTAAGAGTAGTAGTATAGTGGTTTACATGAAGAAAGGCCAAGGATGTCGCGAGGGCTTTAGAATCAATTCAAGGGGCGATCTTTCTATAAAAAGCAAATATATTCTGCACCCAAGGATCAAATGGTGTTAAGGACATGCTTCAGCAGTAGCCGTAACCTTAGAAGCATCAAGGTACTCCAGTAGACTGACTTCATATGGGCAGCTGAGCGTGCTCGCGGAATTCGTAGAGTGAAGGAAGGAATGATGTCCATGCCGACAGAGACCATAGAACACGTGACCACGAACGAGTGTAGGTTTCGACATATTACACACACCACGATCGACCCCACGTATCAGGCCTTTACATCGAAGAGCGGCCTCTCGCAGTGCTGTTCCCTCCGCGTCTGCAGTGTTCGAGACGAATTCAACTACAAGACTGGCTAACTCGCGCGCCTGTGAAGCAGGCATTTCTCCCGTAAGTGATGTCGCCAAAAACATTGCCATCATCTTCAACAGGCGTCCGCGTTGTAGTTTTTCCTCGTTTATGTTTTCTTCTCCTTATTTTAGATGACCTTACTTAAACTATAGGGTATAGAGAGTTTTCCTTGTTGTCCCAGATACTGACTTAAACATTCATCTTGAAAAGCATCCTGTGCGTGGTTTCCTCTTACAAAAGGACTTCACCTTACAAAGGGGGCCGAAGATGCTTCTGCAGATGAATTGCTGTAAGCCCTAATTCTTCCTTGATGCTTTTTGTTTCTCCATCTTTTGCAACTTCACGCCCATGGGCGGCTTCAGATTCTTCATGAGACACGTACACGAGTTTTCGAAGTACAACCTTCTCTGCAAAGGGTAGAACTTCGCGTCTGATCTGTGCCAGAATCCGTCGAAGTTCGGAGCGGTTCTCTTCTTCTTAGAGCTCATCCGAATCCACCATCTTGAGAAGCATCCTGTTCGCTGCCAACGAACAGGATGCTTCAGCAACGAACAGGATGCTTCAGCAACAGGATGCTTCAGCGAGCGCAATGCACTTTTCTCATTGAAGTCAAGAATGCCTCATTCTCATTGAAGTCGTCATACTTCAGAAGATGGATTGGGGTAGTAAGGTAAGCTTCAGAAGATGCCTTAACCTTCGCTGTGCAGGTTGTGGAGGTGTTCTAGTGATGCAACCAACATGCACAGGCATTTCCCGTGCCCGTCATTGAGTCGGCTGAGTGCCTTATCTAGTATCGTTCCACAGACATCCACCAGAGTCTTAGAAGACTGTTGACCATTATAGGGTAAAAAAGTAGGAACCACACGAAGTATTATATTTTATGGATGATGGGCGCACTACCCTAGGATACTCCATGAGAGAAACAAGCAAAAAACCTGTTGCAGTTCTGGCACAATATTGTATCATGATGGGTAAAAAAAAGAGGAAAGTTGCATTATATTATGGGCAAAAACTTTATTTCGCAAGATAAACTGTATAATAAGCGCCCTTTAATATGGATCATTTGTGACATTCATTGCCATAAGAAATTAATGATGAAGTAAACGAGTCTTGACAAGCCTTAAGAAACTTTCTTCCACGTGAGCGCGACGGCCCATCTAGGGCTAGAATGCGTGCCGGACGTTTAACAATAATCTGCCCCTCTGGAGTGATCAGAAGTACGTGCGACCCAAAAGGTCCAAAACTCTCCGCCACGTTTTAGAGCTCAGAATACTTGATACTATTAGTTACTATGCATTTGCTCATCCCTTCAGAATAATCTTTATTCACCTGCCCTATCTTTTAGAGCTCGAAACAATCAAACACCTCTTCCCTTCAGAATAATCATTCACTTCTTTTAGAGCTCCAAACAATTATTCACAATTGTTATTCCTTCAGAATAAACAGATGGAATTGAATTGCATCAAAATGAGGAAATTAACTATTCTGAATAGTATTGTGAAAACAGAGATCATGAGAAGAGCAAAACAGCACGAGGCAACCGATGAAGATGGATATTTTTCTTTTGGTTTTTCGGTTGAACAATAGTAGCGGAATTGGCAGCGGTATGGAGGTATTGATTATATTGCTGCACGGTATTCATATGAAAGGAAAGACACAAATTGCATGGGTGTTGACTCAAGGCCTATCAATGATTATGCGGTTGGTGTTTGGTTTTGGTTCATGTTGTAGCTTGTTGCTGTCTTGATTACATTCGCGACCAGAAACATGGAGCACATTTACAACTTTAACCTTCATCTTCATCACTACACTCTTCACCACTAGATTCTTGAACAGCGCCAGATTCTTGAACATCGTCACATTCTTGACCTGCCACCCTGACGGTCTTGATTCGTTTCATGGATCCATTTATTCGCAACAGCCTCCCCGTGCTCCTTGTTTCTGCAAATAGAGGGCTACTCCTTTTGCTCTGTTGTGGGAGAGGTGGCGAGGTTTTTATTTTTGGAAAATGTTGCTGTAGTTTCCTGTTACTTAAAACCTTCAGCTTTGTCCTAATGCTTGAAAGATAGGGAACACTAGTAGAGAAACTAAAATCTCAATCACTTGGTTTAGCCTCAAGAAATCAAAGAAATCTGCGTCAGTAGTTACTTTAGTGAGTCCGTTTGACTTATTCAATTTGGTACTGTGCCAAATTGGTTTTATGAGTCTTCTAGTACAGAAGTCCCTAATCATAGCATCCCTGATGTCGATATGTTTCAATCGACTAGCAGCTCCGGTTTTGTTCTCTGAATATTTGATCGATCCAGAGTTATCACATCCTAACTCAACGGGTAGCACTATAGATGAATCGTCAAAGAATTGAATCCAGAATGATCTCAAACTTGTCAAGACGTAGTGAAACCTTATAGCCATCTTCGCGGCTTCTGACATCCCATACAGCTCAGCTTCGCTGACACTACTAGCAACACTATGCTGACTAGCGCTTTTCCAGGCTATAGGATTCCCGTTGAGATTGATCACTATGCCTGAAATTGAGCGTCTATCACCAAAGGATGCCCAGTCGCTGTCTGACCAAGCTGTAAGGATGAGCTTTCCTTTGAACTCATGTGAACGGTTTTTATACATCAAAGCTCTTCGAGTTCGCAAGTATCTGATGATCCTTTTCAAGCTTGCTAAGCTTTCCTCAGTTGCTTTCACTTTCGCGCACATCTTCAATGGCACTACGATGTCTAATCTTGTTAGACACAAGTATTGCAAACTTCCCGTAAGTTCCTGCTTAGCCTTCAACAGGCTAGGCACTTCAGGTAAGCCAATACTTGGAGCGCTTTCCATTGGTGTGCTCACCTTCTTTCCACTATCCCCGCCAAAGCGCTCAAGTAGTTTGCTTACGTAGGCGTCTTGGGATAGTGTTACGTTACCACTTCGTTTGCACTCATGCAACTCTATTCCGAGAATGTCAAAGATCCTACGAGTAGCAGTCTCCCGCACTGGCTCTGGTTGAAGCTTAAGTGCGGACTGCGTCTCATTATGTACGACCATGACTTCTTCCTTCTTTCCAAAGAAATAGAAGTTATCCACAAAGACACACAGTAAAACTCCTCGCTTAGTCCAAAGTGTGCTCTCTAGTGGGTTTTGTTTCCAGCCAAACTGCGTGAGAGTTTTATCTCGATGCGTTTCCCAGGCTTTAGAAGACAATCTCAACCCGTTCATAGCATACTTGACTTTTCCTAACTTGTATCCAAGGAGTTCTTCTAACCTGTGGTCTAGTTCGATGACAACTGGCACGGGATACGGAGCTTGGAGAAGTGCACTTGTGGCATCGGAAGGAAAGACGAAAATCGATGGACTTTGGCACTTCATAGCAACGAGCATGCGCAAGATCGCTAGATCAGGCACAGAGGCATACTTATCTGCGTTGCCGGACATTTTGTCCAAGAAACCAAGACACACGATCCGTGCTTTTTTCCTGCCACATCTCTTCACACTTAGTAGCATCTTACAAGGGACGTTTCTGCTTCCTGTTTTCTTCCAGTTTCTCAGATCTTCGTCTGTTGCTCTTCCAAACACATGGGAGCGTGCTTTCAACTCTTTCATAATAGCCTCTTGCCATTCTGGTGTAGAAGTGTCAAAGCCGGACTCATGGTCTGGGATAGCCACAGCTTTGAATACTTTCTCACCTGGCTCCCAATCATCACAAACGAGCGGGGCAACGACTGCAAGCAGTCCAAGCTCGTTGTGGATTGTCTTCTTCAAGTCGTCACTGTTCTTCACTTTTTCATACACACTCGACGCTACTTTTTCGAGTTGTTGCTTCTTGAGATCCGAATACTCTGGCTGCGCCATGATGATATTCCGGATTTGCTCAAGAGCACTCTCTCGCGCTTCTTTCTTCTTCTTCCAAGCGCCTCTTACTCCTGATGGCACTTCCTCCTTCTCCCGCACTTCTCTTAGCTTTTTAGCTTCTTTGGCTTTCAAGTCCTCAAAGACTTTGTCTGTGTAGCTTTTCGTCAGCCTGAACCTTTTTGATGGCAAGACTTCATCTTGCTCGCGTTGCGAAGGAATAGCGCCCCTATCCCCGCCAGAATCGACATCGTCTGCCGACCCATCATGTGGAGTAGGATTCGGGTTCTCACCCGGCACCCGTTCGACATGATCTGCTTCTTCAAAAAACTCTAAGCCTTTTTCTTCATCAGGGCACACAGGTGAATGTGGCCCGTCTTTTCCAATCTTCATTTGGATGGCTTGTTCAACAAACTCGCCATTTCTGGTTTCCTTCTGCTCGCTTGGTGGAACATTGTGAGTTTTGTACAGTACGCGGAGAAGTTGCGGAAGAAGGCTCACCTCATCAAGCGCTAGGCGCTGTCTCACATGAGATTCATGCACTCGCTTGAAGCATCCATCGTAGTCGACTATAAATGTCAGACTATCCTTGTTCACTTGTCTGAAGATCAACTTTGCAGGTCCCATCCGTGCTTGCTTGTCCTTGTCGTAAATGTCTACCAGATGTCCAACTTCCAGACAAGCCGACTCGGGATAGGCATTACGCTGCCTCTCAGCCAACTTCTTCATCTCTTCGATGGTCTTCTTGTCGTATTTCCAGGCTTCAACTTCTTGCCTTGCCTTCATCCTTATAATCTGATCTGCTTCGGGGTCTAGTTTATCTAACAGGACCAGTTGCTGGGTCGTCATATCTTCAGGACAGTCTAACTCCATCTTCCATGGGTTTATAGCCCACTGAACCATATAGGGACATAACCCTTGAAGTGACTTAGTAGGAGTAGCGTTAATCGCGTTTGCCGTTTGTTCAACTAGCCTCGGGATTATGCTGGCTTTCTGTCCATATATGTAGTAGAGCTTGTGCAAAACTCCGCGGAAATATCTGTGTCGACGTTCACAGATACCGTCAACCCAACTAGGTTTAGGGATTAGGAATAGGCCAATACTATTCAGTTGACAATACTCCCTTACCTCGTGATTGTCAAACTCCTTACCCTGGTCGCACAGAATGTTACGTCCTAAGAATCCTCGAGTTTTGCACGTCTCTAGGAACTCTACTGTGTCCTTTCCCTTGACACCACTTCTAGACAAGGTCTTAGCTACACTAGCCCGACTGAACAAGTTAATACCGTGCAAGACAGCATAATCCTTACCGAGGGGAAAGAACGTGGCAAAAGAGGTCCAATCGTGCAGACTTGCTGCGTCGATTCCTCCTGACCTGTGGCGCGGAAACGCGTGCGCTTTTAGCCTGTTAAGGTTATGTCTACAGAAGTGAACTACCCAAGCTTTAGCTTGTGGAGAGTTATCGATTGTCCTGACGACTTCCCACAATTTCTGAAATGTCGGAAAGACTAAACTAGCCCCTATGTTGCAGATATACTCGTAGCTGATCTTCGGCTTAGGATAGGCCGCAGGTGGGTCCAACTTTCGACGCTTCACCGCTGGCCGTATCCTTTTAGTGCCCGAGTCACTACTCACGTTGGCTTTTCTCTTTTTCTTTGGCTTCTTCTTCTTCTTCTTGTCACTTTTTCCTTCTTCTTTTGAGTCTTCTTGCTCATTAGTGCTCTCCAGCTCTATCCCTTCATAACCAGTGTCATCTACCACTTCATCTTCTTCTTCTTCTACTTCATTTTCAACTTCATCATCAAGATCGTAGTCCTCTTCTTCACCTTCTTCTTTTTGAGCTACGCCGACACTACTGCAGTCTTTATCGTTTCCGAAGTTGACGGTATCCAGTAGGCCCGTACTCTTCACTTCATCCATCAGTAGAGTTTTCTCTTTCGCTTCTTTTATCTCTTCACCAGTTATCTCAAACGTCCTCCACAGAGGGTCTTCATCAGGTCCGTCTTGAACTGAGACTCCTTCATCGAGATAAGTGGAGAGGATTCTGACTTTCCTTTCCACCTCATCTGAGAAGTTCGAGAACAGCAAGGCGACCTTCTTCTTCCTATTATGGACCACTTCATTTATAATCTCTTGCGCTGTGAGATTATCCAGGTCTACTTCGTAGTAAGGTAATCTCTCTTCCAAGTTTAGTCCAACTTTACAAGCAAATCTATCATAGGATAAGCACCAGAGATTTTCCAGGAATTCGGCTGCGGTTGTGACCAAGACAGCATCCTGCGTCTCACTTGTCGCGTAGAACGGCAGCTGTACTTGTAGCACGCCTTCCCTTATCTCCATCCGATAGTTATTCATGAACTTATTGTGCGTAAGATCAATCGGAATCCCATTCATGAGGCATAGCGACATGCTGATCAGGATCTTTGGCCCCAAGGATGGCACGTGACAAACGTTCGAAAACTTGAAACACGGCCCACGCATCGATCCCTTTTGGCGAGATTCGACCGGATCCACGCCAGCTGTTTGAAACTGTCGTAGCTCGAACGCTTTGGCAAGCAACAAACTAGAATCTCCACACATGTGCTTGCTTGCGCCTGAATCGATGATACACCATCGAAGTTGCGTGCCGTTTTCGGTCGTAGTTGTGGGCGTTCTGTTGTCGTTCACGTTGAAAGCACTACCAGCTAACGGCGTAGTAGTACTAGGGGCGGCCAATGGGTTGTCTGTTGTAGACTCGAAGATGAGACCACTGAAGGACTGCCGTCCTGATCCCATATTGGCACTTACATGTTGACTCCAGTCGTATGCTTCACTCTGGTTCACATAGTTAGCACGCTGCTGTTGCTGGTGACCTTGTTGTTGTGCTACAGGTTGCTGCGCCTGTTGCTGTTGTTGAACACTTTGATGATGTTGCTGCTGCTGTTGATTTGCATAGAACACCTGGGGCGGATTCGCATTCATCATAGCGGGACTTTGATACGGCTGATTCCAGAACGCTGGTTGCTGGAAGTGGTTGCTAGGTGGGTGCTGATTGTGCTGATTTCCACCCTTGCCACCATTCCACTGAACACCGGCATAATTTTGAGAATTCGGATTCCACCTGCAGTTGATCGAAATATGGCCTGACTTTTGGCAAATGTGACATGTGCGAGTCTCCTTGCCTTTTCCACCCTTGTGGTTATGGTGGTTCTTGCTTGACTTGCCACCTTTCTGCTGGTATGGCTGCTGATTTTTGCCACCACTAAAATACGCACTAGATGATGCGAAGTTCGAATGCACATTGTGATCGTTGACGTCTAATGCGGTATCAGATGCTGTCGGAGGTTCTCCAGTAAACAGCTTCTCTGCTTTACTAACCGCTTCAGCCAATTTCGACATTGAAGATGGATTATCTTGGATGATCATCGTTTTCGCTACACCACAAGTCTGGCGCTGAGCCATACGACAAAGTTCGGCGTCATTGATCACACCAGGCTGCATTACGCATTGCGCTCTTTGAAACCTCTTGAACCAAGCAGATGGTCGCTCGTTTCTGCCTTGTTTTGTCCCTTCGAGGTCCGTGCGCTGCATCTCCTCTGACTCGTTCTCACTACGGTAGAGATAGATGATCTTCGTCAACTTGTCTTTGTGTGATCGTATACAAGTGACTTCTTTACGCTCCTTGATCTCCGTATATTTTTGGAGAATATCCGCTACTTCGATCTTGCCTTCGATACAATCCAAGACTTTGGAAGCGTGATACTTCTTGGCTGCTAGAGCTAAATATCGCCCGAATGATAGTGCGGATGATTTGTGCGGTGGGATCTTGCTCATGTTGTTGTCCTTGTTGCTAGAGGATGAACTTTTGCCCTTCTTCTTCTTGTGGCTTTTCTTCTTGGCCGTTCTCTTCATGAGTTGCTTCAAGATCTTGGCGGATATGAGCGCCTTCTTGTGAGATGAAGATGACTCTTTACCCTTCTTTTTCTTGGAAGAAGTTTTGCTCTTCTTCTTGTTCTTCTTGCCTTTCAGGCTCTTCTTCGGATCCTCATCGCCTTCTTCTGATTCGGAGGCAGATGATGAATCTTCTTCAGATGATGAGCTAGAACCTTCACTATCAGAGTCCGAGTCGGATGATGAACTTTCGTCGACGGACATATCTTCAGATGTTGAAAGTAGGTCTGGAAGGTCTACTTCAGCATCTTTCTTCTTCTTGTTTTTCTTGGTGCTAGCAGGCTTTGACGCGCCTGCTTCACTAGCGAACACTTGGCCAGTCTGATTAAAATCGTCACTGGCCTCCTTTTCTTCGAACACTGGGGCGCCTTCTGCTGACCCCTTCTTAACGTCCGCCATATCGGATGCGGCTCCTACAGTAACTGAATCGGTATCAGGTGCAGCATCTGCAGGCCCATCGGCTTTCGCGGTTGAAGATGTTGCAACACCACTAGGGGTAGAATTCTTTTGCTTTTCCTTCTCCAATTTCTTTCGTTGCTTTTTCGTTAGACCTGTGGTAGCTGTGAAACTGGGCGTAGTGCCACCACTAGCTGCTTGCTCCTCTTTTGCTTTTCCCATCGTTCTTTGTTGCTGTAGAAACGTAACCAGGCTGCGTGGAATTGGGCCCATAACTCCGTGAAAACAGAGATCATGAGAAGAGCAAAACAGCACGAGGCAACCGATGAAGATGGATATTTTTCTTTTGGTTTTTCGGTTGAACAATAGTAGCGGAATTGGCAGCGGTATGGAGGTATTGATTATATTGCTGCACGGTATTCATATGAAAGGAAAGACACAAATTGCATG